TCTCGGGAGCGAACCAAGCACGAAGGAGACCGAAGCGGACTCACTGCGCACGCAGTGCAGCCCGCCACCAGCCACCGCAGCGGGCCCTCGAATCTCCTGGAAGAGAGGAAAACGAGTGGGGAACAGAAGACAAAACAAAGGCAACACAGGCGGGACCGCGTTGACCGTGTCAGCATTGAAGGACCACGCGCAGCCAAAGCCGCAGCACCCATCGCCATACCATGCCCCGCCCAAGTCCTTCCCTTTGCCTCTCTTGTTCTTCTCCCCGCTTCGTTCTCGCTCCTCGGGATTCGAGGGCGCGCTGCGGTGGCTGCTGGCCGCGGGCTTCCTGCGGTTCAGCAAACCCAAGAAAAAGAAGAGGGAAAAGCCGAGGAGACGCACGCGCAGCGCGTCGCAGCCTGCCCGGCTCCGGCCCCAGACGCAGCGCAAGCGGCAGGCCTGGCCCGGGTTTCGAGCATGCTGCGGGCGTCGGCCTTGCTTCGAGCTCCGGGCGTGCTTTGGGCGCATCTGTTTGGTCTGAGGTCGGGCGGGCTCCCGTCGGGTTTGGTCGGTTTGCGCTTGGGTTTGGCTTAGGCAAGCGCCTGGGCCGAGGCCTGGCGAGCTGGGCCCGGTGTGGGTTTGGTTGGAATAAGTCCGACCCACGTCTAAGCTTGGCCCGGGTCTGGGTTCGGTTTGGCTTGGGCCTGCTTCGGGTTTGTTCCCGGTTTGGTTTGGGTTTGGGTTTGGGTTAGGTTTGGGCTAGGTTTGGGCTTGGTTTGGGTTTGGTTTGGGTTTGGTTTGGGTTTGGTTTGGGTTTGGTTTGGGTTTGGTTTGGGCTTGGTTTGGGTTTGGTTTGGGTTTGGTTTGGGTTTGGTTTGGGTTTGGGTTTGGGTTTGGGTTTGGGTTTGGTTTGGGTTTGGTTTGGGTTTGGTTTGGGTTTGGTTTGGGTTTGGTTTGGGTTTGGTTTGGGTTTGGGTTTGGTTTGGGTTTGGTTTGGGTTTGGTTTGGGTTTGGGTGCGTGTTTGGTTTGTGTTTCAGTTTGGTTTCTTTGTTTTTGGTTTGGGTTCGGTTGGTTTGGGTTTAGATTGGGCTTGGTTCGAGTTTGGTTTAGGAGGGCCTGAATAAAACAGAGACAAGGAGCAAGGGCGACCCTATTCAACTTCTGGCGACTTTGTAACTTGAAAGCAGCAGCCTGGGACTTTTTTCCAGTGCTGACCAGAAAAAAGGGCAGCAATTTAGCAGCTTTCTGGTAACTTTGTGGCTTGAAGTCAGCACCGTGCAGAATTTTTACCAGTTCTGACCAAAAAAAAAGGCAACAGCTTGCAAACTTTTTAGCATTTTTTTAATTCCATGCCAGCACTCTGCAGAATTTTTGCGAGTGCTGACTAGAAAAAAAAAGAAAACTTGACCACTTTCCGCCTGTTCTGCCACCTTCTCCAAAATGGAAAAAAATTCTGGCAAAAGCAGTCCCAGTGATGTGATTTTTTTCATTGTGCAGTCACCACCAGCCAAAAACAGACGACTCGCATCAATGTGATTTTTTTTCGCCGCGCGACCATCCCGAGCAAAAAATTTTTGGCTCGGGTGGCTGCGATCCCGAGCCAAAATTTTTTGGCTCAGGTGGCTACAAGACGAAACAAGCACAGCAGTGGTGACCGCTTTCGCCAGTTTTTTTTCTTTGGTGGCTGGGATGGCTGGCCCATTTTGGAAGGCTTTCGCTATTGTCAATTTCTGCAGCAATGTGCTTGGATTTTGTGAAGCTCGAGGCATTCCCTCTGCGGCGTCATGTTAAAGGTGTCTCTGTACGTCATCCAAAAGACCTCCGTAGCAAACATTCCTGGGCGACGTTTCTGGGCATCTTTCTTTGGCTGATGTTCTAAATCTTGCCCCCGCCCAGATCCACAAGGTCTGCGCGATGGGCGCCTGCCGCTCCCTCCAAAGAAAAGGACTGGCGCGCCTGCGCTGCCACAGTTGCGCTGGGACATGCCCACCACCTCCCAAAACGGGCGCGACGCGAGTCGTCTCGCCTGAGTCGCCGCGAATGGTTACCCGCGCAGCGCTTTGTCCGTGCTCCCAACTTCCCACAAAGGGCGCACCTATTCAAAAGGGAACCGCCGCGAATAATCTACGGACACACTTGAGGCCGCTGCACTGCCGACAGGCAGCCGCGTGGCGCCTCGCGCTCGCGGGTATCTCCCTAACTGGTGGAGTCTTGACCCCCGCGCCCCCCGTGAATCAACACCGGGGAGAACAAACGAGGCCAGGGACACGACGGCCCGACACCTTTCCGCCCCCCTGCCCGATTCACGGGGGGCGCGGGGGTCGCCTCCGGATCCGCGCTTCGCTTGCTCAGCGCGCAGAACTGCATCGCCCCCGGCGCCGCAACTCCGCGACCACCTGTCCCTCGTTGTTCCGTGGGGTCCGGGAGCGCCTGCTCCGGCACCGCGTGCCAGGCGGTGCGCCACCGCAAGCCGGCCTCGGGTTCTTTAGGTTTTTTAGATTTCAGCCCCCTAAGCCCCCCCCACCCGAAGGCCGCCAAAAAGGCTTTCTTTTTTTCCTTTGCAAAAAGGCTTCCCCAGAAAGCCTTTTTACCAAAAAGGCTTTCTAAAAAGGCTTTCTAGACCCATTTTATAATAAATCAAAAATTAAATTACGCCTTTTTAAAAAAGGCCTTAGAGAGCCTTTATGAAGCTTTGTTTTTCCTTTTTTTCTTGCTCTTTTTTTTTCTTTTTTTTCGGGTGCACTGTGTTCCCTGGCTGCGGAGCGGAATTCGGGCCGCGCCCGGAAGCTTTCGCGCCGCGGTCTTCAAGGGCTAAACCCTGTAGCAGAACCCTGGGGGCGCGCTGTAGCGGAGCGGGCCGCCCTCGGAAGCGACAGAGAGGGCCCGAAACTGCCCGCGGCGCCTTCGTGGTCATCTTATGAGCGCAGAACACATGCCCGCGGCAATGACTTTTGGGCGATGTAGGGCCGAAACACATCAGATCAGAAGAGAGAGGCCTTCTCCCGTCATGTTATAGAGGTTCGCAGTTTGTCCCTCTACAGTTCTTTCTAGAAATTAAATTACAAAAATGCTAACAATTCAAGAAACTTGAACGGAAGAACAAACAAAACCGCGAACGCGTGCGCGGTTTCTAGTTGCGCTGGAAGCTTAAACGCCGGGCAAGGGTGCCGCGGGCCTGCTGCTAGGTGTAGGCAAGATTGCCGAAACTGCTCGCGATCTAATGGCAGGGCGAGGCTTTGCCCATCAGCTTTGCAGCCCGGGAACAGGCGACCGCTCGACGGCGCGCAGGCAGGGCCTAGAAAGAGCGCGACTCCCTAAGAGCCTCGCCCTTCCCACTCAAAGAGAGTCGCACTCTTCAGGTAGTTCCCACGACGCGCCTGCGATCTGATGGCGGAGGCGAGGCCTTGCGCGTCACTTTCGGAACCCGAAAACAGACAGCCGCTCGATAGCGTGCAGCCAGGGCCTCAAAAAAGGCGACTCCTTCAGAGAACTACTGTCCGAAGTCGAAGAAAGTCGCACGCTTCAGGTAGTTGCCAAGACTGCCTGCGATCCAATGGCGGAAGCAAGGCCCTGCGCATCAGCTTCGCAACCCGGAAACAGGCGGCCCTCGATAGCGGGCCGCCCGGGCTGCGAAGCGGGGCCACTCCTTCAGGGGGTCACCTTCTCCACTCGAAGGGAATCGCACTGCCCAGGTAGTAGCTAGGCCCCCCTTGGCGCACGGTTTCGCCGCTGCTTACCTTCTCCCTTAAAATTTGCCGGGGTTGCGGTGCAACGGTCAGAAAAGCCGTGGCTTTTTGTGACTTCGCACTGCAAAAGTCGCGAAAAGTCGCGGCCCGTCTTGAAAAGCCGCGGCTTTTGGTCCAATAGGCCCCTAGAGAGGGTGTAATGGTCCCTGCTCGCCCACACCCTCCCCTCTCTGCCCCCATCCTCTGGCGCCTCGCCCGGGCGCGCGGCTGCGTTTCCCAAGCGCGCGGCCCCACGCGTCTGCGGGAGCGCATGCGCCGAACTATCGCGGCCCGGGGCGCCACACGCCCCGAAGCCGTTGCGCGCTCGCTCGACTCAGTAGCGGCGGCGCGAGTGCGATCGGCCCGCCGGCGTCTGTCGTGGCGCGGCGTCGGGCTACGTGCGGCGCCGCCTCTTTTATCGTCAGCCCTTTCGCGCGGTGTCGTCCTTCGCCCGGGTGGCCCTCTCGGGGCCGTAGCGGCGTCGGCGGTGCGTCGGAAAACGAACGCGCGCCGCGACTGGAAGGGAGGGCCCCACCCCTTTCAAGTTGGCCGGAGTTTTCTAGGCCCTTGCCGGTCGCGTCTTTTTACGAATTTCTTGCCGTACGAGAGAATGCACACTCTTTTATCTCTCATTTTTACTGCCGCTCCGCGATTTGAATGAGCTAACAATCTTCTGTGAAACAATAATGCCTTGATTCGTTCGTGGGCCCACTAAACTGCGTAGACAAATCCCGTACCTGTCGGAAAACGAAAACCAACCTCCTGCGCGATTGGATCACGGACTCTGATGTCCTGGCTCATAGTCTGTTCTCAATTATCAAATAATTGATCGGAATCTTGCACGTGCCTGGAAACAAAATAAGAGATCTTCCAGAAAGTAGTTTGGATAAATTGAGAGAAGGGAAGGAGAAAAACAAGATCTCGATTTCCATATCAATACATATGATACAACTACATACATATGACCGTGACGCCAAGGTGCCATGTCCTATCCTATGAGTGACATGGTCGTGGACGAAGAAGCAGGACTGCAGTGCCGATATGAACCCCAGGTAGTCCTCGTAGTCCTAGACCGTTGCGACTAGGTTAATAGATCTTAGATTAAATTCAGCGAGACAGGAGGACGAGGGTGTTAGATTCGAGTTTAGATAGTACACGTGAGAATGTAGGCAAAAAGAAAATGGACGAGGAGGAAGGCGACCTGTGCCTTGACAGCAGCTCCGAGGAGGAGCCTGCCGAAGCGTGCGAGGATGCGAAGCCAAAAAATCAAATTTTGAATGTCGCTGACGGAGGAAGTGGAAGAAGAACCAGTTGTTCTCCAAATCGAAAAGCGTTTCAGAAAAATATTTCACCAATCTCGGCCACATCTTCAAAAGCAGCTGAGAAACCGACGAGTATTGTTCGGGTGGTGACGCAGCAGAAAAAATCTACATCTAGTAATACCTTGTCAACACTACAGCCTGGTGTATCACCAACTAGAAAAACTAATACGGAACAACCGAAGCGGCTTCAACGTCTTAGCAAAGAACATGCGGTCGCAGTTAAAAAGGCTACTATTGCTGCTCCAAAGATCATCACCACAGAACAAGAGGATGACACTCAGAGAGCACTGTTGCGTGAGACACTACATTTAGCCAGAAACGACTTGACGGAAGAAAATTATTTTCTGTTATTGGACTTCTTCTTGTCGAGTTCGTGTCGAAGCGTACGAGACCGTGGCTGCGAATTGAGTGACCGGCCAAATCTATACCACCGTTGGAGCCATGTTTTTTACGAAGATGACATGTGAGGAACATGGAAACATAGAAATCGATTTTTTCTTTTGGGTATGATTTTCTTTTCTGAAAACGGCTTTTGTTGTTTTCAAGTGCTTGCGTAGTCAATTGTCGCCATACTCAGTATAACTAAATAGATACGTCCGCTCAAGAAAATTCCATTTTTCTCTCTACGGATGATCCCTTTTCCTTTCATGCTTCGGAGTGGCACTTCACAAGCCTTCTTTCGGAAGCACAGAAGAAAAAAGCGCACAAGTCAGACCCTTCCAGCAAGAAAAAAGTCACAGTGCAGGGGATGGCCACAGGACCATCGCGAAGGAATGCCCGTGCTGCTGCTGCATGGAAGATGATGGGAGAACTCTTAGATGGCGAGTACTTTTACTTTTCCAGCACTACAGAACAAAGGGAAGGGATAAAGTCCTCGACTCGAACAGTAGGAGCGGAGCTTCGTCACTTGAGAGCGTTTTTAGAAGCTTATGCAGGTGCTGCAAGTAAAAAGACGATGGAGTTTTATGCCAGAAGTACTGACTCAGGAGGGGCAGCTGGATGTAGTTTTATCGACGGCGTCCTAGCGGCACTGCTTAATCTGCGGGAGGCGCTTCTTAGCGCAGCGGACGAAAATTATGGGATGCTAGGCGAGCATGCTGACGAGCGGCCTTTGAAGCGCAGAAAAAGTGCGCCTGACAAAACTGAATCCGTTCTTCAGAAATCCAACGACCTCAACACAAGAACATCTTTGGGAAAATATTTGTGGGCTTTTATTCCTCTACCGCGTATATGGGAAACTGTGCTTGAAAATGGGACAATGGCGCAGTTGCAATCACTTCTCGAGATCGTTTTGGATGTCAAAGCGAGTATCAAGCCTTCTCGCAGTACGCAATCTGAAAGATCGAATAACGAAGCACGCAGTGCAAGTTCCTCTCCATCTTCAGCCTCGAAAGGGAGTGAGATTTTATCCACGACTCTGCTGTCCACATTTCCATTTCCAGTGCTTGTGTGGGAAGCCTTGGTGGAAAGCTCACTGTCCTTGACCTCCGCGGCAGAGGAAAATAGGAATCGCGCTGCGCGTGTGTTGTTTCATTTGAAAAACGCGAATTTTCTAGCTTTGGACGACTTCCCAGACGCAGCCGCTCGATTTTATTTCTCGCACTTTAGATGCTTGTTGGCAATGGAGCGCTCTTACAGCTTGGCTGCGGTGCAGAGAAGTTTTATCTCGTTTTCAGGGCCTGATTATATTAATTCTGGTTCTCTTACTATTAAGGGTAGGTTAAAGGTGCTTTTCTTACCGCTTTTTATGTCTCTCTCCCTTAGGATGAGAAAGGAAAAACAAGCGGGGTAAGCGAGCACCAAAAACCTACCTCTAATACTAGGGTAACAGGAGAAGTCGTCCGTGAAATCGGCGTAGACGATGAAAAGAACGAGTGGAAGCTGTGGCGAGCCAGGGGAATGCGATCGAGGGGGCGTTGTGTTATCATCCGTCTCATTGGGTCTTCCACATCGGATTATCTTCAGAATTTTTTATTAGGATGTCAAGATGGAGAAACAATATTGCTGCGACACGGAGACAAAGCTCAGGGAAGACAGGACAAAGACAGTATTTTCCTTGCGCGTGTAGTGGGTCGTCGGGACATGACGAGGCAGGAGGTGATGGTGAGAGTCGAGAGGCACGCTGCGTCTGCTGTGGCTGATGGCAAGCACGTTTTGGCGCCGCCTGGCACTCGATTCACACTCTCTCGTGCGGATTCCGGAGTTACCTATGAAAGACAAGTGGCAGCTGTAACGAATTTTGCTCTGAAAGATAAAAGTTCGAGCTTTGTGGAACATTACCTTCAGCCGACAGTTCTTGGAGGTAATGGTGGTGAGGCATCCCGTTTGACGTTTACAGATACGATTCGAGATTTATTGTTTGATCGGAGAGAAGACTTGAAACAGCAAACGGGCATGAAACTAGGAGATGCGCAAGCAGAGGCCTTGAAATCTGCGTTAGCCAAAGACGTTACCTTAATTCAAGGACCTCCCGGAACTGGGAAAACGCGAGTGAGTTGCAAAATTCTCCAAGCCTGGCTTTCAGGCTTGAAAGCGGAGCAGCAACAAGCAGCATCTCAGCTCGCAGCGTATCACAAAAGTTCAGCTGGGTTTAATCCGAAATGTGGTGCATTTAAAGGTGGTGGAAGTGGAACATCATCAGGCGCAGCTGCCGCCTCTTCTCAAATGGTAAGTGCTTTTGCCAGACGTGGAATGCCTGATGCCAATGCGGTTGTCTCTAGATCTGCGCCACAAACTCAATCAGCGCCTTCCTCCTCTTCACCCAATTCCCCTACGAGAAGAGCCCAACAAAAGGAGCAACAACACTTAGAAAACAGAGTTGAGAAACTACAGCGGACAAAAATACTGGCAGTTGCGGATGGAAACATTGCTGCCGATAACCTGTATGACGGCTTGCGGAAACTAGGTATCGCTAATGTAGCCCGTCTTGGAGTCAATGCAGACGAAGCTATAGTTGACGAACAACTGCAACAACATGAGCTGTATGGGAAGTATAAGGAACACTCTTCTGCCGCAGCTTCTGCTGTTGGGGGTGGATTTAGCAATGTTAAGGTCAACATTTAGTGTCCATCTCTCTCGACATCTTGGTACCCTACTTTTCCCTTGTATTATTCCTATTAAATCATGATCCAAGGGTTGTAGTAAAGGGGTCAAGATGAGGGGCCGAGATGCAAGTTAGCAGACTCTAACAATGGCACCCCGAACACGTCTTCAGTGCTACAATTAGGCAACTCCAGTACTTCAACCAGCCACCACTTGCAGAGCGTTCGCCTCAAGAAAACTTTGAACGAGGAGTTGATCCGCGAAGCGGATATAGTAGTCAGTACTTGCGTGGGAGTCGGGAACGCAGTCTATGAGCCCTTTGTCTTCGAAAACGTTTTAGTGGACGAAAGCACTCAAAGTTTGGAACCGTCAACATTGATTGCGATGGGACGTGGGTGTAGGAAGCTAGTGCTGGTGGGTGATCATAAACAGTTGCCGCCGACTGTTATGCTACATAGTTTGGAAACCTCCCCCCCAAATATTAAATTTGTTGAGAAGATGAATTTTAGATTATATTATACTGGAGTGAGCCTACTATAACTACTTACGTACTCACGCCTGATTACACGTCTTCAAACCTTTCCAGCCACTTCTATGTAAGTCCCCTCATCCGCCCGCTGCCGATCACACGTCTTCAAACCTTTCCAGCCACTTCTATGTAAGTCCCCTCATCCGCCAGCCACTTCTATGTAAGTCCCCTCATCCGCCAGCCACTTCTATGTAAGTCCCCTCATCCGCCCGCTGTCCCTTTTCATACTCTTCCAGCCACTTCTATGTAAGTCCCCTCATCCGCCAGCCACTTCTATGTAAGTCCCCTCATCCGCCCGCTGCCCCTTTTCATACTCTTCCTGAGTCGCAGTGCCGGAGCCGCTTTACGGTTCTCGCTGTTCGAAAGATTAGTCCAGAGCCTCAAGTATGGGAGCATTTTGCTAAACGAACAGTGGCGAATGCATCGAGGATTACTCTCCTTTCCCAACGCTTTCACGTATCAGAACAAGTTGCTTTGCAGACTCTCGTTAGAAGAAGAGATGCGGAGTCGGACCCCTGTGAGGTTTAGTCTACTTTGTGGTGACAAGATGAACATGCTGCGAGTAGTTTTCGTGAACCTGGAAGACGTTCCTTTATTACGGCTCAACTTTTAGATTGGAGTCACCATTTAGATTGGAGTCACTGACACCGAAGAGGAGACCCCTTCTTGAGAGAACCAACAGGGGATATAGACAAAGGCAAAACAAGGTGAGAGGTGGGGAGCCCTTCCTGTTCAGAGTCAGTGACCAATGAATGCTGACCTTTAACTTTAGCAGTAGAAACCACCACGGCAGGAGCCTCAAAACAAAACGTTGGAGAAGCATACGCTGTTTTAGGGACCGTTTTTGCAGCGGTGTTGGCAGCGAGTATGGACAGGAGTGGAGGTGGTGGGAGTGACGAGGCAGCAGAGGACCAAGGAGAAAATGCTGGTACAAAAATGCTATCAGTTGCCATTCTAGCAGCTTATGCAGCACAACGATCACTCCTGCATCAAATCAGAGACGAATACGCAAAAGCTTTCTATTAAGGGTTTCCAAATTGCATTCCTCACTACCGTCCGTGGGTCTTTTCCTAGTAGAAAAGAAGCCAGGGATGTTCTGAGGAATGTAATTCCGTAACCTCTAATTCTACCGATATTGCGTCAGCACCCAGCAGATTGACAGAGGGACTACTACGGGTAGCGACGAGAGTTCTTTCCTACAGCGTGTAGCCAAGATCCCTATCGAGTGCGTGGACGGTTTTCAAGGTAGAGAGGCGGATTTAGTTGTGGCTTCACTTGTACGATCTAACGGAAGTTGTGGCACAATACCAGGTGACACAACGACCGCTGGTGTCTCTTCTAGCACACCGTCAACAGGTGCCTCAAGTGCGTTGGGTTTCCTAGCAGATCAGCGTCGCATGAACGTTTTACTCACTCGTGGTAGGAGAGGCCTCGTCGTTTTTGGACACAAGCCCACGTTGGAGCAGGGAGAAGCTTGGTCAGCCTGGTTGAAGAGTTTGGAGGATGCTAACCAGGGGAAAAAGGAACCAACCTCTGGCTCGACTGATGGAAGAAGTTCGAACAGCACTGAAGGTAGAAACTCAAACTATTCTTTTTCTCTTGTGGATTGGGAGAATTTGGTCGGCGTTCCTGCGGACCTACGTGCCGCTCGCTACGCTTCGTTTCCTGCACAGAGTCGACAACAATATAGAGGCACTGCGACGAAGATTGCCATGGGGGGCAAGGATTCTGGGAAAGGAGTTATGGTCCGAAGAGGTGTTGTCTAAGTGTTGAAGAATTAGACAGTACATCTATACTTCCTTCACATTTTGGATAGAAGTACTCAAATAGACCACAGCTATTGATTTTCCAAAAACTTCCCATTACCACTCTAAAGCGAGCAAACCAAAAGCAGCAAAGGGCCAACCGGCAAAGCGCGGATTTCATATGGTCACACCGGAGCTGCAACAGGCTATGCTGGCTAACCGTGAAAAGCTTAAAGGACATAGTGCAGGAGCTACGGAAGAGGACTTCGATGGGTCGGTCACAGAGCCAAGCTCCGGTATCTCCGGAGATTGACATCAAGTATCTAACATGGGCGATTCGTCTAGTGCTAAAGCTAAGATCAAGTGTGACAGTCGGTACAGTTTCCTACTTGCACTACGATTTACTATAATGATTTGCTATCGATGAAAATCAAGAGCGTATTTCTTTTTTCAGATTTCCACAATGTCTGATGAGAACTATACCGTGCCAAAAACGAATGGCCAAGCTGGCTTCGAAGAAACCATTTTATTGGACAAGATGATATAGGTACAAAAACATCGGATACGATTTTTAAGTAAAAGTAACCATTTTCATTTCATACCTGTCGTGATTATTGATAACAATACCGGCTGGACAAAAGTCAGGTCACCCTTTAGGCGACTGTTTGGACTTTATTCTTTGTTAACCTGTTTTATCGTTGCACTTCGTTACTTCTTTGCTGAGGTAGCAGGGTGTCATCGTATAGTCTTGGTGTTGGTATGCTAGCCAATGTTAGACCCAGTGGAATTGAATGGAATTAGTCATGTCGAAGATTTAGTCATGTCTGGAACCACCTTGAGTAAGACGCAAGGTAGTTCGAAGAGAGTTAGCCAGAAAGGTAACGATCCTTTTGGAGAGCAGTTTGTTGCATCGAGAAAAATATACTCTGTTGAGAGTCCGTGTCTGTGGTTGAGAGTCCTACAGAACTATGTGTTGCGAAAAGAGTCTGTTTATGGAGTAAAGAGTCTGGTTATGGAGTAAAGAGTCTGTTTATGGAGTAAAGAGTCTGTTTATGGAGTAAAGAGTCTGTTTATGGAGTAAAGAGTCTGTTTATGGAGTAAAGAGACTATAGAAGTCTGTTGCGAGAAAGCCTCTCGAGAACCTCTATCTGCTGTCTGAGAGACCCTATCTCTGATCCTATCTTTGACAACCAGACCTAGAGCGCGAGGATCCTTATCCATAGGAAGTCTAAAACTTCTCAATTGCTCAATCACCTATAATGATCTCATAGGAGAGAGGGGACGGGGTAAGTAAAAGAGTGCTATTACCTTGGGGAGGGGGTTATGTAGTATTACAAAACCTGCTTATATGAAACGAAAATCTGTTATCATTATCAAGTTTCTGAAGAAGAACAGCATGATAATGATAACAGATTTTCTCTTCATAGCTTCCATTGGAGCTGCGAATCGATATAGGTAAACTTGTTCGTTCAGAGCAGCTAAAGATATTGTAACTCGTGTAGAAGTTGTAATGTACCTAGTGTATACATCAGATCCACATTGCAATAGTATAATGCATGCATTGTGTAGATTAATAAGCGCAACCAGTTGACTGAGTGAGTGTGAGATCATCAATTCTGTACTACAGACTGATCTGTCTTCTGAGACTGTAATAAATCGAAATCTCCTGCTATTACCCATCATCCTCTCGAAATCATCTTCTCCTATCACAGCGTCTTCAAATATTTATGCTTTTTCCTCCCACTACTATCTGCAGTTTATGGCGTCCCTCCTCGCCTTTTTTTTCACAACTAACATGTTGATGTTGTTGATATGATCTTCTGAATTTGAGATGCAGTTGTACTTGAATAATTGTATTTCACTACTCGGACGAAAGGGCGTGGATTCGCTCTCACTCTAGTAGGCACGACTGCTGTGACACGGCCACAAAAGCCCCACTTGAGGGCCGCCGAAGTCGCGTTTGCCTTTGCATTTGAGTAACGAATTTGAGTTAAACACTTGTCTACGACTTGGTGTACACGCTCTTTTGTTCCCGTAGTTTTTCGACTCATGTTCTCTTGTAGATATTATAAGCGCATGTTTACTAGGAAGTTTATTTAGTGTCAAGGTTTTTGCCATTATAAGTAGTTTCTCTCTGTCATCCAACGACGTGTTGAGTTATCTAGAATGGTATGAAGCAAGGGCGCTCATGCATTTGATTACAAATGAATTGCAAAATTGAAGGCTAGAAGGGCGACTAGGAAATTTTCGTCTCTCTATCATGTAATCAGAGCGCAGCTCCTAGTAAAAAAATCAATCAGCAACAAGGTTATTTTTTTTCAGACGGTTTACTATAGATTCATATTTTGATTGTAACTTCTTAAATTTTTCGTACTGCAGGGTTTTCTCTCTGCACCTCAGCGGACTCTTTATGTACTTATTCTATTGGACGACAATTTTTAGAATTTCGAAGTCAATCGAGAAGTCAATATGCATAACAAGAGGCATAATAGCTAACGCGCTGTTAACGAATTTGCTTCGAATGGAGATAAAAAGTTAACAACAACAACTTCATCTTGAACCTATTCCCATAACTAAAACTTCGAAGATGCGAGTTGTACTAGCCCTGTACAATGCTCTTTGGGCGATTCCTACCGCTCTGTATGAAGATTTTAGAGTGATGGTGCCTTCCCTGATGACGCGGCAGGGTGCCCAGCTCCTGATCGCGGTCTTTGGTGGGTTGTTGATCATCGTACTCCTGTTTGCCGGTGCCGCGATGTCCACGTTTGAGCGGGCAGAAGAAACTACATCTACTCCAGGAGGCTCAAATAAATCTACTTCCGCAAAGACCGGAGGAAAGGCTGGTAAGCGAGGAGGGAAAAATTCGAGCAACTTGAAGGACAAAGATTCAACTCTTAAGGCTTTTTTTTGGAAATGTTCGTTGGAAATGTTCGATCATTGGTCAGTAGGATAGATACCCATTCGAAAAGTAGAGTGAATGATCGCGGCTCATTTCTCTGATCCTTTTTTATTTCACATTTGTTCCTATAATAAGCGATCCTTGTACAACTACAACCTGCTTACGCAGTATTGTTTTTTGGCTCTACTTCAGCAACCCGTCACGTCTGCCAGTTTTCCTGATCTCAACCACACACCCAATCTAAACCACTTAAACAAAAAGAAATCTAAACCACACACCCAGTTTTCCTGGTGGGCCCGCACCTAACCTAACCTAAACCACACTCCTCCTAACTTATATCTAACAAGTAACCTAAAACACACGAACCACACCACTCCTAACTTCGAAAACTCAAAATAACCGAGTTACTGACTGAAATAAGGGAGGTAGCTTAACGCCAAGTGGTTACTCTTCCTTCTCATAAGTTGCATCTCGGTTATTCTGATCAGTTACTTGCTTATTTCAGTTTTTCGAATATCTAACGTTAGCACGCAAAGGGATTCTCCTTTCCAATCTAACGTGAGCACGACCCGATCCGAGGAACGGCAAAGGGATTCTCCTTTCCAATCTAACGTGAGCACGACCCGATCCGAGGAACGGCAAAGGGATTCTCCTTTCCAAGAGCATTTTGGCGCAGAATTTGGCGACGGTGACCCACTCTTAGTCCTCTTCTGTAGCCTAATATTAAGGAGGGGGTTATGTTGATAATGATAAAACTTCGAGTTCTTAATAAGGTCCACGACACTGTGTGGAGCAGCCACGAGGCAAAAGATCTGTAGTATTAAACTTCGAGTTCTTAACAAGGCCCACGACACTGTGGAGCAGTCACGAGGTAAAAAGATCTTTTGCGAGCACAGAATGAATGAGTGAGCATATTAAGTTGACCTCTCGTGGTCTATGAGCATATCATATCAACGAAGTTTTCATCGACTATATGCGAGATAGAAGATTGCTCAACTACTGTCTTCAACCGAGCTACTTTCTTCAACCGCTAATACTAGATGGGATAATCCGACGCTCGGCACCGTGGGTTACCTGGTTACAGCAGAAATTGCATGTTCAACATGTGGACACCGAAAAGTGGATTGAAACTGGTCAGTATGATGAACAACATCCTCTGAAAAACCTGAAGAAGAAGAAGTTGAAGGGTGGTAATAGTAATGGTGGTAATAGTAATAATGGTGGTACAACTACTGGTGGATGTGGAAACGCAGCATCAACAAGCAGTGCTAACGCCGATAAGAATGGTCCTCGTTTAGGATCATCTGGAGCTGCATATCATCTTCAAGACTTGATGCTACAAGAGGAGGAGACCACGACAGGAGATCCTGCTTCTTCTACTAATAGTACTGAATCTACTAATAGTACTGAATCTACTAATCGTACTGAATCTACTAAAAATAGTACTGCTTCTACTAATAGTACTGCAAACTACGTCAATAATGATGCTTCTAGTCAGGTGGATAAAAGCATTAAAATGTTGCAGCAACTAGAAGAGGAAGAAGACGGATGGCTCAGGACAACAATGAAAAGCCGTATTAGTAGAGGGCCTATCGAAGTTGCCGAAGAAGCCGAGGATGGGTCTCCTGTGCTTGATTCTTCTAGAGGCAAAAAGGGAGAAATCTTCGTCATGGGAGAAAAGTCTAGTGGTGTAAAAGGTGGCACATCTTCTTCCGAAGATCTTCATGTTGGCAGTCATAGTAGTACGACCGCTAGTAGCAAAGGAGGTAGTAAGAACAAAGGTGCTGGTAAAGGTATTAATTTCACTGAAAAGAACGGAAAAAACGACAGTAGTTCTCATAATGCTTTTCCTAATAGTACTTGGTCGACCAGCAAAGGGGCACTCACGTCTTCTAAAAGTGGTGGAAAAGATCACTTTTCCACGGCTAAGGGTAGTACTTCTAGCACAAGAACTACTGCTTCTTCTAGCACTTCTCCTCAGATGCAACACGGCTACAAAAAGCCGGAAGAAAACAAAGGCGGCAAGAACAAAGCATTTTGGACAACTGCAGGAGTTGAAGCCGTGCCCCAAGTCCTATCTCGCACAAGCTCGACGAGCAGCTCCTCTGGTGCGATTGCCAGCACAACAACTCAGAGTAAAAAAGGCAGTTCCTTTTCTTCCAAGCAGAGAGATGCTGCTAAAAAAATTGGGACCAAAATAAACTGCAACGGAGCGCCAGGAAATGGAGCTAAAGGCATGTCTGAAGCTGTTCCTTGGACTGACAACACGGCTACTAGTTCCTGGGATACAACTTCTTGGAATGCACATTTGACTACTTCGGCTCCGGGACCCTCGTATAACTGGCCCAGCTACGATCTTCGACTTCAAGAGGAGAACAAGAATCAAGTAGACATCAAGCAAGGCGAGCTGCAAGAAGTAGGTGGAGCAATGACCGCTAACACGAAGAATGAAGAGCCCTCTTCTCGCACCACTTCCGAAAACGTTCAAAAGAAAAAGTCGAAACCTCATTGGAAGAAAGTGAATACTTCGAGTAAGAAGTCTAGTTCAAAAAGCAGCACAATTAGCGACGAAGGCAGAGGTGTTGGTGCCGATATTTCCACTGACCAGAACAGTAAAGGCAGCAAAGGCAGCAGCAAAGGAACGAAGACATCTTCAGCCTCTTCTAAAGGAGATGGCGATAATAAGGGTATTTTTTCAGAAGGACACCGAACTTCTGCCGCCGAACTGCTGGATCTGCAATCAGAGTGGCAGTCTAGGATCAACGACTTTTTGAAGCAAGAGAAGAAAACTGCGACAGCAGAAGAGGAGAAAAAGAAAACGGCACCAGTTGTAAAAGAATATAGAATGACAGCAAAAGAATTTCTTGCTACGATGAAGAGCAAAACGCCTGCATCGAGTGATGCTGAAGAAAAGCCTGCATCATTACCAAGCATCCTGTTACCGAGTCCGATGTCACCGCCTACTAATCCGAATACCACAGCAGGGTCGTTGAAGCGTCCGTCAGTCCCACCACCGCCTCCCCCTCAGCGGTCGCCGCCAGGCTTAGGGTCGTCTTCTTCGGGACAATACTATTTTCCTCCGGGATTAGGTTTGGCCGTTCAGCAAGAAGAGGAGAGGAGTACTTCTGTGGAACGGTCAGCGTCTAGTGGATCTTCTTCCTCTGCCACGGATGGAGCACTCTCTTGGCGACGCCAACCTCCAAGGGAGGGAGCCACGTCACGCTATTTCAACAATAACAAGGGCAACATCATCAACAAGGGCAATCACGATCATTATGCAAGTAATGCTGGTGCCAAAATGATGCTACTGAAACAGATGCGCACAGACAGAAGCAAGGAGTATCAGTCCAACGCTGCTGCGACGCAAAATGCAGGAGTGGACGGATATCACACACAACCTATAGCTATACGCAGGGGGCCAAATGATTTGAATTGGCGGGGGTCTTCGTCGGAGCTTTACCGCAAGGACGCCTCGTCTGCCGTAGCACAAGGACCTCCGCATCAAAGCAATGCCTCTACCGACATGTCTTGGCGTCAGAAAGATACTTCTACCCCAAGGCCTTTTCTTAATGCACTTGATGGGAGTAACAAGACATCTACATCTAGTAAAGAAAAAAATGCTCCTGTTGTAGCTGCGCCAAGCTGGTCAGTGATGTCCTCGGCTGTGTCCTCGACTGGAGCAGCTGCAGCGCAAAGTACTACTGAGCAACAGAGTCAACAAGCTCAAGGTCAAGCACAACAAACTCAAGGTCAAGCGTACCAAGAAGGTCAAGGTCAAGCGTACCAAGAAGGTCAAAGCAGTCTTCAATATCGAGGTCAACAAGAACCCAGAGCTACACCACTGATGTCGTCGGATTTCATGAACTTGGCCTTGACTTCAGTTCATATCCGTAGTGCTACTGAGGTTCGCCGCAGCGAGCGCATGAAAAAACCCACTTCTCCGAATGGTAAGGCGAAGCATAATCACACCACGAGCTACGTCAACCCTGAGCTCTTAGCCAGTGTCGTCAGCAGAACCGGCATGCCGGACGACTTGTTGTTGGATTTGGCAGGGCATATAGATAATTATGCCAATTATCATCATCAGACGTCTGACTGCGATACAACTACGAGGAAATACAAGAACCAGGCCTACAAAAATAACTCCTACTACAACAATAGTAGCAACTATGGGGGATATAAAAAATATCAGAATTACGACATGCATAATATGTACATCGACAACGTGAAGCGGCTGCAGGAGTCGGTTGAGGAGATTGATAAAATCAAAGCCGCTGTCCGTCAAAGGAGAGAACTGGCGGCCAAGGAGGAGGAGGAGGAACGACGCTTCCACGGGACTGTTAAGGCAATTCATTTTCTTTGGTTTGTGATATTTCGTTTCTCTGTGGGGAGATCGTTGTCTTTGTCAAGTGCGAAAGCATTCATCTTTCAGCAAAATAAATCTTTAAGTTAGTACCCGATTGGTGCGGATTTTGCTTTTTGTGCTTTGGTTCTTTGTGGGGAGATAGTTGTCCTTGCTCCACCAACATTTTCTTGATATCTTATGTGGAAGACAGATGAAAATAAGTACGAGTGCAGCTCTAAGAAAATAAGTGCTGAGCAGCAAGCAGAGGCCGCCGAGCACTATCAGAATTTTTCGATGACCGATGATATGCAGCAGGGGGGTTACAGATACCTTGAATATCCTGGTTCTGCTCTTGAAGCTTCCGCGTACCAAGAAACAGGACCTTTTTCTCCTGTAGAACAACAACAGATGGCACGTCGATACGCTCTGTATCATCAAGCAGCCGGAGCGGAAGATGGTTATTGAAAGACTCATCTGTGCGTGGAGGAGATGTTGTATTTTCATTTTCATAATAAGACTTGAAGAAAGCATTCTGAGGCTTCAAAGCATTGTGGTCTACCGCAGGAGAGACCTAGTGCAGGGGAGATAACACTCCATGTAACATTCCTAGAAGTTCAAGTCGCCGCTAGGGATCAATTTGCATTTTCAGACTAGTTCCTCTTTTTTTTGAACGAACCGTGTAGTTCAAAAGTAGTTTTGCAAGTAGTTTTTCGAGATATAGCGAATCTATGTCAAAGATGAAAAAAAAAAAACAAAATGAAGACGAATAGGAGCAGAGGAGGAAGCAGGAAACGAAACAAAATCAACGTATTCAATTTTATCAGGAGTCCTACAGGACGAGCCATGTTCTTACTTACTTAGACTAAGGAAGGTTTGTCGATCACTATCTGGTGTGGCCTATGCTTACTGGGTTGCTGCCCTTGGAATTCAAGGGGGAAAAACCTAAGGGGAAGGAAGAAGGCGAGGCAATCCAAAGCAGGGGACACAATGATCGACTATCTACGACTAGAAAAAATCTAATCCTATCTTAAATAAATGTACTTAGCGAAGACATAATCAGAAGAAGTACAACTAACCACTGGAAATCAAAGTGCCTTTACCTACACTATAATACTGAATGGTTTGGATGAGTGCTGTTTACCTCGACTATGGAAGGTCGCTACTCACAATACATCATTGCTGCAATGTAGTATGTGTGTACGACAAATTTGTCTTGTTCGTGTCTTTCTACCTGCCTATTAAAGATGCTGTTTCTTTTAGTAGATTGTTCGAGAAGACGCTTTTCTTCATAGGTGGTGGTTTTTCGAAAACGCAGCTGACAGGAGACAGAGCAGACAGAACGATTGTTGTAGCAGGTTATCTGTAAGACTAGCGCATATTGTTGTCCGCCTGACAGCATATGCATATTTTTTAACGATCGAATTACTGACCATTAGGCAGCGCAGATGCAACTACGAAATAATAATTTATTCCAAAAAAACAATAACTGGTAAGTGAATAGTTACAGATAAGTGAATAGAGAGGGTTTTGCCTCAAAGAAGATGTTGTGCTTCAGAAACAATCATAAACACAAAAAAAACATAAGTAAGAATTTCGATGATTAAGACCATGGAATGACCTTCATTGTATAGAGCGGAGTAGCTGCATTTATTCAGCGAAATGCCTTCAAAAACTTCTAATGCTAACAGCTTACTACATGCATAGGATGATATGGAAATGAACCATTGTGATGATACCCTAGGATGCTGTGACGAGCAGACGTGCGGAGATTTCTCATGCACCGTAGTTTTGAGCGGAACTGAAAGGAATCTGTGGTAGGTAATATCTTCTTCTGTTGTCTGTCGGGGGTATCTTTACCTGTAAAGCAAATCTGGCCTTCTTCTCGCTGAAAACTGTCGTTCAAATGGCTTCGTTTCGAACTCTCGGTCGTGCTCTTGGGACCAAAATGGAAAAACGGGTGAGAGACAAAAGAGACAAGACACAAAACAGAGGGACCTCTTGACCTGTTTTTACCCGTTTGGCTTTCTTTTCCCTGTAATTGGTTTTCTTTTCCCTGTAAGTATCTTTTCCCTGTAAGTAACTATCCTTTCCTCCACTGTACTGTGCAACTTTCCACCAAAAATGGTGTAAAATTAAGTTTATGTTTCGTCAAAAATGGAAGAAGAAGAAGAAGAAGTAGAAGGTCACTGTCGTGTTTCAATTTCTTGAGACCCTGGACTCTCGCTTCTCTTCCTATCTCCTACCCCAAAAGGAAAACCCAGGTCTTTCATTTCTTCGCTTGTCTTCCTAAAACAACTTTCGCACCATAAGTACAACGTTCTCAAAACAAGTCTAAAGCCATGTCCCGCAACAACAGCAATAACAACAATAACTGGGGACCGGGTAACCGCCTTGGTGGTAATCGCCTAGGAGGAGGTTACGTCGCGGACCTGGGTGCAGGTTACTCCGATGATGAGCCTTCGTCGCCAAGTGGAGAAAATGACTTTGAGTTGCCAGCTATGGCCGGCGATCATTCGCCACCACATGGTCGAAAAAATACGGAATTGGTTTATGAAAGGGTTGACTTATTTTCGATGTGTAGTACATTTGATTTGTTTTTTCAGTTTGGGTAGTTCACTTCAGAATACAGAAGAAAGATTTAAGTACAACGGATGAACATGTCTTTGATTGATAGAGAATGTTGTTGAGTGTCTATTGTTATATAATTGCAGATGCTACTAGAAGTTTGCAAACCCGGTTATAAACAGCAAATAGAATTTTTGTACACGAGGACCAGGCGATTACCCTTCACTTACCCTATCAAAGTTGCATACCCCTTCCAGTCGTACAAACCTGATTCCTCAACTTTCCTCTTCGTCCCCAAGTCGCCCCCTGCAACTTTCATACCCCTTCCAGTCGTACAAACCTGATTCCTCAACTTTCCTCTTCGTCCCCAAGTCGCAGTGAGCGGCAATTGCGGAAAAGCCTCGAAGATGCGCTCGAAAAACAGCGTCGACGATGTGGGGACGTCTTCGTAGTCGTAGCTGCGATCCTCATCTGTGCAGGCGTCGTTGCAGATTGGTGCTTCGGCATGGGGCTTTGCTTTTATCCCTCAAGCAAGAATCACACAGGAGCCGGAGGGAGACATGGAGGTTATGTTGTTCCCGTTGGTTCACATTTTTGGATAGACAAGAACTGTGGTTCTTGCTACATCAAAATGAAAACATTATAACCGGCGGTAGGACGGCTGCTCTCCAATGGAGGTACTGTCAGACTGGGTGGCCTCACAAGTAGACACTAATAGCTACGCAAGAGGTATCATGACATGACATCGTTTATACGTGTACTGAGATGACGAGGACTTCCGACTTGGAACTAAGTTGTTTTTGTTTTCTTAGAGGGTTGTAGTTAATATTGTCTTCTATGTTCTTAAAAGTAAAGGTGAATTAGGTAAAGGTTGTTATTGCAAATACCTCTTGTTAGGCACATCCATTCATTCATTCATTCACTCAGCGAACTTCAGAATGTTGCTCATCCAACGAAGAACTTCTCTACTTTTTACCTCATCTTCTGAAAAACATCATCCACATCCCATGCATTCTTCCTGTCTCTCTAACCTCCCGCCCGATCTCGCGTACGCGACTACGGTCCATTGAAATCCGGAGGGCGTGAGTGGACTAGAGACGAGTCGACCAGGTCTGGGGAGGCGGACGAAAGAAGAGACAAAGAGACAGGCGCCCATAAGGGGAAGATTCTTTTAAGGTTGAATCCTCTTCACGTTGGTAGATTATTGTATTGTTAGTATTTGTAATTATTATAAGGAAGGTGTGGGGCTCGTTGTGAAGGATCCATAACCTAACCTAACCTTCCATGACGCAGATCAAGATCTTTCAAAGGACCAGCTTTATATTTTCCGTTTATTCATTCAAATTGATCGTCATTGGTAGCAGGAAGTGTTGATCAAAACCCTAAATCCCAAGGAGAACGAAGAACACAGAAGAGATTCTTTCAGGGAAGTCGTAGGTCCAGTCCGAATCGCCTAACACGTACATCATTATCCCAGCAACTACAGTCCCTATAATAATCTGTTGGGAAGAAGTCGACTAACATCATTATCCCAACTAGTTCCTATAATCTCTAGTTGGGATAATGAACTTCTCTAGAAGAACTTCTCTAGAAGAACTTCTCTAACAGATACAGGCAAGGAAGACACTACGCCTCTGCCGCAATTGGATCCACAGAGTAGTAGTATTGCTGCGTTGTTACAAGGAGACCTGGTGACTTCGCAGGTGGAGGACAGAAACGTGGTTCCCCTCACGTGTCCAGCAACGGGACAGTTGCCGTGTCTGTGGGTTTATGCATTTCGACATTTTTGCATTTCTACAGCTAATGCTATAATGCTATAATGCTTGCGACATTGCACAGCTAATGCTATAATGCCATAATTCTGTTAATGTTAATGCTTCTTGTTTCTAAAATGCTATAATGCTTGCTTCATCTTGTTTCTAGTACTGAGTACTACTACTTACTCCTATCAACATCGATGGACTCCGAGCCTCCCATCGTTTTCCAGAAGGAAAAGGGTCAAGGATGTCCTGAAGAACGTAATTCCGTAACCTCTAATGGGTGCAAACTCACGGCTTGCGAGTAAGACCACCATTGGAGAGAGCGGAGAAGGCGAAGTTTTACCCTTTCGAATGGGCCTATCTGAAGGATGAAGGTGGAGGTTAAGAAGACGTGATGGTAGAGGATGTTAGATTTTTGGGGTCATGTCTAGTAGTTTCTGACTTGACAAGTATATTAGGAACGAGTCATGCCCAAAGAACGAGTCATGTCCAAAGAACGAGTCATGTTCATTCATAGTCGAACAAGGACAAGTGAATGAATTTTTGTAACGCGGCTAGGAGTCATGTTCATTCATAGTCGAACAAGGACAAGTGAATGAATCTTTGAGCAAACGCCATTACAAAAGACTATGATGCATAGTCAGTCTTGTTAGAAGGACCACTCTAATAAATCCCAGGAGACGCTCTGATAGAAGCACCCTTTCCGACTGTTAGGGAAGTGGAATCGTTTTATTCGACGCTAGGGCCAACTCCTGCTGCGCTGATAGCAGCGCCAAGTGCGCATGCGAACAATGGTGTAATTCAGAGTTACGAGTGAAAACGATGATTGTGAAGTAGTGTCTCATTTTCGGTTTTGAATTCGCAAACTAATCGTGCATTGCTCTTTGTTGCTAGAAAGGAGAGGAAGATACTAGCTTGTGTAGTATAGTCAGAAGCAACTTCTAAGAAAAAACTTCGCACCAAAAAGCCTCAACGAATCAGCGGGTCTTGCAGGCAGGCACCGAGTCCTTTATTGAATTGGTATAGGAGTTTTTATACAAAAATCCGGACGATTGCAAGAAGAAGTAGTAGTGAAGTAGTCTTCTATACCCCTGGAGTGGGTACATTCATTCACTCATTCACTCACTCATGCTATCGTGATATTATGTCTAGTAACACGACGTAGTTGGTGATTCTACTTCATCGATCGGCTAACTTTCCCCCACCCCCATCAGGACGACACCATGGTCCACGAGTCAACACGTGGTTCGGGTGAATCTGACCCTTCTATTCTGGCCGCGGGATGCATAGGTGAGGTCGATATGTCTCTAGCATGGGATGGTGCCTGCCGGAAAGCCCTCAACCATGAAGACGCCAAGAATGAGATGGATGACAGTCAAATAAAAGACATCTTAGACGAGTTGGCTTTTATTAAGGCTTGAAAGTTGGCCTATCATCTAAATTCTAAGAGCATGCATCTCTATGGTTTCTCCAAGTAGGAAAGCCATAGATATGCGACCTACTAGAGGGGGGCCAACTTTCAACCCCTAATTTTAGAGCAGGGCCGACTGGGATGGTATGAGTGAAGGATGAATTTGGAAGATTGAATTTGGAAGATTGAACTAAGAATTTGGAAGATTGAACTAAGTTCATCATCAAGTGGAATTGTTCAGAACCTCAACTAAGGTTGTGCCTTAGTTGTTGTACAGAGGCTATTGCAATATAGTTCTCTCCGATAGTCGTAGTTTTCGGCCGTTGTGATACGGTTTTCTTGCTCCCCCGGTATGTAAGTTTTTAAATGAGGTTGTTTAGGTAGTTGAATGGGAGGCAGCATGTAGTCCTATGGAAAAAAAAAACTAAGCATTCTGACGTGATCGAGGTCCCTGAACTTGAACCTCAACTAAGACCAGGACTTCTTACAAGTGCTACTCTGGTATACTATAGGTATCCGCCAGCAAATCACGACTATTATTGCAACTCATCTTCCCACATGATTCCTGTTTGACCCTCAAGTTAGGCCTCAAACTCAAAAAATCAAGAAGTAGTTTCCTCTCGCCTCTCTTCATACTCAACCGGTTGCGCGCGGCTTCTGACGGAAAACGAGTTTGAGTGTACAGACGACGTTAAACCCCATCGAGCAAGATCTTACCTAGAAAAATTGATGACTGTGAGCGGCATTTATTTTGCAGCGTTTTCGTTTGGTCGCGAAGACGATGCGGTGAAATCGAGCTTTCTCTATGATCAGTAGATTCCTTTAGAGCCTTAGTAAACTACTTTCTACAACTGCTAGAGTGTACAATTTTGTGGACTCAGTAGATTGGTTTAGAGCCTTCTTAGTAAACTACTTTCTAGTTAGTGGTTCAAGTTGATCTCCTAAGTATGCAAAGAACTAGTGGCTGTTCCTTTCTACTGCTAGAGTGTAAAATTTTGTGGACTACAACTTTTACGTAAAGTGTAGGGGAACAACAAGAAAAGCTAAATTAAATATTCACATAGTGATAAATACTGCATCACCTCTAGTTAGACAAATTCATTCATTAACTTTGGTATTTGAGTATAACTATCTACTTTCATGAAGATGTTATGATCTTTTTCTAATCTCACGAGCACGCACAAGCATTTTCGACCGGAGCCGCTAGTAAATCCAGAAGAAATGCTGGCCAAAAACACCTAGAGGGTGAGAGAATCGAGATGGATATTGATGCTTCTGGTATCGTCAGGGAAGAAGTGGACGGTGCAACTCTGGCACAACTAGAAGCAACTTCCACTTCTGCAACTATGAAGGACACCTCCACTGTTCCACCTGTTGTAGGGCAGAAAGTACCAGCATCTTCATCCCTCCAGAGAACATCCCTCCAGAGAACCTCAAGAAGGCTAGGAAAAGAAGCCCAGAAGCGGGAACTCGATGACGATGTAGCTGACGACGGAAACGATGCCGTCATATTATGACAAGATCTGCTTTGCTATAATATAAAGTTCTCTTAACTCTGTACCTGTAACACTGTAACTCTGTACCTGTAAAAATACTGTACAATAACAACGTATCTGTACTCTGTACCTGTAAAAATATTGTACAATAAAGATAACTACATATCATGATCTGTACTCACATACATTTGCAAAATGGATTTTCAAATCCCTTCTTCCTCTCCAAAGAATGGGAAGCATCATGGTGGAGATTCATCGCTAATGCAGCAAGGGAGCGAAGAGAATCAGGGGGAGGAGGACGATGTGGATGCCATCGTAGGAGGAGAAAAGAAGTCTATACCCGCTAAAGCAGGCAGTGCCGCGTTGCTAATCCTAGATGGCATTCTGGTGGAGGATTCCGATATAGCTATCATAGACGGCTTAGCGAATCCGGGATTTAAATACCAGGTATCAACACTCACATTGTTGAGCGATGTTGTCGCTTCGATAGAGACCTTGTTGTAGAGATTGTTGACACCTCTTGATTTTCTCCGAAGAGATTCTGCTTTGAATACCACGTGCTCTGTTGACACCTTATCTCTTGATTTTCTCCGAAGAGATTCTGCTTTGAATACCACGTGCTCTGTTGACACCTTATCTCTTGATTTTCTCCGAAGAGATTCTGCTTTGAATACCACGTGCTCAAGAATTAAAAACTTAGTTTGTTCTATAATTCCACAATTCCGCTCAAAGCACTAATTAGAACAACCGGTTAGTTTTTACCTCTAGAGACTTAGCCCTTCCAACAATCTATAACTCCACAACAACGACCTCAAAACTACAGGGTCGCGAAGTGAACCTTGGGACACCGCATAATCGTGGCTTCTTTTACGTCGTGTGGCCGAAATCCGATAGCGATGAATGGCTTGCAGCGTGTCTAAGAGGAGGAAGGTTACGTCAAGGAAAAGGTTCTTTCGTCATTCTTATCATGAAAAGGAACTAAGAACGTCATTTTCATAACCGAGACGTTCGTAGTTCCTTTTTCATCAGCGTGGATACGTTAACTATCAGTCACGACACTCCTTTCTCATCATGACTTACAGCGTGGATACGTTAACTATCAGTCACGACACTGACTTAGTTCCTTTCTCATCATGGCTTACAGCGTGGATACGTTAACTATCAGTCACGACACTGACTTCCCCATCATGCCTTGGAGTAAATTTCTTTCTTCTACTCCACCATGCCTTATACTACATCACATCAAACATTACAAAATTTCTCCTACCTCATCTAATTCTAATGACCAATATTCGAATTTATTCTTCACTTCTAACCCCCAACATCGCTCGTCTCGTGACCGAGTACCACAAAGTGGTTGCGAACAGAGGTTCGTGGAGATTGCCGCCGATCTCTACTTTGCGGCTGCAACTCCCACCACGCATTATGCGGGACGTGAGCGCGGTAGCAGCAGTGTTCCGAGGCCTACTAGAGGGCTTCGCGGGATATCCGCAGGACCTGTCGGTGGTGCCGCCAGCCAGAATAGAATGGTGGAGAGGAGATTTTCAGTTATGTGCTTTGGATTTGATGAACAGAATAGAATGGTGGAGAGGAGATTTTCAATTATGTGGTTTGGATTTGAGGAAAGCTCCTTTTTAGTAATGATGCGTGTGAGGAGATTTTCAATTATGTGCTTTGGATTTGAGGAAAGCTCTTTTAATTAGTAGCGATGCATGTAAGAATGGGGGAGAGAGTCTAGTCTACTTGTCTGCTAGCTCTTCTTGTATAATACAGACCGCAAACTTCTACTCCTACTTTTGAAGACCTAGACGCATCTTCTAATGTCCTCAACCACACAAGCAGACTTCGTGGCACACTGCACAGAGGCACTGGCCCAAGCCATGCGAGGAGGCACTAGAAGCGGCAGTTTCCTTGGCGGAAATTCGTTCCTGGACCAGGATGGAGAACATAGTAGGCCTGAGGACGATAAGGTGGAGGACTATCATCAAAGGATCGAGGACCTGTCCGACTACAATGACGAGGAGCATGATGCAGATAGACCGATTCACCTCTGACCTCCTTCAAATTATTTAGGAACATTCCTTCATAAGTTCGTGCATATATTTTTTGAGCTTATGGTGCTATCATGGAAAAAAGTTATTGAGCTTATGCTCCTTTTCTACGCATGAGGTCAGGGGTTCCGGGCGGTCTTCATTATGAACATTTCTTCTATCATGAAATAAAGGTGGTTTTGTCTAGCCATGAAAGCAAGCCTACTTCAATATCGATGATACCATCCCACGACCTTGTCTGATCCCTTTTAATCTTTCATCGCTGCACACAATGCTTTTCAAAGAACAAGCTACCATAATGATCACACCTTTCTTCCTTGCAAAAACTGACGACACCGAGTCAACAAAACCCTTTTGAAATTTTTGTAATCCTCACATCGGACGACGGACATACTCCTGAAATCAAAGACGACTAACACTCTGGAAACAAAGAGAATGAGAATAAGTACACATGATGGTGCGTGGACATATTCCTAGAATCTATGCCCGTCCATTGGATAGAATTTTTGTGTCGATCTTTCAGAGGAAAAGACAAGGTGCCGACGATTTGAAAGAGGAATTCAATAGAGTGTTCTAGCAATCCTACTGTACTGGCGGCTGTACGATACGAATCTGGTGATGCGAATTCTATTTCGACGTTGTGATGAATCTTAGGAACCTTTCCAGCGATCATAGAAGTTGTCAACATGACTGTTTTGTACTAGTGCACGGTCGATCATGAAGAACGATCACGGACTTTACTCTTTGGTACTCGGGCTGTGTCATAAACATCATTCGAATAAGTAAGGTGGACTGATATTCTGCAATGTCTATATCATCTTTCTCTATCACGAATCGAATGAGCAGACAGGCAGAACGAACTAGACTGAGTGAGTATTTGAGGTGGGAGTTCGTAGCAACGCAAAAGGCATGACAATGACATCACTAAACTGTTGATATTCTATTCTTTGATCATGATCTAGGTTTATCAAAAACAAAGAATGCCGGATTCCAAAGGTGTTATCCGTGGGGCGCTGAAGCTCAAAGGCGAGCCCCTACAGGATGCCAGCAAGAAGAAAAAGAAGAAGAGCAAGAAGGAAGATGGAGGTACTATTGGGAAGTCATCTTCCCTCACTTCAAGCGCTTCCTCTTGCTCCAATATGGACGTCGCCCGACCAGCCAAGAACACCCACAACCCCCACCTAAACGGTTCTGCAAACGACGACGACGATGATGACATTCTCAATGGAGGAGCTAAAAACCAAGGACAAGGACAAGCAGGTTCATCATCTTCTTCTTCGAGTACCCAAGTCTTGTTGCCGCAAAGCAGATTGACGGAGTCTCAGAAGAGTTTCCTGATCGCTCACGAAAAGCGCCAAGCGGAAGCGGTTGAGAAAAGTGTCAAGCTAACCCATCGTGAGAAAATGGAGCGCTTCAATCGGCATTGCGCAGCACTGAGTGAGCACTTTGATATCCCGAGAGTCGGACCGGGCTGAGGTTTACCCAGCTCTTTGGACTACCTTGGTGTAGTCCTCCTTGTATGGATCGTATGCACGACCTGGTCGTGGGAAATTTCACACAAATTCTTCTTGGTTTCCTAACAAAAAAAAGTACTGGATGAACAACACAGACCAGGACAACAATGAACACAGACAAAGACATTGAAAGTGGTTGTTGTGGTCAGACTCTTAATTCTTGTTCTGACCCTTTGATTCTTTCAGTTTGCGGAGGAAACACCTCTTACAAACACCTCACAGACGTCTCCAGGAAATGCGCTGCCCCAATGAAGACCTCATGGTGATACCTAAAAGCAACGAAACTACTTAGTTAGGGCCTGTAGTTCTGGCGATTGCTCAACAGAGGATCAGGTGTTCGCCTAACAGTTAGAAGAGTTGATCAGCGACAGCACTGGCGATTATGAAAATAGACGACTTCGGGGTAAGAAAATGAGTCAGACATTGCTGTCCTGGTTGTTCCGTGTTCATCAGCGTCGGGAAGCTTGGTTGGCGAAGATAGATACTTAAAGAGAGAGGGAGAGCGTCACAAAATGGCCCGTGAAACGTAAAATCTGAAAACAACAGATATGCGAGACTGGAGTAAATAGTAGTGGCAATGACGATCTACGTGATTGCAATTTAGTCGCTCAATTTCAGTAGAATAGCTGTCAGGAAAGCGTTCCTGTAGTAAAGTCAAACATCGATGATGAAAAAAATGTAGCTCCTGCGCAAGAAGAGACGCAAGATGGGTAAAGACAGCGGCGTGATAAAGGGGCGTCTCAAGCTCAAAGGCGAACCCCTCCAAGACAAATCCAAGAAAAAGAAGAAGGAGAAGCATGGAGGTAGTAGCAGTCTTTCACGATGTTGTTTTTTGTTTAGGTTTTGAAGATTATTAGACAAGGTTTTAAGTATGAATATGACTAATTCTAATCAGCCTAAAAAGGATATGAGCTTCCGTGATTCGATTTCTTGTCTCGGAACCTGTCAACAATCAATTTCAATGTCTCACTCTCCACCCCTAACTACAGGTAGCAGCGCATCATCCAAAGGTTCAAGCTCCTCGATCGTGGCTAACGCTTTACCACAAGCTGCCGCAAGCTCGAGTTCGTCTAGTGCTATAGCTATGGCTGCGTCTACTAGTGCGATCGAAGCGAAGGATGAAGAAGGCGAGTCAAAGCTTCTACCGCAGTCGAGGTTGACTGAGTCGCAAAAAAGTTTCCTTATTGCACAGGAAAAAAGGGCGGCGGAGAAGATTGAGAAAAGTTATGAAGAATGATGTTTTTGCGTTGATGATCGTTGGTTATCTTGTAGTTATCAATGGATTTATCATGTGAAAAGTCTCTAACATCCCGTCAAGTTAACGCACCAAGAAAAGGTGGCTCGATACAACAGGCACTTGTCGGCGCTTTCCGAGCATTTCGATATTCCCAGGGTTGGTCCCGGTTAAGCGGATGATGTACGCAGGACAACGATTATTTGAGATGAACACAGCCATAATATTGTCGACTATACAACACATGTGAACATGAAAGTACAAATGCTTGTATCAGTGCTGGTACGTGCACAGAATATCACCAGCGCCATCAGATATTGATAAACTGAAACATCAACCCAGAGAACTCAAGTTGCTCTTGTAGAGACACAGCATAAGCGCGCCACGAACCTCACAATGTCATGCGCAATCTTTCTTTGCAAGTTTTTGAATAGCACCATACTTGTCATAGTACATCAATAATCGATATGGACGACCCCATTTTTCATGCAGACAGAAGATTTGACATTGATTTCGATGTTGAAATATCAAGTACATCACGATATTTTCATCGGGTATTGACCTTCGGAAACGTGTTCGCTGTGAGAAAGAGAATGGGATTGGAGAGTCGACGATCTGAGAGAATCTAACGTGCTCTTTGATATCCAGCTACTATTCCACAGCGATGTACCTCAAAGAGTATTCGGTGGATTTCTCTTTGGATATTCTCTGTCGGTTTAACCGGCAGTCATAACATTCATCGGCTTGAAAGTTGAGGGAGTGAATTCCAATCTCTTACCCAGGTCGCGAACTGCTTGCACACACGACCTCTTTCGTCCCCCAAGAATACCATTCTTAATAACGCTTTCGTGTTTGTTTGAAGATTTGTCTCACATCCATGTTGAAAAATGAACTCGAAATGCTTATTTTCAACCTCTGCTCACACGACCTCTTGACTTCATAATATCCAGCTACTTCTATAGTTGCAGTTGCCAATAGTAGATTGAACCAACTTACTTGACATCAGGAGGAAGTGAAGAAGACTATAACAAGTGAGTGGGTAGTACATCAATCAAATCAATCGGCATGCCGGGTAAGCAGACCACCATCTTAGTCGGCCCACCTGGGTCCGGCAAGAGTACGATCGCACCCTACCTCAGCTCCATGTTCGACCGACCACTGTTGACCCTTGACGGTCTTATCGCACAAGAGATCAGTCGGGGAACCGAAAGTTAAGGCTACCGACAACGCATAAAGATCCACCTTAATGTAGTCGTCCTTGGCTTCTTTTCTAAGGGGAAAAAGAAGCGTCCTCCAAGGATATTATGGCTCTCACAAGGAAGATGCGACGGGGTAGATATAGCTCCTCTAAGAAAGCGGCAAATATCTGGCATTATGCCAGAAAGAAGGCAGGACTCCAGATGATATCACGCTTTTGAGCCTATTCAAAGCAGAGATGGAAGCGAGCTGTCCGTTGGGATGTTTTATGTGCGATTTTCCGCGTACGCTGAGTCAAGCGCAGGCGTTGGATAGGTACAACCCGAGTTTCTATCCGGGAACTATAGTTTTTGTCCTATCTTCTATTTCACAGGAGATACACTATCCTGAATACAACTATCCTGAATACAACAATGTAACTGTAATACCATCTATGGTTGAAAGAGAAATCCGTAGGGACTTACATAGTACTATCAACTATGGTTCTTGAAAGAGAAATCCGTAGGAACTTGCATAGGCACTATGCACATTTCGCTTTCGACCTCTTACCTCTCACGACATACACTGTCATCGCGAATGGATCACATCATCACGACTGTCATCGCGAATGGATCACATCAAACCCAAACTGTTGACATCAAAAAATTGAAACACCAACAATGATCAGATACCTCATCAAAACCGGCAACCGTGAATACCTGAAACTCTACGAGTTAAGCGCCTCCGATTCCTTTTGCGAAGGCCGAGTGAGGTCAAGATACATTCATCCTGGGTCTGGGCGTATCTACAATAGCGTGAGCTTTCCGCCAAAGGAAGAAGGAAAGGATGACGAGACAGGAGAAGATTATGGAAGGCGGTCTTGTTTAGCTCTAGAGAATAAGAAGTTCTTAGTACTAGTACGTAGCTCCTTTAATACCATGCGTTAGTAGTTCTGAGTGATATGTGAACAGGCCAACGCCTAAGCCACTAAGCCAACTGCGCAGTTTGTGGCTTAGGCGTTGGCCTGTCCAGTTATCACGTAGCTCCTTTAAGACCATGCGTTGGAATTCCGTGCGTTTTTTCCAGGTGACTTTCACTACTTAAAAATACGTAATGTCCTCCGTGCGTAAGTACGTAAAAATGTCCTCCGAGGACTTTCCCCTTTCCGATCTTTCATACTCACCTGATCCAACTGGAGAAGGATCATCGATTACGGTTTCCGAAGGAGGTCTTCATCTATCACCTAAGCTGTGAGCCACAACTCAAGCATTTTGGGGCATCGGCCCGTATCGATTGCTTGAAAGCAGGCGGAGAGGAGAAGACGGTGGAGGATATGGTACTATGAGGAGTTGTTTAGATCTCGTTATGAGTTTTTTTTCTTCTTCACAATTTCAACATGGTCTTGTGAATGCAAAGATCACGAATTATTTGTAGTAGATCGCCAGTGGTCTTTCTAGCTTTTATCACTACCCAACTGACAGGGGTTCACTTTTACGCACTACAACAGGTAACGGAAATAGCCCACAACCTATTAAGTTCGACCTTTGCACGTCGACTTACGTTTGCGGAGAGGAACGCAGCTGCTATTGGCGCGGCGCCGCCTGAAGCTACCAATGCTAAGGACGCTGAAACGAGGGTCTACGACCGAGGTGACCACCTAGAGCGAAAAGCTCCGGTGTTGGAGGTGAAGACGAAGCATGGAGGAGACTTTGCACCGACTGCGTATCATACGGTGAACTAGGTTCCTGAAATGGACAGTGAATTATTGATGAAATTAGTAGCGTGCAGAAGAATACCTCCATGAAAGCTATGTCATTCTTAATTCAAAGTACACAGTCGTGTTGTGACTGTTGCTGTAGAAAAGCGTGTTGTAACAATGACGCCAAAATTAACTATTTCTCATCACATCAATATCTAGAGGATATTTCCTATACGCTGCATCCTAAATACATAAAAGACAACAGAAGATTGTAGTGCAGACCTCGCAAAGGAAAGCTGTCAAACTACCACCTCGCAAAGGAAAAATCTATTCTTCTTTCTCGTAGTTCAAAGGATATTCACGCATAAAGCCCCATTCTAGCACGTAGCAAGAAATGACAGGTTGAACTACACGACCCAGACCTGGGCAAGAACATGGATTCGGACCTATTGTTGGGACCTATTGCAAACCGACTACATTTAGTACTGTGATTGTTGGGACCTATTGTAATCCGACTACATTTAGTACTGTGATTGGCAAGCTTTTTCAGCCTCTGCTTGCATATGGCCTTTGCGAGGTCTTTCAGACGTGTTTTTTGATAGAATCTGCCTACGTACAGCGAAAAGGATTAAGATCCTCATCTCGGAGATTGATGCATCAATTTCAAAAAGAGGCTTCGGTACGTAAGGTCTATGAGCGAGAGAAATATCAGCTGCATGTGGTGCGGTCAGTGTAGTTGATGTGATCATGGAATCTAATGTTTTCGGTATTATCTTTGTGCTAATGCGTGAGGAGAGCGAACGATCTTTTTGCTTGTCAGGTGCAGAGAAGATCGGCATCAAATGATCGTATTGGCAGCTCTAAACTGTCTGTTTATCTAGTGTATCAGAGTTTTTTCGGTACTTTGTTTTGTTTACTTACCTTTCCTTCTACCTGCTGTAGTTGCTCCACGTACAGTAAGATCATCGCAAAATCAAGGACAACATCTTTCACAGGGAAAATGAAAGCTTTCACGCTAGAAAACACCCCTTTTACGTCCACTTCCTGAGTTTCGGCATTCAAGTCTAGAAACTTATATTCGCTGTCCTGATTCGTGAGCGGGTATGTTATCAGTAAAATCAGTCTTCTTGATGGCAGCAGTGACTCTCTGCAGGTGAAATTCATACCCTGCCGTAGTTGTTGTACAACATTTTTCGTGGTTACTAACCAATACTTCTTGTACACATCTTTACTACAAGAACGACTTCGGCTGTACTATTGGATGGAATCGTACAATTAGGAAATTTATGTATGAACAGTAAGTATGTAACCAAGTACTACTACTGGCAAATAACAACTGATAGACATCAACCTCAATCGTTCATTGATAGGAGAATACAGCCTTCAGGTAGTGTCTTTTCAACTTTAGTTTCTGAGATAACAACAGGAGTCGCATCTAGTCCACCTGCATTAGTGTATTCCCCGGCTAGTAGAAGACTTACTTGAATTCTTGGGCCGACTGACAACAGAACATTTACACAAGCCTCTGTATGGTGCTCCTTCATCTCCTTTAGAAGTCGCCGTACTCCAACTAGAATAACTCTTTGTTCTATCTAGATCTAAATGTTAATCAGCATTTTTTCTCTCAAGCTAACATAAGCACCACATCAAGCGTACCGTTCAAGATCTATCTTCGTGTATCACCCTGTCCTTCACCGAAACGCGACCACTGCAAATTCAGCGCCCCCAAGACCTTGAACAACTTTGTCTACTTCGCGAACCAGCACCAACTCAACGGCCACAAATCGAACAAAGCGTGACCACAACATCTCCACCTTGTACCCCGCAGAACACCACCACCACCACCACCAATTCTGGCTGCACATATTCACCCGAGGAGGCAGGTCAAACTGTGGACGGTGAATCAAATCCTATCCTATCCTAGGAACGGAAAACGGCAAGATGTCAGGTGGCGGCCAGCTACAGATGGGACAAGTGTTCCCTGACTTTATGTGCGATACCACTCATGGCCCCTCTACCATGCATGATTTGTTGCGGCAGAGGGGAGGATACTGGACGATCCTGATCTCGCATCCAAAAAGCTTCACGAGCGTTTGTACTATGCTTCACGAGCGTTTGCACTATGAAGCCCTATTATCTTTCTGAGTGTTAGTTTGTTCTATTGTTCATGTCGTTAATAGAGGATATATTGCTATCATGTTGCGAGCACTACGACCGTATCACGCCGATAAGATTCATCACGAAGTCTACTGCTTCGGCGATCGGATAAGAAGATTCAAAAACAAAATCTTCGTGACCACAGGCACTAGCGAAATTGGTACCGCAGCAGCATGGTTTTCTTTCAATACTAAAAAATGACAGGCACGACCGAAATCGGTACCGCGGTTGCATGGATGGGCGAGTTTGAGAAACGCAATTGTCAAATCATCGGTCTTAGTTGCGATCCGGTAGCGGAGTCGTTGGCTTGGGCTGGTGACGTAATGCATTTGTCTAAAATCTACAGACAAAACCTGGATCAACCCGATATTCAAAAACTGCTGAAGGTTAGGGCCGCTAATGACCGTAAGTTTTATATATAAGTACCCGATATTCATTTAAACTGATGAAGGTGAAGGCTAACGTTAACGACCGTAAGAATTATATTTTATGACATTTAATAACTTGCTATACACTTATTTCAAACGGAAAAGGTGCAGCCTGAGCCTCGAGGATCTGTTAGATGGAAAATGCAACATCTCATCTTGAGAAGATTCATCTTGAGAGAGGGCACGTAGGTAAAGGAGTAGGTAAGAGGAAAAGACAAGTACTACGAAGATGCTCTTCAAGATGATTTTACAGGTAACTACGTAGGCTCTAAGAAGGAAAGTGATGCTCCTACTAGCTCTACTGGTAGTTCTGCAGATGGTGGGAGTCCTGTGACGTTGCTAACTGCGGAGTCACCTGGTGGATCGAAGACAAAGGCTCCTGGTGCGGACGACTTTTTAAGGGTCTTGGAAATTCATCCTCAGAGGCATTTTGGAAACGTTATCAAGAGGAAGACGTTTTCAAGAAGATACGCTTCAAGATGAATTTGAATATAGGGAAGAAGTGCTTACTAATTTGTGATCCACTGAGTAGTTCCGGTGATAGTGATCCTTGCTTTGGATGTGGGAAGAAGGAGAAAAATTATGAAGAAAGCTCTACTAGAAGAAAGCTCGACTACTAGAAGAAAGCTGTACTAGATCTAGAAGAAAGGTCTGCTTCTAGATGAAGAAAGTTCTACTAGATCTAGAAGAAACCTCTACTAGATGTAGAAGAAAGCTCTACTAGAAGAAAGTTCTACTACTAGAAGATTGTACTATAAAAGAGGCAGTTTTATAACAAAATCTTTTGCTAACTAGATAGCTGCTGTTTAAGCGTCGAACCACATATCTTCTAAGAACAGTCGGATTCTGGATCCGGATCGCATGCAAATAAGCCTGTTGGTGAAACCAAGACCAAGGAGGAACAGCGACAGGTTGCAACCAAAAAAGAAGAAATGAGCACTACTACTACAACAAATGCTTCGACCGGAACCGGATCAAAGGACATCAAGGATGCCGAGGTAGATACATCAGCAAAGGGAGTGCTCTCAGCAGCTGTTCTTGTCGAGAATGTCAACAGAGCCTCTTCTTCTACCACTAAAGAAGACAAGAATAATATTAACAAGCAAGAAGAGAAAGATGAGACGATTATGGAGATGAAGGATGCTGCTGGTGTCGTAGAGAAGAAAGATAAAGATGTTGTCCATGATGTTGAGAAAAGTAAGATGTCAAATGCAAGTAGCACTACATCAACCTGCACCAACACCGCTGCATGTAAGGTTGAGAACCACAAGGCTAGCGATAATGGAAACAACAAGAATAAGACCCCTGCAGCCAAGTCCGATGCTGTCGTAACGTTACCAGCTATCGCGACGGATGCGAGCAAGTCTGCCAGTGCCCCGGCGGAAGTCGCAGCATCGTCAGCATCAGTTTTATGTGCATAGTCGATTCAAAGTGATAAATCAATACGAAGAACCTCATGATTTGTCAAATATACAGGTCAATCAAAAAGGAGGTTTCATGATAGGGTTTCATCATTCATACGATCCAGAAGCGAACGATATGAAGCACGAGGTCACGTCGCCGCCTGGTGTCAAGTCGTCGCCAAGCTTCCAAGGGCGCCTTGCCCGCGCAGCCTCGCCAGAAGTCTCTCCCGGTGCCTTGGCATCTCCAAGAGTCGCAACAGACAAGAAAGACTCGAACTCGGTGAAGGACAAGAACGACGCGTCTCCTGAGAAAAATCTAAAAATGCGTGATGACATGGAGGTCTCCCAGGCTTCAAAAATCTACAAAACGAGGGAAATTCCGCAGGTTCTAGTTTCTTCATTTTTTTTTAGGTGTACTAGGCGCATCAAGCTGATGTTTTTCTTAGTTTTTGTCCTATGTAATATCACAACTAACGGCAAAATATTTTCATTCAAAATTAATCATATTCATATTCTTCTTTCATCATGATCTTGATCTCCCAGGACGATGAAAATGGCGTGACTCCTAGAAATCGTTCTTTTACGCTAGAAGAAGCCATGCGTGCCAGAGGGATCTCAGTTCCTCAAGTCCTGCCTTTTTTAAGGCTTCCCCTGATCCATCTCCGGAAGCATCTCGAAGCTGTCCCGTAATGGAAAAACAGATCCGAGATGAGTTGCAAGATGGATTGGCGTGAGCTCCAACTCTTCCGATCATCTGCGACGAGAGTCGTAGAGTTTCGATACAACTCGGAATCTTGGACCCAGACTCGGTTTATGCGTTGCACGTAGTCGACCTATCTTTTGAGATGCCATCTTTTCGCTTGTTCCAAGTCCTGGAACAAGCTAAACGATGCCCTTCTGAAAGATGGGCTGCCGGTTGTGCCTCTAATCAGTATGCGTAACTGGCTCGCCTCTGTTAAGGCCTCGACTACCTGAAGATCATTTCGTACTTACAGGGTAGCACGCACTACTTGTAAAGGCGTCGACTACCTGAAGATCATCTCGTACTCACAGGGTAGAGCGCACTACCAATCCCACTGTAAACTACTAATCCCACTATTGGTACTTAAAAGTGAAATGCTTCAACCTTTAACTGGAGCAAGACTTTCGCATGAGAAAGGAGGAAAAGGGGCACCATCAACAAGATTCTCCGCAAGAAGCATTCTATTTGAAGACAAGAAGCTATAAGATCTTCTAAAAGCATGACTCTATTTGGAGAATATTTGCTATTTGATATCTTCTATTTTCTAGCTAGATTAGCGGGTGGAAATCGTCAGGGAAATCCTAGGCAGATTGCCGAATAGATTCACGCCGACCCCTTCTATCTTCTATGTATTTGATATAATTCCCCGAGCCAACTCCGCTAACTATGGCAGCCCGCTCTGTTTTCCTGATTGATCCTGAGTTTAGGCTCGCGACGATGTTCATGTATCCCTGGCGCGTGGGAAGAAGTTTCAAAGAGATCATCCGGGTACTCGATGCATTGCAGGTACTTATTTCTATTCAAATTTCTTAGTCATGAAGCTGCTGCAGTAGATTGGAGCTCTGGCTCTAGTTGGCATACTCTTTTGTTTGAGAAAGTGTGAAGATTTTGGTCTTCGTCGGTTGCAGACGTTATTTCTTAATGAAGAGGCTAGACTACAGGTAAAAGATGCCTTACAGCTACTAAAAGATGCATCAAACAAATTCAAATCTTACGAATAACCCCTACTGCTTCACCTTTTGTTCTAGACCACCTCAACAGTGAGTACACACCGGAACAACCAGGTTGTTCGTAAAAGTCGTAATATTATTGGCACCCCAGCTGGCTGGGAGACGACAAGTCAATTTTGTGTCGACGATAGTGCGGTTGACATCGTGGGTAAGGAACAGATCAATTTGATCGATGTGCCCAGTGGCCGCTCGTACATGAAATACTTATGAGAAGGACTAGTTGTGGTGGAGTACAGGGTAGGATGAAGCAGTAACCTAAGCGCTAGTAACACTGAATAAAAGCACTAGGTACATCAATCAATTAGTACTGGCCAACTGCTTAATGATTACTATAATCACCGTATACTGTCGAGTCGTGGACCTCCCGTCTCCTTTCCGTTAGTCTCCATCCATCCGGTTAGTTTTTTCCTCGTAGTAAACCTTCGTTTTTTTTTCCCCACTGACTCTAATCACGACCTAATTGCACCGATCCCCTTTCATTGTAGTTCATCTCCCCATTGTTCTAATCTCTATCTACTCTCCCAGTGACTCGTTAGTCTGCTTCTCACCCCGCTCTCCCCAATCTAATCTCTATCCACCCCTCTTCCGCGCAACCGATTTATGAGTCTGCCAAACAGTTGAAGGCTGACGTGGGCAACCCTTTTGCATATGGCGGTCCATGCGGCGGCGAAATTCAAACCGAGTATGCCCGAAAGCACGACATGGATCAGACTTTGTAACGGAAACGGTCGTAAGGATGATCACATAATGTAAAATAAGATCATGATATGGAGATATGGATAGAAGGTATGGAGATATGGATACCAGGTATTTATGTGCGACAGCACTGTGGAGGATTATACTTACGACTGCACTGTAACGAAAACTGTAAGGAGGACGAACAAGATAACGTGAGGAAAGAAGACACAAGACAACTACCTGCTAATTAAACTCTTCTATACCTCTTGAATGGGTTCTGCACTACTATACAACATTTTATACTTCGTAAGCATTGGCGGGGTCTTGTCGACGAATGAAGGTCGACGAATTTAAGAGAGCTTTCAGAAGTGGCCATCATAGGAAACGAGAACGAGAAGTGTCACCATATTATCTGTTCATTATTATCAGAATGTATAGGAAGTTGGTACGGAAGTTGATGCTGGCCGCATGACTCTTAGTTAGGTAGTTTTATTACCCGCATTTTGTTCTGCTAGTGGTAAGTGGAATAGACGTGTGAAAATGTTGGGCTGTATCTTATTAGAACAGAGTCGTGTAGGAAATGTGTTAGTCAGTAAAAATGCACTAGCGTACTCCGTTGTAATTTGGAATAAGTTTTCCATTCCTATAGGTTTAGGTGCTTTCCATGTCGTAATGTATAAGTCGTGGTAATGTAAATAGCAGTACTTCTGTGCGATCAAGCACAAGTGAAAAATAACTAAATTCATGTATATGTTGTGTACAGCAGTAGTGCAAAGTGTAGTTGACGTTTCTAACTAGATTGATATGGTCGGGCTTATGATTGGTCTCCCTACTAGCGTAAACAGAGTACACAGATAATATTCATATTCTTATTTTGTATGTTGATTGATATAGAAGAATTTGGCGTGTTTATGTCACGAGTTTTGAACCAACAATAAACTTATTTGTAGTAATATACTTACAATTACATAGACTTCAGGGGACTACAACTACGATCAGGCATATGATAGATTAGCAAAGATTATCGATGTCACCCACAAAAAACCTACTACCAGCGAGAACTACATTATCAACCATGTCGTATACCAGAAGGAAACACGATGACCAGTGCCGCGTCCAGGGCATTCATTCAAATGGCCTTCGATTTGAGCCAGCTACCTTTCGAGATATCAGTATCCTCAAGGTTTGACCTTCTGATAGAAAAACTGAATTTTCGAGTTCGAGTTTTTCTTCAATAGAAAAACGAGAAATTGAGAGTTCGAGTGATCTTCAAAGAGGTGGAGTTTAGGTAGGCACTGCATTACAAAGCTCGAAGTTGTTGAGTGCTTATATGTATTCAAATCGTGCCTAGAGAAGAAGACAGCCTCTTGCTCAGAATGAAGCCAAACACGGCTCTTGCAAAAACAGTAAGAGCCTGAGTGACGACTTTCTTTCCGCCACCATGTCGTGACTCACACACGCATTCCTATAAAGGATAGCCATTCCACCCCCCATGTCGCATTCCTAAAAAGGATGGCCACAACTACGTCGTGGCGTGGCCGTCTTCGGACAGCGAATACACTCTACGAACTAGAGGAGATATCAACGTCCATAGGAAGAGACGCTACTGCATGCGATTTGGTTTTAGACTCACGTGGGGTGTCCAGGTTACATGCGATTTTGACCTTCACCCAAGCCGGACCAGCACTTACGGATAAAGGGTCGGCGAATGGCACGTTTGTGAATAGCCATAGGCTTGTCAGGTATTGTGATAGTACTGCCTCGAATGTTGATACTATGAAAACTACCTTCCTCATGACGTCGCCACTAATCGCCAAGGAAAGAAGTACAACGTGACTGAATTACCTCACATCCACTTGAGCACGTGGTAAAAGAGGGTACATGACATGACAATGACTGATATTCTTTCTTGTCTCTTCTCTGCATTCGTTCTTCCGCGGTTTCTTTCTTGTCTCCTCTCTGCATTCTTTCTTCCGCGGTTTCTTTCTTGTCTCTTCTCTGCATTCGTTCTTCCGTGGTTCTCCCGAGTTACTGATTTGAGGATACTCTACTAGTGAACATCTAAGTAACATTATTATAAAGTCGTACCATCACGACCATCGTTTCAGAGACGAGCCTTTCCGATTGAATCATGGAGACCTGATATTCTTTTCGGCTTATGAACGAACCCATTATCGCTTCGAGTTGCCCGGTTACGATGCACCGCCGCTACCTGCACACGTCGCCCCTCCAGCACGCGAACCTGTCATTACCGGCGGTTTCAACGATGCGTGGGAAATACAGAAGAGGTATGTAGACTTTGTGATATTGTTAAGTGCTTGTTTCATGTGTATGTGATTTTAGATCTACCGTGTTGTTGCGAGCGCATCAATGAAGATCATGTACTGATGTAAGAACCCTGAGAAGAAGTTTCCTTAATTTAATACTGTCTCTCCTGTCAGCGAAAACCTCCAAGGTTCCAATACGGTGAGGAGAATCTGACCAATGTGGACCGTCGTAGTATGGAACCCTCAAGGCCACTACGTGGAGAAACCTCACAGTCCAAAAATCGCCTTAGCTATGGCGATTATACTGGTGGCGAGAGCTTTATGGCAGAAGACGACTTGTCCGATATTAGGGCAGAGCAGGCTAGACATCGCCAGGTGAGACAACGGAGCCTTACGCCGATAATATACGATCGACAAAGCGAGCGGAATGAGAAGAATGACGACAATTTTGACGGACAGCCCAGGAACAGCCGCGGTCGTGGTATTATGGATGTGGATGGTAAGTACTTAGTAGAAGGAACAACGGTCGGCCTATTTAGTCTGCCAGAGACGTTACTCACGTCGTTAAGCAGTCGGTCCTTTGTAGCTGCCGTGTCTCTATTCGGGTCACAACGGGGCCAGGCAGTTACTTGTAGCTGCTACGTGGTTCGAATGAGTGAGTGAATGAATGAGTGAATTAGTATGCTATTGCTGGAAACAAAACTAGATGCCACTCAGTAGTATATTGATGCTTGGCTTGGTCGGTCTTGTTCGTTTTTTCGGAATTTTCAATCTCTAATCCATGTGCCGCACGTGCCAGTTCCCGCGTCAGTCCCGAAGACAGCATACCTCCAAACGAAGATATAAACCGTTCCATAGGCCATGACAGACGGCGTAGTTCAGCTGTGAGTAGGTCGCCTCCACGAGAGACACCACTTGTTGGCGGTATTGATGTTTCTGCAGGTGGTTTGGATGAAGTACCAAGGTCATCTTTACGCTCGAAATCAATCGGCACACCACCAGCCGTACGTGATAAGATGTCCGAAATAGGGAGGAAGATCGACGAATTGGAGAATTCCTATGGGCCAAGTACGTAACCGATAGAACTAGAAGGGGAAATAACGGCGTTTCCTAATACATAGAAAGTTTAACCTTATAACCTTAACCTACTTCAACTTTATAGCCTTATCTTGATGAAACTTTATCCTTAACCTTAACCTACTTCAACTTTATAGCCTTACCTTATAGAGTCACACCTCCACATCTAATCTCCGTCTCGCAGAGACAACGATATGCTGCAGAATTCATCGCTGAGGAAAAGCGCAAGAGCCACCGTGAACGACGATGTGATGGGTAGCAGGTTTAGTAGAGGAGAAGATCTGGTCGGAGGAACTGACAATCGCGCTGAAAGAAGAAGTAGCAGGATACGGCTTGTTTTGTTTCTTTACTGTAAGCACCATTATTCGACGTGTTTTTCACCTACATGTTGCTACCTGATCAGGGAGAAACTTGGACTATTGTAGTTATACCTTCAGTTAATGTTCTTGATCACATTAGTAGGCTTATCCCGTGCAACAATGTTCTTGACTGATCGACGTCATGATGATTAGACCGCTTTAAAAGATTCACAATAGTACTCAAAGCAAGGACCACTTTATTGCCATCATCGATCTTCTAAGGATTGCAAGCAATTCCGCCAGCAGAGACCTCATTAGACCTTCATCAGGAGGTCTGGGCTTGTCCAGTAAAGACGCGATGCTTGGTGGTGGTGATGGCGGAGGTGGAGGCGGGCATGGAGGTTCGAGTGGCGGGCCAGGAGGCCCCTCATCAGTTAGGGGTTTCTGAATTACATCCCTCACTACCATCCTTGGCTCCTTTTCAAGAAGAAAATAGGTCAAGGATGTTCTGAAGAATGCAATTCGGCAACCTCTAAATCAGGCAGTGACCCACTCCCTCAAGAAGATCGACATCTGTGGAACCAGCCAGACATGATCTCTGATGCTCTAGCCTTGCAAAGAGCAGTAGAGATTTTGGCACGTGTGGGTCGTACGGTTACTCGAGGCTGGGCAGTTGTACCGAATTCGATGCAAGATGGGAGAACCTACCTGGGAGGATCGGTGTCTCCGAGTGCGACGGCTTCTTTATGAATCGTAGACAGGATTGATTACTTACACTCAATGCTTTTATAAGTCGGGAATATTGACCTTTTAACTTCACAGTCGTCTTTTCTTTCCCTCTTTCATATCCAACCGCGCACTTGATGTCGGCCACTGCTGATGGTACTCTAGCTGCTGCAAATGGGACGCTCTCTCAAATAGCGGGTCTCGACCGCAGTCCTGCTCCAGCCCGTGGCGGTGGCGGCAAAAAGCGCCTCAAACAAGAGGAAATCGCTTTGATGAGTGGCTTTGCCAATTTTTTCCGTGATATCACCTTGGATAATGCGGGAGGGCGACCCGAACTGCCACAAAAGATTCTAGAATTGTCTGGGAGACTGGACAATCTTTTCAGGGAAACACAGGCTGGGCGAGATGTATTGGCGATTGCAGCAGAGAAAGTAGCAGAGGGCGAAATGGAGAGAATAGTTGGTGGTAGACAACAGTTGCGATCACAACGTGGAAGTGACGTGTTGCTGGAAGACGATGCCATTGACGGGGGGAATCTGTCTGGCGGGAGTTCGTCGGAGTATTCTTCTGTTACGAAAAGTGGCCTTCATTGGTGGTTACTAATGCTAGTAAGTATGATAAGTAGGTTCTTTATCTTTTGTTTCCATTAGATACTAAGCGGTAAAAAGCAGGTACTAGCGCTCTAATCGTCGTTTTTCCGATTCCAACGCACAGTCCTCTGCTGGCGAATCCGAGGATTCTGAGGACGAAGAGGCGCGCGCGAGAAGGGAAGCCAGGATCAAGCAGAGCCGGAAGTACCTGACGGACATTGTCCGTTTGCAAGACCTGCAGTTGTCCGAGGCACGCGCGAGGTTGGCCCTGTACCAAAAGCACTTTCCGGAACAGGTGAAGAGTGACACGCTGTCTGCTTGGCGAGATCGCGTCGCATCTTCAAGTGGAGAAGTAGGAGGTTCATATGGAATTGGAGGGACCTCTGCATCTGCGAGTGGAGCTGCTGACTTGATGATGTTTCCTTCATCGTCCTCTCTTGCCGCATCAAGTAATGCTACTGAAGAAGCTATGAAAGGAAAGAGGTATTCATACTCAGAAAGTTAGCTACTTTTCTACTTAAAATCTAGACCTAATTTCATGAGGATGAGTACACTTTTTCCTGTCATGGAAGCTACGCAATTGATGCGATTATCCTGGATGTTGGAAAACCAGCTGGATGAGTACACGCGCACAGAAGAGGCTGACACGAGGCACTGGAAGGGCTTGCAGATCGAAGCCAGTTTGTGGCGGGAACAGACTGTAGTATTAAGGGTAGGTTAAAGGTGCTTTTCTTACCGCTTTTTATGCCTCTCCTAAGGGAGAAAGGCATAAAAAGCGGGGTAAGCGAGCACCAAAAACCTACCTCTAATAGTAGCACAAAGAAACTTGAAAAAATTGAGACTACAAAGTAGGGACCTGGCGAGGCAGGTGTTGAAGCTGAGATCCGGAAGTTTGTTCCCGGGTGACGGAGGTGGGGAAGGACGTGGACTACTGACGGCAGAAGCAGCTGGAGCAAATGGTAGTGGGGTTGTGGGGGCGTCGGGTGTGGGAGGAGAAGGTTATGATTCTTGGAAGAAGAAAATACTATTAAGCTCATTCCTGATCTAAGTAGTAGAGACCTTGATCATATAGGACATATAAGCACACTGTTTTGTCTTGCCGAAGGTATAGAACGACCTTTTGAGACATAATGATGATGATAAGCACAGGATTATTAAAGTCTTTCGCTTTCGAGACGTTTACTACTTTGTTGCAAACTTGGTCTCAGTTACTACATATCTAATTCTCAGCGGAGCAAAAAGCAAAGAGACTGAGAACCAACCTTCTAGAACATCTAGAACGCGAAGTCCAAGCCTTTTCTCTGCAGCTAGAGGAAAGCGAAGCAGTCATCTCAAGACAAAAAGAATGCGTCAGCCTAGAAAAGGAGCGCGCAGACCATGTCGAAAAAGAAGCCGCTAATATGCTGCATGCCGCTGATGGCGTTGAGGAAGCAGCGAACTCTGGCACGCTAGAACGAGTGGTGGAACTAGAAAACCTAGTGAGTTTCCTACACTGGAAACGCAGTTTGATCTCCGCCTCAAAGAGTCGCAAGGCTAGGAAAAAACTCTTTGGTAGTCGAAGAAGCAAGTTAGTCCGGTCTGGTGCGTATTTCTATCCCCCACGAGCAAGGAATGTTGCGGAAGTTTTGGATTCGCTAGTGTCAGCGTCGAAAGCCGCGTTACTAGCTTCAAATGCCGCTGCTGCTGCTTTACAGAAGGGACAAGAAGACTCATCATCTACTACAAATGCGGCGGGAGGTTTTCTTCCATCACATCTTCAAGGCGCGAATAGTAACAAGCATCTTGCACAACAAATCAATGCTGCGCAGAATCTTAGTGTTCCACCTCCAAGTAGAACAGATTATACGAGCACTCTACTTCAGCCTTCCGCACCACATGGAGTAGGACTACAACAGGCCTCTTCGGCAGAATCAGAAGAGGCGAAGCGTCGTAGGAGGACAGAGCGATTTGAGGACATGCTAGCGGAGTCTCTGAGGATGCACAATTTGGAACAAGCAAAAGTGTTGAAAGACCTCTGGCAACGGAAGCTGGCGGAAGAAAAAGCAAGAAGAGTTAAGGGTAGGGTAAAGGTGCTTTTGTTCCCGCTTTTTATGCCTTTCCTAAGGGAGAAAGGCAGAAAAAGCGGGGCCCACGAGCACCAAGACCCTACCTCTAAAAGAGAAGCACTAGAGGAAGCGGCCAGAAAGGAGAAAGAGGAGAGGGTTGCTAATGTACTAGACTTAAGATTTGTTTAACCGGTTAGTTTTTACCTCTAAAACTTAGGCTCATCCCATGCAGCAATATGCTTAGACTTAAGATTTTCTTCCCCAAGAAGTGAGAGCGACTTTGTATCGCAACAATGATCACCAGGAAGTCGCCGCCCGTGAAGCTTTGCAAAAGGAGTATCAGCCAACCGAATTAGACCTCGCTTTCGGCGTGCGCGCAGAAGAAGCTACTGGTGTCTCATTTTTCAGACCTCAGCCTCAGGTAGGAGATGAGAGCCATTTGTTGGGGAGGACGGCTTCTGGCTCAGGGCCTCAAGGTGGGGCAGCCGATCGAGCTGGAGCCGCTTTTCCTGGTCTCATCGGAGGAAACAACAATGCCTCACTACTCTCCACAGTCGGCGGTGGCGGAGAACCTTCTCCAGTTAAGGCTGTACCTTGAAGCGTATCTTTGGACATCACATCCTTGATGAAATGTATGGACAAGGAGTATCCACCTCAGGGAACAATGCTCTCCCATAGTACTTTTCAAGGATGCACTTGAAAGATGAATTACGGGCAGCTCTAACCCAGTCGAGCTTCAACGAACAACTGGCGCAGCGTCGAGTTTTAGTCCTCTGAATCATTTAGCCTCGTCATCAACCAGAGCAAGCGCAAGAGGAGTACGACCACCCGGTTTGTCGTCGAATTCTTTGCAGGTTTCCTTCGATCCGAATACATCTGCAGGTGGCGGAGGCCCTGGTTGGGGCGCAAGAAACGTGAATAGGTACACAGAACCGATGCAGAGGCCTCCGGATTTGGATGATCAATTGCGGCATCCAGACAAGTACGTGCCACAGATAATGGTGGATCTGCCTGATGACTGATAGGTACGGGCAAGGGTGCATGACTAACTAATTTGACAATCTCCCATACCCCAAGATTGGATACACTACTACTACTACTTGATGATGATTCATCTGATGAATGGTGCAGAAGAGTAGAAGAGTCTTGATCTGAAGGCTGGATGGATGTAAAAAGTATTGACCGCTCCCATGATGTAAAAAGTATTGACTGCTCCTGGGGCAGTATGATTTTGCGAGATTTGGATGTGATTATATCGAGCGAATGGCGCTCTCTCAAAACTTCTGAGTACTTGGTTATATTAGCAAATTGTTACCGGATTGCTCCAAAACCCAAGAACGTAGCGTGAACAACAAAGGATGATATCGAAATTGACAAAAATAATACGTGTGTTGTCCAATGTTCCTTCAAAGCCAATTTGCGAATTGCAATCTCATTTTTCACGATTTCAGTTCCTTGGAAAGCGTTCTTGACATCTTTGCCATTCTTGATCAAGACACGACCATTCTTGATCTTCACGATTTTCCTGCTCCACATTCGATCATTACGATAACAAGCCAGTCTAGGATAATACGATCACCTTGCAGCTGCTGCGCGAGCGACCGACGAAGCTTTATTAGAATTCTACTGATTCGGACCACCGCGCATCGCCACTTGATTGATTGTGTCATGTATCAGAAGTACCTAACCGGGAATGACATTTCAATCACAAACCAAACACAGGCGAATACAAAGATGTAAGCAGATAGAAGACGATATTTGATACGACAAACGACATCTATGTATAGTTCTACTCTTAAAAGTGGAGTTAGACGAGTAATAAGGAAGCAAACGCTATTCTAGATCATCACTTTTTTCCTAGTCGATTGAAAAGAAGATGAGCAGTCTTGTGAGTCTGCTTAGTATTCAGGTTTATTGTGGTTATAAATGGGTTGTAGATTACGTGTGGAGCACGGGCACTGGAGCAGAGCGAAACATTAAAGACGTCGAACCGGAGAATAAATTAAGGCTTGTTCTGGGGAGATATTGATTTCTATCAGCGTAAATTGTGCAGCGTAAATTGTGCAGCGTAAATTGTGCAGCGTCGTGAAAGTGTGCATGCAGCGAAGATAGAAGAAGTAAAGGAGATCTTGGCAGTTTGCTGGAGTTTTTTGTTCCCCTGAGAAGAAGATTCTGAGTGTTCCCTTGAGAAGAGACCTGTGTCAACAACACCCCTGAATGCACCCTTAGCAGGAAGCTCTAAACTGAGCAAAGCAGGAGCGCACCTACAAATTCGCCGAGCACGAAGACAGCTGGTCGACTGACAGCTCTGACGAAGACGAGCACGTGGCTGAGGATTTCGACTACAGTTACGGCTACGGGAACGGTTGGCATAAAAAGGTGACGGAAGTTTAGGCTACACGAGTTGTTGAAAGTTTGAAGTACATGTTGGAGGTGTGGACATGAAACTTGAAGGTCGGAAGTGAAAATCATCTTTCAGCAGGTGAAGAAGAAGTAGAAACATCAGAGGAGACGCCCGTGTGTCGTTTACTTCGCAGTATCGGGCTACGAAGAGAGGTGAATTTGAAGAAAGGAGAAGAAGAAGAAAGAACATCATATCAACTAGAAGACGGTGAAGACCAACCTGGCGACGACTCCATATTCTCCGACGGGAACCACTTTGTCATCAGCTCCTGCTATCAAATTGCGAATTACTACCATCGACTACATCGACCCCTCTACGCCCCCACACAAACAAGATGGGCATCTTAGAGAAAATTTCCGAGATCGAGGCCGAAATGGCCAGAACTCAGAAAAACAAGGCCACAGAGTACCATTTGGGTTTGCTGCGTGGAAAGTTGGCCAAACTCCGCACCCAGTTACTCGAACCCAGCAAGAGCGGTCCTTCTCAACCTGGATTTGAGGTTGGAAGATATGGAGATGCAAGAGTCGCGATTATGGGCTTTCCCTCTGTGGGGAAAAGTAGTCTCTTAGCGGAAATGACAGGAACGAGGAGTGAAGTGGCGGCTTATGAATTTACGACGTTGACGTGCATTCCGGGAGTCATTTACCACAATGATGCGAAAATACAGCTATTGGATTTGCCTGGTATTAATTTGCCTCATGTTTGTGGGCTTCACGATAGCAATAGCATTACTTTGCTGGGGTAGTTACTTCATCAAAACGTGAGGCCGATTACCGTAGAAGCTTCATTATGGTTCACCTGGATAACCTCACGACTACATCAGCTGCCTTATCTTCAAAAACAAACTGCAAAAATACGTGTACCCACTTCTTCCACTCCCAAAAATGCAATTTAGGTATCATCGACGGCGCTGCTCAGGGCAAAGGTCGTGGTCGTCAGGTCATATCCACCGCCAAGTCTGCCGATCTCATCCTCGTAGTCCTAGACGCAACACGGGATGACTCACAAAAGAAGCGACTAGAAAACGAGATGGAGTCCGTAGGGATTCGATTGAACAAGGAGCCACCAAATATCAAGATCACTAAGAAGCCATCGGGAGGCGTAAGAATCAACGCCAGTTGCAAGCGACAACATTTAGACGACAAGTTGATTGAGGGACTGCTGCGGGAGTACAGGATATTCAATGCGGATATCATTATTCGAGAGGATGCCACAGCAGAACAATTTATCGACGTGCTGGAAGGGAATAGGAAATACGTACTGTGATTTCTAGATAGAAGAAGGTTGCGAATCTTTTTATACTTAAATAAAAATGGCATAATCTTCTCCTTCATTGCGCTTGAATTCGTTTGAATGACATCTTGTCCTTTCAAGAACTTTCTGAACTTCACTATGCATTCAAAAGTATAACATCACGGAACCCCAGTACAACAAGTTTCCCCCGCTCTCTCAGGTCCGCTGCGTCTATTGCTACAACAAGATCGATATGCTTTCCATCGCCGAAGTAGATCGACTTGCTAGATTACCGCACGCGCACGTCATGTCATGTAACTTGAAGCTGAATTTAGATGGTTTGAAAGACCGCATCTGGCAAGAACTGAACATGGTGCGCGTGTATACGAAGAAGAAAGGTCAAGTTCCAGACTGGAAGGACCCTTTGGTGATTACTCCACAGAGAGGGACGAAGGAGTGCAATGTGGAGAACGCGGTACATTTTATTTCGAAAACTCAAAATAACCGACTTACTGACTGAAATAAGGGAGGTAGCTTAGCGTCAAGGCTACTTTTCCTTCTCATCAGTATCTCGGTTATTCTGATCACTTACTTGCTTATTTCAGTTTTTCGAACCCTAAACCCTAAATACATATTTAATATCAATTTCTTCTCCTACAGCTCGTGTAGTTTGTACATTCAAGGTTGATTATGATTCTGTTCTGCTAAGTATAACTTGTCTTTTTTCTGAAAAATAAAGTACTGGAGCGCTCCTGTCTCAGGCGATCCCTCTCTCATCGCGTGAAACGCCAACTACACTACATCACTGAGGACACGACATCAACACTACATCACTGAGGACACGACGACATCAACACCAGGTAACTCTCCTCCATCAACAACAGGTAACTCTCCTCCACAAAGACATCCTCGCCGAGTTCAAGTGCGCCTTAGTCTGGGGCACTAGCGTGAAAAGCTCACCCGCAACAGTGGGCGTAAAACACTACCTTCAAGATGAAGATGTAATCCAGATCCAAAAACTGAATGCTGCAGAGAAGGAGAAAAGGCGTCATGGCAAGAAGACCGGGACAACGGAAACAGGAACAGGCGTGCCAATGGATGCGAAGAAGCAGGCGGAGCGGAAATTGAACAAGAGTGGACCGAAAAGTTAGGTCTCTTGTAGTTTCAGGGTATGCTAGGAGGTTTCACCTTGGAGTCAGGTGGTGGTCTAGAGTCGCCACTTAGTGGACAATCCATACTATCACATTTACAGTTGGAAAAATAATGAAGAATGATTCCTTTTGTACGAGTGAATCCCTTTTCCGCATTTTACAGATAAATGCGGCATATTAGTATCTGCCGCGGCAGATTTCTACCACATTGATGGTTCGCCCCGACATAAGCATGCGATCATGATTGGAACATCACAGACATGGAACCAACACAACGACGACTATCAACATGACATAGGCAGCGCTTTCAGCGCTTTCTTCGTCCACTCGATATGTTTTGTATCAACGGACATAGCGATCTTTCCATGATAATACTCATGACGTCGACACATAGTACGCAACATAGGTACAAGTTACCTCTCCGACTTTGCATGGAGGTAATCTTTTCTGCGCGCCAGGAGTTTCAGACGTTTTTTTTTTCATCAGACGGCATAGAAGAAGCATGAAAAAGAGACGAAGGCATTGCGAGAGCCCGCTTTGAGTGAAATGAGGTGAAAAGGAAGGAATCTTACCGAGAAACCGGAAAAATACACTACACTATAATCCCAATCACATACAGGTAGAACAGATAGTTGTATAATCCGCATTCCGAACCTAGATGTCTTCTCGCCTTCTTTAAAGAGTGAAGCTTCGTACTACAGCTTCGTAGAACAAAACCATGAAGAACAGCACCGAGTACCCTAGCCCGAGTGCCAAGGTGACTCCTCAGGACCCGTTTGGAGGCGGTTCCAGCTCCAGCACCTTCGGAGGGAATGCGATGTCGATCGGTGTCCCTGTGGTGGGGGCTCCGGTTGCAGGAGCACCGCATCCATTCCAAGCTCAGGCCTCTCAACTACACGACAATTTCCAGCAACAGCGATCGGCTTCTGCGATGTTTTTTGTTTAAGGTGAGGACAGCTGGTAAAATTTGGACAGCTGGTACTATCAAGAGCTAATATGCTGTGGTGTGTATTAGTCTGAAAAGTCAACCGCATCCTCTAATCCCTGCAGCCTTTAGTGTGGGATAGACCAAGGGTTTTTAATGAGTGTAGTACAGATTGTTGGATGGGCTGTGCTTGTCCGTGTGCTCCAGTAGAGGCGATTTCGAAGTCTGTAGGTCTGCCAAATGCCCAGACCTATACGACCGCGATCGCGGTGTTCGTTTTTCTGAGTTAAGGCTTGTTTTGTTGGGAAGGCACGTTTGTTTGAGTTTGATAAGTATCTGGGTCAAGTCGCTCGATGTCTTTTTCATATGGGTGGAAGCAAAGCGTGAGGACTTCTAAGATATAATGATAGAACTCAAGTAGATGATGTCGATGCTAGAGTCCCAAAGCCGTATTGCATGTCCCAGAAGTTCCTTCTAATCACCGTGGGTGTTCGACATGCTGCGTGCGATATCCGACGTTTTCATCGGCAGTACTGGGCTCTTCTTGCTGTTTGCGGTGCTAACCATGTTGATGCAGAGTGTACTGACTGTGATCCTGATACGCTGGAAGTCGATCATCGGACAAAAGATAAACGTCGGCACAGACTCTGACCCAATGGAGGACTTTGTATGTTTCTGGTGCTGCCCCTGTCACCACATACCTGCTGTGGAGAGAACGGTCGTTCTGTTCTTGGCGCGGAACAGTCCAAACAATTTTCAGCAGTTTAATCCTGGATCGCCTGCTGGTGCGCCTACGATGATGATGTCGACGTCAGCGATAGGAGTGTCCTCTTCGTCGAGTACTACTACTAGGGGAACTCAAGACTCTACACCAAGTACAAATAATATGGGTACGTCAATGACATCCATGACCCCTATGACCGCTCAACCTCAAAATAACTTTGGGAGTCCTCATGTAACAGAAGGAGGGGATAAGATGATAACATCGGGAGAGGTGAGGGCGTAACTTGGGAGCATGCGGCTTTGATGAGAAAACTCGCATATTGAACATGCAACTGCTCGCACACAAGAAATGCTCTACACTTGTAGATACTTACGCACGTGATGTATAGTTGTGAACGCGCCTGCTCTCTACCTTTTACTTTTAGTACACTATGTGAATCCCAACATCTTATCCTGCACCAGATGGCGTTATGGAGGACAATGCTGCCCAGCATTTTTTTAGAGGAGAATGATTCCGTTGCGGCCCTTCTTGTGCTATGTGCAGAGAGAGAGATAACCATCTATTCGGAGAGATGACTGTAGCACGCGTTTCGTCTGTTTTGAAGTCTGTCCATTCTCTTCCAGTTTTGGTTCGGAGAGATGACTTTAGCACGCGTTTCGTCTGTTTTGAAGTCTGTCCATTCTCTTTCAGTTTTTCTTGTTCAGTCTCTGTCTTTTATTGCCTTGCAGTTCTGTTTGTTTCTTCCCCAGATCTGTCTACCTAAGTATATTTCTCCGCTACAGAGTGTCTTTACAAAAGTCTCATTACAAATTTAGAGGATTAATACCAGTCCTGCTGAAACAGTATGAGAAGCTGGAGCCGCCCAAACGAAGGCAAAAGATGAATAACAAACATGAGCATAGTACATTCGATATGTAAGAGCAAGACTAAATAAAAGTAAAATGCGGCATGCTTCAAAACTGCTTTGGGTGGAGTGAGCAGAAGTCATCTGGCAGCTGGTGGTGTTCTACTTCGCCAGTTTCAATCAACGACATCATGGTGGAGGAAGGTACTTCAGGTAATGTAGTTATGCTGTCTGCTTGCGTGACGGTGACCTCATTCGAAGAGCGTATGAGTCAAGTGCCGTTTGTAGAAGTTGCTGGTCAATACGAGGTTGAGATCTCTAACTCTATCAGAACTAGTCTCTACGGGTACTACGGACCCACCAGGGACCCACACATGACATGAGTGAACTAACCACCATCTAAAACAACCACAGCAAATGCCCCCGAGGGCGGCGGGCGTGGGTCGACGTATAATGCGGCTACGAACACGGTTACAGCGCCTTTTCGGCGTCGGCGCCATTCTGTGGATGGGCGCGGCACATCTGAGAAACTCAATGCGAAAATCAAAGCAGAGACTAGCGTTCTCATAAAACGATTCAAGGACCTAAGGCTACTGGCTGATGCACACTGGCATTGCAGCAGCAAGTACTTAACTAGTGTGTTTAAGATATAACACAAATGTTTAAGATATTTGTGTAAAGAAGATAGCACAAATGTCAAGTCGATTGGATTTTCGATTAGAGCTTGTAAGTGTACTTAACTACAGCTAACTAGATATGCTAATAATATCTATGGTAGGTTATTAATGGTGTCCTAGGCTCTGCGAGTTGAAGCTCAGGCTCTGCGAGTTCTTTTGTTTAATGAAATATCTTGTCTTTGATCTTCCTCGGTTCATCAAAATTAATGGTCGTGTCCTCATTGTTTACAAGCAAGACCACCACCACCACCACCACCACCACCACCACCACCACCACCACCACGTGACTTGAACACCGGATCTCTCAGCCTCGACGCATTCCAACTCGGAACGCTTAAAATGGAGTTGAAGAGACTTCAGAGTGGCTGTGCGACGATTGGAACCTTGGTTCAAGTACTAGACCAAGGTCAAAACTTACGTCGTTGGGCCGACGCACATATTCAGATGATCAATCTGGTGGCGAAAAGGTATATTAAGGGATACAGAAGTGTGTTATGCTGGCGCACATCCAGCATGAGCTTTTCATCACTTAAAGTCATTCTCTTTTCTTCTGATGTTGATTAGACACTGTGCAAGACTTTCACATTTAGAAGTAGATGTAGTCCTTTTGAGTCAAAAATGACTCTTTCATTCTTTCATATCCCCTTTTCGATAAGCACGCTGAACGCTGATCCACAACTTGTTCTTATAGATACTTATAGATACTTATGTCTTCTTATACATACTTATGATCCTTCCTCAAGTTGTTCTTATAGACTTCTTATGTCTTGCTCTTGGTCGCGGCTCTGCTCGTGCGCTAGGTCACAGATGTTCAGATTTCTCTTCGTCAGTACATAGGTGAATGTTGAACAAGAGATCTCCTAGTTGTCCTTTTACTTGTACGCGGACCAGTTGTTGTCATCAATCCCAGGTTCTACGAAAAAGAGCAACAGACCAAGCAGCAGTCGGGCTCACCCGACAAGGCACGCTCTGGCACTGCAACGGCTTATTCCGCAGAGCAGACTCGCTCACTGTTGGGTTGCGGACCCTTCGATGGGATTACTTTCGATTATGGGCGCACACGCAATTAGAGACTACTGAGTTTGCTGTTTCACTGATGTTTCCCTCTGGTGACAGGAAGTTTATCCTTCACGACCTTGGACACCACCAGTAGATTCCACATGAGAATTGGAATGCCAACATTCCCCTCTAACCCCTCGTAAAAATGAAAGACCGACAGGGGATAGAATCAGTTCTCAATGCTGGCGCTGACCCCATGGCCACCGATAAGTTGCGCAAAACCTGTGCGCATGACCTGGCTTTGGCCGGAATCCTTCCATTTCAGACAGATACGTGGCATGCAGTGAGACTGCAGAGCTTGAAGTTAGGGTAGTGGTTGAAGAAAGGCAGTCGTTTCCCGTCAGATGTCGTCTACAACTGTTTTTCTTCCAAGACAACTCCTGAAAATTTCTTCTAACCTCCAAGCGCGGCGCGGACTTGCGAACTTCTCGTGACTGTTATGGGCGAGCACCGATTCTGATCGCATTGGAGGAACATAATGTGGCGTTCTTGCGTGCCATCTTGAGGGTGGAGCTTGGCGAGGACTGGGGAATGCGGGTTTTTCGCAGGGTGCCTCCTTACAACGAAAATGGCGCAATGATGAAGAAAACCTTGCAGATTCAACATTTGTTAAGCAAAAATGCTTCTTGTGGTCCATTGCTTTCGTCTTGGTCTTCCTTAATACCTGTTCCCAAGAAGACCTGTTCCCCTTTCATTCCCAACAAAGCAGATCATGCCAGTCTTCAGAATTACCAAGAAGACCTGTTCCCCTTTCATTCCCAACAAAGCAGATCATGCCAGTGAAATTGAAGGAGTATCAGCAGCGACGGGAAGAAAAACTACAGCAACGTCGGAACCGAAGCTCTGGTGCTTCCCCAGGAAGACGAAATACCATCCTCTCCGATGTGAGATCACCTGTTATTATGAGAACTTCAAGTTCAAGTTCTCTAACATCCCCTTCCAAGAGTCCAGCATCATCTACTTTTCAGCTCTACAACTCACCTCTTCTAACCTGTCGCCCAAGAGTCCAGGGTCTCCAGGGTCGGCTGCGGCTTTGGCAGAAAAAGTCGATCCGAAGCAGCATTATTTGGACGAATTGAGGGTGTACATGTTCGATATGCAACCGAAGGTATTGACTATTGAGGGTGTACATGTTCGATATGCAACCGAAGGTATTGACTAGCTACTTACTCTTTAGCGAGGACTAGTATCTATATGATAGGTTTTATGCAGTCGAAGCAGGTGTTGACTAGCTTTTCTTCACCCTTAGTAAAGGAAGTAGGGTGTAGAGGTTTCTTTTTTACCTAAAGCTACAATAACCTTGTCACCAGTCCTTAGTTTGCATGCTGTATGTTGCCCGAATCGCAACGTCCCTACTTTACATCAGAATGTTATTTATACTATCTTCACACTTAGTAAAGGAAGTAGTGCTGCACCTTTCTCCGTTTTTCTTGGAATTCATTGATGCGACTAGCACTAAAACTCATGTTTGTTCCTTATTAAAGGAAGTAGTATGTAGAGGTCTCTTTTTTACCCCTGGAGTGGGTACTTACATTCCCTCATTCCTTCATTCATTCACCAGGTCCATCCCCGTGCGATTACGCGACTACAGCCTCATGGAGCACAGTACAGCTTATACCACTGGGCTGCGCGAGAGGGCAATCTAGAAGCAGTTGCCTGTCAGCTCGCCATGTCAGCAAATGTAGCAGGGGCATTGAATGTTATGAGGAAATTCTGAGTACTTACACTTTTTTCTGTCACAGAGACGGTTATAGACAACTTCTCTAATCTGCTCTCGCTGATCGGTTCCAATGCGGACATGCGGGACATTTTTCGGGACGTGCTTCGCGTCGCAGGACATCTCGTAGATTCTCGTGAAGTAGAAGCCTTAACGACCAAAATCCTAGCGACAGCGCAGCAAGGAGGAATAGTTGCCAATAACTCGTCGGATGGCAGTATTAAGGCAGTTTTTGTAAACAAGACGAGAAGTTTTCGTGGTCTAGAATTTCCACTTAATATAGGTCAAATGTATCCTGTTCTTCCGTAGACTTTTCACTACGTTTTACCACTCTAAGAAAGCTAAAGTCGGCACCACGCCAACCACCCTAAGCCCTAACGCTACGGTGCACTGGGGACACCATTCTACAGCATCTGTTGGATTCTTCAAACAAGCGACTGCTTCGCCAAGAGGAGCTGCCACGCATGGGTACAACCTACCATTAAGGCTAGCATGCATTTGCGCGATCTGTAGTGCATTGGATTGATGGAAGACGGAATGGCAGAATCTGTGCCACTATCTGCAATCCTGTGAAGTATCATGCGCATGTACTCAGAATAGTACTATGAAGTCTTGAGGGTTACTTAGAATAGTACTTCGAATAGTACTATCTTCAGAAGATCATGAGGGCGGATATTCTGGGAGAATTGGAAGGAATATCCGCCCTCATGTCTTGGGAGGCTGCTCTGTCTTTGGAGACTCTCTTAATAACCTCGAGTCTCCAGGGATGATTCAAAGACAGTTCTAATAGGAGCAAAGAGCTTTTGGAGCGTGGATCAAAGGACGTCAGGTTCAATTTGGTCTCGTTTCCCAACGCTCCACCTGATCTGCAGAGACCTCATCACCGCTAGACGCGAGGAATTGGATGCGGGAGTGCGCAGTGCACCACTGCCAGCATCGGAAGAGGACAAAGCGAGAGGAAGGAGAGATAAATTGGTATAAGTGTAATTGGTTTGCTGGGTATTTGTTTCAGTCTGCTTATGAGGTACGTACTTTGAAGAAGGTGCAAGACTGTTGCAGTCGACAAACTTCTACTTTTTTTACTAGGTTCAACATCTTCAGCAGGTTTCAACATTTCCCCACCATACTTGAACGTATTCAACTTCAACAGCTTCTCGCCATCCGCAGTCTACCATGTATTAAGCTGGAGACACCGCTCCACTGTGCTGTGGCTCAAATGGAACCCAGCATCGTCAAGGCTATGCTGCAACTAGGCGCTCAACCGGATTTCTCCTTGAACCCGCTTGCGGCATTGTACGTCCAGGCACAGGACCGGTTCTATGCAGAGCTGTTGGATGGTATAATAACTCACTTGTTTCGTGACAAGAGGCATGTTATCTCTCCATTTCTTTTTATTTCAGTTAGAGCACATCTCGTCCCACTCCCTGCAGCACACGCAGCATGAAATAAAAATAGACAGTATGATATGAAAGGAAGGAGTGCACTCACACTCAAGGAAGTAGCTACTTTCGTACTTCAATCCTAGCCAGCTTCGTGAGTGTGAGTGCACTTTTTCCTTTCATATATGATTATCTCACCCCTATCAAATGCCACAGATGGCGAAGAATCCGACTGCAATGATGAGACCCTCCCGAGGCGTATGACAAGCAGTTCTCGGTCAGACGAGCATAGAGAGTCAACAAGAAGTGTCAACAGCAACCTGCTGTCCGACGCTGCTGCTGCGACGCCGAAAAGTACTTTGTTATTTGCTTTACTCGAGCTTCTATGCACCTATGTGTATGTAGAGGGAGGAGTTGTTTTCTCACTATTGCTTAACAAAGCAACGCCAACATTTAAGTAGTTTGTATCTAGATAGAGCTTTTACCATGATTGATTCCACTCCAATAGACACTCCCCCAACATCCCACTCCAGCTCCCACAGTGCGCGCCACCACAGTGGGAATTGAGGCTCCAACCCAGGAGACTGACAAGATGAAACGAAATCCGACACCGAGTTTGTCCAGCCCACCAGTCCTGTCGTCTCCGCGTGACGACAGTGCTTGGAGAAAACATCCAAATGTCGTGAATCTTAAGGCTATAATTATAGAAAGGGCATCATTCTCCTCATCCCACCCTGGCGCTCTTTCGATTCGAATACTCAAAATGAGGAAGTAACAAACACGATAACCGAGTATCTTAGATTGTTATCTAGATTGCTCGCTTATTTCAGTTTTTCGCATACTTGAAAAAGAGGCTAAGGATGCTACCTGAAAAATGAAAGTCAAGTAGGATGCTACTTGAAAAAGATGCCAGTGTTGTAGAACGAAGTAGCTCTAAGAATCAAGATAATTCTGGTCGCGAAGGTGACCATGAACGTAGTGCCACCAAAGATCCTCAAGGCATGAACGGAGGGAAGGGGAGAACGTCTCGAATTTTTTCGAGTTCGAGCAAAGACACAGCCGCGAGTAAGGCGTATTTGGCTGCCCCGCTAGTTGATGAACCACCCTTGTCATTGGAATTCTTGAAACAGGTACAGCTATTTTTTCTTGATGATTCCTCGGCTAGTTGTGATGCAAGGAAAAATGAAGGCAGAAGTTACGGTAGAAGTACTTTAGCAGTAGATGACGCAAACGAACTCAATAGCTTTAGCAAGACTTGTTCCTGAAAAAAAAACCGCAAAACTTTGTTTACCCTCATACCGCAAAACCACACCAGCCTCCGCTGGTCCTCCTAACGGCACGTAGCACTGGCATGACTTCTCCACGAGACTCAACAGCTAAAATTCGAGAGATCCGACACCTACTGCAGGCTGAATCCCTCAGAAAACGACGTGTTTCATCAACACCGAAGGTGGATCATACGCTATCCTCAACCAAGGATACTGATCTGTCACATGTCGTCGACACATCATTGTTCATTATGGTTGACTTAATATTTCGTACAGGATGTTTAGTACAACAGGGTGTAATGTTGTCAATGTCACTATAAAGATGATTGAAGATGATAGACGAGAAGGATTGGTAGTCATCATTTATATTCTGCTCTGAGTTTTTGATGTTAGGTTTGATCTTGCTCTTGGAACAAGTCCCGACTTACCACTGCTCTCATCATTACTCCCATCCGTGCTCACTTCACACTCACACTCCCGTTCTCTAATCTCCAAGAGGCTACTCTAGTCCAGTGGGATAGCGTCTACGCTGTGGCGGAGCTACTCGAAAGTGAAACTTTCGTGAAAACTCTAGAACAACTCTGTGATTGGTATATTGGTTTGGCACCGCGTCCTTGGCACAGGGTGGCTCGATTCTGGCGCTTCTATGGGGAACGAGTGAGCGGAAAGGTAACTGGGAAAGGTTTATGGAACAAATGGTTTAATTTCATGGTTTGTTTAAGTAGAAGCAGTCGTGCGACTTGCAGCAGTCTTACATGCTAGAAGAAGCACTTGTAAGATGACAAATAACTTCCCACCACACCACGCACAACCTCTGTTTTCATACCGCGAAGTCAACATCGGCACCGGAGGACCGACTTTGTTGAAAAATGATCCGCAGAAGGCCTTGAAGAACGATCCGGAGAAGGTAAGCATCAAAGACCAAACTTCTATCATTAAGGCTTCCAGTGAAAATTCATCTCAAGAACGAAGCATCTTGGGCTTTTTTTTCACGCCCAAGAAAGATGCTTGTCGCGATGAATATACGCAAGGTCCAATATTCACGATGGTCCGGAGCTAGCAGTCGCGAAGAATACAGACCAGCCAGTGGGAGTGAATAAAACAGTAACATCAAAAAGTGGAAATCTGAAACCTGAAACATCAACATCAGTTGGACAGGAGACTACGCAGGGCACTACAACTTCTACCACTGCAGAAACTACTACCACAGAGAGCTCTGCAAAGTTATGAACACACGGACACGCTTGTGGAGGAGGTCAAAATTTAGGGAAAATTAGGGGATACTTATTATGGTTCCCTAATTTTCCCTAATTTTCCCTATGTGGGAGGTTTAAGCGTGTCCGTTTGTTTCTAACAAAGAATGAGACAACAGACGTCGAAACCGTCGATGACACTGCGTCCACAGCTGCAAAGAAGGTGGTGAAAGTCGACTCAGTGTCACGGGATTCGTCGTCAGAAAGATTAAATGCTAGAGAACTTCTGAACAGGGAACTGAACGCACGCGAGACAACTGCGCCTGGAGGAGCTCTGGGGAAGTTACGGTGACATATTCAGATGTCATCTGTAGTTGTTCTATAGAAAACGCTGAAGAAAAGGATGAGAGGAGAAAGAAAGACGTAACACAAGTCTCGACGAAATATAGATGTCATCAGCTGGACTACATCTAGACTTCATGCACTACAGGGCTAGTAGTCTAATTTGCTTCCAATGAATTCGTCGTGCAGTAGACAAGGACTCGTTTACAGCCTTTTGTTTCGTGTTGTACAATGATGGTTTTTGTTACAAACGTTGTTTATAGACAATAAGCACGTTGTTTTGACAATCAGAATAGAGGAATGAAAGGGAAAATGCATAACTAATTAAAGCTGTCTGCAATACCCCACGAATGGGTACACTACTGACGTCGATTGTAAAAAAGCTACCACTATCTAGTATGTACATCTGACCAGTTTATCATGAACAGCATTCTGCTTCCGGTACGACCGGTCGTTCACTAATTAGACTAATTGAAAGTTAGTGATTGAATATTTCGACGACGCGGTTGAATCAACATCACCTCGACATTCAATTTAACAGTGATGTTGATTGAATATTTCGACGACGCGGTTGGATCAACATCACCTCCACAATTTTCTTTCTAGAAGGTAGAACGCGCCCAAGTCCTGAGCAGGTAGGAGACCTTGGGCTTGAAAGGTGAGCTTCTAAATAGAACTCCCAAGTCCGATCAAGGTGGCCGAGGACGGGCGACGGCAGGTGTGTTGCCTGACGACGCGGAGTTGCTGCCAGGTGCTTTACCATTAAGGCGCGTCAAGATCGACCGTCGTCTTGTTCACAGACGGGGATCTCTTCGTTTTCCAACGAGAAAACAAAAAAGATCCCCGAATGTAAACAAAACAAATCAACCATTACCCGACTACCTTTATCGCTTTTTGGACTTCCGGACTTATTCTTAACTGCTATAAGAAAGCGAATACTAACTGGGGATACTAACTGGGGAGTTTTTTTTTAACAGTGATGTTGATTGAATATTTCGACGACGCGGTTGCGAATTCTCGTGAGCTCTAATGGCAGGTCTCGTGCAGCGCAGTTCTTGTTTACATTCGGGGATCTTTTTTGTTTTCTAGTTGGAAAACGAAAGAGATCCCCATCTTGTCTTTGGGTTATGATCTACTTAAAAAAATCTATCTTTGGACGACGAATTCTCGTGAGCTCTAATGCCAGGTGCCGTGCCGATAGAAGACAGCACAGAAGATACGGAAGAGGTAGTACCTCCTGTCTCCAGTTCCAAGGAACCTGGGAAGGGAAATGCAAATGCTAGCAGGGATACGTTGATGTTAAGGCTAGAAGAAATCCATCTTCACAGGCATCCTGAGACCGTTTTCAAGGGGAGAAAGGTCCTCGGATGCGTCTCAAGATGGATTTCTCTTAGTTCTAATGATGGTGGATTGAGAAGGACGGCAGGGATACCTCGATGATGGGTTAGGGAAAGGGATACGTTGAGTTTTCGGAAGGCCAGAGGACGATGAGTACTACCCTTCTGGGCCAGCACAGCTTCCAGCAGGATCACCGGCAGAAAGCTCGGTTAGCGCTGATGCGGTACTATGCGAGATGAACTAAAATGCTTTTATTTGCTACTTTGATGTCGTGAAATCTGCAGAAGATGACTTGCCATTTTTTCTCACCTACAATCGTACACCAAAACTTGATGGTTGATTGAGGAGGTAAGGCAGATCTACAACAAGACATGTAACTGTTGTGAATCAATGAAATAGGTACGAAATAAATAGAAGTTACCTCTGTTCTTGTTGGGTATCCTATGTTGAGATGAATAAGGACCGATTGTTGCTTGTGAGTATTAACATACTATGAATAAGCAGTTTGATATCCACGAATGCCGGCTGGCTGCCATATTGCAGATAGATTGATAACGTCACCGAGATGAAACAAAATCGAGAAGATTTTAGGATAAAAGCCAAAGCATCTTCTGGTAGGTATCGAAAGGGGCTACTTAGCTTCAAGTTTCTGATAGCTACAATAAATTGCGTTCCTGCATAGTGATATAGTGGCAGTGCCACCGTGAGTTTTTTTTTCGAGTTTTTGATACGGGAGTCAATGCACTTATACAGTATAGCTATGCAGCACATAAAAATGGGGCAACCTTCGTTCAATTATTTTTAATCATCATGGATGGGCTTTAAGATGCAAATTTTATTTGATGTTTAGGAGCATGGGCATGCCATGTCATTGAAAGAGAAAGCTTTCAGCTTGAAGAAGTTTTTAGTCGTGCAATCGAGGAAGACAAGATAGATAACCAGTTATGACAGAGAATTACAAACATGCAAATATGTGTTTCAAGGGGTACATTTTTCGTTTCTAGAAGATGGAATTATGTAGATATATTTCGATTACATTTAGATCAAAGTAGAAGTCACGCTCCATCCCTACCACGCCAATGTACAGAAAAATGTGAAAATACCTCATGTCGCTTACGGTCGTAGATAGAAAAATGGATGGAGAAATAGGAGTGTTGAACAATGCTGTTTCCACCATGTCATTTGCACGTAGACTCGGACCACCACACTTGATTGATTGATTGATTGATTGAGTTGGCCCTGGGTCTGCTTGTTCCAGCGTTATCCAGCACCGCCGCTCGTTAGACGGCCGCATATTGTTGATTGATTGATTGAGTGTGAGCATGCGTTTGGACAAAACATATTTTTCGCTAGTTTGTCGGGCGGAAAGAAGAACAAACTCTGAAGCATATTTACTTTCTGAGCATTCGACTCAGTATAAGAGAGAAATCCTTTTTCTGTGTGAAGACACGTTCTGTCAATCTGTGGTTATTGAGCGAATGATTGACAAGGTGACTGAGGGGATTTTGGAAGGCGGCATAGTGATTCTGTTGACAGAGAGAAAGAGCGTTCAAATCCGAAGCTCTGTTCTCTGGAACAAAGGTCTGATTTATGAGGGATGTGATATGCTCTGTCCTATGAGATGCTCTTTCCTATTACATGCGCGCTAGAGTGCTATTGAAATTGATTAGACGACGCCTTCATCTACATGTTCACAGGCTATCCATTCTGTGTTGAGTTTTGGTTCATTAGACTCACGACAGTCTTTTACTCCGGAAGTTTATTTCCCATACGATAATACACTTTCCTTTTCGCGTTGTGTCTCTCTTTTGTTCTCTCTCTCCCTCGCTCGAACTCCAGTTCTTGTATTAGAAACCTATTCTCAAGAACATCCTTTACCTAGCCTCTGACCTAGTGGTATCTCTTTTCAGCGGAGCCATCTTCAGATAGGGAATATATTGCTCTACTCTTGGATCGTCCGAGGCATCAACAAGATGGGAAACATTTGCTGTCCCGGAAGTGATGAAGGTCGTGGAGGCGGTGGTGGTGCCGGCGGTGGTGGTTCTTCGGGAAATACCATGTGGCTGGTTTTTTCTGCGAACGACATGGGAACTTTGATTAAGGCCTCACCTGTTAATTTATCTCCATAAGCATGCGTCTTGAAGCTGTCTGCCTCATACGGAGACAGAAAGAAACATCTTCAAGATGCACTGGTCGTTATAAATATGTCTCCCAGTTGTAGGTGCGTATTTGTCTCTCTCTCTGTCTCTGGTCAAGTTCTTGACCAAGGGCTCCAACGCGATTTCTACCTGCACTGGTCGTTATATTTGTTCTCACCTACTACAAGACTCGTACACCAAAGAGTCACCAGGATATAGGCGGGCACAACACTTGCACTAATGGATTAGATGCACTCCAAGATGGATTAGGCACTCCAAGATGGATTAGGGTCAAACTACTTTTGACGTACCCCTGGATTGGGTTTACTACTACTGCTATCATCCATTAGGGTGAGCTCCTCTAATGTGAACATGTACTACAGTGCGCCGCCTGGTGGGTCCACCATCGTTGCCAAAGTCTCGCTGAGTTCCTCTGTGCCGGACTTCAAAAAGAGCAACAATGGCGGCAAACAAGAACTGGCCAAGGGATGTGGAGACAAGAAGAAGTTTTTCACGACCTATATGAACTTTCTGAAGCAGACTTGGCAATACGCACCTACTGGGATCGAGCTGCCCTCCCAAGCGGCGAATCACTCGACGAAAATCAAGTTCTTGACCAAGGGCTCCAATGCGATTTCTACCTGCACTGGTCGTTATATGTCTCTGTCCTCTGGCAGCATTGGTGCAGTAGCAGTGATCGATATGGATAACAATGCCTTGGATGCTGGCACGATGGAACACAAACTCTTCGTCCAAAAAGCCATGAACGAAGGTGCGGGAGAGGGGTTCTAAGCTCTACAACAACGGAGGGGCGGGAGAAGGCCCGGGAGCAGGGTTTTGTAAGGAGCCTAAACCCTGAAGAAAGGAAGATTCTTAAGCATGAACGAGGGTGCGGGAGAAGGGTAGTTCTAAAACAGGTTTTCTTAAGGGTAGTTCAAAAAAAAAATAAACGGAAAGGCAGGAGGAAGTTTCTCATCATGCGAGGGAAGGAGAATCCGGCAATCTCCTGGTACAACTGCAATCTCCTGGTGCTCACATTGGACGCGCCGCCGTAAAGGTGGTGTACAGCTGCATAAGTAGATAAGTGCCATTCCTTGGCATCCGAATTAAGTTTTTGAGACACTACCTCGTGCTAGGTAAATGAATGAATGAATGAATGTGAATCAGCATACTCAGTCACGGTCTATTAGAGTGGTGGAAGGACCACGAGGTCCAATGCATTAGTTTTGAATGAACCCTCAGATACTATTACTATGTATAAGTCTTCAATTGGAAATAAACATTATACGGGACATTCATTTTTTGATTTTGATAATTAAGGATACAGTCAGTATGAAGGAAGACTCAATGAAATAAATTAGTTGCAGCTGAGCAGCCAGCATTTTATCTGGTCGAAAATCCTTCAGGCAGTATACAACCATTCACGTTTTCAAAACATAAAAATGGTATTCGCGGCTGCTACCTTAACCTTTGGGACGGGATTGTAGAACAATGAAAAAATTTGCGGTGTGTTCGCGCGACTCGTCAAAGCCAATGGTTTCAGGAAGAAAAATGCGCAAAAGGAAGACTCACAAATAGAGCCATGAGGGTCAAGATTCAGATTCAAAAAATCGAACTACAAAACCTTCTCTATGAAGATGAAATGAACAATATTCCTGCGAGACCATGCTCACAGTTCTTAATATGAAGCCTAAAAACTTATTCGGTTGTTATTTTACCTGTCGTGAATTAACAATATTAACCATGGACCAGCATGACATGACGCTCCGTAATCGCCAAAAATGGAGCAACCCGCAGCACTGCTTTTCCGGCCTAGTGCTGGGTTGGTTTTTACCGACCTCTCTCAACAAGGCAGCGCTGCCGAACAGGCGGTAGTGGTGCAGAATAGCAGTCTCGAAGCAGCTGTCGATGTGGAGTGCACTGTAACGAGTAACCGGAGTTGGTATACGGTTCGGCCTCAGGTTATGAAGAGGGAAGAATCTACTTCTTCTATGGTACTTTCTCAGTTTTGGGGTGACTTATGATCACCCACAAAGCGCGATGATGAACTACGGCGATAGATCCATCAACTACGGCGAATTTAGTTAGGTAAAGCTGTCTGTAATACCCCACGAATGGGTACACTACTACTACTACTACTACTACTACTACTACTACTACTGGTTAACTGAAAGTTGGATAATAGGAAGTTATCTATGAAAAGCTTCTCAGAAGCTCTAATTCCCGCAAAATCACTTTACCCGCCAACGCCTCTCGCGAATTCCATGTCAGAGTACAAATTGATCGGGCTCTAGCATCTCGCGTGAGGGATCATTTACTTTTTCGTAGTGATTTCTTTTCGCAGAAGCTTCCTGTCTTTCTAGAACCGAGGGCATCTTCCATATCTTCCGGTAATAAAGGCGCACGTACTGAAGAAACTGGTGCCTACATGGACTGTTCCAGAATGGAAGAAGTTAGTTTCGGAAGGCCAGAGGACGATGCGTACCCTTCTGGGCCAGCACAGGTTATGCTTCCAGCAGGATCACCGGCAGAAAGCTCGGTTAGCGCTGATGCGGTACTATGCGAGAACTAAAATGCTTTTATTTCCTACTTTGAAGATGTCGTGAAATCTGCAGAAGATGACTTGCCATTTTTTCTCACCTACATCAATCGTAGAACACCAAAAATACACATGATTGCCAACAACAACTACTAACTTCCAATTACAAATAATGCACCAAGTAAAAACTACAGCCCTCGACGACCGGTCCAACCCGTCGCTCGCCTTCTATACCGAAGCAAGGTACCGCATCTTCAACGAGAAAGCATCGTCCTGGATCCCGGTCACCCAGATTCCAACAGGAAATGTTTGATGCCTTATCCCAAAGAGTCAGGATACTGGAGCAAAGCCATAGACGTCTGCAAACGCAGAAAATTCAAGCGGAAAGCGGGAAAACTAGACTAGAAGGAGAAGTCCTAGATTTGAAGGCAGAATTGGAAACAATGAGAAGCTGGAAAGGCTATGCGGTAGAAGTGGATGCTAAGTTAAGACTACTTATACTACTGCAAATTTTTTCTAGTCTATGCGGTAGAAGTGGATGCTAAGTTTTTAAGACTACTTGCTACTGCAAATTTTTTCTCCGGCTACATTTTTCTCTATCTACATTTTTCTCTATCGATGGATCTTTTGGATCTGACTTCTCCGTATGATTCTGCGTCTGCTAATCACTCTCTCCGAAATGAATGCAGATTGGCAGGACTTCGTCAAGCTGCGGCAAAACACAGACCTAAAGCAGATGGAGATTCAGAATGAGAAGGTTCTGAAAATCCTGCAAATGAAAGACGCGAAATTAGAAGAACTAGTGGCGGAGAGAGAAAAAGAGACGAATAAAGCGAGGGGGAGTGGTATTTTTACATGTCTCTCTGTAGTAGACACACTAGTAGACACTAGAAGCTTTGGATTGTTGGTCGCTTTGACAATTCCAAATCAGACTACTAGTATTTTCCATCTTAACTCAACACCAAGAACCAATCTCCTCTCAAAAAACACACAGAGCAGCAGCTCCAAGAACGTCTACACGCGGCAGAGGCCAGACAGCGAGAGATGCTTCAGGACCTGCAAGAGTTGGAGACCGTAAGAGGCCAAGAGACTAAACTACAACAGCAACGAGTCGAGTCTTTACAGGCAGAAGCAGCTGAACTGAGAGAGGAGAGGGATCGATTTGCTGCTCTATTTACGGCTCCTCTACTCTTCAGCTTCACGATCAACATCTTTTACGAGGACATCTTTCCAGAAGATGAACTACATTTTCATGATCATGTGGAGGAAAGCAGGCAAAAACTGCTCAAAGGGATGTCATGTGATGTCTTGTTGGGGTAAGACTTCTATTCTAATCTATGTCGCGAAGTAGAATCTCGCAGTACCGACGAGCTGCGAAGTGTGCGTGACGCTTTAGCGACTGCGGAACGCAGGCTTTGTGAGGGGGATGCGGAGTGTGAAAGATTGAAGGATCTCAATGCGAAGGCAGCCGAAGAGATCCAGAAACTTCTACGTGAGTGTCAGGAAAAGCAAGACGAGCTAGCAGACAGGGGAACACAGAGACAAGTTAAGGCTACCACAGATACATTCTACTTCGTTCTTGGGCTGTTTTCCAGAATGAAAACGAAAAGAACACCGGCAGGGGATCCTCGCAAGGACACATGAAAAGGCGGTTCTAATGCACGCGCTGCTACAAGACGTGGACGCAGCCATTCTCCAGGCGATCACCTTAAGGAGGATGGACGAGTATCATCAAGTAGAGCTGCAGCTGCCGCTGTGCGTGGAGAGATTGGATCGACAATAGTGTCATCCTCTTCAGCCGCGAACAACAGTAATCTGGAGTCTTCTAGCGTGTTCTGTCTGTCACAGCAGCAGGAAGCATCTCCCCAGGGGAATGCTGGGCTTGTAGTAGAGAATTCTCAACTCGCCGCTGAAGTTGAGAGACTGCAGGAAGTTCTCGCTGAGAGGGATGCGGAATTGGAGGACTGTGAACGTTTACTGCATCACACAAGGCGTAAAGACCTGCGTACTTCTGATATGCGCGGAGGTGGGAATAAAGATGCGCGTATTTTTATGAGTCAGGGGACAAGAGAGTCATCAAGAGTATCTTTTTTAGTTGTCTTAATACACTTCTGCGATTCCAATTCTGGACAATGTTTCTAGTGGCCTTACACTGAGAATTCCAAGTCTGGACAAAATTCATCAACATTATGCTCTACAAAGTAAGAATCATCTACTAACGAACCAGAGTCATGAATTAATTAAAACACGTGGACATGATCTCTATCACTATATTCTAATGTGAGCTCCCCCGACGTCGATGCGTCTTCGACAAACGCAGGCGCGGCATTAGAAACGGTGAAACTAATGGCACAATTGAAGGCCAGACTCCACGAATCCGAGACGAAGGCAAGAAAAGCAGAAAGCGATGCGGCTGAGCTAGCGAGCAAACTACAGAACACCGCTGAAGCGGAAGGAGAAAAACGGGTTAAGTTAAGATTTGGTTGTAAGCAGAGATCTTGCTCTTTCCGATATCACCATGAGCATTCCTCAGAAAGGTACAAGTTGGTTGAACGGCCTCCATATAGCGTTTGTAGAACGTAAAATGAGGCTCCCTGACATGACATTCATTAGTAGAAATACAAATAGATACCATAGGACGTAAATCCTCAAAATTGACCTCTCGCCAGGCACATCAATCAATCAAGCGTAGAACCCCGTCTAATCTCAGCTGAAGATGCTCTGAAGGTGTACACGAGTAAAACCTACGCTACTGGAGAAACGCAGACCTCGGATGCTTGGTGGAATGAGGTGCAGATGCTATCGGATAGTGGTAATCTGTATTTGAGTTTTGTTTGGGTTTTGTTGGATTTACTAAGTCTGAATCGAATCCTGTTTTGAAATCGAAAATCATCATCCGCTGCGTGGTCTTTTCCGCCAGGTTACTTAAGAGCACTACACAGCGATTACAATTCCATTTTCTTCTCTCTTCCTTTGACCCACAGCCGTCTCCGCTGTTTCTGCCGAACTTCGTTCTGAACTCCTCAAGCAAGAACAAGTCTTGCACGACCAACGCCTAAGTGCGCAACGAGAGGAGCGTATTTCCGATGACAAACTGAGAGACGCTCAAAAAGAGTTGGAATTCGCTACGAAAGAAGCGGCTGACTGGAAGAAGGAATGCGAAAATGGGCAGAGAACCGCAGCAGCGGATGTCAAGGAGGCTCGCGATCGGGCTTGCGGCTTGGCGGAGAAGATGGAAAGCCTGCAGCAAGAGATCGAAGTACTTCAAGAACAAGCCGGACAGAGTCGCAAACGACACGAAAGTGAGAAAGCGAAACTAGAAGCCGAGGTAAAGACATTGGATTCTCGACTGAACGAGCGTCATGCTCAACTAGTAGAAGCACTCGGCAGTTTGGAGGCGGCTACGAAGGTGGTGAATAACCATAGCAAACAAGGGGCACCTGCAGGAGGTCCTACAGCTTTTACGGGTAGGCGAAAGGTGGTCCCCCGTGTTCCTGTTAGCGTTCGTTTTGCCTCTTCTAAGGGAGGGGAAAGGCATAACGAACGGGGCAAAGGAACACCTCCAAGAGGGTACCGCTAAAACTTCTGGAAGTAGTAGTGATGGTGGAGCACACGCGGTAGGTGTAAATGGGCAAGATCATGATGCTGCTACTTCTTCACAAGTCGGAGAGTTGCTGAGACGTGTGAGTGAGTTAACGGCCAAGAACCTGGCTTTGACGAAGGCACGTGCAGGCGAACAAAGAGAGAAAAGATTCTTGGAAGCCTCTTTCGAATTGTTATCGCGTGAACACGAAACAGTTACCCGTCGCGAGAACACTCTTGCTTCGCAACTGGCAGTTGCAAGAAAGAGTCTGGAAACTGTTGAGAAAAACTGTCTCAACAAAACCAAAGCCGCCGAAGACGCTTCCGCAGCCTTGAAGCAGAGCGAGCAAGAGCGACGACGTCTATGGCGCGACAAGGCACATGCGGAAGAACAGTCTGAGCATTGGCGAGCGGAACTAGCAAGAGAAAGGAGCGAAAGAGAAGAACTCTGCGCTCGACAGGTATCGAGATTACGCGACGAGCGACAACGACTGGAAGCGGACGTGGTTCAGGCGAGTACCTTTGGGGCATTAGAAGCATTGTTTGAACAAGAATTCGATGCAGACTTGCATGGTGGTTCTAGTTCTAGTTCTGCGTCGAGCGACAACAAGCCAAAAGATCATCATCATCCACCAGCATCTTCTTCTTCATCCGCAGCGGCCCCAGGAGTTAGTACTTCCTCAAATTCCTCCGGTAGCCCTAGGATACCGAGTTCTCCTGTGACGTTCTCAGCAGGCTTATCGCAGACGGTAGAGGATCGCAAGAGGGCTGTGAAGAGACCGCCACCTGCACCGCGTGGCCCGCCTCCGTCGCAAAACGCTGCTAGGAGTCGCTCGGCGTCGAGGCAGGAACAGAAGACCACGCCACAGGTGTCGTTCTTAGTCGAAAATGAGACGTATATTTCTAGTGACAAGCATGCAGTAACTGCACAAAGTCAAGGTGCACATGCCCATGCGGGACAACACGTTCAAGGCCATTCGCATCGCGGAACTTCATCTTCAACACAGACACAAACACATCAGCACTCAAGAAATGCATCGCCTTCATCTAGTTCTAGAGCACCTCCGAATAAACACGGCAACAGTGCGCTATTCACACTATTGCAGAGTACGTTGGCGGATCTTAAACAGGTCCTGGCCAGACGGGACGACTCTGTGGTAGACAGGGTCGGCAACCTGTACTTGTCTCTAGTGAAAAAGTACTTTATATCCGAGAAGCAACTGGCTTTTGCAGAATTGCGTGAGACGCGGTCGAGGAATCAGATTGCGCGCTATGCTGAAACGGCTGCTGGAGGAGAAGCCAAGTCGCTAAAGATGAGTGGCGAAGTCAAGAACACTTCAACTTCGTCGAAAGACTCCAAAGACTCCACTAGTTCTGCGAAGAGCAGTAACCAGGAAGAGAATTCTGGCACAACTACGGTTGAGTTCAGGACCTCCCGACCAGAAACTTCCAGTTACCTCGCTGCGATCAGCGAACTTGAGCGTTCACTGGAAGACACAGCGGCAACAACAGAAGCCTTGAGGCAGCACAGTTTTTTGCTTGAGGCGCAAAATGCAGAGTTAGAAACCAAGTTGCGGACACAAGCAGAGGTAAGCGACCGATTGTCGACTCAACTAGCACTAGAACGCTCAGGACAAGCGGCCAATCTAGAATCGGCAAGGCATGGTATGGAGGAAGAAGTACTGGCTAAAATTGGCGGTTGGAAGGACGCATTATTGGATAAAGTGGTGTCCTTGGCACTGGTTGGAGGTGGGGGAGGTGACTCTGGCGGCAATAAATCAGCATCATCGTTGCTTGGTATGAACAAGGAAAAAACAGAAAACCTAACATCCACAACAGGTAAGATCAACATCACTGGACTGGACAGCCACAACGATGCACCGCTGAGAACAGCACAGAGTACTAAAGACACAACGACTGGTCAGAGCGCGACTACAGAGAGCAGTCGCACTAGCCCTAGTGACCAAGAGCAAGTATTTGAGCAGATGGAACATGATCTTCACCGACCACGCGCTACAGCAAGAACCGGCTTTGAGGCCGCGGCACATGCAGCCAAAGTCCAAAGGCATTGTTGGTCCCTAGAAATCGCGGTCCAGGAGCTATCGGAGGAACTGGCCAAGCAGAAACTGCTTGCCTCCTCTGTGTGGCAACAGAACACACAGCTGAAGGCGTTCATTCAGCCCTCGTCTTCTGGGAGTGGTCCTGTTGGTGGAATGCTTGGTACGAGCGGAATAAGCGCGGCCACCAATGGAGGAAGTAGAAGTATGTTGGACCATAGCGGCACCATGCTGCCGGGGGTAGGGGTAGCTGGAGGCGTCGTTGGTTCTGACACCGTGGTGAAAAACCTTGTCGGAGGGAGTGCGATCGACCCGGCTTCGTTTGACAACTCCGCACTATCGCAAGTGGATCAACTTCTACGGTCGAGCAGAAAGCCTATCTACGGTACTACAGGTGCTCTCCAACTAGTTCCCTTTTCGTATTCGTCGACAATGATCTCAGCAGAAGGGAGCGCGACCAGGCTGTTGTCTCAAGTCGAGAGACGACAAAAGGAGTTCTTAGCCACGGTCTATCAGAACAACGAGGCTCTGCGTGTCCGCGCACAAGAGCAGCTGCAGGACAAGATCAAACACTTGGAACAGCAACTGCAGCAAATCACTTTGGAGCGGGAGAAGATAGAGCTAGAACGGTCTAGACTCTCTGGAGCAGCGATGGAATCGAGGTTAAGGGTTACCACATTGCATTCTTCACTACTTGTTTTCGAGTAGCACACTGCCTTGTTTTCAGTAGCACATTCGCCCACCACATTTACTACATTGCCTTGTTATTTTCCAGTAGGAAAAGGGTTAGGGATGATCTGAAGAATGCAATGTCGCAACCTCTAACGAGGGAGCAAACTCAGAGACAAATCCTAGACTTGCACGAAGAAAAAATGCGAGAACAGTCCGCAGCAGAGGCAGAAAGAAGAAGATTGGCGACAACGCTGTCGCAAACCGAAATCCAGTTGGAGGACGCAAGGAGGGTGACGAGGGAACAGTTATGCAAGATAGATAGCAGATCTTAATGTTAACGTGTAGAAGAGGACCTGTTGAAGATCGTGGCAGCGGACAAGAACCGTGGCTACTTCTGAAAACACTTGATAGTCTATCATTCGGTCTTTTTGCTCTTCTTTTCTGAAGGTACAATCAGGCTGAAAGGGCCTCAATCCCATTTGACAGGATGGACAATGAGGTAGCATGACAAGACAAGATTTGCATTTGTTTCTCTTACGAATTTTCTCCCATGGTTCTAACCTACGAAGACCTACTCAGTAGCGCAATGACTCGAGAAAAACAGCTTCGGGAAGAAGTTTTGGCATTAGACGGCGATCGTGCGCAATTACAAGCGGTTCTTACGACCGAGAGGGACGCGGCAGAGCAAGGAGCTGCCGAGCTCGCGAAGGTTCGTCTAGAACTACGCACTGCAACCTTGGAGGCCGAACGCGCAACGAATGAGAGGCTGCAAATCGCAGATGCTAAGGAGTTATGGGTTATTTTGGGAGGACTCTTTTCGGGAGAGGCACGACCAACTTTGTTCTTCTAGAGGTTCGAAGACTCTCTTTTCCCAGTCTAGTCTTGGTAAGTACGGAATTTCCGAAATGAAAAGTTGATACTTGTCGTTTCTCCTTCTAATTCCATCCACAGAGGCCGAACTCTCTGAACAACTACGCGCTGTCCAAGCGCGTGCAAGTGCAGCTGAGGAGTCTCTTCATTTGCGTATAAACGACCTCGATCGCCTGCAGATGCAAACCGAGAAGACGCGACTAGAATTGAACAGCTACGAGCAAAAGTACACCGACGCTCTGGAGATGATAGACAGCTTACAAGCCGATGTTGGTGAGAAACACCAAACGGATGGAGAGAACGAGCAGCTGCGTGCACAAGTGGCTCGGCTGGAATTAGATGCCGGTAGCCGGGAACTGGAAATACAGGGACTTGTGGAAGCATTTGAGGAGGTGAAGAAACAGCAACAACCAAGGAATTCACTTGAGGGAGCTGCACTAGGACAACCCTCTAAGGAAGAACTGCAAGAAGAAACGGTGATGCGAACCAGGGTTGGCACAGCCGATACAGCCCTCGCGGTGACTATTTCTGATGTGGTAGAGCAGCAGCATGAAATCGACCCATTCGATATTGGAAGCATGCTAGATCTGCAGCCGCCCCAACAGCAACCTAAGCCTACATCAGAACGTCTCCTTACTGCTCGCGGCACCGATTTGCGTTCTTCTATTTCGTTGCCTAGATTTGGAACCAATCAACATTAAGGCTCAACTTTCAATGGTCATTGGAGTTGGTCACTGAGATCGAAGAGGCGACCCCTTGAGAGAACAGGGGAAAACGAAGGGAAAGGGGAGAGTTTTGGAGGGGGTTTCTTCCGTTCAGAGTCAGTGACCAATGAATGCTGAGCTTTAACAACAAGATCAAGGCTGTCAGACTCTCCTGGAGTGTCCCACGGGACTACGTAGAGCAGAAGAGCGCTGTTACCTGGTCTCGGCGTCGGACCACGAGGCCTTGGAAGCGAAAATGACGAAGTTGCGCGACAAGGTAGCAAGTCTAGAAAAGCGGAGGGCGTTGGAGAGACAACGCGTAGAGGAAGCAGCGGCGAGGGAACAACAAGAATTGATTTTTATGGGGGGTAGGGTGGATTGGTAGGGTGGATTGGTCGTTTTAAAACACTTCAGCATGAATTTTATCACTCGAAAACGTAAGTAGCTCGATTACATTTTCAACCTAACAACTGTGTCCTCTTCCTCTAACAGGCCACGCCTTGAAGCGTTGCTTGACGCACAGAAGCATCTGCAGGAGAAATACATCACCGTCAAAACTGCGAAAAAAACTCTCGAAGCCCGCGTGATGGACTTGGAGCAGCAGAACTTTTCCTTGTTGAGTCAGGAGGAAGCTGAAGATCGCAAAGCATCGACAAATGCTACTAGACACGACCAACTTCAACATCTAGCCGACTCACCCGGCGATTCCGCAATAGTCGGTGTTGAACGGGCAAAAGCTGAGATGGTAGTGGCTGTGCAGGGTGCTGGAAGTACAACATTGACGGCAAATGAGTCAACTTCCGGGGAAGCAGATTCATCATGTTCATCATCCTCTTCTTCGCCTGCGCTGGGAGAACCAATGTCCGGAACCTCAAATGCATCGGCAAAGAAAGTAGTATCCTCTATTGAAACACAAACGGAGTCTGGAGACGCTTCCAGAAGTGTAGATACTTCTACAAAGGCTTCACAGAGTGAGGCAAGACCGCTTTCTCTTTGCCTTCGTCCCGCAGGGGATTTGTCAACTGTCATTGACGTTTACCCTGATACGATGTTTCAGGCGAAGAAGGCGGCTTTGGCGGAGCTTCTGGATGGTACGCAGGCGATGAATGCGAAGAACGAAGAAACATCCGAGGTTCTTGATTTAAGGGTTGGAAGTTGGAATGCGAAGAATGAAGAAACATCCGAGGTTCTTGATTTAAGGGTTGGAAGTTGGCCTATCATCTATGGGCATCTCTATGGCTTCGCCAAGTAGGAAAGCCATAGATATGCGAACTAGAGATGCCAACTCTCAGCCTCTAATTGATGCATCAGCTACACCTTGTAAAAATGAGCCTGATCTTCCTGCTGTTGGTCAAGGCTCTGGTTCCTCTGGTGCTGTTCCTCAAAGTAAAAACAGTACCGAGATGAACGAGGCATCTTCAATACCACCAAGCGAAAACCAACCTAGTAAGATGCTAGCATCTCCATCCTTAGCTGAGGTGAATGGCCTCCTTTATGACGTCAGAGCTGAACGGGCCAAGTGCTCTGAGAATAGCACATTACGTCTCGAGTTGGAGGCTCTGCGTTGTGACCACGGCTACCAAGTAGACGCCAGAAAAAGGTTAGAGCATGAAAGAAGCGTGTTGTTACGTGAATTAGGCGCAGTGCAGGAAGAACGTAACAAAATCATGGGTTTGTGGACTGGTAGTTCTACTTCTGGAGTTGCCGTGACCACGGGTGGAGAACAAGCTTCGTCTCCAACAGGTGGAGCAGGAGGAGCTTTAAAGATACTACAACAGGCTTCTTTTTCCGGTGTTGGCGATGCTGCTACGATGAAACTCGGATTACCGTCGACCGCTTCGAATGTCCACCAAGCAACAAATGACGATGCCCACGAAGGACTCGACCCAGCGACATCTATAGACGACGTCTCACGTTTGCGCAAGCACAATTCAGAACTAAAAAGTCTACTCGCTTCTTCTCAGAACAGGTTTGAGGAGTTGCGGTTGATCTGCGAGTCGACTGAAGAGCTTTCAGCACAACTTCGAGCTGCTGGCGGGCGCGAATCGGTCTTGCGGGAACAGCTTGAATTGGCTCTATCCGAACAGCAACTCCTCCGCGAAGAATTGAGAGCCAAACAGGAGGCTCTGATGCGACTGCGGTATGGCGTAGCTGCTAATCTAGAGCATGTTGAGGACGAGGGAGAATCACAATTGCTTGGAGGCGTGGATGACAGTTCGTATGGGCCACCCTTTGATGTCCATGTAGTTGGTGCTCGTCAACATGACGAAATATTTACCACAGAACAAGAAGAAGATAGTAGAGACTGGTCACGTCTTGATGACGCTAGTTTTCTCAACGCATCAGCACGAGGTCGGGACTTGGTGGATCGAGGAGGCCTGCCGAGACGTAGTCGTAGTGCAGATAGGACTAGGAGAGGCCGGAGAAACGACGTTGAAGAGCAAAGAAGGCGACCAGCATCTGCTAGACCCGCGAGAGGCAGCGGGAAAGCGAATAAAGGTTTAGGTCGTGGAGGTACCACTCGATCTGGTGGTAGCGTTGCTGTAAGAAATCCACGACAACTGGGCGCAAATGGCACCACCAAGCCAAGTACGACACGTCGATCTCTGTCACCGCCAATCACAGCCAAAGAGCGGCGAGAGGCGGAGAGCAGGAAACTGATGGCAGAAAAGGCCCTAAGAAAACACGCCGCCGACGCACGTTCTCGCATGAAGGAGTACAAAGACAAAGCCGCAACACTAGAGACTGAACGAGACAGGCTCCAAGAAAAGGTCAAAGACCTCCAAGCGTGCTTGAAGCTTTCGAAAACAGAGTTAGACTGCAAGAAGCAGTTGCTTCTGTCTCTACAGAATCGTGCGAACAACAACGCAATTTTAGCAGCGAGCAGTCCACAGGTGACAACTGGCAGCAGTGTGGGGGTGAATGGGACGATGACCACGACGCCTCGAGGAACAACAGGTGTGCTAGAAGATACTCAAAAAAATAATGATCAACACGCTGTACGTGTACCAGCAGCAGGAGACACAACTCGTGCAGGTTCAACACATCAACAAGTTGTCGTTCTCACTTCCAAAGAGAAGGAGGAATTAGTCGAAAAAGTGAAACAACTAGAAGACCGATCACGGGCACGAGAAAGAGAATTAGGGAGAAAGGAGGAGCTCGCCAAGGGCTGGAAGGAGAAGGAGAAGACAGCAAGGGAGAAGCTTGAGGCGCTTTCCAAAAAGGCTAAAAAAGACGAAGAAACTGTGAAAAAGCAACGCGGGGAACTGGAACGCAAGGAGACTTTGCTCAAAGCCAAAGTAGCTGCTCTGACTGACGCAACAGTTGCCTTGCAGGTGACCGAGGCGGATAAATCGAAAATTCAAGCAGAAAGGGACAAACTAGCGCTAGCACTAGCAGCTGCGAAGAAGAGACGAAGACTAGGGATGCAATGCGGAGTTGGAGTGTGGGATGTTGTGCCGTCCACTTCTAGCTCATCGGGGGTTGATAATAGCAGAGTACCAGTACTACAGCAAAGGCTAACAGGAGGTTCAACATCCGATCTTCATCTTGGTCGTGGTACCATCAACATTCAACAAGAATTAGAAAAGGAGAAAAAATCCGAGTCCATCCTTGGAGCTTTGTTGCAGGAGATTCAGGGGTTGAAGCGGAGAGGAGATGGCGTTGTAGGAAATGATGCTAACGGTGCTGGACCTGCAGCTGCACCTGACCAATCTCCAAGAGGAGACGTTGACATGGACACAGAGCATCAACAAGCTAGCTCGTCGACGTCTAGTGGAACTTGTAGTAAATCTTCAATAGATAATATGGATAGTAGTAGTACCAAGAAGAACAACAAGGGTAAGCCCGCTACAACTTCTAGAGGCGAAACAGTACAAGATCGAAAGAGACGTGCCGCCAGGTTGTTTGCTCAGTATGATGAAACTGAGGATGAAGACGAGGAGGAAATGAGATTATCATCTTCAGCCGCTACTTCTATGAAAGGCATCAAAGCGGTTGGTTTCGCTAGTAGTGGACAACATCAACAAGGTCGAGCTGTGGTCGAGAGATCTCTTAGTCCTATCAATGTAAGACACTCTTCTACGTTGGCCTCTGCTGCGCGTGATAGTCATAGTGTTAAGAAAGGACCAGGAGAGTTAAAATTCCGATCTGCTGCATCAGGAACATCATTTTTAGGCAGTAGTCTTCTGAGACCGGGCCTCCGAAGTGCGTTAGACGCGTCTACTAGCAGAGAAGAGGAAGACGCTAGTCCGCCAGGACCGGGTGGGCAAAACCAAAACGACGCCAGTCCTCAAGGAGACGATCTAAAGCTGCTGACACAATCCGAGGAGCTTTTTGGGCGCGACTTCAAACTCCGCGATAAACTATCCGACAAATTCAAGGTGGATGCTGCAGTCTTAGACTCTCTATCCATCTTGAATCTGACGCTGGAGGATGTGCCAGCGTTTTTGCGTGCTGGGTCGTCACTAGAGTATTCGTTGGATGATGAGTGAACTGTGTCCTAAATTCATTGTCCTCTGATGTTTTTTTTTATATGTTGGAGAACCGCCTGTTGTATATGAGAACTACTGTGTCCTAGATTCATTGTGGTCTGTTTTTTTTTAGATGGAGAACCGCCTATCTGTGACCTCTTCAGTAGTTTTTTTCACCAGTGACTGACTATAATAATAGCAGTCTTCTTGTCAAACTAGAAAAAGGTTGCATCAATCGAATGGATAAGCATGATGAAAGAAAGTGTGTTGAACATCTTCTATCTTAGAGACTACTTAGTCAATATTAATGTCACTTAGTCAATATCAATTAATCTCGCAAGATACTAGATAAGATTGTATAAATATCTATTTTGAATCTGACGCTGGAGGATGAATGAGTTCTTTTGGGAAATGATCACTTGGCCATGCAGCTGTTGGGTATTTCTTTGATTCCTTGTCAATTTCGCTGGACTATTATAAAGGACTATTTTTACACTCTAGTTGGGCTCCACCACAAATAAAAGATTAGGACTACTCTACTATTGAAACTTCCGCGAAGAAGCTAGTTTCTCACTCAACTGAAGATAGTTTTGATTGGTTGAGTTCGTTTTTTTTGGAGAACAACTTGAGAAGGCCTACCGACGCATCATAGGACTCGGAAAACGTACTCAAGTTTCATAGAAGAAGGAAGAGCAACATATGGACACGATTCGCCTTTTGGCGTTGATGGGAAGTTTTCTAGGTCTTGCTGAGCAGTGTTCGCAAGTATAGAGTCGCAGAGAGAACAGCGCATTGTAAAAGAAATGTCTGTTTCAAGAGCGTTGGAGAAGAACTGTCTGTTCCAAGAGCGTTGGAGAAGAAATGTCTGTTCCACGAGGAGTCGTGTATTTAAAGATCAAGAAAGATGATTCCGTCTGCTTGAAGAGGAGTGAGGTCTCTGTAGAAGGAAAGGCACGGTCTGTGTACAGTCTGACTCCCTTATGTTAGTTCTGTAGTAGGAGATGATCACTCTGTCTTAAGATCCTCTTTTCACTGACATACACAGCCGCTTGCTGTAGGCGCAGCCTATCGCGCTTTCGTTTCCCCTCTTTACCTTCTTTCCTCAAAATTTTTCCTTACTTCACTTCAAATCCGCCTTATCCAATTTTCGGTCCCGTTCCCCCCATCATAAGAAAACAAAATGTCGGATCTCGACATGGCTGCGAGCTTGATCCTCGATATCATCGCGGTGGGGACCAATGTGTTGCTCTACATGGCTCCAATCCCGCTGCTCTTCTGGGGCTTGAAAGAGCAAAAGCAAAAACGCAAGGATCAACCGAATGTACCATTTACATGATCATTTATAAGTTCTAGTCTTTTATTGCTAAAAACAAGAACTCTAAATGCTTAGATCTGTTTTTACTCTTGACTAACATACGTACTACCACGAGGGGAAGCAACACACTACCGCTAACATAGTACCACTTTTCTATGATAGATTAGTTTTTTTCACACTACCGCTAACATACTACCACTTTTCTATGATAGATTACAGTTGCTACCACTTTTCTATGATAGATTAGTTGCTTATTTCACGAGGGCAACGTAGTAGCTCGCTAAATGTGCATAAAACAGGAACCTCAAGGCGTGATAGACTTGCCGCCTTTGCCGTTGACGATGCAAGCCGCTTCTTGTATCGGTTGGCTGACTTACACGTCTTTGAACCTCATTTGGATTGGTATCATTCCCAATGCGCTTGGAACGTTGCTGTCCTTTCCTTACCTGCTGAGCTATAGCAGCATTTACAAAGCGAATCTTTACATTACGAAGTGGTGCTGTACAACATCAAATGAATCCATGTAGTGTACAAATTCTCTCCAAGTGGTGTACAACATCATACAAATTCTCTCCATCTTCTACCATCTATCAATCTTGGTCCCGTGTATTTTGGGCTTAGGGAAAAGAAGCGGGGACGACCAAGATTGATTCTGTCCAAGAAAGATGGAAATGGATCTCTGCAAGGTGTCTAATCACAGTGGGCAACTGAAAGGTCAAATGATCAAGGTTTCGGTCTTCGTGTCCATCATCATGGTCCTGCTTTTGCTCAGTCAATTATTCGATGGGAAGGATTCCGATGCTGTGGTGGCAACGATTGGTTGGCTGTGCTTTTCCGCATCAGTCAGCTTTCTCACGACTCCCCTCCAAGAGTTCGTTCGTGCTATTTGTTTGCAAAACGTGGAAGTGTTGTTAAGACACTGCATCCGTCACTTACATGATCCCTGACTCTTTTTACCCCCACTATACCGCACTGCATCCGTCACTAACATGATCCCTGACTCTTTTTACCCCCACTATAAAGAAGTGTACTCTTTTCCCACTGAGAAAGAAGTGTCAGGGAAGATGTTCTGACGAGTGCGGTGGTTGACGATTTCCTCTAAGCTTAGGCTCGTTGACGATTTCCTCTATGGCCATGGGGTGCACAGTGAGTTGGACGATTAAGGGCGTCTTTTATCTGGAGGATTTTCCTATTTCTATCGCCAACGGACTGGGCGTGCTGATCCACACGATTGCGCTGTGCATTCGCTTTTACTTTCGCAATGCCGAACCTTTGCCTGATGCCGCGTACCCTGAGGAACTGGCCAAAATGCAGAAACGGTACCCCTGTTGTCTGGGTAATGGATTGATGAAGAAGTTTCTGGCGCCTGGAGACACCTCCTCCAAAGCTGGCGATGATGCTGTTGCCGATCGTGAGTACGTCTCTGGTGTCTACTACACCCTGAAGCCAGGATCGACGCGCAGTTCTCGACTGGGATCCGCGATTATCAGTCAAGATCTTGAAGCGGTGGCGGACAACAAAGTCGATTCGGATCTTGGACAACAAACTGAGAAGACAGACGACATCACCATTACGGCTACACCTTCAATCTATCTTTCAGGCATTCTTAAGCTCACAGCATCAGCGATTAGTCAAGATCTTCTCTCGACTGGGATCAGCGATTAGTCAAGATCTTATTCAAAAAAAATTCATCCTCCTCGTCCTCAGCATCATGGTGCCGTTTCTTTTCTCAGGGAAAAGAAGCGCCAGGAGGCTCCTGAAGATGGGTTTCAACACTTACAGTTCTAACGCCAAAGCCGCGGCTGAGTTGGCAAAAGAAATGCCGGACGATGCTCCTGAGGCGAGAGAAACGGCTGTTGAGCTCGCGAATGTCGTTGTGGAGACGACGCAAGCCGAGCCTTGAAGCAGCATGGTCGTGCTGCGCACTTCTATTGAAGGTTCTCGCACGTTCTTTATGATATAACCTCGTCCAGCTTGAATGAATCTATCAAGTGGGGGGAATACACGACATGACATGATATTATGACATCAATATCTGGTAAACCTGAAAAGTTCGCGTCCTATTACCGCAGTAATATAGTCTTGACGCTACATGATCATCAACTGTTCACTGCACGTCCTACGAGAGTGCGACGAGAGCCAATGAGTGTCTGCTAGGGTTTCCCCGAGAGATCTACGTCTAGCTATGATGTCTCGAGAGATTTACGTCCCTACCACGTCTAGCTATAATGTCTCGAGAGATGTACGTCCAGTCTCGAGAGATGTACGTCAGTCGTATCTTGTTGACAGCAATTTTCGTACTATGGACGTCAGTCGTTGAATCTTGTTGACAGCAATTTTCGTACTATGGACGTCAGTCGTTGAGTCTTGTTAAAAACAGCAATTTTCGTACTATGGACGTCAGTCGTTGAATCTTGTTGACAGCAATTTTCGTACTATGGACGTCAGTCGTTGAATCTTGTTAACGGCAATTTTCGTACTATGGACGTCAGTCGTTGAGCCTTGTTGACAGCAATTTTCGTACTATGGACGTCAGTCGTATCTTGTTGACGGAGATATTATGCCCAACTGGTGGAGATATTATGCCATCTGTAAGACAGTCATCATGGTCGACGAGAATGAGGCTGACACTGACTCGTGTCTGAGAGTGTATCTGTAAGCTTGAGCGTGTCGCCTGTGGTGCCTCTGTCTTCTAGAGTGGTGCTTCCTAGTTCCCGCAGGAGCTTCTGTGAACATTGGTCTTTAGCCAGAGAGAGGTGCCACACCTAATCTAGTGCCGTCACTTACTCCCTTTCTACGCCTATTCAGAAATCGCAGGAATTTTTTTGGTATTGTAACAGACACTCTTTTTACCGTTAGTTTCCTTCTCTTCCCCATGCCTTGTTGTACCTCAAGAACAACGCTTGTTGTTATCGCACGCTAAGCTACAGGTACGTGATACTGTTCACTAATGTGTGATGGAGGATCCAATCTAATGATAATTATACTAAAAAGTGGATTACGATTTAGGAAAAAATGCAGGGTGCTGCTGCAGCTTTCGCACGCTCCTCTGGTGGAGTGTCCGCTGGCTCCACCAAAGCCTCTGGAGGTGTTTCTTCAGACATGGCCTCTTTGATGAAGTTGAATGGCATGATGAACGGCCATGACAATCTGAAGAAAAAGAATCCTCTACTAGACAGTGACGAGGATGACACAGGTGGAGGTGCTTCGGGGAATCCTTTGTTAGCGCAAGTGATTCAGATGGGTCGTGAAGAACAGGGCCGTGCAGGTGGAGGAGATCTTCCAACTTCTGCTTCGGGAGGTGGCACTAACGCAAGCAGTAAAGCTCTGGGTGCGTTTTCTGCTCTGGGAAGGGCGAAGCCTCGAGGAACAACAGGTGTGCTAGAAGATACTCAAAAAAATAATGATCAACATGCTGTACCAGCAGCAGGAGACAGCACAACTCGTGCAGGTGGAACACATCAACAAGTTGTCGTTCTCACTTCCAAAGAGAAGGAGGAACTAGTCGAAAAAGTGAAACAACTAGAAGACCGATCACGGGCACGAGAAAGAGAATTAGGGAGAAAGGAGGAGCTCGCCAAGGGCTGGAAGGAGAAGGAGAAGACAGCAAGGGAGAAGCTTGAGGCGCTTTCCAAAAAGGCTAAAAAAGACGAAGAAACTGTGAAAAAGCAACGCGGGGAACTGGAACGCAAGGAGACTTTGCTCAAAGCCAAAGTAGCTGCTCTGACTGACGCAACAGTTGCCTTGCAGGTGACCGAGGCGGATAAATCGAAAATTCAAGCAGAAAGGGACAAACTAGCGCTAGCACTAGCAGCTGCGAAGAAGAGACGAAGACTAGGGATGCAATGCGGAGTTGGAGTGTGGGATGTTGTGCCGTCCACTTCTAGCTCATCGGGGGTTGAAAATAGCAGAGAACCAGTACTACAGCAAAGGCAAACAGGAGGTTCAACATCCGATCTTCATCTTGGTCGTGGTACCATCAACATTCAACAAGAATTAGAAAAGGAGAAAAAATCCGAGTCCATCCTTGGAGCTTTGTTGCAGGAGATTCAGGGGTTGAAGCGGAGAGGAGATGGCGTTGTAGGAAATGATGCTAACGGTGCTGGACCTGCAGCTGCACCTGACCAATCTCCAAGAGGAGACGTTGACATGGACACAGAGCATCAACAAGCTAGCTCGTCGACGTCTAGTGGAACTTGTAGTAAATCTTCAATAGATAATATGGATAGTAGTAGTACCAAGAAGAACAACAAGGGTAAGCCCGCTACAACTTCTAGAGGCGAAACAGTACAAGATCGAAAGAAACGCGCCGCCAGGTTGTTTGCTCAGTATGATGAAACTGAGGATGAAGACGAGGAGGAAATGAGATTATCATCTTCAACCTCTACTTCTATGAAAGGCATCAAAGCGGTTGGTTTCGCTAGTAGTGGACAACATCAACAAGGTCGAGCTGTGGTCGAGAGATCTCTTAGTCCTATCAATGTAAGACACTCTTCTACGTTGGCCTCTGCTGCGCGTGATAGTCACAGTGTTAAGAAAGGACCAGGAGAGGTAAAATTCCGATCTGCTGCATCAGGAACATCATTTTTAGGCAGTAGTCTTCTGAGACCGGGCCTCCGAAGTGCGTTAGACGCGTCTACTAGCAGAGAAGAGGAAGACGCTAGTCCGCCAGGACCGGGTGGGCAAAACCAAAACGACGCCAGTCCTCAAGGAGACGATCTAAAGCTGCTGACACAATCCGAGGAGCTTTTTGGGCGCGACTTCAAACTCCGCGATAAACTATCCGACAAATTCAAGGTGGATGCTGCAGTCTTAGACTCTCTATCCATCTTGAACCTGACGCTGGAGGATGTGCCAGCGTTTTTGCGTGCTGGGTCGTCACTAGAGTATTCGTTGGATGATGAGTGAACTGTGTCCTAAATTCATTGTCCTCTGATGTTTTTTTTTATATGTTGGAGAACCGCCTGTTGTATATGAGAACTACTGTGTCCTAGATTCATTGTGGTCTGTTTTTTTTTAGATGGAGAACCGCCTATCTGTGACCTCTTCAGTAGTTTTTTTCACCAGTGACTGACTATAATAATAGCAGTCTTCTTGTCAAACTAGAAAAAGGTTGCATCAATCGAATGGATAAGCATGATGAAAGAAAGTGTGTTGAACATCTTCTATCTTAGAGACTACTTAGTCAATATTAATGTCACTTAGTCAATATCAATTAATCTCGCAAGATACTAGATAAGATTGTATAAATATCTATTTTGAATCTGACGCTGGAGGATGAATGAGTTCTTTTGGGAAATGATCACTTGGCCATGCAGCTGTTGGGTATTTCTTTGATTCCTTGTCAATTTCGCTGGACTATTATAAAGGACTATTTTTACACTCTAGTTGGGCTCCACCACAAATAAAAGATTAGGACTACTCTACTATTGAAACTTCCGCGAAGAAGCTAGTTTCTCACTCAACTGAAGATAGTTTGGATTGATTAAATTCGATTTTTTTTTGGAGAACAACTTCTCAAGGCCTACCGACGCATCATAGGACTCGGAAAACGTACTCAAGTTTCATAGAAGAAGGAAGAGCAACAAATGGACACGATTTGGCTTTTGGCGTTGATGGGAAGTTTTCTAGGTCTTGCTGAGCAGTGTTCGCAAGTATAGAGTCGCAGAGAGAACAGCGCATTGTAAAAGAAATGTCTGTTTCAAGAGCGTTGGAGAAGAACTGTCTGTTCCAAGAGCGTTGGAGAAGAAATGTCTGTTCCACGAGGAGTCGTGTATTTAAAGATCAAGAAAGATGATTCCGTCTGCTTGAAGAGGAGTGAGGTCTCTGTAGAAGGAAAGGCACGGTCTGTGTACAGTCTGACTCCCTTATGTTAGTTCTGTAGTAGGAGATGATCACTCTGTCTTAAGATCCTCTTTTCACTGACATACACAGCCGCTTGCTGTAGGCGCAGCCTATCGCGCTTTCGTTTCCCCTCTTTACCTTCTTTCCTCAAAATTTTTCCTTACTTCACTTCAAATCCGCCTTATCCAATTTTCGGTCCCGTTCCCCCCATCATAAGAAAACAAAATGTCGGATCTCGACAAGGCTGCGAGCTTGATCCTCGATATCATCGCGGTGGGGACCAATGTGTTGCTCTACATGGCTCCAATCCCGCTGCTCTTCTGGGGCTTGAAAGAGCAAAAGCAAAAACGCAAGGATCAACCGAATGTACCATTTACATGATCATTTATAGGTTCTAGTCTTTTATTGCTAAAAACAAGAACTCTAAATGCTTAGATCTGTTTTTACTCTTGACTAACATACGTACTACCACGAGGGGAAGCAACACACTACCGCTAACATAGTACCACTTTTCTATGATAGATTAGTTTTTTTCACACTACCGCTAACATACTACCACTTTTCTATGATAGATTACAGTTGCTACCACTTTTCTATGATAGATTAGTTGCTTATTTCACGAGGGCAACGTAGTAGCTCGCTAAATGTGCATAAAACAGGAACCTCAAGGCGTGATAGACTTGCCGCCTTTGCCGTTGACGATGCAAGCCGCTTCTTGTATCGGTTGGCTGACTTACACGTCTTTGAACCTCATTTGGATTGGTATCATTCCCAATGCGCTTGGAACGTTGCTGTCCTTTCCTTACCTGCTGAGCTATAGCAGCATTTACAAAGCGAATCTTTACATTACGAAGTGGTGCTGTACAACATCAAATGAATCCATGTAGTGTACAAATTCTCTCCAAGTGGTGTACAACATCATACAAATTCTCTCCATCTTCTACCATCTATCAATCTTGGTCCCGTGTATTTTGGGCTTAGGGAAAAGAAGCGGGGACGACCAAGATTGATTCTGTCCAAGAAAGATGGAAATGGACCTCTGCAAGGTGTCTAATCACAGTGGGCAACTGAAAGGTCAAATGATCAAGGTTTCGGTCTTCGTGTCCATCATCATGGTCCTGCTTTTGCTCAGTCAATTATTCGATGGGAAGGATTCCGATGCTGTGGTGGCAACGATTGGTTGGCTGTGCTTTTCCGCATCAGTCAGCTTTCTCACGACTCCCCTCCAAGAGTTCGTGCGCGCTATTTGTTTGCAAAACGTGGAAGTGTTGTTAAGAAGTGCCATCACGACACTGCATCCGTCACTAACATGATCCCTGACTCTTTTTACCCCCACTATATAAAGAAGTGTACTCTTTTCACCCCCACTGAGAAAGAAGTGTCAGGGAAGATGTTCTGACGAGTGCGGTGGTTGACGATTTCCTCTAAGCTTAGGCTCGTTGACGATTTCCTCTATGGCCATGGGGTGCACAGTGAGTTGGACGATTAAGGGCGTCTTTTATCTGGAGGATTTTCCTATTTCTATCGCCAACGGACTGGGCGTGCTGATCCACACGATTGCGCTGTGCATTCGCTTTTACTTTCGCAATGCCGAACCTTTGCCTGATGCCGCGTACCCTGAGGAACTGGCCAAAATGCAGAAACGGTACCCCTGTTGTCTGGGTAATGGATTGATGAAGAAGTTTCTGGCGCCTGGAGACACCTCCTCCAAAGCTGGCGATGATGCTGTTGCCGATCGTGAGTACGTCTCTGGTGTCTACTACACCCTGAAGCCAGGATCGACGCGCAGTTCTCGACTGGGATCCGCGATTATCAGTCAAGATCTCGAAGCGGTGGCGGACAACAAAGTCGATTCGGATCTTGGACAACAAACTGAGAAGACAGACGACATCACCATTACGGCTACACCTTCAATCTATCTTTCAGGCATTCTTAAGCTCACAGCATCAGCGATTAGTCAAGATCTTCTCTCGACTGGGATCAGCGATTAGTCAAGATCTTATTCAAAAAAAATTCATCCTCCTCGTCCTCAGCATCATGGTGCCGTTTCTTTTCTCAGGGAAAAGAAGCGCCAGGAGGCTCCTGAAGATGGGTTTCAACACTTACAGTTCTAACGCCAAAGCCGCGGCTGAGTTGGCAAAAGAAATGCCGGACGATGCTCCTGAGGCGAGAGAAACGGCTGTTGAGCTCGCGAATGTCGTTGTGGAGACGACGCAAGCCGAGCCTTGAAGCAGCATGGTCGTGCTGCGCACTTCTATTGAAGGTTCTCGCACGTTCTTTATGATATAACCTCGTCCAGCTTGAATGAATCTATCAAGTGGGGGGAATACACGACATGACATGATATTATGACATCAATATCTGGTAAACCTGAAAAGTTCGCGTCCTATTACCGCAGTAATATAGTCTTGACGCTACATGATCATCAACTGTTCACTGCACGTCCTACGAGAGTGCGACGAGAGCCAATGAGTGTCTGCTAGGGTTTCCCCGAGAGATCTACGTCTAGCTATGATGTCTCGAGAGATTTACGTCCCTACCACGTCTAGCTATAATGTCTCGAGAGATGTACGTCCAGTCTCGAGAGATGTACGTCAGTCGTATCTTGTTGACAGCAATTTTCGTACTATGGACGTCAGTCGTTGAATCTTGTTGACAGCAATTTTCGTACTATGGACGTCAGTCGTTGAATCTTGTTAACGGCAATTTTCGTACTATGGACGTCAGTCGTTGAGCCTTGTTGACAGCAATTTTCGTACTATGGACGTCAGTCGTATCTTGTTGACGGAGATATTATGCCCAACTGGTGGAGATATTATGCCATCTGTAAGACAGTCATCATGGTCGACGAGAATGAGGCTGACACTGACTCGTGTCTGAGAGTGTATCTGTAAGCTTGAGCGTGTCGCCTGTGGTGCCTCTGTCTTCTAGAGTGGTGCTTCCTAGTTCCCGCAGGAGCTTCTGTGAACATTGGTCTTTAGCCAGAGAGAGGTGCCACACCTAATCTAGTGCCGTCACTTACTCCCTTTCTACGCCTATTCAGAAATCGCAGGAATTTTTTTGGTATTGTAACAGACACTCTTTTTACCGTTAGTTTCCTTCTCTTCCCCATGCCTTGTTGTACCTCAAGAACAACGCTTGTTGTTATCGCACGCTAAGCTACAGGTACGTGATACTGTTCACTAATGTGTGATGGAGGATCCAATCTAATGATAATTATACTAAAAAGTGGATTACGATTTAGGAAAAAATGCAGGGTGCTGCTGCAGCTTTCGCACGCTCCTCTGGTGGAGTGTCCGCTGGCTCCACCAAAGCCTCTGGAGGTGTTTCTTCAGACATGGCCTCTTTGATGAAGTTGAATGGCATGATGAACGGCCATGACAATCTGAAGAAAAAGAATCCTCTACTAGACAGTGACGAGGATGACACAGGTGGAGGTGCTTCGGGGAATCCTTTGTTAGCGCAAGTGATTCAGATGGGTCGTGAAGAACAGGGCCGTGCAGGTGGAGGAGATCTTCCAACTTCTGCTTCGGGAGGTGGCACTAACGCAAGCAGTAAAGCTCTGGGTGCGTTTTCTGCTCTGGGAAGGGCGAGTGGAGGAGGTGCTGGAGCAGGTGCCCCACCTACAGGCGCAGCAGGCGCAGCAGCAACTGCCGCAAGAGCGTTGAGGAGTCCAGGAACTGAACCACTTTCGACGAGTCCAGAGGAAATGCTGGCTGCTAACTTTGCTCTTAGGGATTTGAGACGTGGGATCAAGGAATTAGGCAGAATCGAGGACGAGGTGGATGGGGAGGACACAACGAAAGCAGAGATTAAGGTTTCCGGGAATCTCGTCCCATTTTGAAAAGCATCTTGGGGCAGTTTGTTCTCTAAAAGGGAAAAACAGACCTCTCAAGATGTGAGTTTTCAAAGTCGGAGGTTCCCGGAAGATGACTACATCTAAAGAGAGCTCCTCCAAGGCTAGGTCTAGGTGGCTCAAGCTCAGAGCAGGCGTCAAGGTTGGCGGGGCTTTCAAGGGTGACACGCACGAACAGGAACGACGATTGGATCGACTGAAATTGGCGGAATTGGAAAGAGAGATTCGCGAGAAAGATGAAAAGCTCTACAAAGCGGAATTCACTCTTAAAGAAAAAGTGGCTTACTTCGACAAAGAACGGGCAGCGACGCACTTAGTGTTAAGGCTTGGGAGTTGACATCTCTATGCGCGTCTCTATGGCTATCTCAAGTAGGAAAGCCATAGAAATGCGAGCTAGAGATGCCAACTTTCAACCTCTAATAGTGGTGAGCAACGCAGTCGAAAGATACCGGGACGCCGAATTGTTGCAGAGACAAAGCAACGACTTGCTGAAAGCGTCGATCAAAGAACAAGCTGCTCTCCAGGCCGAAGTCGAGCAACTAACTGGTATGCGTGCAGCTTTGGAAGAGCGGTTGAGGGACTCACGGGAAGAAGTTGCGGGTCTGAATTTGAAGATTGAGATGCTATCCGCTTCCGTGACACCCTTAGAGGCTAAAGTCGAAGAGCTAACCCGACGTTGCAAGGAGTTGCAGAGTATCTCGACGATGGATGAAGACCCTAGGGATGTGTCTTCTTGGGACAGGAAAAAGCTCACAAAAGAAATTGAGACGAATCAAGCAGTGACGGATCCTATGGAGGCCGCGAGAAAAGACTTGCTAGAAGCTTTGGCGTGCTTTGGGAGATTGCGACCCATGTGGGAGAAGGATGTGCAGAATGAAAGGGACATATATTTGCAGGGGACGTATCGAGGCACAGAGATTGACGAGGAGACGATCATGAAAAACGTGGATAAGGAAATTTATGACAGGATTTGATACTGGTAAAGTTTTATACCTGTAGCTAAGAAGTAGCCTCATGGTCGTTTACCTATTTTAGTATTCCTAATTTTTTTTTATACCAATCTTTCTCCTGCTCTTCTAACGACACTCTGCTTCGGTCTTGAACAACGAAAAAATGACCAGGGACATTGCAAGATACATCGTGAACGGCTACAGGCGAAATCAGAAAGATTGGACCGAGTTCTGCAACGCCGTTGTGCGAGAATTAACCCAGAACTACGGCAAAGATGGCGCTTTGTCTTGGAGCTGTGCGATCGCTTATAGCTTGAAAACAACTGGGCACAAGGCAAGCACCTACTGTTTCTGCACGCGGCTACACGACAACTTCGTTTTGCAAGTGTGGAGCTCGGCTGCGGTTTAGAAACGTTTTGCAAGAAGTGTGGAGCTCGGCTGCGGTTTAGAAAATGCGCAGTTACTTGGAAGGTAGAACTGGTGTTCTCAACAGTTTGATTATAACGTGGTCTCGACAGCCGGGTAGGTACAGGTAGTAGGGGTGTCTTGAGCAGGAGCAGTGTAGCCGAAGTAGTAGTCCTCGCGACATTCTACTAGGTAGTAGACGTGTCGGGGACCACTGTTGAGATGCATGATAGGTGGCATATGTAACACGAGGACACATATGACTTGAATATTCACATCAATTTAGGGACTTTCCTTCACGATGAAAGGGAAAGACATTGAATCTTGACTCAGAATACCATGCACACACGAAATGCGTGATAGAACTTGAGCAGTCATAATTAGGCACAGAACTGTTGAAAACATGACACTCGCTTGTAAATGATGTTAAAAAAGGCCGATGAAGAGTCGTCTTCGAACGCGAACAACCGGTAAAATTTCCTGTGCTGTTGACAGGGGGTGTGTTCCTTCCTTGGTAGACGGACTACAGTTGAGTCGTGCTCGTCTACATAAAGAAACAACGAAGGGCAACCTCAAGAATCGTGCCAGCGGGTCGCGATGTTCAAAATGCAAGAGCCGTATCTCCTGTTGTCGTCCACCATGATCCTTAAAGTACCAAAGCATTGATGTGAAGCAAATTCAGCTACGAAAGCTTTCTTCTGAGCCTGTTTATGAAACTAGAAGGGACTCATGGATTGCAATGTGCAGCTGAAAGTGACAAGAAGAATTTCCCTTCTTCTAAGTTCTTTCTGGAAGATATAAGAAAGATTCTCTTATTTCCGAGAACTACATCGAAATTATTTAGAAGCTAGGTGGAATGTCCTTGTTTTGTGATATGATTCTTTCATTGTATGTTATGTTGTGTGTCGTCAGAACCACTATTGTGTGTCGTCAGAACCACTACTGCATCTGAACCAGTACTGCACCTCTGCCGCAGTAGTACAAACCAGTACACCAGCTGCCCTACAACATTCTGCTAGTAGATCAGCAAGGGGAATAGAACTGAAAGTAAGTACAACTTCTCAGTAGAACAACGTAGGAATTATATTAATCGCGAACCGCTAAATCCAGGGACAATTCATTTTTTCGTTGCAGGAGGACCATTATGTCGTTTTCCTATTGAGGGCATCCCGGCTCCTGCTTCGCTGCTGCTTCGCTCTTGGCTTACACGGTAGACGTGACACGCAGTGTACATATCAGAATGAATCTATATTAGTATTTATAGTATTAGCAATTCCCAGAAATCTCTTAAGGAGCTCCCTTAAGGAGCTTCCTTAAGGCGCTTCCTTAAGGAAATCAGTTTCCTTAAGGAATTTTTATTATAAAAAGTTATTATAACTTTCCTTAAGAGGAAAAAAATTCCCTTAAGGAGGTCCCTTAAGGACAAGCTGTTATAAACTTGGGCTAATAACAGCGGCTCCTTAAGGCCCTTGCTAGTACTACGAGTCCAAAAGTGTCAAGAACGTGCTAACGTGTTCGCGGCTGTTAGTTTGTAGGCTACTCACGTACACCAGCCACATCCGCAGCAAGACACTACGCGCCCACCCCTAGCGAATCGCCCCAACGAACTTCCAACCGCTACCCTTGTCATATATCGCCCAGCGCCTTTACTTTTTTTCAAAAACTTCAGGGAGGTCATTCAAATACAGAGAAAACTGAACGACCTCCCTGAAGTTTTTGGAAAAAAGTTAGCTCGCTCCCCTTCCGCGACTACCTTCCGCGCACAGCAATCGACCACGGCACAGGAGCGCGCGGCAGCCCTTGGAGATGGTTGACCAGTATACTTCTAACCAGCACAAAAGCGGGAGAATTGTAAGGGAGAGGGTGAGCACTTGAAAAGGCAGAGGCTGACGAGCGTGATCATATTGATTCGCGAGAAGGCCAAAGACATACATCGCGGCCGGCGCTTCAAAGTCGCAGCCGTTGCGGATGTCGATGGCTGTGAGAATGATAGCCGTGCGCACTTGCGTGTCTGAAGGGTGGACCCTGGTGAGCATCATCATATCCATGAGAAGGCCAAAGGTGTGCAAATTTGCGCGCGAAAGTCGAAGCCGCTGAGGATGTTGATGTCTGTGAGAATGATTCATAGCCGTGAGGACTTGCGTCATGTCTGAAGGGTGGACCCTGGTGAGCGTCATCATATCCATGAGAAGGCCAAAGATATACATCTCTGTGTATGAAAGTCGAAGCCGTTCTTGAGGATGTCGATGTCTGTGAGAATGATAGCCGTGAGGACTTGCATGTCTGAAGGGTGGACCTTGGTGAGCATCATCATATCAACGAGACCGAGAGGGCCAAAGGCATACATCTCTGTGTGTGAAAGTCGAAGCCGTTGAGGATGTCGATGTCTGTGAGAACGATAGCCCTAGCCGTGAAGGGAGGCTTGCATGTCTGAAGGGTGGACCCTGGTGAGCGTCATCATATCCATGAGAAGGCCAGAGGTATACATCCCTGTGCTTGAAAGTCGAAGCCGTTGAGGATGTCGATGCCTGTGAGAATGATAGCCGTGAGGACTTGCATGCCTGAAGGGTGGACCCTGGTGAGCGTCATCATATCCAGGAGAAGGCCAAAGATGTACATCTCTGTGTTTGAAAGTCGAAGCCGTTTCGTTGAGGATGTCGATCCCGATGTCTGTGAGAGTGATAGCCTTGAGCACTTGCGTGTCTGAAGGGTGGGCCCTGGTGAGCGTCATCACATCCATGAGAAGGCCAAAGGTATACAGATTTGCCTGCGAAAGCCGAAGCCGTTGAGGATGTCGATGTCTGTGAGAAAGTAGATAAGGTCAAACCCTGGCGGGCGTCATCATGTCCATGAGAAGGCCAGGCGCATGCATCTCCGTCGGTGAAGGCTGAAGGCTGAGGACGTCGATGCCTGTGTGTGAGAATGATAACTGTGCGTGGGCCATTGCATGTCTGAGGCGCGGACCGTGGTGGGCGTCTTGCGTCATGTCCATGAAGCAGCCAACCTCCTAGACGCATCCCCGCGCCTGAAGGTTGGGGCCCAGCTTCTGGCTCTGCGCATAGATATGCCCAAGCGTGGCTTTCTCATGGGCCTCGTCCATGACGCTCGCCAGTGCCAGCCTTTTGCCATCCCATGGGTCTGCTATGCTTTAGGATTCTCCTGGACATGATCACACTCAAAAGGGCCCAACCTCTGTGCCTACATATGTCCAGGCGTGGCCTTCTCATGGACTCCATGACGCTCAGCGGGCCAGCCTTGGCGCCCATTGGCTTGCCCCTAGCAAGCAAGTTGGCCAAGGCAGTAGCCTGCGCGGTAACGCTTCCCAGCCTTGGCGAGCAGACTTGGCGACTTTTTTCGTTTGTCTTTCTGTCTCTTAGTAGTCAACCTGTCTAGTTGTTAACCTATGCCCAGCGCAGCGGGCCCTTGATGGGCCCGCTTTCTGGGCATGTAATCATATTGTTAATATTTCTCGTACTCGTGCTTCTTGGAGTTATTAGTCGGATATTGTCTGTCAGATTTGAAATATTCCTCACTATAGCTATAGGCGCAGTCTTCCTTTCGTTTTTTCTTAGCGAGGTCGGGCCCACTATAGTATGATACGTTTAGAGTCAGTGGTCAAAAGAATATACATCGACCGTGTAAAAAAGAAGATACTGACTCTTAGAATTCGTAAAAAATATTTATTGTAATCGATCGCATGAATAATTGAAGATAGAGAAGAATTGTCAACGCAACAGCTGTCAAGTGTTTTATTCATTTTCTATTGTCACTCACATCAACTTTTTTATTCATTTTCTATCTTACACCCCACGAGTGGGTACATCTATCTATCTATCTATCTATCTAGGCGCGCATGTAGTGTTGAATCTTTGAGTGAGCTCTGCAGAAATTTGTCTCAAGTTATTTGCTTTTCCCTCAAGTTGTTGCTAGTCTACCTCTAACATCCTAGATCGTTTAGCCTAGATCGTCTTCGTAGTCTAGAGCGTCTAGCCAAGAGACAAGTTGGAAGGCTTCAGTTGAACAAGACAGCTTGGTTTTTCTGCACAAGGTGCAAGAATATTTTGTCACTTTTTATAGAAGAGTCGTTTCTTGAATTCGAAGGGGAATGAGATTTTCATAGGCAGGATTTTTCATTTACGTTTGTATTACGCAGATCAAAATTAAGCAATAAAAATTGCGTTTCGGAAAAGGACTATCTTTATCTTCTCTAGCACGTAGTATAGAGTTCTTGGATATTGATGAGCTTCTCCCTCGCATAATTTTTCAAATTTCAATGCTAGTTAGACCTACAATCAATCATAAAAATGAATAGCACTTGTCTATTACACGTTGAACTACTACTAGTAGTCTAGAAGTAGATCTCCACCGCTAGTAGTCTAGTAGACCTCAACAAGCGTGGAACACGTAGGATACTAGAGTACTACTACGAGAGTACCTACTGCAGCAGGAGGAGGAACAGAAGAGTACTACAGGAGGACTACAATCAGAAGAGTACGACTACAGCACTACAACAAGAGTATTTTCCCGAATCTGGATCGGAAGAGTACGACTACAGCACTACAACAAGAGTATTTCTGCAGGGCGACACACCCTGCCACTGGCTCTTACCCCTCGCCCATTGAATTGACTGCTTCTTACACCTCGTAGAAGAATTCTTTATCTTTTCGTTTTTTCGGAAGACTCTTTTTCGAGCCGCAAGACAAGATGACAGACTCGAATTCTATGCAAACGCGGTCGCCGCCTAGCCGGGTCTTATGGACAAAAAAGAAACGTTTCTATCTCTAGAACAATTGTTAGCTAATAATATGTTTTGCCGTCGAAAAATGTTCGATTCTCCCAACTTTTCCCTCCGTTCATATTGAGCTGCAAACGGCCAACAACAATACTCGCCACCACGACAATATAGTGGTCAACGACCCCCACCAGGGTACAGTGATGAAGAGCAGAATGTCGAGAACGCGGTACAGCTCGTTGCTATTTAGTTTTGGTTTTGGTATTCTCAAGAATGTCAATGTCATTTTTTTGAATTTTCTTGATCTTGATCATCAGACTATTAGTATAAATATATTCTTCACAAAAAAAGGCTCCACCGCGACACGGTCGAGAAGCACCACACGGTCGAGAAGCACCACACGGTCGAGAAGCACCACACGGTCGAGAAGCACCACACGGTCGAGAAGCACCACACGATCGAGAAGCACCACACGGTCGAGAAGCACCACACGGTCGAGAAGCACCACACGGTCGAGAGCAGGAAGGAGAGTCCTGTAACGACCGGGAGAGGGAGGCGCGAGCCTTGCTGAGTTCTGCGGTGCGGATGGCCACTAGTGACCTTCTCGTGGAGTCTAGGGCCACGTTTAAGGCTAACCTAAAACACAACTGCTAACATTGTAGCTTCTACTAGAGGAGGAGCATTGCATTAATAACAAGGACCATCGTAGTACTTAAAGAGGGAGCATTAATGACAGAGACCTTCAAGAAGAACTGCGTGTTTTGTTCCAAGTTTGTTCGCTAGACACGGAGCGAAGACATGACATGATACAATTACAGAAGAAGCCGATATGGATATCCTCCAGCACTAATTCACTGGATCCCAAGGATGCGCAGATCATGGTATACAAAACCTTGATCAAAGCCGACCCGAGTCGGGCTGCTTCGCTTGCGAGAGCTCTGCAGCTCTACAAAAATGACCCGGAACGATGGGCGGAACAAGAAGCGGAGAATTTCTACCACTTATTAAGGCTTGAGGAAATCCATCTTCCCCAGCATCTTCCTCCCGTTTTGAAGAGAAAACAGGGCGCAGGGTGCTTAGGAAGATGGATCTCGCAAGGTCTAAACTTAGTGCAGGAGGCAGATGCACTCAATGCTGCGAGTACTGGAGCAGAGAGGAACTACCAGCCCCCTGCGCGATCGCCTCCATTTATGGCTTTTATTCATATTTATACTGTTATAGATTTGGAAGATTTCACACAAGAAATATAGCTTAAAATTTCCTTACTCTATCTTCCGTTCTACTCCGGCATTTCAATTTTATAGTCCCTTCGTCTTGCATATCATTGACTCAGTCTGTATCAATACTCATACGAATCAGCTTGTTCCTTCCATGGAAAGAAATTTCGGATTTCTCCAACAAATACAAACATATTTGTCTCGGAATCTGTCAAAACCAATCCTAGAACTGTAAATTATTCTCTCTACACAGCTCTTACTTTGTAATAAAGGAACAAAAGTTTCTCTTCTAATCTATTGCAAAGTGATGGTCAGCCGCGACAAAATCGGCAAGAGCACACTTCTAGTTCCTCTCCTCACTGCGGGTCCCGTCCAGTTGTAGATGGAGGTTCTTACAACGAGCGTGCTGAAGGTGAGCAACAGGCTGTGGTAACACGTGCAGGACGACGCAACTACAACAATGCGACTGCTGCTTTTTAAGGCTTTGTTTTTGTCGTGGAGAGAATTTTGACTTCATTGTTTGCGGAAAGAATTTTGACGATGGTAACAGGGACTACAGCATGCATCATTGGTGCTTTGTTTTTGTCGAAATGATTTTGGTTCACTTCTCTCTGAATCTTAACTCCAAGATAGATACCTCCTATGTGACTTTGCTGGATTTTTTGTGGTTTCTCGAAGCTAAGGCTTCTAAGATCGTAATGCCAACCGCAGTGAAAGGGATCGAACACTCGCAGATATGGCAAGGAAGATGGTAGACAGCCATAGAGTGGCCACAGACTCCAACATAGAGGCGCAAGGAAAAGGAGGTTACAACAGCAAGATGAGTTCTGCGCCTTCATCCACCTCCCACTCCCATGGTGGAAGGCATCAGCATCATCAACCTCATAGTAGGTCATCTTACAATGGAGGTCATCCGGGCTCTTCTAGTGCTCACTGCAACAACGGAAATGGAGTCAGTGCCAGGAGAGACCACCAAGCAGATCACAGATTATGCTTGGCTATTATTTACTCTGTATCTCACTACTTGCTTCGTCCATTACCTAGTAGTTGCTTCTAGTCTACTAGTTTAGACAACAAGCTATAAAACTAATAATTCTTTGTTCCTTTCTTGTCTCACTCAGCATCTTGACCCTACAAACCCCAACCCAGAAATCACTAGAGTAGTCCATTGCCCGTTCTGTCACTCGATGAAGTCACTAGAGTAGTCCCTTACTCGTTAAATTTCACTCGATTCCGGGATGAATTCTAGCATACTCTCTAAAAAGATACAGCAATGGGCACCACCAGAATGAACACGACGAAGATCCACATGCCTACTACGATTAAGGGCCGCTTCCAAAAAGGAAAGTGCACTGTTGCATCGATTGACCTTCTTTCATTCACTCAAATGTTGTATTAGAGGCTTCCGCATTCTTGAGCACATCGCATCCTCAAGAATGCGGAAGCCTCTAATACAGCCCTCCCATGCGTCCTCGTGGAAATGGTGGCCCTCTACCTGAGGGGGCTTCTCGGTATGACAACTACGATGACCGCGGATATCCCGTTCCTGTTAAGGCTTAGTACCCTCTTCATGATCGTAGACCATAATTAAAAATCTTTGCTACCTCTCGAATGGGTACACTACTACTACTACTAATCGTAATTATCCATTTCCAGGTAGTGGTGTACAACTACTGGGTCCTCCTCCTTATAGGGATAATTTTAGTACTAACTTTACTGCTAGTATTTGTATTATACATCTTGGAGGAACTACTGCTCTCCCTTGAGACGAGGAAAAGAACAGCTCCAAGAAGATGTGAATCTCAAAATGGGAAGCTCTAATTTTTCCAGACGAGATGACTCGCGAGAACGACCTCCGTCTGGTTCGTACTATAACAGCAGAAGTCGCGAAATGCCGTTGTCGCAGTCGTCTTACAATTAAGAATAAGCTTCGGAAGCATCTTGAAGCCTTCTGGAAACAGTAGCTTAAAGATGTAAGATGAACTAGGGCGAGCTCTAATACAATGCGTACTATGACCAAGACGACGAGCATGAGAGGTATCGTGATTTCATCAACAGGGACTCTAGGATACCGATACGTGGACCTCCACGATCATCTGGCCACTACGAGGATGGTCCTTCTTCCAGTAATGGCTATGAGAGAAGAGGAGGAGGCGACGGCTTCATACTATTAAGGATAGAAGGGAGTTTTTACTAAAGCTGTAAGTGTACTAACGCCTCGAGTAGACTAGGTACAACCATCATCATCAAGGCTACAATAAAGATATATGGATTCGTGGTAGAAGTTCTAATATTGGATCACTCTGTTCGAGGAGAAAGAGGACCGCCGGCTGGAGACAATTACCATAGAGGGAACGGCCGCTCTGCGTATCCGGATGAAAGATATGGGCAACATTTAGTGTCCATCTTTCTCGGCATCTTGATCCCCTTTGGCCTTGTATTCTCATGAAACACAAGGGGAAAGGGGTCGGGATGAGGGGACCAAGATGGATTGCCGCCGAGTCTAAGAAAGAGTCGAACACTACTCGATTGTAGTGCCGCCACCCGGAGAATTTCGACGCCAATACGCGAATGACCGGGACGCAGAAGAGCATTTGCGGGAGGAGTACACCAGACGGCGGGAAATGGCTGTCTTCTATTATTAAGGCGTCTGTAATTGATGGGCCACATCAACCTTGGAGATACGACCATAGGTTAAGTACTTGTAGAAGTAATTTCTCTGTCCTAGTACCCTATCATGGGTTACCGAGTTGTAGCTTCTCTGTACTCTAAGATCCCACCCTACGCAATGCCAAAAAGCTCAGTCGGCAGAATGGCCACTCCTTAGAATACAACTGGAGAGTGCTAGAGGCTCAACGGGCAACGAGCAAAGGTGGTGGTGGAAAAGGATCGAGATTCTAGAGGAGTCGATGTATTGGAGAATTCTAGAGGGATTCATCGACGGTCTGCAAATTTTCAGCTGGAGTCGATGTCTATTTGAGCTGGATTTAGCGGACGAGTCAATGTGCTTTTCTGCAAATTTTCAGCTGGAGTCGATGTCTATTTGAGATGACTAGGAGAGGGGCGCTGTGGAGGACTAACTGGGTGTAAGGTGTTTTGTTTCGTTGTAAATTGTACATCATAGATATATGTGGTTTTTAGTATGGTGTGTAGGAGGGATGTGTGGTGGATCTACGGTACCAAAGGTAGAAGGGGAAGGTAGTTAATGTATCGAGTTGAACCCACCACAGTGTGTCAGTTGTAGGGTCATGTCTTAGCATCCACGTGGGGCTTGACGAGTCGGACTACCACCTATCTACAGAGGAGAAAAAGTAGTACGTAGTATTTTTTGAGCATAATTCTTCTTCCCACAAGTATTCTTCTTGACTGTCGGACAAAAGACACAAGATACGACTATCCTGAACACGCTCGTTAAGTCGTCCAAGGCTAAGGCAACGGTTCTCATGACCTAAGCATCATGACGCTTCGCAACTCGATTTTCGTATTCTTTGAAAGCGCCAAGTCTACTATCGAAACATTGCAGCTTCTACGCCGATCAGGAACTACCGTTACATCAAGAGCACAGAAGAAAATAGATAAGAGTAAGAAACAAATAGAAGTATGTAAAAGCACTGAATCTGAATCCGACGGCTTTTATCTGCTAGGCACATCATTATTACGACAAAAATGGTAGTTTATCGCTGAGTGATGAACAAGAGGACTAAAAAGATCGTTCATCGCTCAGCGAAGATGCACAAAATGACCTCCAGGCTGCACTAGCCTCTACTGGAGGACACTAGCCTCTACTAGACACTAGCCTCTAGAAACTAGCCTCTAGGCACATTGGCATTTTCCGCATAACAAGCTTGGGAGGTGGCGCTGCCTCTTCTTTCTTGAACAATTAACGCCTAAGAGGAAGAACACGCCCACATGGATTACACACATCATGGTATATAATGTCAACGACAGATAAAGATGAAGTCAACGTCGATTTCTCTTCGTCTCATAGATGGTTGTACTTATACTTCAGAGATATTTATGCTTGCACGACCAGATCGAGATACTTGATTAATTTCATACTGTGGCAGTGCTGCAAAAGTTGTTTTCGTCTGATAATACTCAGTAATTAATATCTTAGTAGATTAGATGAGCATGATCTTACACCCCACGAGTGGGTACATATTTATATCTATCTATCTGTCGAGCTGTGCGGGTTAATCAGCTTTAGAGTCGCAGATTTTTTATTGTTTGGGCTTGAAGGTTGTCCAACTCCAAACTTCACCTCTGAGTTTTTGCTTGGACGAAGACTTTGCACAAGCTGGGTGAGGCTGCTGCTGTTCCCGCTCAGCTCCCTTTTGATGCACAAACGCCATGCTCATGCGCAAAACTTCCTTCACAAAGGGGCGAGAGTAACTAGAAGACGCAAGCGCTCGAGTAGTCGACGTTGCTATACCCTTACGCAGTTGCGTCCTTTCCTTGTAGTTTTTTGCGCGGCGATAGTTTCAGGAAGGAGCTTGTCTGCGGTAGACGCTGAACTCAACCTGTCTCCGACATCAAGATCAGGTGACTCTTGTGCCTCACAGAAAAACTCTTGAATCAAGTCTTCCTCCAAGGCAAGATGGGTGAAAGTTTTTGCTTCCAGCTCCAGTGAGTTTTCTATAGACCTTCGCTTCTCGCATTCGCATATTCATACTAAAGAACGCTCATATTATTAACAGACCACCAGGAATCGTTTCGTCTTGCCACGCCGTCGCACTTAGCGTCCAGTAGCCCCGGGATCCAAAAAAAAGTCCAGGCTGAAGCGAGAAGCCCTTGAATCTTGAATCATGTGCGGCCATTCGAGATGGAATGATGTTGAATCAGTGTTAAATCAGTCGTGTCTTTCGCTGACCTGAGGCGAGCACTTGTATTTCAAGGCAGTGGCATCCTGCACTTCGAATTAATGGCGCTACCTTTATTTCGGGTCAACGTTCCAAGGGAATTCATGGTCCTACTTGACACGAGAACTACAGGGAGACTCATCCACAGACTAGGGAGACTCATCCACAGACTAGGGAGACTCATCCACAGACTAGGGAGACTCATCCACAGACTAGGGAGACTCATCCACAGACTAGGGAGACTCATCCACAGACTAGGGAGACTCATCCACAGACTAGGGAGACTCATCCACAGACTAGGGAGACTCATCAACAGACTAGGGAGACTCATCCACAGACTAGGGAGACTCATCCACACAGCACGGCGATTCACATAGGCTGAGACTTTCTTCATATCTTCATTTATAGCATGACTTGTTTTCTCATACCGGTATCGAGTAGAAATTAGAAGGGGACTTCTACTCAAGGTTGCCGATTGATACTTGACTGATACGTTCGTAGTTACTTGAGGTGACGCAAAATGTAGAGCTGACCAGTAAGCTTTCTCCAGGCTGTCGCACTTATAAGAGTGGGACGGTTGGCAGCCGGTGGAGGTTTATATAAGACTCGTAATCCGCCTCCTTTGCCCCTAGGGTTCATCATTTTAGAATCGGCGGGCTCGTAGGCAATTAGTGCACAATATTATAAGGAGGTAACCGGACTCCACCTGCCGCCGGTTTGCGAACCGGATAAAGCTGAGGCCGCTCCTTCAGTAGCCCCGGGATCCAAAAAAAAAAAGTTCTAGCTGGAGTGGATCCCCTTGGATCTTGAATCTTGAAGCTACAGTGTTTTCATCTTCAGACATCGTGAAAAACAGCCTTTCCCCAGGAAAGATGTGGATTCTGTCCGTGAGTCGCAGTTGCACTAGCTTCACACAATGGCAAGCAATACTTACACGAGTAACTATGTTATTATAGCTCACATAGCCTGTTCAAGTTGAGTACATTGCCTCATCTTGTACATTTTTTATTGGTAAGCGCTCCTTGCCAGTCAACAACATGCATATTTGATATGTTCTCTCATCATCATATTTCATATGTGCTGTACGTCGTGCATCAACATTTGCTACAGCATACTAGTGGTCTACTAGTGGTCTCTCCAATTAACAACGCCTCTTGCCAGGCATATCAATCAATCAATCGTAAGTAGTATTAAGACTATCTAAGTATGTAAAAGTCAGTAGTATGAAGAGGACTTATTGTGTACTAAAAGTCCGACGACCGTGCTCCTTCTGCGTCTAGTACACTAGACCTTGTTCCATCTAGCACTTTTCCACGCTGTTCTAGCCCTTTGTCCGCCTAGAACAGCATGGCAAAGTGCTTCCTACTAGCATTATCGTCAAGCGCCGCTGGTCTCATACAAATAGGCCTTCAGCACGAGCACTTTGTTTGCGTTTGTTGAGGGTGTATTTTCAGAATGATTATGAGGCACACGGACATGAATGCAGACGATGAGGTACTTAGGAGTAATGGAGACAGTGTCAGAGCAGGTATACGTAGATGCTATTCACCACACAACTGCTCACAGCCTCAATTTCAGAGAATGTAGCAGAACTCCGAATAAGAACTAGCGAGCAGCACTGGGTTGGTAAATCTCCGCATGCTATGTGGTTTTCAACGACAATCTAACTTCATGTCCGTGATTTTATGAGTGAGTGGCATAAGTGGTGAGTCACAGATAGATTTTGAAAGAGCTACGAATAACGTCGAGTGATCCGTCTTCTGACTGAGTTGTATCTCGTTGTCAGTTCAATAATTGATATGATGTGTTCCCATAGGCATAGATACTTCGTACTTGTATTCATCTTCTTTGCTCTGTCCTCGTCGTGTGTTTGTGTCTTACTTTGTGTAAGAATTTATGCTGGCCGCTCCTTACTAGGGAGGACTCATGCAGCTACTCTAGACTAATCATGCTATTCTTCTTCCAGGTAATATTATTCCAAAGACCTGCTCCACGTATGTTGACAACTACATAAAACTCATAGATGTAAATAGTCGTTCCGTTGCGCTGTTGCGTTATCATAGGTTTAGGATGTTCATTGCATGTCTTATTAACCGACCTGGGTATCTCATTTTGTATGACAACCGTCCATTTCATCTAAGATTTAAATGTTCTGTACAACTACATTGCAAGCACAACATGAACATTGGCCGTGAATGAAGTCTTGCACTAGTGGCTCTGCTACGGTGCTACCTAGGGAAGCACCCAAGCTGGTGGCCTACCTCTGCCTATCTACTTGGCTACACAAAGAACGCCTTTACCAATATCTAAGTACGAAAACGTTCCGTCGTGCTTTCTCAGTGCGCGCGTGTGTTGTACTCTCTCAGTACGACGACCCTGGCCCTCTTCATGACGCAAGTTCTTGTGTTGGAGTTGTACACCTAACTAATCACAACAGTTCTCAGCATTATTGCTAATTATTTGAATGTAAGGCGTGGGAAGGGGGGAGAACTTTTAGGGAGAAAGAAGGAAAGCTTGATCCGATCATTACAAAAGCATTGTCGCGTAGTCTTCGATATTCTTGTTGTACGGCTGTTACTAGAAGTGCTGCATTCCGTCCTATCCTAACCTGGTGCCGCGTAAAAAATCGCGTCGTGTCTGTACTACGGGTCTCATAAATACGTGAGTACATGAATACAACCAGATCTACCAATCCAAGGGAGAAGGTACGAAAATGATCTGAGTACAACACCGTTAGCACAAGAGTCTAGCGGTACACCGACTCGGGTTCTGGTCTGAGAAGTACAACGAAGGTGCATGTTAATACAAGTGTGGTCTAGAAGCGGTACACCGACTAGGGCACAACAAGAGTAGACTGGGCCTTCTAAAATTTACGGCTTCAGTACAACTGTCCATGTCGGAAGACTTGAATCCAAAGAGTGCAGGTCGTAAGACTTGAGTCCGATAGGTTGTAAAAAGCTTGTACAGGATGCTAGGCTCCAAGACTAAAAAATCAAAACTTGTACACTTCTAGTTTTAATATTGCTGCTGGTGCGTGGCGACGTGGGAAGACATCATAGCGTTTAACTTTACTCCTCTGCGTAATATGCACTAGGTTTAATGAGATCAAAATATCAATGTTATGCACCTCGTGAAGGTGAAGTGCAAAGGGCGAAAAAACGAGGACTAGAAAAAGACGAGGACAACTTGCTAATTAATTTCTTCGGTACCCCATGATTGGGTACGCTACCACTACTGCTTATGTCCATTCAAGGTGCAGCTTCTTTCTGTCCAAGAACATGAACAATGTCTTCTATCCAAAAACAATCTTATGTTCATGATGCAGAAAACACTACAGCATTTTTTATTTTTTCGTCTTTGTCAACGAACAGAGACAGACAACAACAAACAGAAAACAAGGAACAGACAAACAATAAGCAGTTCAGGAGACGCTCTCTCTGGTCAAGATAAAGACTCCTCTGGAGTTGTCTCATGATGTTCTTGTCCTCTGAGGACAGATCAATCTTCGCTCAGATCGATCTGAGTCAGACTAGTGTAAATGGGTCCGGCAATGCGCACCCAATGAGTGAAGATCAGGGGTCTCGCCTTGAGTCAGGTGTCCGGCAAAGCGCACCCAATGAGTGAAGATCGGGTGTCCGGCAATGCGCAAGTGGTGGTGCATGACTACATTATAGATACAAGAACGACCTTGTTCTATGCAACCTAGAAGATGAGGACATCAGAGCTCGGTTTTTCTGAGCAAAGAGTAACACGATAACTTCTTAGGCCAAGTCGCGACGCTGCAAAAAAATACTGCGAGGTAAATTAGACAGCACCGACCATTGGCAGGTAAAAAGAATTTTCTTCTGCTAAACTTGTTTTTCTGACTTGTGATGTGATTGCTGGGCGATATTTTTCAACCATGCGGAGTGGTATTCGAGCTGTCGAAGCGGCATGCCCTCAAGAAGATGCGAGTGGGAATGCAATTCCGAGTAAAAAAGATGCAGTTGGAGGGTGGAATGAGAGGAATGATGTGGCAAAAAGATGCGGAGTACCAATATGTTGCTTATCTCGTCGTCAGCACTTCTCCTGCAAAGAGAAGCGCACCCGTCTTCTGTCTCGTCAAGATGAGCACCCGTCTTCTCTTTTATACCCCATGAGTGGGTCGTACACTACTACTACTCTACGCATACTACTAGCATCTTTATTCATTTTCTGCCATCTTCCGTGCTCTGCCTCTGCCGCCCGTGACGATGAGGAAATTCGTGGTTTGTCGAAAGGGAGTGTGGCGTCCAACGCCTCACGTAGATCTATCAGAACGACAGGGAGTAGTAGAACACCAAGTAAGAAAAAGGCTACAGCGAGGGATATGTTCCGTGCCTTGGGCATTCGAGCAGGTGGAGAAGCGAGTACATCGTCTTCTTGGGAACAAGAAGATCGTGTTCCTTCTCCTACTTCTGGTCCTGCAGTAGGTTCTGGTGTGGGACGAGAAGGGAGCTCAGGCGGAAATGCTTCTGGTCCTGGACAAGGGTCTGAGATTACAAGCAGGACCGCCTTACTTCACAGAGTGTCTACGGATCCCTTTTTTCAGGATGTTGAGAAGCCATCTCAAAGCGGGAAAAGCGGCTTCTGGTCCATAGCCTCAGACCCATCTTTCGATCGGGCGTCAGTGATGGGCTCTGGTGCAGAGGGAGCTGCGATTAGCAAGGGTGGAGGCGGAAGGATGAGGAGATTAAGGTAAAAGGTATTGGGCTGCATGATCGATAATTGATCTACCACACTCTAAGTCTAAGGTTGATCTTTGACTCTGATCTTTGACTTTCTCGTCTAGATACACTTCTAACATTCTCGCGTCCAGCAGCTCTCGATCCGCATTTATTAGCCGAAAAACTAAGCACAACCACAACGCTACAGCTAGGCGCGGAGCCGGTAGAGATTCCTGTGGATAATTTGTTTCAAAGTAGTTGTCCAGCTTTGCGTGAAGTTCAAGTTCGGAAAAGAAGTAAAGCTGCAGTTGGTGGTGGTTCTCGAAGCGGGAGCAAAACAAAAAGCTCTACTCAGTCTCATTTGTGGCAGCATAGAACCCATGGCGTTGAGAGCAACACTGGAGAATTCGTCAATAGTCCAAAAAATGGGCTAACGCCGATGTCGCATGCCAAACAGCACCCACCGCAAGGCTGGGCGTCGGGGGTAGATGCCAGTGGACTGAGTTCTTTTATGGATACTTATCGAAGTTGGTGTTTTTTGCATCCACCATCTAAAAAGTTGCTCATCTTCGTTCTTGTTCCTAATGAAGAATGATTCGGATTCCGTTCTAGGCCTTGATTAGTTTTTAATAGAAACTCGCGGCAGGATGGAAAGCACACCAGTGGTAAGTATTCATGTTTCGGGAAAAACAAAAGTTTCCCCAAATCCAGTGCACTGCACCAAGTACGCAGGCATCTTGCTTGCGGCGTCGTGGCGATGGTTTTGGTAGTGAGCCAAATGCAGCAGCTTCAGGCTCTTCTAGCCGAATGATCATGAAAGAATCAGAGGTGGCGGATGGACCGCATGGGGCAGCCCATGCCCAAACTAGGAATCAACAAGCCACCAGTAGTTGTTCTACAAGTTCTTCCTGCCCTTCCTTACGCCAGCCAAGTAGACGACGCCCACTGATTAGATCCTCGTCTTCTACTGTTAACACCTCAGCGTTACTAGGTCAAGGCACACATGGTGTGGAGGACGGCTCATCCAGAGGAGTAGGAGTCCCACGTCGCGGTGGAGGGGCATCTGCGTGTGGAGGCAAGATCTATCACCGAGACGACGAGGCAGAGGCTGAATTAGCGAGGAGTGTGCTGGGCGTGCGATCATCTGCCAGCAGCTTCTTCGAAGAGGCATCTTCCTCCGATATGCATAGGACCATGACCAAGGGTCAACCACAACATTTGTCAGCATCGATGGGTAAGTCCTCGAGTCGTCCCCGATCTCGTACAGCAGGACATCATCTTCTAGGCTCTTCTACTGGGAGCAACTGGGGTTCAGCACCTGGAGATCATATGAGATCCTCTACTTTCGCAGACTCCGAAGGCAACGCTTCTTCATCCGAGCATTTTTCCATGTCCTCTTTTTCAAGGGCAGCAGGGACAGCGGGAGACCGAGAGCACAGTGATCTTCCAGTAGATCCTCGTGGTACCAGGGCGCCAAATCCAGCAGCAGAGTACAGCAGTGGTAGTACAACTAGGAGGACGAGCACAGGATCAGAACATCAACATCCTGATAGCAGAGTTGTCAGGACGCCGCCACTGGTTCCACCAAGAGCGGTAACACCCTCAACAGCTAGAACAGGGACACCACCAACTCCTCTGTCTTCCGGAAGAACCGTAGCAAGTACGATAGGGAGCGATCATTTTCGTAACAACATTGGGAGCGACGAAAGTCCTAAGATAAGTTAAGGCTGTACCTAATACATCTTTGGGCGCATCCTTGAAACGTATACTCCTCCCCCATACTTTTCAAGGATGCACTTGAAAGATGAATTACGGACAGCGCTAAATATGGAGCGATCATTTTCGCAATGAATTCCGAGGTGGGCAACAGCCTATTTTTGGAGGAGGCGCTCTAGGAGGAGTACCAAATGCCAGGGAATTTAAGAACGATGGAGGCCGTGGCACCAGTGCGGATTTTCCATCTTCCCATACTCTCTACGATTTGCGTGGAATATCAACGGCTGCAAATGCTACTTCATCGATGAGCAAAGGCTTGTCTTCCGGTTCTGGCCCTGATTCTAGGTATAGTGTGCGAGGACTGGTCGAAAGCAGTAGTAGAGGAGGACTGTCAACAACGGCGTTTCCTAGTTTCGCGACGTTTGCGAGTACCGCCTCAAGCAGTTCGTTTGCTCCGCCATCAGTGGCTGTTATGCACGAGATTTTTCGAAAGATGCATCAAAAATCTCTTCCTTTGTTAGATGAGAGAAACGAAGACCACAAGTTTTTGAAGAGTCCGATCCTGCCAGAAATGTCGCAAATGGAGCATTGAAATGTGCAAAAAGAGCATGACAATCAGACAACAAGCAAAGAGAGCTGACTTCTATCACTCACACATTGAGAAGTGCAAGCTGAAGAAGTAGTCTAACTGCCGAACAAATGCAAACCTGAATTAATCGACCATATTAATTAAAAAGTCTTTGCTACCTCTCGAATGGGTACACTACTACTACTACTACTACCCGCAACGCTGTACTACTTCTATAGCTGATCTTACTATCATGATCCGTTCTAATCGAATCCAGGCTTTCACTTTTTATATTCTCTTCATCCTCTTCTAAATCCTGCGGTCTGAGCAGACCCCCGAGTGGACCAGGAAAGAAGCGCACCAAAGGTTTAGCCACCTCAATCTCAGCTCCAACGCTCTCCGTGGCTGAAATAGTTGAGGAATCAGGTCGTGGCGCAGAGCAAGATGCGAAAACGGCAAACTACACAGAATCTCCTCTTCCAGGCTCAACCTCATCGCCAGTCCTGTGCCAAGACGAGACTACGGGGATGACACTCGATGAATTGCTGGACAGTAGGACTAAGATGTCGATACAAGATTTTAGAAGGTTGCATTTAGGGGAATCATAGTAGAACAACTAAGTCTCTATCATAGAACAATTATAAGTCTCTAGGGGAGCACGCATCAAAGGTTGATTTTTAGACTTCTACTTTCAAGGTAGAAAGGATGAACTCTTTCGTGACTGGCGGTGGGGGCCGCATAATTGTCCTAATTTGAATTTCTGCCAATCACAAAGACGCATATTTCCTTTTTCCCGTCACATCGCGTTGTTTGTGTTTCGTTCTTCTGCTTATAGTCCTAGTTTTCCAGCACCTATTTAATTCACTATTAGTATGAATGTAGTCCCACATACGTTGTTGTTGCTTCTCAGTACAACGAGTGTCGTTGGGCAGCAAGCCTCCATAAAGGTTGTCCGACGACATGACCGTTTAAGATCATTCATCAGAAGGGCGTTTAAGTGGTTCTTTATGTTCTTGGTATGAACGCAGTACCAAAATATAAGTGACATTATCGGCACAGCAATTCGTTACGTGTGTGTGGATGTTCGTCTTTGCACGATGTACATGACGAAGATCAATGTGTTGTGAAGAAGATCGCCTTGAGAACACTTTTTTTGGACTCACTTGTATCTTCACTGTTTGAGATTTTGGTTATAAAGGAAAAATTACGTTCATGTTAAACAAAAAAGTAAGAGTGGCAAGCTGTTGGGCATGATCATACATAGTATTTAGAACTGGATGTGGAACACGACTGCCTGGAAGTTGCTACTTGATGCAAGCATGTGTTCAAACAATCAGCAAGGAGAGAGAGAGAGAGACCGACTTATGTATGAGTATGAGCTGTGGTATTGAGAGAAGCATGTGCCCATTTTTGTTCCAGTATGAAAGGCGAGGAAGATGAGGATCTCGTCTTAATTGACTTGCGCGATCTCCACGGTCCTTCCCAGACTTATGTAGGAGTTACTCAACTATTCAAAGTGACTTTTTTCCCCGAAATTTCCCGGATTCCTTATTCCCGGTTAAACCACTTTTTTTTTACACCGAAATACAACTTTGCGTGGCTCGTTGACTGATTTTTGGTATTCTCTAATAAACCGATTTAGATTTTCCGTCCTTTTGCACTAGCTCCTCACCACGTGATCTGTTGTTTCAAGATGATTCGTCCTCATCGTCCGGACATTGAGACAGCACTGCTGTCTCCAGATGGGAGAAGATACGTGCGTCGATGCGCAGGTGGCGAGGATTCTTTCGCCGGCGACATCTATAGTCGTAGTTGTGCGATTGCAGTGGAGAGGACTACAACAAGCACTACAACAGGAATTGGGAATAAGGGTTGTGGTTATGCTGGTCAACGTCATCCGGAAGATCCAGTGACACTGCATTCTCTACCTTTCGCGCGTTTGATGAAAGCAGGACTTTTGTCGCGCGAAACGTATGGGATTTACCGTGATGTGATGGCGCGAGAAGTCTTGCGGAGTATCCAAGGTGGATTTGGAACGTTGACGATGAAATTACCTTCGGATTTAGTTACGACGAATGGCCGTCGTGGTGCGAAGAGTCAGCCTGTAGTGCCAAGTGTGGTCTTGCAAGAGTGTCAGGCGAAATGGCAGGAAATTGGAAGATCGGTCTTTTATACAGCTAAAAATTCCAGCAATGCTGGTACTACGAATATTAGTAGGAAGAGAAAGCCCCTGTCTAAGGTCGAAAAAGCTGCAGAGGAGGCTGCAAGTCAGCTAAGCGCTCTATTTCGGGACATCGTCATCGAAAAAGGTGACCATGTACACGAAACACTGTGTCAGGAGAATCCTGCATTAGCATTAGCGGTTTGTTTGGCTGCGGTAACACGTTTGCATGCAGAGATTGGGAAGTGGATGAACGCTCTCGCTGCTGTTGACGAAGAGCCTGTCGAAGATGAGGGAGAGGGAGAAGCCACTCTTGGTGCTGTTGACGAAGAGCCTGGCAAGATGTCCGCGAAAGAGCAAGGGGAAATCACAGCTTATATTCAAGAACACTATGGTCACGGGGATCAGATGGAGGATGGGACCATGACAGAGACGAATGAAGACGAAAATGGCTCGAAAGCAAATGCTACAGCAGGCGAAGATAAAGAACCCGTCAAGACCACCCGCACAGTGTACTCTCAAAAGCATCCGTTTTTAGCTTGGATTGCAGCTTTCTCGGATCCAAAATTTCAGGAAATGGCTGATCAGTTTGATAGCTGCGTTTTGGAGGCTTTGTGCAAGGAGCAGCATAGGACTTCGGACGACATGACTGAAGCCGGAGAAGAGCAAGAATCCCGAGAAGAGAAGACCCAACTCAAAGAACGCTGCGCCTCCCTTTATTCAGAGATACTCAAAATTCTAGCCTTCGACATCATGGGTGTGTGTGCGGAGGAGGATCCTGTGATAAATTCTCCAGCAAATTTGGAGAAGTACTTTTTGACGGTTGAAGGTTTTGGAAGTGCTTCGAATGATGATACGGAGAACGCAGAGGCAACGGTTCGGGATCAAACGTTTTTTCCTAGTGCGATTTTGGGAAAGCATCGCTCTTTGGGTGCCGGAGGCGAGAAAACAAACACTCTTCGTGGGGTTTCTCCACCCGTCCTTATTCTCGCTGGTGCAGCAGGGTCGCAAACCATTGCGGAAGATGTGAGGACAATCGAACGTCTAGGCGCCTGGGCGAAGGTGGTCGTGGTGCCTGGGAGTAAGGACATGGATATTGTAAGCCCAGGAGCTGAAGGAGGCGACGACAATAGAGACACTGGCGATAAGGGAGGAACTAGCGGAACTTCAGGCACACGCGCTCAGACCGAATTCTTTAACCAAAGTAGGCGTCGGGAAGACGCTCTGAATGTCCGGCACCAACTCCAAGAAGCTCTAAGTGTGAGTCAAAACATGCCTTCTGAAGATGATGAGCGAGGAGTAGAACAAGGCACTTTCTATCCTCTACGTGTCGTCAAAACTGCTCCTCTTTCCGGTGCGACTTTTAGCGCTGAGCAGAGAGAAGTAGTCTCAGCAATAGTTGAAGAATTGATGGAGCATGACGTTCGATGTCTAGAAGACGCATATGCCGAAACGGCGGCTGAGAGTGGAAGCAAAGGTCCGAAAACGGCTGGTGCTTTATTGGTTTGTGATTTGCTGTCGTCCTCATTCGGAACTGGAGGAGCTGCGGCATCTCCTAAAGCGCCTAAAGATGCTTCCAAAAACACGTCTACTACTTCTTTCGCGGACGTACTCACCACTGTGGAGCCACTATTGTCTCGATCAGTAGTCCTCGTGGCCGATTGTGCGAGTCTAGGAACAATACTGTCCAGAAGCGACCGCGAGATCGAGAATGATCCTGACGGCGCAGCGGCAGAGCTATTTAGGAAAATTATGGGCGTAAACAGTTTGGTTCTGGTGACGGAGCATCAAAAGAAGCAAGACCAGAAAGGCGTAAAGGACGCGAACAAGCAGAACAAAAATGGGCAGAAGATGGCTGACGTTTTGATGACGTGTTTCGTATCGATCATCCTTCCACCTGGACATGCTATTTTGAAAAGAAGCGACGACCTTGCGAACCAAGTGGGCTTGAAGGACATTTCGACGTCTGTGCGGGATCACAATCTAACGCGCCGTTTAGAAATAGCGGAAGCGTTGAGCAGTAACAATTTTTACGGTGCTGAAGATAGTGTAGTAACATCAGGAGTGAACAACTACACTGCAGATCCAATGTTTGGCGTAGATGCCTCAGGAGCAGACTTGGACCTTCGTATCAGTTCTACTGTGCAGCTGTTACCACTGAGTGGTGGCGGAAAGGCTCCTTCGGCTACCAAAATTTTGCAAGTAAGGTTGGATTTCGAAAGCACTAACATCACGCCAACAAGGAACCCACCACCAGCAGCTCATCAAGCTCAACGACCGCCGTTATTGTCTTTTTCTGGATTCAGGCCGACGCTCAGTTCTGCTGTGGCAGCAGGACTTGGCAGAGTGGTATCGATGAATGAGATGCGTCTGGCTTTAGCTGAGAATCTACCCAGGATAGTTTCTGAGGCTATGTTTTTTTCAATAAGTGCAGCTACAGCTTCTCAAAGAAGTGGCGAGACGGTTCTGATGCATAGACGGGGGATGCTTTTAGGCCTGGTGTAAAGTAGCGGTTCTTTTTGGAAAGATCTAGATCCTAAGCTGGAGGGGGCCAGATTTGACAACTTGAAATTTAGGTTTATTAATTTATTTCACCATTTCATTCTTGCGAACACAAGTCATGAGATCAAACCATAATAGGCAACAAGTTGGGTACGTCTTCATGGGGTAGTGCTGGACTGCCCTTGCACATAATAAATGAAGCTTTGATTCTGTCGACCCTAACTGTACAGTCTCTGTGATGAAGCAAATCATTTGAGCAAGAACGTCATTTCCCTTGTATATTCGAAAACCAAGCCGTAATGCCTATATAAATATAAAGGTAAAAATATGTGTTGTGGTCCAGAGCCCGGCGCGGTGCTCGGAAAAATATCTTCGTGTTTGAAGTCTCCCACCATGAAAAAACACATGTCTTTGCTCATCTATGGATGAGACCAATCACGAGAATCGACCCAGAGGCACATCATGACTATGCTTTTGCTTGTTGAAGTTACACTTGAAGAAACGTGCATACGAGAAGTGGTCTATCCTCGACTATCCTCAACGAGTCAACAGCTCTTGACTCAAGAGCATTTTTCTGGTACTACGAGATTGACTACATCGAATTTTGAATTTTACAACATTATCTTGACGAATGTCTGCGTTGCTGCTCTAGTGGCCACGGTCCTGTTTGCACACACCGTTCGCGCGACCCATGAAGCTGATATTCGTGCGATTATCGATATTCCTACACACGACTACCTCAAGAATTGGGAGCAGAGTGAGGCCCGTAAAAAGCTGTTTCGTTCGCTCGAGCTTGGCACTGCGATTGCAGGCTTGCATAAGGAGACGGCACTGCAAGTTTCGCAAGCGGACCTACGTAGTGCAAAACGACGCCTAAATGTACATCTACCTAGTACGAGTGCGTCAGTAGGCATTCCAGCAGGAAGAGGAGAGGGACGTTTCCGTGGCGAAGTTGATTCGGAACAAGGTGAAGTTTAGTTATACGGCAACCGCGTAAGCATCCTCAGCATCATCCGTGCGCCCTTTATGTTCTACTTTTTGCGCCTTTTTCTACTTGACAAAAGGGGGGAAAAGGGGCAAGGATGCACTAAGGGAGGCTAGGGCGGTAGCCCTAATCTAGTGCCTACGCCTGTCTTACATTCGATTAAACTGACTCAAGAATGTTCGGCTGCTTGAGTGGCGGTTCGCGCCAAAGAACTGCTGAAGCAAGTGGGAGAACTACGTGGACAACTGAAGAGGAAATGGCATGGTGCCATGGATAAGATCACTGTCTGGAGTGCTCTTCCTGAGCCTAATGATCTGAACGACCAGGCTGTCGTCAACTATTTCTGAGTCAACGAAAGTTAAGGCTTGCTTCACTAATTCTGAGTCAACCCTCAATCGGACCCATCAATCAATATTTCAAACGGAGAAAGGCCTCGAGATGGTTTCCAGGATGGTTTTATCTGAGAAACGGACTGATTAAAGAGGATGGGTTTCTTTTAGAGATCTAAGAAACGGACATACGCTCTTATGGCAAGTTGAGGACTCGACCGCTAGCGGAATCTGCAAGAGCCTCATTGTTTTATTCGGTAAAAGAAGAGTTTCTGGAAGAGGTTCAGCCCATTTCTTTCATTTCTTAGGACTACCGCATCTGCTAATAAGTCTTAATCTACTTTCTACTTTTAATGTGGTGACACTAGACTAGGAACTCCTGTTCTTGGTGATATCCTGGCTTGAGAACTCAGTTTCTTTCTCTAAAGTGTGAAGGAATTTCGTTTTCGGAGATGCACATCGGTCGGCGCTGAACCTTGTGCTGGCGGGATTGTATACCCGCTGTGGGCTCCTTTAAATGGATGCGTGAAGCTGTTGCGCATGACGAAAGAGCGAAGTGGAAATCGCGTTTAAGTGGAGCTGAAGTCAGCGCACATGGCACTTTAGCGTGATCGACGTCCCTGAACTTGAACTATGCGACCTATTTTTGGGGAGTGAGTCCTTGGTTATGTTGGAGCGAAAACACAGAGAAAGACGATCTCCCTACGCGACGTAGTCTTTAGAAGTAGAAGTAGACTATATAGTTGGCGTTTTTGCTAGCGAAGATGATATATCACAGCTCATGACTAAAAAGTGGTTCCCTTAGACAAGAGAGGATGCGATCCCTCCACTGGGCTAAGAGTTGACAGGCCTCCTGTAATTCGTAGCAGCTGCAAGCGATTGTTTACAAAATTTTCTCAGTTGGTTACGACCCGTTCGAATACATCAAATTTTTAGTTTTGGCAGACTGAGTCAGGGTCTGTTTGGTAGCAAGGTGTTGACTGAGCAGTTTCTTTCGAGTGCATGGGCACTCATTTTTCGATTGAACAGTGACACGTATATCGTCTTTTCGTTGCAACCGGCCGCCTGGCGAATTGAGATAAGCCCTTTGTTCATTAATGCGTCACGGTTCTCTTGCTTGAAGATGAGGAGAGTGGGTCGTTTTTGCATTGGGATTGGCACTGAGAGATGTGGTCTTATGAGTCCGTCTAGAGGTCATGCACTTATACTCCTGCGTTATCGAAGAGAGAAAAGTCGAGAGAACCTCCATTTTTTTGAAGTTGCGTGACAGTGATGAAACTATTGATTTAGATTAATATTGGCTAGTCTCACCAGCAGTTGGTAAAAATACCTGCGTTTGCGTCTGTTGCACGTGCCTTTGCGCAAAGATGCAGATAGCGACAACCTAGGCGCGTGGATGGGCTGCTCGTGGGGCTTCAAGTCGTACGGGGGCGGTCGTGATTTGGACCGCAATTTAGAAACCAGGAAACGCTCGAACGGAAATTATGAAGAAGGAATAACATGACTAGGAACTCTACTGGCGATCGAGCATGGAGCAGTGGGCCTAGAACATGGAACTATTTTGGACGCGAATGTGGGCAACGAGACGTTAATTTGACTCTTGCTGACGAATTCCCAGAAACCGCTAAAACCTCGTTTTTTCCGAAATTGAACACTAGGATCTGAATGCGAAGGACACCTCAGATGTTATTTTTTCCAGTGAACATTTGGCATTTTTGAAGAAATCACTCTTTATTCATACCGCCGTTTGTGGAATTGCATAGAACCAACCAGTAGTAAGGGAAGAGAGTAAATCTAAATAAAGAAGGTCTCGTCATAATTGAATGCAAGCTCCATACTGGATCTCGAAATATTTAGATCCTTGTGATGCGTTCCCTTTTTGTATAGGCCAAGCCTTGATCGCAAATCGCGCACACAAATGAAGGTGGCGGTGGTGGACGATCCATTTCCACTGGCCGGCAGTGGCGCGCTTGAAAGCTCTCGACTGTGATGAAAGACGCACACCATTAGACCCAAGTTCGAGTCCCTAGTCTCCAAATGTTGTTCCTCAATCTAAATTGAAAGTGAAAAGTACAGATCCATTTCAAGGAGAGGCTTTTCTGGATTGAAGTATTTCCGGATTGTCGTTTCTAAATGAAGATCGCACAATTTAGATCCATGTCTTAATGAGGAGGCATTCTGAAAAAAGAGATCGTGAATCAGCCTAGTGGAGATTTAAGCAGTTCTAAATTTGACGCTGCGCAGATCTTGAAAGCGTAGAATCGGAATGCTCGTGGAAGGTCAATTTCCAGTGTTGATCTCACTTGATTCTCATCACGAAGCTCTCTAGTACTGTCAAAGGATTCCCCTGCTAAGATCGCGTTTGGTTATCCGACAAGAATGTACACGAAAAGCACAATGCACGTGGAAGTATATCTCAAGAAGGTAGCGTCTGTATGCTTCAAACTTGCATGATTTTCCCCAATATTTCTGCCTTCTCCTAAACTACCCAGGGAAACTAGAGGAATTCACACCGGAGTCGCTTGAAGAAGCACCGGGGTTCCATAGAGAGTAGCACCTCCGAAAACAAGGCAAAAAATGAAGTTGATTCGTTCCTCCAATACTATCACGATCCCGAAGGGCGTGACCGTGGACATCAAGTCCCGCAAGGTCGTCGTTAAGGGCCCCAAGGGACAGTTGGAGCGCGACTTCCGTCACCTTCCGGTGTCCGTCGCCAAGATCGATGGTGGAAAGAAGGTCGAAGTCAGCCTCTTCTTCGGACTGACCAAGCAGACGGCTTGCTTGCGCACGGTACCTCATTATACATCTTTTTAGTCAATTTAAATCATAGTCTCGTTCTTATAAAAAAATTGGCGTTTCGTGATTACGAATGCTACTACTGTCTTTAGGTCTTGATGGTCATGGATTTTGAATTTAGGTTGTGAGAGCATTGTTCGGATTCTCTGCAATCGTTTGACCCATCTAACTTCACGGCTGTCGATTCAAGGACCTAAATCCACCTTCAGCACGATACTTAGCGCAATAGATTTAGAACCGAAAAGGTCTTTGCGTCCCTCAGATTTCCAACTACAGTTGATTCTGCCTGCAACCTCTCCCCTAAATCATCAATCTCCAAATGCCGAAAACAGGTCTGCTCCCACATCGACAACATGATTACGGGTGTCACTAAGAGCTACCGATACCACATGCGTCTCGTGTATGCGCATTTCCCGATTGGCGCTGAAATTGTCAATCGAGGAAAGCGCATCACCATCAAGAACTTCTTGGGAGAGAAGGTCAACCGCGTCATCGATATGATTGGTGAAACTCAGGTATAATGTTTATGACAGATCTTAGAGATTTTAGATTTGATAGTAAATTACCTTGAAGAATGGTGCTTCGATTTGATAGTAAATTACCTTGAATAATGGTGCTTCGATTTTACTTCTTGGGAGAGAAGGTCAACCGTGTCACCATCGTTTAGATCGGATATCCACTCCCACCATCCACAAACTGACACCAAAAAACAGGCCATCAAGTCCGAGGCTACCAAGGATGAGATCCTCATCGAGGGTATCGACATCGATGACGTCTCCCGTTCCGCGGCCCTGATCCACCAGTCCTGCCTCGTCCGCAACAAGGATATTCGTAAGTTTTTGGACGGTATCTACTGCTCCCAGAGCGGCCCGATCGAGGAGTACTAAATCCGACTGTCGTTTCTGGAAGGATATGAAATGCAGCAAGGAGTTTAGAAGGAGGAGAGGGAATAGTGAAACTACGTCACGGGGATGACAGGATTCTAGGAGTCCAGAAGTCTCGAAAGGGGATGATGCGGATGCAGATGCAAATCGTGTTTGGATGACATTCATGTGACACTTGCTGAGGCAATCAGACTCTTCTTTGTCGTGTCTATTTTCATAAGCCGGAGGCTTTTGCTACTCAAAAAACTTCGTGTGGAGGCAAGAGCTGCTTCTGCGGTTCTCAGATGGACGTGGAGCCCGACAGAGTGTTTTGTGAGGAGCATCGCGTTCGTCATTTTTTGTTGACTTTTTCAGTCTTGATCATTGATCGTTCTTCAGCGAGGCAAATCGAGCTGATCTGATCGTATGTCGGAAAAAGGGGCACTACTTCTGCAACTTGCGATCGTGAGGAAAAAGACTGAGAGAACGAAGTGATTCGGCACAGGCAATGTTGAACCTGAATCAGAATCGTAATATCGCAGTTCGGCCTTCAGCGCTCGCGTTCTAGTCGGAACAGCGTGTTTCATCCAAATCGTGTGATCATCTTTTGCATACTCCTCCACTTTTTCACTTTGACCCTCTCGTTGAATTCGTCCTCGCGGATCTTTTCACATTCTTCGTAATTCAAGAATATACCGGTTTCGCGAACGCGAATAATAGAAGCAACGTGTTTACATATTTCGTGAACAAAGCAGGAAAAGGTTGTATTAGACCCAAGGAGAGAAAATGCGTCGAGCGAAAGCTTGAACACGTACGTATCCGAGCATGTTTTAGAATTTTTGTTTCCTCACGCTCACTCAAAACTGCCATTTTAGAAGATATTCGGATTTTTATAGAGCGACTTCCTCTCCTCCCATGGTTCCCGCAACCGAAGTGACAAGCGACACAAAAAATGAATGACTGACTTTTTCTTTTGCCCTGACGATTTTCCAATCGAGCTCATGTCAGGAGCGCGCGACGACCACTGATATACCAACGACATCAAAAAAGAACGACAATTGAAAGACAAAAAAGAAACTAGAGTTGGTAACTACTTAATTCTATGTACTGATATGATACAACAGTAGATGAGCAAGTCCAATGCCGGTTTCGCAGGATAAGAGTCCAGCAGTGCGCCATCCTGGGCTTGATCCGGGCGTCGTGGAGGATATCCACAATCAGCGATCATCGCTAGAAAGCAAGAGGCCCAGCATGTCGGTACAAGACGACATTCCAGTTGGCGGTACCCGATCGGGTGTTGCTTCTTCGAGTGTGATGAAGGAGGCAGCGGCAAATAACGCAGTGGGTGGAGCTGAGGCTGAGAGGCCAGCGAAGCGACAGAAGAAAGCTGCAAATGGAGCTACGGCTAGTTCGAGTTCGACTGCCGCTGGCGGTGGTGGCAGGAAGGGGAGTAAAGTAAAGGGTGCACCTGGTGGAAAGGGAGAAGAACATGCATCTGGAGGTGGCGACGTCGAGGATCCTCAGTATGGAAAGATGGAACACAGAGACCACATCCTGCTGCGACCAGACACGTATGTGGGGACGAGGCAGGAACGAAAAGAGAAGATGCTTTTGTTGTCAGCAGATGAGACAAAATTCGAAGAGCGGACGATCAGGTACTTCTTTCGCTTTTTTTGGCTGTTGTATTCGTGGAGGTTGCTTTTAGGAACGAACAGGTGGCTTTTGGAAAATTTCGTATCTGCTCGCAAAGAACGAACTTGAAAAAACTACAGTTGCAATAGACCAGTAGACTTGCAAACAACTCCGAAATCATTTAGTTCCACAACAAAATCCAAAAAAAAACCGCAGGTATTGTCCCGCTCTCTACAAGATTTTCGACGAAATTTTAGTCAACGCCGCAGACCACATGCAGCGTGATAGCAACTGCGATGAGATTCGCGTGCACATCGACCCAAAAGATGGCAGCATTAGTGTTGAAAACAACGGTAGTGGTATTCCGGTCCAGATGCACAAAGTGCAAAAAATCTACATCCCAGAACTGATTTTCGGAAATTTGTTGGCCGGTGACAACTTCAACGACGACCAACAACGTGTAACAGGCGGTAGAAACGGCTATGGGGCGAAGCTGACCAACATTTTCTCCACGAAGTTTGAGTTGGAGACGGTGTGTGCGAAGCACAAGATGCACTACAAGCAAATATGGGAAAAGAACATGTCGATCAAGGGAGAGCCAGAGATCAAGCCTGTCGCCACTGAAGATTTGGCTAGCGGAAAAGTGAAAGCGTTCACTAGGATAAAATTTTGGCCAGATTGGACCTACTTTCCGCAAAACGACCTCACGCCAGACACAGTGGCGTTGTTCCGGAAACGAGTTTACGACATCGCAGGGTCGACCGATGCTAGAGCGACGGTGTTTCTAGACGGAAGAGAATTGCCGATTCGAACCTTTGAGGACTTTGTGAGGATGCACATAGAGGAAATCACACCAGAAAAACAGGAGCAGATGAAACAGCAACTAGCAGCAGCGAAGGAGAAAATGAATTATGTTGAAAGAAGGACCGCTAAGTGACTTGAGTACTCATAGCTTGATTCCTTCAGTATCTGATATTAACGTCGAGGCAGGCTTCCGCCACGGTTTTCTTTTTCAACATTTCCACTCATTGATTCGGGACAATGCGGCTTGGTTTTTCTAGACTCCCCTGATGGATCTTTTTCACCTGATGGATCTCTCGGAGAGACCTTTGGGAATCTCTAATCCTTGAAAGAGCAAGAAGGTGTTGCGGATCCTGAGAATCCAAATGTGGCAGCCGATCTGGAGGTCGATGGGAACGAACGTGTGACTGGAATAATCGCGCGAGAGATCATCAAATACGACTCAAAGGGCGAGAAGGGAGACAGCCAACCACTGGCGTGGGAAGTGATACTGGCATATAACCCATACGATGAGTTTCATCAGGTACTAGAACTTGTTACATCCTTCTACTGGTTTTTCGCATGAGATATTTTGTTGACTCTTCTGCGCCTTTGAACAAAAACAAATTCCAATTTCTTGTGTCGATTTCGCTACATACATATAATAGTAGTGCGCAATCAATATCAACCTCTTGAGCTTTCTCTCACCACTTTCTCTCCCACAAGAGTGATCCCTTCATCGTGTCATTCAGGTCTCCTTCTGAATTTTTCCCTCGAGTGATACCTTCATCGTGTCATTCAGGTCTCCTTCGTGAACACTTTCTCTCCCACAAGAGTGATCCCTTCATCGTGTCATTCAGGTCTCCTTCGTGAACTCCATCCGTACCTACAAAGGCGGTTCCCACGTCTCCTGGATCCGAGAGCAGATTCGGTCTATCGTCAAGGCCAAGTGCGTCAAAGAAGCCAGTAAAAAGAAGATCCGCAAGGATTTCGTCAAGGATGGCGATATCGATGCGGAGATGTACCTCTTCATCAATGCTCTGATCGTGAATCCGCAGTTTGACTCCCAGAGCAAGGAGTCTCTGAATACGAAACGCGAGCAATTCAAGCAGCAGACAGGACTGTTAAGGGTACACCTTTAACGTGCTTTTCTAACCGCTTTTTATGCCTCTCTCCCTTAGGAGGAGAAAGGCATAACAAGCGGGGTAAGCGAGCACCAAAAGCCTACCACCTCTAAGAGGGGGCGACCAGTTTAAGGCGGAGGTGGAGGAGAGTGGGATCGTCGATAGTGTCTTGTCTTACGCCGAAGCGGCTGGGAAAGACGACGTGGCGAAAGTGTTCGCTGCCAATGTGGGTCCGAGAAATCCAGACGGGTCTTGGGGAAACATCGGCAAGACCCGAAGACTGAACGATGTGCCGAAACTAGAGGACGCCAATATGGCGGGAACGAAGCGGAGCAAAGAATGCACGTTGATCTTGACCGAGGGAGACAGTGCGAAGGCCTTGGCAGTTGCGGGATTGTCCATCGTCGGACGCGATTTGTACGGCGTCTTCCCTCTTCGCGGTAAGCCACTGAACGTCCGAGAAGCTGCGGTTAAAGACGTGGCGAAGAACGCAGAGGTCAAGCACATCATGAAAATCCTAGGTGCGAATCCAATGCAGAAACCACCACCCAAGATCGACGACCTCCGTTACGGTAGTGTCATGATCATGGCGGATCAGGATTTCGACGGTTCCCACATCAAAGGCTTACTCGTAAACATGTTTCAACAGTACTACCCGCATCTGCTGCAAGATCAGAGTCACAACTTTTTGAAGGAGTTCATCACGCCCATCGTGAAAGCGACGAAAAGGAGAGGTGACAACGCAGAACCGGAAGTGCACGAGTTCTACAGCATTATCGCTTACGAGCAATGGCTGGAGGCCAATGAGCAGGGGAAAGGATGGGAACTGAAGTATTACTATAGATATGTATATTTTTTTCGTTCCAGTATTTCGAAAAATCTCACTTTATAATTTCGTACTTTTTCGATGTGCACTTTCACATACTTGCTTCTTTGATTTTTTGATTTCTCACCTCGATTAGGTACTACAAGGGTCTCGGTACCTCCACCTCGAAAGAAGCTAAGGCCTATTTCTCCGATCTTCCGAAGCACAAGATTGAGTTGATGTACGAGGACCGCGTCGGACGCGAAGTTGAGGCTTCCGATGACGAGGACGCTCCAGGTGGTGGAGATGTGAATGCTGCTAATGGAGACGCTGCTCCAAAGCAGAAGAAGATGAAGCGCGTTTTCGAGGATGACGATCTGATTGACTTGGTTTTTAGTGGTAAGCGCGCTGACGATCGCAAGGTGTGGATGAACGGCTCTGATGATACGTTAGCTGTCGATACCAGTAGTGGGAAATTGACAGTGAAAGACTTCATCAATCGAGAAATGGTCCAGTTCTCAAAGTACGACTTGCGACGTGCTGTGCCGTCAGTCATAGATGGCCTGAAACCTTCGCAACGGAAGATCCTGTTCGCTTGTTTCAAGAGGAACTTAAAGTCCGATATCAAGGTTGCACAGCTGAGCGGATATGTGAGCGAAAAAGCGGCTTACCATCACGGTGAGGTGTCTTTGCAAGGCGCGATCGTGAAACTGGCGCAAACCTTCGTCGGCAGCAACAACGTCAACCTCCTGATTCCTAGTGGTCAATTTGGTTCACGCCTCGAAGGGGGTGAAGATCACGCCAGTGCGCGTTACATTTTTACCAGGTTGGCGAAAACAGCACGTGCCATTTTTCCGGAGGCTGACGACCCAGTCCTGGAGTACAACATGGAGGAGGGTCTGTCCATCGAACCCGTCTCCTACTACCCAGTGATCCCCATGATCCTAGTCAACGGGTGCAAGGGTATCGGTACGGGGTGGAGCACCGAAATTCCGTGCTTCAATCCCCGCGACATCGTAGCAAATGTCCGCCGCTACATCGAAGGCAAGCCTTTTGTGGACATGAAGCCTTTTTATCGTGGTTTCACGGGGTCTATGGAACTCAAGGGAGGGGCAGACCAGTTCATGGGCTTAGATGCTGCTACTGGAGCAACGCAAATGGTGGAGTCATCCGCGCTAACGTACGTGAACAAGGGTGTGATCCGGGAAACTAGTAGAACACAGCTGGCGATCACAGAACTCCCGATTGGTGTCTGGACCAGAAAGTACAAGGAGAAGCTGCAAGAAATGCTCCAGAAAGACGAGAAGGACAAGGACTTTTTGCTCGCGGACATGAAGGAACATCACACAGACAACACTGTGCATTTTATTCTTCAACTCACCCCAGAGAAGATGCTGCAAGCGAAGCAGACCGGTCTGCATAAGGCGTTTTCGCTAACGGGACAGCTAGGCATGAGCAACATGCACGCGTTCGGATCGGACCACCAGAAGATCAACAAGTACGATTCTCTGGCCGATTTGTTGCAGGAGTTCTGCGAGGCTCGTGAAAAAGTCTACCAGAAGCGGAAAGCGCATCAACTCCGGAAAAAACAGCAAGAGATCATGGAGATGCAGGCCAAGGCTCAGTTCATCCAACTAGTAGTCGATGACGTGATAGATTTGGAGAAAAAGTCGCAAGCAGAACTGGCACTAGAACTCTGCGCGCGACACTTCCCGAAGTGGAAGGAGATTCATCCACTTGACTTCGCTGATTTTCCTGCATCGAAAGCGAAATTTCCGAAGGAGAAGATCGGAAAGCAAGAGCCAACATCTTCTTCTAGTAGTAGTTCCTTTTCGGGTCCTGCTGGTGGTGTTGCTCCTATGGATGTCGACGGTGGTAATCAACAAGGATCCTCTTCTTCAACCACCGCCACAGCCACCGACTACGGGTATCTCCTCAAAATGAAGGTCCACCAACTGTCGGAAGAGCGTGCGTTGCTTCTGCTGCAGCAATTGGCCAAGAAAGAGCAGGAAGCAGAAGCTTTGGAGAAGGTGAGGCCTGGAGACATGTGGCTGGCTGATTTAGACAACGTCGAGTCCGCTCTAGACGATCAAGACCGCGAGGACGGCAAGGAGTTGCAAACGGCCTTGAAGATGAACAAGAAAGTAGGCAGCGCGGATGAGATGACCAATCAGCCGTGCGTTTTAGCGATGACGCAGAGTGGAAGGATCAAACAGATCGTCAGGAATAAAGTAGTACCACGAGCGCATTTGAAAAACAAGGTCGGAAAGAACTTTGCTGCGCCAAATGGATTAGACGCACTTTCAGCTTCAACAAGTGCTACTCCAACTACTACTGGCGCTTCTTCTTCCTCAGTTGGGACGAAAAACAAGGGTAACAAGAATCTTCCTGCTCGTCCAGAGGAGACTATTACTACTAGTGCTCCAGATCCCGTAGTGAAGCTTCTGGGTTGCCACAACTTTGACACAGTTCTCTACGTCCTCTCTGACGGCATGGTGATCTCGTACCCCGTGATTTCCATTAAAGACGATGACGCGAAGAAAAAATTGAACCACCCTCCGAAACCGATCCAGGACTTTCTCAGCTTCCAGGAGCCTTGGCGAGCACCGTATTTGGAACAATCTGAAATCGCGGATCTAAGAAAAGCGGCAGGTCGTAGTGCAGTCAAGGATGAAGCAAATAATGCTATGGAAATGGATGTCGACGAAGGGAACACTGGTGGAGATGATGTTAATGTTGCAGATGGAGCAGTTGTAGACGGGTCCTCATCTTCTTCCAGTACAACTGTTCGCGTTGTAGCAATGGTTCCTATCGGCGATGACAAGGCGTGGGAAGCGGATTCGTTGTTGTTGCTTTCTCGCGAAGGCATGATCTTGAAGTTGAAGTTGAGTGTGGAAGGCATCCAGAAATCTCTAGTTCGCGGCTTGCAGATGATGAAAGTACGATCCGGCGACGAGCTAACCCACGCTTGTCTCGCTAATGAAGATGACACTTTGTTCATCGCGAAAGCAGACGGTGCTTGTCTGCACACTTCGGTACGCGCGTTGCGGTTCGGCAATAAGGGTGGAACCGGAATGAAGGCGGCGTTTGTGAAGAAAGTGGCCGTTCCGAAGGGCAGTTGTGGCGACAAGAAGGATCGACAAGCCTACAAACGCACAGCCAAGGCAGCGAGAGTGATCGCATTCGATCGCGTCTACAATGGCGGAATCAACTTCGACAAAACGGCGAAGGTGCAAGACAAGGATGCGTATCTGAAGGATCAGGGCATTAGCAAGCCACAGCCGGTACAGCAGGCGAGTGCGTACTATGCGCAGTGGCGTGTGCGAACACAACAGAACACGCCTAGTGGACCGAGTTTGGCTCATACTGTGAAGAAAGAAGAGTCGTCCACTTCTACTTCTAAGGTGAAGTCAGAACCATTGCCAGAACTGACTTCAGATGCTGACGTGTTAGGGAATGCGGAAATCCTCCTAGCTGCGGCGACGACCTTGCCACGGAAGTTGCGAGTCGCCGCTGGGCAGATTTTCCCCGCTTTGAGCGAAGCTGACCAGGCCGAGTGGCTGCAGAAGCAGGAAGCAGACCAAGGGCGCTACGATCGTGAGATGAGCGAGTACAAAGCGGCGATTGCAGCACACAAGAAGACGCAGCTGTCCAACAAGTTCGTGAAAGACGCTAGTTTCGGGACGAAACAAGGTGGCGGCAAGCTCGAATACATGCTCAAGCCGGATTACTTGTACGGCAATGCCAATGCTGGTGCGAAAGAAGGACCACTTGTCGAGGAGATGAAGGCAGCAGGCCTAGACGCGAATATGTTCTTGACTCGAGTGATGTGGCTGCGCAATGTCAAGTACCCAACACTCTCTGCCGAGGAGAAAGCCGAGTGGGAAGCCAAGTCAGCGGAACTTTTCTCTGAGCGTGCAGCAGGAGCAGCGGATGAGGTGAGAGGACGAGCTGATAGTGCATTGAGCAACGCCGATGCCAACGGAGCTCCTGGTGGTCGTGTGAAGGATACACAAGACGAAGATGCTGGAGAGCCCACTCCAGGAAATGACGACGACGCCGAAGAAGATGGTAAAGAGGACGAAGATGATGAAAACGAAGACGACGAGCCGGCTGCCAGTAGTCAAGATGGCGAGGACGACGCCGAGAGCGTGGCCGAAGGCGGCACGCAATCTGTGACGGACAGTCAAGCGGGTCCGACATATGGGAGGAAAGCCACCGGAGCGGATTTGAAGGACAAAGCCTGTGTCCTCTGCATCACGAAAAAGGGTCGCGGCCAGCGCATCCCCATAGAGCGCTTTAGTGTACTGAAAAAGACAAATGGGGGTCGATCTCTGAAGATGGAAGCGGACGACGCGTTGGTCGCTGTCGTAGTCCTACATCCAGACCACTTCGGCAACAACCAGAACCGACCTGCAGGAGCGTCTAGTGGTTTCGGAGCAGGTAGTAGTACAACAGTCACGGGTGAGAAACTCTTTTCAGACGACTACATGACACAGCAGAAGGGCCAAAACGCTTTCAACGGCTTCTGTCATGAAGTGGAAGAAGAGGTTGAGGAAGTAGTTGTTCCTGCGGTGGCGAAGCAAGAACAAGTAGAAGATGGCGCAGCAGCAGCAGCACAAGCGGCTTCTACTACTCAGAAGGTTAAGCGCATCGTCAAGAAGTACGTGGCAGACCCAGCAGGCAAGTTCCAGATCGCATTGATGCGGGAGGGTCATGTGCGATCTAAAAAGCTCTGGCTAGAGCTGGGTGAAGAAGAGAAAGCCATTTGGGAAGCTAAAGCTGCTGCACAAAATGCTAAGGTGTCAGCTTTATCAGCAACAAGCTCGTTTGATGAAGAAGCAGCGACGCCTTTGCTTGGTGGCGCAGACAGCGCAGCTGCTGCAAGTGGTATTTCCGATGCTCCGGCTTCGCAAAATGGTGCTAATGGTACAAACAATCCTCCAACAACCACATTAGCAGCATTAACGAAGAAGAAAGAACAACGCGCACACCACGAATTGCTTCTTCTGACCTCAGATGGCGAAGCCCATCGCGTCATTCCTACCACAATCGCTCTTTCGAAAGGCCTCAGAGTGGCAAAGTCACGCAGTATCGCGAAGTTGCAAGGTCCTAACAGTAGTATCATCGACGCAAGCTACAGCATCACATGGGATGTTCCAGAACGGGCAGCGGACAGAAAGGCAAGACTAGCTGCGGAGAAGGCTGAAGCCTCGAGGGAAAAATTGGAAACAGTGATGGAGGAAGAGGAGGAAGACGAAGAGGAGGAAGAAGGAGGAGAGTTTTAGATGAAACGACTTCAACTAAGATTACTTTGCTGGATGGAGAAGGTCTTCGACGTGTTTAAGCAGAACTTGTTTACAACTACGATGAGAATTTAGCTACGGAGCTTTTTACTTGAAAAACACCAAGATCAGTTATTAAAAAGCACCAAATTCAGTTATTGAAAAATTGCTGATGTGCCTTAATATAGATATCAAAAACGAAAGTCGAACTTAATCTGCTCTTCATTTCAGGCTAGTAGTTCACTCTCGAATAAATGCTAGCTCTGAGCGCGATCTCGATTTTTTCAATCCATTTCAATAAATTTACTCATTCAATTTCTTAGCAGTAAAATATCCATTGACTTATAGTTTTATATCGACACTACGGTTAGCAGAATTGATCTAAAGTCAAACATGTTTTCGATCATATATTTTCTGGTTCGTTTGTTGTGATGGGAATTGTATTTTTCAGTCTGCCCCCAAAACATCAGGAAGGGCGGGCGAGTACCAAAAGCTTGGGGTTAAGAGTACTATCCTGTTGTAGAGAGCAGCAGCTGGAGGTTTAGAAACAAAGCCTCCGGGAGCTAACAGAAGCCTTCAACGAAACACAATGAAAAAAAGATCACGATGTATCATCGGGTTTCAATTTTTTTGAAGATATGCGCCGTTAAGAGCGAATATCCAGTCTTATGAAACTTGATCGTGTGTACTCAGAACCAACGAGTGGGTGCACTGCTCGTCCAATATCTTAAGCTCCTAGTAAGTAGTCGAATACTAGTAGTCGAATATAATGGATTTAAGTGTAAGTAACCAGTAGGACTAGGCATAATGGTTGTTTCTTAATTCGTGGAAAGAGATATTCATATTATTCAATAAATATTTTTCAATTTGTTTTGATGCATCGATCCAGGTTCGAATGCCGAAGCCGCACTCTTATAAATATTTCTTACCTCTCCACGACCTTGGTATTTAAGCTCCTGAACCTCCTGTCACCTCATTCTTCAAACCTGACGAGACATTGGGTAGCCCCTGCAACTCTTAATATTAGTACCTTGTTTCACGAGTATGATTTTATCGATAGAAGGTTATCAAGTTCACCTTCAAGAGACCAAGCAAAAAGTGCGGTCAACCTCTTGTCGACGTCATACGATGTTCTTCTGCTGCCACCCAGAGAGTAGACATGACGAATGAGCACTCCATAGCTTAGCTTCGTTCTTCTTGTCCTTTATTTGGACGAGAATTATCTGTATCTTCTCTCTGTACTTCTAATCTCTGAGTGCTGTTCGATGTGCTGGAAATCCGTCTACTGTATCCATCGGGGAAAGCATCATCTACGTCGGAAAGCATCATCTACGTCTCTGTCATCGGTTCATATGAGTCAAGCCTGCTACATCCAATTCGTATTCCCACAGGTCCTTCCAGATCTTCCCGGACCCCCCTCCCTCCGACCATTCCATCAAACGCACCTTAAATTTTCTTCATTGGAGTGGGTACATTCATTCATTCCTTCATTCCTTCATTCGTCTTCTTGATGCTGCATAGGTGAAGTTACATTATACTTGCATGCTTTTAACAATTCCAGTGGTTCTTGGACCTAGTTTCATCCTGTGTCTCTACTTCGTCGTTTCTAATAAATATGTACTCCAGCCAAGTCTACCTTTGTAGGATGACGAGTCGAGATGATATAGGAACAATAGCTACAGGAGTTCTTGTGCAAGGATTAGCTAACGTTGTGAAGTTCTAGTTCTCGTCAGCTGTTTGTGCATAGTAGAGTTGTTTCGATCCGTAGTTCGTTATACTTAACCACGTGGATTCCGTAAACATGAATTTGCTGTGGTCGTTTGATTGATTCCGCATTACATTTTCCGCTTGTAGGACGGTTTCGTTTTAGGTTACTTACATGTTGAGCATATAGTAGCGGCAACTGCACGGACGCAAGCCTTCAGTGCTGCGAAGTACTAGGTACGTCCGTGGCTGTCTGGTGTTGTCATTGAATCTGCACCTGTTTCCGCTGAGCGGCCTATTCGACGACATCAAGCTAACACGACGTAGAAGTGTCCTTCGTGTCAATTCCGCTGCATCGATTCCCAGCTTCTTCGAAGCGCAGCGTTGTACATCCTCTCCACATAGTACCAAACTACACCTTCACCCGCCGGCGCTCTCCTTCCTTCGACCACCACCACCTAGACAAGATGGCGATGTCATTACCAGATGGCGTTAATATGTCAGAGCGCCAGGAGTACAGGTGGCTCATTCATAATGGGGCACCTTCACTCCGACTCAAGGCGTTGGAAAGCCTGTTTCACAAGTTTGATTTGAATGGTACTGAATTTTCATAAGTATTTGGATCACGAATATGTATCTTTCATCTATATGAGAGTTTTGGTGTTATGAATAGGTGGAAATAAATGGCTCAACAACAAAATCACGAATGCAGCAACTCTTGGTGATCCGTACAAAAGGTTCCGGGGAGCTCGACTATGACGAGTTCAAGAAAATCCTCTGGTGGTTGGAGTATTCACTTACGGACGGTGGTGTCCGAGAGATCTTCGACGAACTCGACGAAGACAAAAGCAATTGCTTGGATATAACCGAGTTCGTGCGGTTTTTCGACGTTCTCGAGAAATACCGAAACATGTACGAGAGCGATATCAAGGAGAGGCAAATATCGTTGGTGAGGTTAAATTAAGGCCATCCTCGATGCAGCTGGTGCAATTATCATTTCCAAAGGCCATCCTCTACTTTGGTTTCCTTCTTACAATGCTGAGACGATGAAGAGGAAGGTAAGAAATGAATTTTGTGGAGGAGCTCTAATGAGAGATCTGCCAGTTGTTTTTCGTAGCGATTACGATGGCAACGGGGTTTTTCGCGTATTCTTGGGTGGCGGCGTCAGCGACGGGTGGAGATACAGGGACGTGGTTGACAATGACGCTCATAGGAGCGTCGATGCTGATTATTGTTATGAAGAGAGTCGGATAAGTATTTCTTTTTGAGAAGTACTAACAAACTCGAGGGGTCATCTGTCTGTAAGTGTTTGCTCGTTAGTCGTCATTCATTTCAAAATGGATTCATAGACCCATATTAGAGACTTTTCCCTCAGCACTACCTCCTACTTCTCTTCCGGATCCATCTCTAACGGACGAGTGTTTCTCCTGGCCGCTTGGCCCATTATAGCAATGAAGATAGCGGCAAGACAGCATGCAAAAGAAGCTAAGGCTATGGCAGAGATGTACAAATCCCAGAGGATGGCGGAAGGCGGGGTAGTAGAGGTACTGAATTTATTTGTAACTCGATTTGTGAAGAAAAGATTATCATTCTGAATCGTGCTTCTGCTTCAAAATCGGAATTTTTCTCAGGACGACGAAGACTTCGCCACAAAAGAGAAAAGACTGCAGAGGGGCAGCAAAAACCGCGTTTCACCAACTAAGGGAGGAGCAGGTCGGGGTGGCGTTGACCTGAATCAAAGCATGACCGAGAGCATGTACGGGCAGCAATCTCCGAAGTTATGGATGGGAGTTTTCTATTCCTTCGTACTAGAGCTGAAATGAGACAAGAACTTGAGTTGTTTCAACATCTCGCCTTCAACAATTTATTGTCCCACAAGAACAGTGTCACCTTCTAACGGCTGGCAGTACGTACCGAATGACGAGAATGAACATGATGGAGCAGAGCATAATGAGCAGTAGTTTGGGTCATACGAGTCGCTTTTCGCCAACAGGCGGTGGAGGCGGAGCAGGCCACTCACCAATGTCAGGGGCTCAGTATCAACTGCAAGACCTGAGTGGACGACAGATGCGGCCAGACATGACCGACGAGGAATTGATATTAAGAGGACTGGGAAGATCCTTCTGTCTTAATTTTACATGTATCTTCGAGAATTTTACATATATCTTCGAGACAATTATCGGTATTTCCGACGTTCTCCATCTCGACCTACTTTACCTAGATGTTGATCCTTCTACACGACACGCAGTGTCAACTACAACTAGTACTTGAGGTCGTCGGAATCTATAGGTACAAAAATAAAAGACTAGTACCCCACTTCCACAAGACTAGAAGTACCATTCTCGTCCTCTAAGTTTAGCGGAACAGCAAGCCTTGGAGGAGCATGAGGATTTTGCCTATCATCAAGGTAACTACGATCTGGCCAAAATCCAACAGGGAAATTTGCAACCAAGTACCTTCCATCCAATGGGGACGACGAGATATAAAGGTAGTACTTTCGACGTAGGTGTCTCACGAGGTGTTTTTCAACAGCAATAATCGAGTTCAACATTGCTCTTTCTACCTCGTTGTCATTGGTACCCTTCTTCGTTAATGTGATTTCTACACGTTAAATTGGGTACAGCAGGACGACAATTCTCTGTAAAAAAATCCTAATTAATATCTACTCTTTCTTCGGGTTCCTGGGTGGAGAAGAACAACCCTGAAAAAAATCCTAATTATCTACTCTTCCTTCATCAGGTTCCTGGGTGCAGAAGAACAACCCGGCGTTGACGATACAGGGCACTAGTTCCTACGTCGGGCGTAGTATCGAAAACACCACCAGGATGACGGACCACGCGCAGAGAGAAGGCTTGAATAGGGAGAAGATCGAGAATATCAAGTTGAACAGCAGTATCTCAGCAGGTTGGTATGGTGGGAGTTGTTCGCCCTACGAAACCGGTGGACCAGCGCCGCAGGCTCTGAATAACCGTCTATCGCCACAACTTAAGGCGAGCCAACTACAAGAATTCATTTCATCCAGTGGTCAACATTTTCTTCGGGTTCCTTCTTCGTCTTAGGATTGTCCGGAAGAAATGTCTTCAATCAGGGAAGAAATGATGAATTGTTTGTGAGCTCTAAACAACATGGCGGTGTCTTGGGGAACAAGATGCTAGTTGATTCACCACATAACTACAGTGGGAAAAAACAAGTACATCTGGCATTGACACAGTAGTAATGTCATAGAAGCAGGTCTCCGAGTCAGAATTAGTCTACCTCAGATATTACCGATGGAAAGGATGCATAGTTCACCCTTCTAGCGTCAAAGTACAATAAATGATCTTCGCAGGGGTGGTCGTGGGCTCTCTCATGGTAGTATAATAGAGCTGCGCTCTTGTTCATGGCAAATGTTTCTTTTCGGTTTATAGTCTTGCGACTACAACTTATCTATAATGTCGCCTATGTCATCTTCAAAGTATCCAACAATTTCAGCTTCTTTTACGGACAAAATATCATACTCTTAGAGCAGCATCGCTTTCAGTTCATATCCTCAACAAGTGACTTGTCATGCCTAAGATGTATACTCACTTGATGTACCCCTACCCTGACTTGCAGCCTAAGATGCCCACTTCCCGCCTTAGAAGAAAACACGAACACGAAGCGAATGAGCCCTAGGATGACGAACACTGGCATCTCTTGTGTTTGAAGATGTTGACTAGCGCTCTTGCATCTGTATACGCCTTCGTCGGTAGTGCAGTTTCTTCATCTTGCAACTGTATAATCGGTGTCGGCTGGTCGGTGTGCTGATGCAATGTAGTGGGCTGGTCGTTGTATTGATGCAAAAATGTGGGGCAGGTTGGTCGTGTCGGCTTCAAAAATGTGCTGTAGAGCTCCAGGTCGCTGTGTTGTCCATCGGCTTCAAAAATTTGAGTCTGGTGTAGTGGTTCTATACGGTCTTTCCTCAACATCCCACCACACCCAACATCCCACTACACTGGAGCACTTATTCTTCAACACTGGAGTACTTATCTATCAACATCTGATTCAACACTAGAGTACTTATATCGGCTCACTGGTGTCAATCTGGCATGCAAAGCCGTCTCTACAAAGGTATTTTTGGAGACCCTGAAACGACCCTAAACCCTAAACCCTACAAAGGTATTTTTGAAGACCCTGAAGCTGAAACAACTCAACGTCTAAGCCCCTACTCTCAAAAAAGCTATTTTTGAAGATCCTTAAAAAACCCAGAAACTACTCACTCATAGATATGATAATTCATGACTTTTGAGGAAGATGATCAAGATTACCTCTTCGCCCATCTTGTGGAAATCCTATCCTATCATACAAACTATAGGATTTTGCCTACAACATTGTAGACTCCTACAACTTCATCTACAACAATTTCTACATCATGCCTACAACATTGTAGACTCCTACAACTTCATCTACAACAATTTCTACATCATGCCTACAACATTGTAGACTCCTACAACTTCATCTACAACAATTTCTACCATGTTGCGGCCTACGCGTACTAGATCAACTTCTCGAGGACGAAGGTCGTCTGCTAAAAAGAGGTCGCCTACGTCCATGGGTCGCCCTCAGACGAGGGCCATCTCGTCTTCAAGGAGGACCTCCCATTATACTTCATTTATGGCTTCCGGGAATTCATCTTCAGAAGCAACATCTTGGACCTCCGACGTGTGAGGGGGAAACGGGTCCGAGATGACGGGCTTCAAGACGGATTCCCGAGAGATCTAATTCATTCACATCAAAGAGGTCCGCGTGCTTAAAACTTCTAGCAGTTCTTGACGTCATCAGTGGGAGTGCGGTAGTAGAGGGCCGACTAGAAGATGAGGGCTTGCTGAAACGCAGAAAAGAGTTACGGCTGAAGCAACTTCTGTAAACCTGCCTAACTGGCCTCGAGAAAAGGTAATTAAATGTTCGTAGCGCGGGAATTTGTGGACACAGGTAAAAAAAGAGTGGTCCGGGTGGAGCACGTGAATGAATGTCGAAGATATTTTCTCCATCCTACAGCTTAGACTTACTTAGATTCTCACTGTTTCTTATTTGAAGATGCCTGTCGTACTTAGTTCTGTTCTTTGAAGATGCTGCTGCATCTTTATACACGACTATGCTGCAACATCTTTTTAGACGAGTAAGTAGTACCCATTCTACTAACTTTTAGGTAGTAGAAGTACCCAAACCCATTCTACAACTCATGCAAAAGATTAAGATGATAATAGTTCGTCTTCTCGTGCTGCATTTTTGAGCTCACTATAATTGATTTTACTTCAATACGAGTCTAGATCTAGTATTTGAATCCGACTTGGATTCAAGAAAGTGTGAGTAGTTTGCCCCTCAAGGACGATGATCATTCATAATCAAGGACTACATTGGAGCACTTTCATTACATTACGTCTTCCAGAAGATGCACCACAAAGTCAATTACTTGAAAACAATTTGTTAATGGCTTTATTCGGTTGCGGATGCTGTGCTACGATTACTAGAGCAGTTTCCCCCTAAGACATACCATGTTACAGAAGATCCGCTACAAAGTGAATTATGTAAAGAATTGATACAAATGGGGAAACGCAAGATCGAAAGCCATAGCAGTCGTCAAATGGAGAAGGCATGACAGTGAATGTAACATCAAATAGCTAGCCCTTCTCGCTCTACACTCGATCCTATTGATCTCGGTACATGCAGAATTTTAGAGCGTAACGGCTTAGGAATACACTCCCTGCGCCACTTTTGGCGGTGGTTATTCCTACGTTGACACTGAGCGGCCCCAACGATAGAGGGAAACGCGACGGCAGGGGCCAACGCGTCCCCGAGTTGTGAAAACCGTGCGCAATTTTGCTTGTTCGGTGTGTTTGTTCTTATCCTGCGGCAGGTTGCCTAGGTCGTGTCCTCGTCTATCGTTCTGCAGTTGGTGCGGGGCGAAAGTTGTGAAATGGTCGAAGTCCCAAAAGGTGCGCACATCGCCCGCAGGGCTTGGCCCCGCGCGTTGTGTGGCGCGCGCGCCACGTACTCTCGGCCGCGCGCTTCCTCTGGCCTTCGTTCGCTGAAGGTGGCAGGGACAAGACTGACGACAGACGCAGGCCGCGGCGTGGCTCGTTGCTTGTTGGTCTTGCTCCTGTGTTGTGTCTGTCTTTGTGTGGGTCTGTGGCGCTTGGGGGGGCGTGCTGCAGATGGGGACAGGGCGCCCGCGGATGTGTTCGCCGGCCCTCGGTCGTTCGGTGTCTGTGTTCTTTGTCTTCGGTGTTCTGCGCTGTCTCCTTGGGCTGGTTGCTCTGTGCAGTTCGTTTGCCTTCGGTTTCTGTCTTGCGGTGTTGTGGCGGGCTTCGCTTGTCCGCTGGGTGGACTCACAGGGACCTCGGCCAAATTGGTGCGCTCCACCTTTCCCCCCGCCCCCTAGAGGCTTGAGGCACTAAAGGAAAAATCGAGCAGACTTGCCTGCGGTGCTTGTGTCTTGTTTCAGCTGGGTGCTTCTGCAGGTTCATTAGTGGGGCCTTTTTCCTTTTGTCTCGCGGTAGACAGAGACGCCCGGCAAGCGCTCATCTCGGGGCGAACTTGCCCAGCGTCGACTGTGTTCTTGTTCAGTTTCCTTTGGGTTGCTCCCAGCGCTTCACTCTTCAGAGGCTCCCCGGCCAAACAGAAAACACGGGCCAGCGTTCTGCGGACTGCAGAAGCCCCGGCGCCCTCGCGTTCTGTTGTTAGCTGGCTCCGCTCGGCTCCTCTCGGGTGTCTGTCTTGGTCCCCTTCTGTCTCTGTGATTTCGCTGGCCGCTCCGTCTGTTTCTCGCGTGTCTCTCTCTCTCTCTCTCTCTCTCTCTGTGTTTCCACTGCGGAGGAAGGTCACGCGACCGGCAGCTCGGTCTCGGTTCTCGGTCGGCTCCCCTCGGTTGAGGTATAAACACTCTGCGGGGGTTGTGCTCTTCTCGTGCTCTTGAATTATATTCGAACTGCTTTTAGCTCCCCTAATTTTCACCGTAGGTAGCTCACTCTTGTTTAACGGTTCGAAAAAGGTTGGCTTCGCAGGTTTATCCTTATCGCAGCGTGCTCGCCTATCGTTCTGCGTATATCATCTATCTTCATCATCATCGTCATCAGTAGTTTTTATCATGCAGAAGTAGATGCGCCACAAAGTCAATTCCTGCTCTAATACAAGCAGGGGAAGCTCCTGCTCCCGTTGACGAGAATGACTCGGATTCGTGTGCGGAACAAGAACATGACGCATTTATGGCTTCCCCTAATCATGGTCCATCTTGTTAGAGAAAGACATCCTGAGAGCGAGAGATGCTTTCAAGGGGAAAGCGTATTTTCAGGATTGTGGTAGTCAAGATGGATATTAAGGTTGGTCCGTCAGGATGGTACTCAGGTTGGTCCTTCAGGATAGTCCTTCAGGATAGTCCTTCAGGATCGTCCTTCAGGATAGTCCTTCAGGATAGTCCTTCAGGATAGTCCTTCAGGATAGTCCTTCAGGATAGTCCTTCAGGATAGTCCTTCAGGATAGTCCTTCAGGATAGTCCTTCAGGATAGTCCTTCAGGATAGTCCTTCAGGATAGTCCTTCAGGATAGTCCTTCAGGATAGTCCTTCAGGATAGTCCTTCAGGATAGTCCTTCAGGATAGTCCTTCAGGATAGTCCTTCAGGATAGTCCTTCAGGATAGTCCTTCAGGATAGTCCTTCAGGATAGTCCTTCAGGATAGTCCTTCAGGATAGTCCTTCAGGATAGTCCTTCAGGATAGTCCTTCAGGATAGTCCTTCAGGATAGTCCTTCAGGATAGTCCTTCAGGATAGTCCTTCAGGATAGTCCTTCAGGATAGTCCTTCAGGATAGTCCTTCAGGATAGTCCTTCAGGATAGTCCTTCAGGATAGTCCTTCAGGATAGTCCTTCAGGATAGTCCTTCAGGATAGTCCTTCAGGATAGTCCTTCAGGATAGTCCTTCAGGATAGTCCTTCAGGATAGTCCTTCAGGATAGTCCTTCAGGATAGTCCTTCAGGATAGTCCTTCAGGATAGTCCTTCAGGATAGTCCTTCAGGATAGTCCTTCAGGATAGTCCTTCAGGATAGTCCTTCAGGATAGTCCTTCAGGATAGTCCTTCAGGATAGTCCTTCAGGATAGTCCTTCAGGATAGTCCTTCAGGATAGTCCTTCAGGATAGTCCTTCAGGATAGTCCTTCAGGATAGTCCTTCAGGATAGTCCTTCAGGATAGTCCTTCAGGATAGTCCTTCAGGATAGTCCTTCAGGATAGTCCTTCAGGATAGTCCTTCAGGATAGTCCTTCAGGATAGTCCTTCAGGATAGTCCTTCAGGATAGTCCTTCAGGATAGTCCTTCAGGATAGTCCTTCAGGATCGTCCTTCAGGATAGTCCTTCAGGATCGTCCTTCAGGATAGTCCTTCAGGATGGTCCTAAGTCTAATTCGTCCGTATCGTCTCTGGCCACTTCTGCTTCTTCTTCAGGCGGAACTACCAGTAGCTTCCTGTCATCATCAAGGTCTGGCTCGACAGGCTCGAGCTGTGCTAACAAGAACAGGCGTCAACATGGGAATCGGAATTTTGGAAACCTACGAGGCACAAGGAAGCAGCGCAGCACGCACCAGGATCGTTAAGACTTGAAACTCATTTTCATATGTGCTGTAAAGACTTGAGCAAGCATTTCTTCAACTTTATTATATTTGTAGCAAGCGTAATTTCTTCAACTGTATATTTGTAGGACTTGAATTTGTTGTTTCCACATATTTGAAGATCAAACGTGGGGTCGTGTGAAATATTCATGTGTGGTCAGGACCCAAATATGATTACGAAGGAGTCGTTGTGTTTCAACCATAGCTCTAAGAGGAGGAGAAGGATAAAGCCTTGGTGGCAGAGAGCACGTCGCTGACAGAGAACAATGAGGCCCATCACGCTGGGGATGCCACGACTATGAATGGAAAGAGTCTTTGTCTTTGTTTTAAGATTTTTTGCGCTTGAACAGAACGCGTTTCATACTCGTTGGCCTCGCTCCCGCCCAGGTGTGTCATTCTCGTTGGATTTTCGACAAGGCGCAACCAGTCAGTTACTAGATATCGGGAAAGCCTTGGGACTTCTTTGCCATGCAGTAGCCCCTCACGTTTGCCTTGGCTGTTGCCCCTTTTGTTCTGCCTCGCTGTCTCCCAGTCTTTGCTCCCCTTCACCTTCCTCGCCTCCACCTCCCTGCCTCCATTTCCTAACGAACCTCCATTTCCTGACCTCCATCTTCCTGCTTCCACCTCCTTGCCTTCACTTCCTTTCTCCCACCTCCCTGCCCTCACCTCTTTGCCCTCATCTCTTTACCCCCATCTTTCTACCCCCACCTCTCTACCCCCACCTCTCTACCCCCACATCTCTACCCCTACCTACCTACCCCCACCTCTCTACCCCCACCTTGCTACCCGCACCTGCCTGCTGTGACCTCATTGCCCCCACCGGGCAGGGCCTCGCTAGTTAAAGTTAAACACTCCCTACCTAGATATTTTTGAGTTAAAAGGGGGCACTTTCTAGTTATAGGGCGACAGTTACTAGCAAAACCCCGACACTTTTTAGCTAAAATTAAACCCTTTGTTTCTGTCTCGTCTAGTTAGAGTTCGACACTTTCTGCCTAGAAGCTTCAGACGCTTACTAGCTATAACTCGACAGATGCTAGCAAGAATGCGACACTTATTAGCTAAAGCTATACACTTGCTTTTTAAAATTGTGCACTTACTAGCTAAAGTTAGGCACTGACCTTGTTCTAGCTAAAGTTGGCCACTTTCATTTACTAGCTATATTTACCCGTGGACACTGACTAGCTATAATTCCACACGTACTAGCTTTGCTGCGGCGCTAGACTTGGGCGCTTACTGGTTAGAGTTAGACACTTACTAAGCATAGTGCGACGCTTACTAGCTATAGGCCGACGCCTACTAGGTAGAATTAGAGGCTTACTAGCTAGAGTTAGGCACTTACTAGCTAGAGCGAGACACTTACTAGCTATAGTTCGACAGTTCCTAGCGATAGTTCGACGCTTACTAGTTATAACTCGACACTTACTAGCTACAGCTCGACACTTACCAGTTATAATTCGACACTTGCTACGTATGGCTAGACATTTGCTAGCTTTAGGCTGACAGCTGCTAGCACTAGTTAAGATTCGACACTTATTAGCTTTTATAGTTAAACACTTTCTGGCTATAAAGTGACACTTTCTAGTTAGAGTTAGACACTTGATAGCTATAGCGTGACGCTTTCGAGTTAAAATTAGACAGCTACTAGCGAAAGTTCAGCAGTTACTAGCTCAAGTCGAGCACTTCTCAGCTATAGAGTGACGCTTGCTAGTTATGGAGTGCCTGTTTCTCTTACTGGTTATAAAATGAAACTTACTAGTTAGAACTACACGAATACTAGTTATCAGATGGCACCCATTAGTTATGAGTTGACATCTTCTAGTGAGAGTTGCGCAGTTATTAGCTAGCGGCTGACACTTACTAGCTAAAGTTGAGAACTTACTAGTTAGAGTTGGACAGTTATTAGTTATCAAGTGACAGCTATTAGTTAGAGTTAGACAATTCCTAGTTAGGAACTCGCAGCTATTAGCTATAATGAGACACTTACGAGTTAGAGTTGGACAATTATTAGTTATCAAGTGACAGCTATTAGCTAGAATTAGACAATTCCTAGTTATGATCTCGCAGCTATTAGTTATAATTAAACATTTACTGGTTAGAAAATGGCCCTTACTAATTATCAGGTGACAGCTATTAGTTAGACTTAGAATTCAACAGTTACTAGTTAGCAGTTGCCACGTATTAGTTAGCATTGATCAGCTATTAGTTATCGAATGACAGTTATTAGTTAGAATTGGACAATTACTAGTTAGGAACTCGCAGCTATTAGATATAATGAAACACTTACTAGTTAGAATTGGACAAATATTAGTTATCAAGTGGCAGCTATTAGTTAGAATTAAACAATTCCTAGTTAGGAACTCGCTGTTATTAGTTATAATTAACTAGAAAAGGGCACTCGCTAACTATCAAGTGACAGCTATTCGTTAGAATTAGGCAGTTCCTAGTTGTGATCTCGCAGCTATTAGCCATAATTAAAAATTTACTAGTTAGAAGATGACACCTACTAATTATCAAGTGACAGCTATTAGCTAGAATTAAACAGTTATTAGTTAGGGACTCGCGTTTATTAGTTATAATTCAACACTTATAAGCTAGAAAATGGCGCTTACTAGTTATCAGTTGACATTTACTAGTTAAAATTACACCGTTGGTAGTTCGAAACTCGCACTTATTAATTATAATTCAACATTTACTAGTTAGAAAGTGACACTTACCAGCTCAAGCCAAACGGCTACTAGCTATAAAATGCCAGTTATTAGAGAGAAGCTTTTCTTGCTTGTTTGTTTAATTGTTTTTTTGTTACGTTTTTTGCTTCAGCGTCTGGGCTGTGTTTTTTATTCTTCTTTTGTATGATTAATGTATAGTTTTTCTAAGATTTTTTAGGTGGAAGAATAGAAATGATAACTCTATGTCTATCCTACATGCCTTCTCCCTCCTTATCGTTTGTGACTGTGTGCAACTAGTGTAAGCAATTTTAGTAGGGACAAGTCTCTCATCTCTCATTTCTCTCTTTCTTTTCTACTTACACCTAGAGACGCCTTCTCTCTCTTCTACTAGACTCTTCTGCTCGGCCTCGCTTTTCTACAATCGACGCCAGCATTATCTTTTTGTTGCTTTCCACAGTCCACACCCATGCATGCAGGGTTAGTGACATAAGATCTACTCCTTCAATCTAGTCCTTCAACAGGTGATCACACTCCTATCCTTTCCTATTCTATCCAACCCTATGCTATCCTATCCTATCTCATCTTACCTTCTCTTGTCTTATCCTATTCTACCCTGTTCTATCTTGTTCTACCCTGTTCTATCTTGTTCTACCCTGTTCTATCCTATTCTATCCTGCTCTATCCTATTCTACACTACTCTACCCTATTCTATCCTGTTCTATCTTAGTCTATCCTATTCTATCCTATTCTATCCTATTCTATCCTATTCTATCCTATTCTATCTTATTCCACCCTAGTCTATCCTACTCTATCCTATTCTATCCTGTTCTATCCTATTCTACCCTATTCTATCCTATTCTATCAATCCTATTCTATCCTATTCTATCCTATTCTATCCTATTCTATCCTATTCTACCCTATTCTATCTTATTCTATCCTATTCTATCCTATTCTATCCTATTCTATCCTATTCTATCCTATTCTATCCTATTCTGTCCTATTCTATCCTATTCTACCTTATCCTCCAAGTTCTACTTCTAATCCTTATCAACATCCGAGTGAGCAACAGCAGGAGCAAGAAGGTGGAGAGCTGTCCTTTTTCGAGGTAGGGAGACTCCTCGTGGAGATGGCTCCTGTATCTTGGTCTGATCGTGGCAAAAAGAAGTTACGAAGATGGCATTTTTCCGTCTATTTATTCTTTTCTTAGGGAAAGAGTCACTTCTCAGATGGCACTTTTCCCTCTATTCCTAGGGATAGTGTTGACGAAGAGCCACTTCTCCCGGCTAGTTTTCCCTCTATTCTTAGGTCTATCCCACCACGCCCGACCTAAATATAAATTACAGACCTGTACTTCTACAGGATGGAAATTCATAGAGCCACGGCACTCAGCCTTGAAGCTTTGAAACTTTGAACATTTGTACATCGACGACTCGATGACATGAGCCAACAGGGCGATTAATTTCTTGTCTCTGATAGTTGTACATTGTTATTGTAGTACAAATTCAAGTACTGATCATGGTTAATGAAGACCATTCGAGATGAACTGTTGAGTATGAGTTCTCTTCTCTGCTCCAGCGTCTTTCTTCTTGTCTCCGATGACTTCACTCTAACTCAAAAGGAAAGCGGTTCTTCTTCTTCAAAAGGAAATGGGGGAGGCACATCACCTATGACGCTGACGCTGATCGGACTCGGAATCTTACGGCATTGTAGAATTATAAGTGAAGTTTTTTTTTCTTCCTCGCTCTTATTGAATCAACCGCACAAGACTCTTCATGAAATTCTAATTCTTACGAGTTTCCGATCGACAATATGAACATAATAATCGTTCGTGCCTTTTTTCGACTATCTAAGGTTAACAAACAAGGTCAATTTAAGTAGCATAAAGTGCAAACGAACTCTTTGTCTTTTCAATCATACTCGTGAATGCTCACCTCTTCGCAGAATACTGCCAAGATACTGCCATTGTTGGCTCAAGGACGCTAGAGTTTTTTCCCCCCTTATTTTCATCTAGAGGCGTGCTGCAAATCTTGACTGGCTTTCACCATTTAGGTGAAGGCTTAGGCCCCGCGACGCTCAAAGCACTAAGTAAAGCAGCCGGCTAGTTTTCATCTCTAAAAATCTAAGTTTATCCCGGTCTCCGTTCAATATGTGCCCGCCGAATAAATGACTGATATGCCGCCCATGGGGCGTGGGCTCTAGCTTTTCTACAGCGGTTGCCGCCGTGCTTGATCGTTTGCGTTGTTGTAGCGCCTGGCCGTTGTGCTTCAGGTTTCCCGCGGGGTAATTGGGTGGAACAATTGCGGGAAAGTGTAGACCCAGGCACCAAAAGAAAGGAAAGCTTCTACTTTGGTTATTTTATCGGGAAACTGTAGGGCCCTCCGGTTTCTGTTTTTCTTTTTGGTTATTTTTTTGCGGTTGCGGAACGCAGTTGAGGATGAACGGGGCGAAGGACGAGGGAGCACGAGGGGGCGAAGATAAGAAAACCTGGGCTGGAAGTCCCTCAACGGCGAAAGCTATGTTGTACTGAGGGCTTTCAGCCAGTAGAAATCTACTTTTAGGCTTTCGCTTGTCAGGACAGGCGATTGCGCATTTTTAGTCAAGAGTAAGCAGGGCTGACAGCCCTGCCATCGTGCCTTCTAGGCAGGCGTATAAGAGTGGGACGGCTGGCAGCTGGCGGCGGTTTATATAGCACATCCTCCGTTGCCCTTAGTTTTTTATCATTTTAAAGTCGGCGGGCTCGTGGGCAATTCGTGCGTCCGTAATTTGAGGGAGCCATCCAATGTACTCCGCGTGCTGCCGGTTTGCGAACTGGATAAAACTGGGATCACCCTTCCGGCGGTCTTAGCATACAAAAAAAACGATGGCCTGGGTGGGGCATATGAATGAACGTAGGCGAGCCAATTCGTGCCCCATCTTATCGCTGTACAACGACCAAAAGCATAATAAAAGGACTCGTTACCCCTGAGCAGCAACCACAAAACAGAGGGCCCGTTGTCCTTTCTCAGAATCTGAGCATATTAAACAGTTCTTGTGTAGTTGTACCCATTCGCACCGCATAAGCTTTGAAACCACTACACTGCCCCATCCACCAACTAGTTGTAATTATACTACGACGCCTAGAGCACATAAGTAGAGCAGCCGCCTCGTTTTCCCTCTAAATCTTAGGCTTCTCCCTTCATGCATTATAATACTGTGCCTCCGCTTCTAAATTTCCTAGCGGGGACAGTTGGCATTGCCATTGCTGCGTACTTTGTCGGGGGAGCATGCGGTTCGGCCATCACTGCCTATGGTTTATCGTTTTGTATATTTTCAATGTAACAAGTAAGAAAAGAGAACATAATACAAGAATGGCTATGGGTCTGAAAGTACGACAAGAAGGCTTAGAGACGAGTTTTCTTCTCTGCCTCTAGACTGGGTACACTTTTACTGAAGTCCTCTAACAACTCAAGAGCGGCTCCCGCAGTCCTGACAGCTCCGGCTGCAGCTCTGAGCGTGATATTATGAAGGACGAGAAAAACTCAACAATAGAATAGCAACATGACTAGTGCTACAAGGTAACAGCCAGAATGGGTTTACCACTACTGGAGGCGGTGCGACTAGTCGTGCAGGCATTAGCATGATGAAGAAAAGTCTCAACTTCTTAGTTGTAGCTATGCTCCTCTTCCATATTTCTGAGGAAAAGAGAATCTTCGGGTTAGTACTACTACTTACCTAGTACTAGGGTCTGGTCTATCATGGACTGGGCTTTCAAACTACTCACTACCGCGTAGGAGCTCGTAGAATTGTGCCAGCTTCTGTGATGACTCTGCTCGCCTAAAAAGTGATACAAATTAATAATCTAGTAGATGAGCACTTGTACTCGAGCTATGATTCTCTGCGCTAAAGCGTAATACTATAGTTGTACATAGATCAGTACTTGTACTTGATTGATATGGTATAGATAACAAGTACTTGATCTTGATTGATTTACATTCTCTTCTTTTTCTTCTAGTTATCTGGCTCGCCCCACAGGAAAGCTGACTCTCTAGGAGTGCTTTTAAGGTCCAGAATGTAGCTCCAACGCGCGAAAAGAAGTTGGACCCTGTCGAGAAATAGCGTAAAGCTTTTCCATGTTAGTGCATTGGCCACGTTACTCAGCGAGCGCCATCCAGTATAGCTCTTCACGCTATTCGTTTCGCGTTTATTCTATAACCCTCAACAGATTGGAAAACACTCAAACAGAAGCGCCCTCCCTTGTTCATGCTTTTCGGTCGCTTCCCTCACTTCTCAAGCCCAACAGAATCGGAACGCGCTCAAACGAAGGGGATGAAAAGCGAAGGGGATGAAAAGGAGGACGCGAAGAAGTCGGAGAAGACGAAGGAGGAGAAAAAAGAGACGAAAAAGAAAAGCAGGAAGGAGAAGAAAGGAGGCTACGGGAAGCGCCTTTCACAATAATCCATCTCCGCGTGCTGGTGGTGGTCGTCCGCTTTGTGCTTAGAAGTCAGTAATAGTAGACAGCTACTTGACTGCCTTCCTTGTTCTTTTTCTAGTTAGGGCTCCACAGCTGGAAGTGTTAGCATTGCAATTTGCTTCTTTATTTCAGAGTAGGGTCTATGGGGTCTATAGATGGATCATACTCTCAGACGTTCGTGCTGTTGCTTGCACGCTATACAGACATAGTGTAGAAGACCAAGGGAATTTTCTATGACACCACGACTCATCTGTCTACTTACTTCTATGACCAATCTCCCTAGTTTCTAGCAATTTTCTATGGTCAATTTGTCTAGTAGTTGCGTTTCTGTATTACTACTATAGACCCCGCCAGGAGCACGACGGTTCTGGAGATGGATTAGAGCACCGCGAAACCGCTAAAACAGAGAAAAGTCGATAGAGTTAAGAGTTGTATTTATCGAAACTCAACAGATGAAAACTAGGAGTACTTGTTCTTGTACAACAAGAGCTACTAGCTGAGTCAATCAATAGACGAAGACTTCTTCGTGACGTGTTAAGTAGAAAAGATCTCTCAGAGAGGACTAGGACAGAGCGACGCTGTCAATTGTAATTTTCCTCAATCCCGTGCACTGGGGTCACCCTTTTGGCGATCTTGACACACAAAAAAAAAGTGGCTGCGGCGGGGGCCCTCTGAGTCTGAATCTGAGCGCTAACAGATGCGGCGGAAGACGACATGGCAAAGGCAAAAACTTCCGCGGGAATGGGATCACCTGCAACATCAGAGGCGGCGGAAGACGACATGGCGAAGCGTAACAAGTTACGGCCTGATGAGGTTGTGTGGTATTTGTGCCTCAGTCTCTCCCTTTTGCAAGCTTCTCCTCTGAAGGCTAGCGCCTAGACAGTAGCTAGTTTGAGGCGCCTGTCCATCGTGCTTCAGGCTTCTCGCTTGGGTACCTAAGTGAAACTGTAGCGAGAATAGCAGTCCCAGGCAAGAAAAAGAAGAAGAACTTGGACACTACTGAATGAGTGAGGGCTGAGTGAATGACTGGACCACAGGAGCGGCTGAACCATGAGAGCCTTTCTTCTAAAGACTAAAGCTTCGGCGGGAATGAGATCAACCGCAAAAACAGACGCGGCGGCAGACGACATGGCGAGGCGTTACAAGTTACGGCCTGATGAGGTTGTGTAGTATTTGTGCCTCAGTCTCTCCCTTTTGCAAGCTTCTCCTCTGAAGGCTAGCGCCTAGACAGTAGCTAGTTTGAGGCGCCTGCCCATCCTCGTGCTTCAGGCTTCTCGCTTGGGTACCTAAATAAAACTGTAGCGAGAATAGTAGGCCCAGGCAAAAAAAAGAAGAACTTGGACACTACTGAGTGGGTGAGTGTTGCGGGAATGACTGGACTACAAGAGCGGCTGAACCATGAAAGTCTTTCTTCTAAATACGAAAACTTCGGCGGGAATGAGATCAACTGCAACAACAGACGCGGCGGCAGACGACATGGCGAGGCGTTACAAGTTACGGCCTGATGAGGTTGTGCAGTATTTGTGCCTCAGTCTCTCCATTTTGCAAGCTTCTCCTCTGAAGGCTAGCGCCTAGACAGTAGCTTTGGGCGCCTGTCTGTCGTGCTTCAGGCTCCTCGCTTGGGTACTTGAGTGAAACTGTAGCGAGAATACATAGTAGCCCCAGGCAAAAAGAAGAAGAACTTGGACACTTCTGAATGAGTGCGGGCTGAGTGAATGATTGGACTACGGGAGCGGTTGAACCATGAGAGCCTTTCTTCTAAAGACAAAAACTTCCGCGGGAATGGGATCACCTGCAACATCAGAGGCGGCGGAGGACGACATGGCGAAGCGTTACAAGTTACGGCCTGATGAGGTTGTGTAGTATTTGTGCCTCAGTCTCTCCCTTTTGCAAGCTTCTCCTCTGAAGGCTAGCGCCTAGACAGTAGCTAGTTTGAGGCGCCTGCCCATCCTCGTGCTTCAGGCTTCTCGCTTGGGTACCTAAATAAAACTGTAGCGAGAATAGTAGGCCCAGGCAAAAAAAAGAAGAACTTGGACACTACTGAGTGGGTGAGTGTTGCGGGAATGACTGGACTACAAGAGCGGCTGAACCATGAAAGTCTTTCTTCTAAATACGAAAACTTCGGCGGGAATGAGATCAACTGCAACAACAGACGCGGCGGCAGACGACATGGCGAGGCGTTACAAGTTACGGCCTGATGAGGTTGTGCAGTATTTGTGCCTCAGTCTCTCCATTTTGCAAGCTTCTCCTCTGAAGGCTAGCGCCTAGACAGTAGTTTTAGGCGCCTGCCCGTCGTGCTTCAGGCTCCTCGCTTGGGTACTTGAGTGAAACTGTAGCGAGAATAGTAGTCCCAGGCAAAAAGAAGAAGAACTTGGACACTACTGAATGAGTGAGGGCTGAGTGAATGACTGGACTACGGGAGCGGTTGAACCATGAGAGTCTTTCTTCTAAAGACGAAAGCTTCAGCGGGAATGAGATCAACTGCAACAACAGACGCGGCGGAACACGACATGGTGAAGCGTTACAAGTTACGGCTTGATGAGGTTGTGGCGCTTGTTGTAGTAAGAGTAATGAGAAGCGAAATTATATCGAGTATGGAAGGCGTAGTAATGTTGTAGTAAGAAAAATAATAACTACGAGCTATTTAATTGTAATAGAACTTGTTCCAGGAAGTAGCACGTGGAGAACTAGGCACTAACAAACTACATGACAGACACAGAAGATAACGCCTACACCAGTATTGCTACACTGCTACTACTAATACCACGCTGCTACTACTACTAAACTAGTATGCAGCTACTTCTAGTGTTTGTGCCTCAGTCTCTCCCTTTTGCAAGCTTCTCCTCTGAAGGCTAGCGCCTAGACAGTAGTTTTAGGTGCCTGGCCGTCGTACTTCAGGCTTCTCGCTTGGGTACTGAGGTGAAACTATAGCGAGAACAGTAGTCCCAGGCAAAAAAAAGAAGAACTTGGACACTTCTGAGTGAGTGAGTGCTGCGTGAATGATTGGACTACAAGAGCGGCTGAACCATGAGCGTCTTTCTTCTAAAGACGAAAACTTCAGCGGGAATGGGTAGATCAACTGCAAGAGCAGGGACATTCTCCTTCTCCGACCAGTTCTTGGGCTAGCGGCTGGGAGGAATCGGCTACGAGGAGTCGGGATCCGTCAGTGAGGGACTCGTCAGCGAGGTGTTAGTTGTCAGCAGCAGGGGTTAGTTGTCACCAGCAGGGGATAGTTGTCAGCAGGGATCAATAGAAGCCCTCTTCTTTCATCAGTAGGAACAAAATCTGAGACAACCAAGTAGGTACAGTTCTTCATCTTGTCACAATGGGAAAACTAATGAATCAATCTATGTTCTTAGTCTATAGACTGACGGCTCTATTTTTCAATGTCAGCATTTCACTTCAGCATGGCATTTTACGTTTAACATTTACAACAACAGATCGTTTAGCATTTCACGGGAAGCATTTACAACAACAACGACAGAAGATTTAGTAGGTACTATTTTCATTTTCAGTTCATCCAAATATTATTACGCTAGGCATTATCATTTGAAGGTACAATTACGTTACGTTGATCATGATTATGTCAGAAGAGGAGAGCTACAAAAACAACATCAGCGTCAAGCCTGAATCAATGAATATGACTATGATCATGTGATGAAAGAAATTGTTGGCACACAGAGGACATGGAGATGAACCGTTGTAGAACGAGTGCATTACTACACACGAGGTTCATGACAGATGAGCCAACCACTGTAGTCAGAGGGACTTGTTCACCCGCTACTTGTTCTGCAAATACAACTTTTGACTTTGTTCAAAGAGATCGATGGCGGCTCTGTCAGACACCAGTGTCTATAGCGTTTGTGCAAGACGACTTTTTAGAAGAATTCTGTAGATTTCTATACTTGGTGTTTCACATCACCTCCAAGAACACTCCGATTAATGGGTACAAGTAGACCTTTTGTTTCCGTATAGGTAGTACAAGAATCAATCAATCTGTCCGTACTCGTAACCGTATAGCTACAAAAATCAATCTGTTGGTATTAAATAGCTACTTTCTTCATCGGTGTTCGTTAACACAAACACTCCGCTTAAAAGGTAGAGGGGTCCTGTAGATATCCTCGGTTTTGAGCGAGAAAAACCTGTGGTCGGTCAGGAAAAGCCTGGCAAGCACTACTACTACTTCTACTACTACTAGGCACCCACGAGGAGAATGAGAAAGCCGGAGAGGTGTTTAGCAGTTTAGTAAGCGCACTAGGCTCCAACCCATTTAGGGGACACCCATACCAGTAGCCGGAGAAGTTTCCATTTGAATCCTGATCCTTGAATCGAGAAGCGGTTTCCCCTGGGCTGGTGTTCGTCTATATCACAGGGGTCGGGTGTCCTATTCTGCTTAAGTTCCTTGGCAAAAGCGTAGCCCACTTGTTGGAGTCTACGCAGATCTTGTGCGAGCAAGAATGAATGAGTGACTGAGTGAATGAATGAGAAAACCGGGGGTGAGGTCGTCCTCGTCGCTCGCTGCGCCTTAGAAGTCGGGGGTCCGGGATTCGCTACTTTGAGCTAGTTTCTAGCTTGGTAGCAGTCGCAAAATCGCGTCTCGCGGGAGCCCGTTGAAATCCTGGATGGGTGAGAGTTCAGCTTCGCCTGAGTAAAGTTGCGCTCGGGTGACACCGCCGTCCCACGCGGTTACCGTGGCCCGTGACCTTCGGGGGAAAGGGTTCTCATCTACAAATGTAACTACAAGGCGGTGGGAAGACGACTCTGACGGTGGAGATATTCTGTTCCATCAGAAATAATCGGTGAAATTGATAAGTGTAGTGAAATTTGCGACTCGGTCTCCTGTGAAACCTCTGCTCATCTGCCATCTGCCGTTTCCTCCACCATCCCCCACCTCACCCTCTATCCACCTAGGATCTGCTTCTATCCACCTAGGACCTGATCACCTTTCCTCTTGATGTGGGGCGGATTACTTGTTCCACCTTGATGATGATCGCCCAAAAGTCACAGCTTTCAAGTCAATAGTTTCGGTTATTCGTTTTCGGCTTTCAAGAACAACAAGGTCGTGGAGAGACGGGAAGCGCATGGTGGTGAGAAGAAGAAAGGAGAAAATGAAAAACTAAAACTTATTGATACTCGCTTCGCGATGTTGTATATTCTTTTAGCGTTTCACCGTTTAGCAAAGTGTAGTGCTTTGAACTCATATTTTTGATGATCATGGATGTTAAATTTTTTCCCCATTCCACATTCATTTTAGACTTGGCTCAGAGAGATACCTTTTGCTTAAATAAAGAAGGCAAAGTCTTTGGTCTTCCTCGGTTCTTATAGTAAATACATAGACACTTAGATTTTTCTAGTGCAGCTAGTCGGGAACAAGAAACCATTTTTGATGTTCAACAAAGAAACAGATGGCTGCTCCTTCTCAAACTTCTCAGACGTCCTCCATTCTCCACTACTGCTCACGACCCGAGTTGTCGTTATAGATACCGGTAGTACCAGTGCGAGTGGTCGTGGTGCCCGACTAAGCAATCTCGCGCGAGGGTTACCAAATGGCGTGCGTCCCGCAAAAAGTCGTGACTACTACAGAAAAGCCTCATCGCCTCCTCATGGCGATTAGTACGAGAAACAGATCATCTACTTGTTCAACAAGAATGGGAAGAACAACTACAACAACATCTTCAAGATCTTCAACAAGGAAGTCGCGTACAACTACAACTACAACTATAAAAAGTTTAGTAGCAGTGAGAAGACTTCTAGCAGTGAGCACTCTGCTTGGGAGCATTAAAAATGCTGAGGGTCGGCTCGGAGACAAAAGTGTGCTGAAAGGCAATATGATAGAACAAGACGAAGCGTCTCAAGAGGAAGCGACCAAGAGTGGAGGGAGTAGCTTTCAAGCAACAGAAGCTTAAGAGAGTTGACATGATATTTTTAGCTGAACTTACCCTCCCTCCCCTCTTGCTGAACTTACCCCCAGATTGGCTCATCATGTTGATGTACGACCAAGTTGATCTACTAGGTAGTCAACTATTAAGTGGATGTACACCTACCTTCATCTTCTGAGTAAAGTGTGACGATCACGATGTTGATTTTTGCTACAATGAATCACGTTTCATTTACACTTACCCTCTAAGAGATCAACTAGTAAAAGTGTTTGCTCTGGCCTTCTAATTTCCTCACATGTACGAAGATGGGGAAACTACAACGACGAGATCGAGGACGACCGCGGCTTCTTCCAGAACTCCTAGGGGTGCAATTAAGGGTTTCCGAATTACATCCCTCACTACCATCCTTGGCTCCTTTTCAAGGGGGAAATGGGTCAAGGATGTTCTGAAGAATGCAATTCGGAAACCTCTAATGCCAAGCGTCTGAGAGGAACAAAGCAAGACACGCTGACCCATGTGGAAGTCGGTTTTAAGGAAGGGAGTAAGAAGTACCTTTTATTGTTGCTTATATATAAGCGAAAACTAGAAATGGCCGGGTTGTAACAAACATGAAAATAGCCGAGTGATATCTGAGAAGATGATTGTTCTCGAAGCTACTGGGATTTTCAGGTTTTCGAATAATTCAATTTCATTTCCTCTAGTAGTTACCTCTTAATCTTACCTCCTCTCTCTTTCCAGCATCCCATTGATCGCCTTTGGGCATTCCCTTTGGGTGAGTTTCTTCATCTCTAAAAATGCGAGTGGAATAGACGACCATGAAGAGCAGGTCGTTGGATTCGCTGATGAAGCAGTTGGATTTCTTTTAAGGGTCAAAATGACTCATTTCTAGATAATATTCAAGCACTGACTGGTGAGTGTTCCCTTTCAAAGCTCATTGCTCATTTGCGCTTCAAAGCTCATTGCTCATTCCCAGCGGAGGCCATCTTCTTCTGCTTCATCTTTCTTAGAAGAAATGAGCCCAAGAAATGGGCCCAAGGAATGAAGCGCGGCTGAAGCATCTTCCTGCAGAAGATTGTCCTTGGTTTCTCTTATTTTGGATAGTTACTGTGCGAGAATCATTGTATTGCACTCGCCAATGACCATGCGGTAGTGCTTCTCTAAGCCGTGGAGCAACGTCCTCGTTCTTTGAGGTGAGTAGGAGACAACTTTTGCAGACGCTGGAGCTAGTGTTCCCATTTTGGAAAAAACGTGGCAGTCGTGGAGAAAAAAGTGGCAGTGGAGAAAAAAGTGGCAGAGGAGAAAAAAGTGGCAGTGGAAAAAAAAGTGGCAGTGGAAAAAATAGTGGCAGCGATGGTGACAACCAGAAATACACGAAAATTGCCTTTTTAAGGCTCAACATACTTTGTTCTTGATAGATAATCTTTTTCTTCTTCTAGTTAGGGCTCCACGAATACTAACTTCCTTCTTCTGGTTTTTGTTTTCTCTAATTAGGTGTTCCACCAGAAATAAGCATTGCCATCTTAAAACTCATACGTTGGTGGAACATTGAAGGACATAAATTTTATTTCCTCTTTTGGATTTTATAGAAGAAGAGTCGTTTCTTATACATAGATTCTAATACTTACGAGATTGCTAGATTCTTGATGGGAACCTCAATTGTATACTCAGGAGCTACTGAAAAACATTGAAAACGATCTTCAAGGTCGCAAGTCGGAGCTCCATAAACCTTAGGAATATTATCCCTTGTACTTCTAGTAAACCTTACCTTTCCACCCTTCCATTTTTATGATGGATGATAATATTGTGGAGGCCTCTCTCTTACGTTGGTTCTTTATTCCCTGTCATGATTCGAAAACTTGTAATAATATCGGGGTCAGCCTCTAAGCCTCGCCATAGCCGGGATTGTCATCTTCGTCGTTGCCGTCGGCGTCTTTTTCTATGAGCCAGTTATTGTCATCGATCTCAACTAGATGAACATTAATATTTACAACATACAGGGAAATAGCCGGTTAATGTTTTCCTCATAGTATTACCGGTTCATCATCATCGTCATCACCATCATCATCATCATCATCGTCGTCGTCATTCTTAAACTCTAAGAAGACTGTTTAAGGTCCGACGACAAGGACAACGACAAGATCGAGAAAAAAGACAAGAAAGAGAAAGACAAGAAAGATCACAAAGACAAGAAGGAGAAGTTAAGGCGACCAAAGAAGCTGCCTCCCCATCCCTGAAGGCATCCTTGGCTCTTTTTCTACTATACTTTTAGAAAAAGAAAATACTACAACAATCTAAATCTCCTAGTACTTACTAGTTTGTACTAGAAGAATCCCACGACTCGTACTAGAAACGGACGACAACTCGTAGTACTATATGATATTTCCATTAAGTTCAAAGCAATCTTGTTCCTATGTTGCGGTATCTACAAATCTATCTCTAACGAGAAAAGACAAGAGGGACAAGACGTACCGAGAGGGTGAGAATTATTTGCGGCGTCACAAATTACGGCTTTTTTTTCACGACCACATTTTTTACTTCTCTCTTAAAAGCATTACTACTCATTCGGGTCAGTACGGAACCAGGCAGCTTTGAGTTGCTACGTCGTGGCTCGGATGAGTGAATGACTGAATTTAGTAGATGTCGCTACAACTGCTACGTCTACCTCAAGCTCAATTTACTGCCTGACCACGTTGCTGCCTCTACAAGAACTCGCTAGCTCTAGAAGTATATCAATACATAGATACTCTACTACTCTAGAAGCACAGAGAGAAAGTTCTCTAGACGAGGTACTCTAGTGTAGAGATGAGAAAGTACAAATCTAGAAGTACTCTCTGTGCCTCTGCTATCATTTATCGGGTGTAGCTCCTAGCAGCTCTAGCACTATTTGTATTCGAAGAAAGTTTAGCTTCTAGTACTCTCTAGGAGTAGTATTTTCATTCTCCTTTTAGTACTCTCTACTGTACATGATGAGGCAGCATGGAAATAAATGCAACAAAGGGAAGAAGAAATTTAAAAGATTGCTTGCAACTAATAATGAGAGATGCTATACCCCGCGAGTAGGTACATCAATCAATCACTCAATCAATCAATGTGCCATAGATGAAAGTGAGCTACTTCTAAGCCCGTTGGCCTTGGAGGCCGCTGAGGGCCGGGTGCTAGGCTGATGCTAATTGAGGGGAGCACACCTGAGGCTGAAGCTGGGGGACGAAAGCTAGGCTGATGTACTAGCTAAGGGTGCTAGTAACGGGAGGAGGGAGCTGGGGGACGAGGAGTGCTAGGCAGATGTAGCTAGGGGCTAAGCAAAGTACGTCTACCTAAGGTACTTCCATCGATTCCACCACTGTTACTAGGGGACAAAAATTTTTCTTTGATTATAAGCAGAGCTACACCTACACCAGGGTACAAGATATCCTGTTCAGAAAAAAAGGAGGTATTAAGAAAAGTAGTGGGCAGTTCGCAATTGTAAAGTGACTTGTCGTTGCCTTCAACAAGAAACAGGGAAAATAGTCCTTCTCGTTATGAAAACAAATCGCTTTTTTGACCCCTTGAAAACAAGTAACTACTAACAGATGAAATTATTTGAACTAGGGACCCCTATTTTTGTAAGAGGAGCTACGGAGTACTACTAGAGACCCTGTTCTGTTCCCATTGAAAACGTGGTGCAAAGAATCGGAGCTGCGGAGTACTACTAGAGACCCTGTTCTGTTTCCATTGAAAACGCGGTGCAAAGAATCGGAGCTGCGGAGTACTAGAGACCCTGTTCTCCTGTTTCCGCCGAAACATCGGTTTCGACTGAGACTATCGTGGTCGTCCTCTCAAACCTCCCCCAACCATCATAAACTTTCCTCTCCTTAGGAAATAGGCCATTTTCACCTGTAGTTATGTAGTTTTAAGACATACCCCTGGATTGGGTTTACTACTACTAGTACTTTTTATTGGTTCATCATACATCTTCATCATCCACCTGATGTCATTGATTTCGCCAATCAACATGTTGTTATTCATCTGGTAAGTTAGTACAACTACAAGTAGTGAAGACCGCAGGAACAACTCACACTTTCACTTGTAATTTTCGAAGGACAAGTTAGAACTAGAAGATCCTCTACTCATCCAAAAAAAAACAAGTGAGTGCGACGCATTCAAGTATTATCCTCTAGTTGTTATGAACGCCAGGACTTCTGCACCAGCTAGGATCACTACATTCATTGTAGAAACCTCGATCTTTCTTACCTTTTCTTAGTTTTATCATGATGAGTGAAATATGTGCTGGGACCGGGAGTCAGAGGACGTAAAAAGTCTCTCGAAACCTGTTCGTTAGTCGACGACTTCGCTCGTCTCGCTTCTTGTTCTTCTAGGAGTCACTAGAACGACAACATTCACTGCTGAGGAAAAAGGGAACTTAGTGAAAAAAAATCACTAGTTCTAGAGTCTTCGATAGTTCTAGATCTGCTTTTGCGGCACGAAGCAACTTCTGGGACGATCAACGAAAGTAAAAAACAGCACCACGACTTCTTCTTCTCTTACATTCCTGGTCGTGCAGGTGCACAAGCAGAAGGATGCCAGCGGCGAAAGAGCAACATCCTAGTACTGCGCTGCTGCTGCAGGCAGACGATTCCGCGGTAGTGCTGGACGGGAAAGTGCCTAAGTACAAAGTCAGCGGAGAACAGAGGAAAAAACTGCGTGACAATAGTCTTTACGGCAATGACGTTTTAAATTGGGAAACCGCAGGTCGGGAGTTCGGCTACTGCAGTCCGTTTAGTCGCATCAAGGTTAAGGTCAGCTTTTATCCATCCCTCTCAGCATCTCGGTACTGCCCTTTTCCCTTCTTGTATTTGATGGGAAAAATAAATGGGTCCAGATCATGAGGGGCCGAGATGAATAAAAGACGACTCTAACAAGGGAGAGAAAAGAAGCGAAAAATATAGCAATCCATTGACCGCGCCGTACAATCATGCAGTCGACAAAAAGAATTTTCAGTTATGAATATCAATACGGAACAAGTAGGTACAATTCACTAGTATTTCACTCTTCCACCGCCTCTATTTATCCCACTCGAATCCTCTCATCCTGTGAAACTCCCATTCTAATCCCCGACTACTTGGAAAAGCAAGCTGAGGTGAATCCACGCCGAGGTCGCACGCGGACTGAGATGCGTATAGACCAAGTGGCCGACCGAGTTCCGGACTTGTCCTACGACTTCGATGGTGATGGCGTCGTTGGGCAAAGAGACTACTTCGTCGGCAGGTTCTTTGACACGGAGAATTATGGCAAACGAGAACTACAGCAAGAACTCAGATTCACTTCGTTCATAGGTCACCTATAATAGTACTTTTCTCTGTTGTTCTCATCTCGTACAATTCATCTGAGTAGAACATGTAAAGAAACTCAAGTAGTAGAGGGTTAATGAGGACCATTTGTGGTGTAATGATGATGAGTAGTAGAGTTTATCGACCTCATCTTCTAAGACAAGAAAGGCAGCCTCACGTCGGAGCAACGAGCAACTGCAGAGAAGGAACTGCAAAACGGGTTTTTGGACAAGTTCAAGTTTGGTTTCGATGCTACAGGATCTGCGAACCCTGAGATGGTCGTTTCTCAGAAGGCTGGAAGGATTTTGACCTGCAACAACATGAACGAACTGAGTTTGAGCTATCCGGCGAGGTCTACAACTGTTTGATGATTATAGATAATTATCCTTTTCTAAATTTTTGATAATCTTGCTCTGGTCTTTCTTTTTTCTAGTTAGGTCTGCCCCACCACAATTATTAGGGATAATTTTTTTGTTGACTTGGACTTGGTGTGTGAGGAAAAAATGACCTTTATTTCATTCCCTTGAAAGATGATTGAGTGAATAACTGGACCAAAAAAAACAGACCACAAGATGGATACGAAGCCACCCCTTTATCCAACACGCCACGACTTCTACAACGCTTCTTCAACATCCCAGGTATCCTCCCCATCATCCTGCGCCGAAACACAAGTGTGGGACCGAGATGAGGATGGACCGCCTAGCTGAGGCGCGCAATTCCGCCAACGACCTGTACAGCGAGTACCTTAAGAGCCATCCACCACGTGTAAAGGAGAAAATGGATCTGCAGAGTCCATGCAAGCGGTTAGATGCTGTAGGCGACGAAAAATCAGGACCAAGGCATACCAGTCTACCTGCGATCACGAGTATCCGAGGTAGAGCGTTTGCCGAACATCAGTTACGGCTAGTTTTTCACTATCCTTCTATGTGAGCTAATATGCTGAGTGGGGTCCCCCTTATATGTTATGATATAAAGGGGAACCTACTTCTCAAAGAGGGGGCGGCGCAGTGCATCTGCATCTCACTCAACCAGGGATGGATGCTTCTCACTCAACCAGGGACGATAGTGAAAAACTGGAGCGCTAAATCAAGCAGCCAGAGTTAGAGCAGGTTTGTTGCCCATAGGCACACAGATCAACCCAGAAAGAGAGGATAAAATCCCAGGCTTGGGATACACAGAGCATCCACAATGTGCAACGAGGAGTGAAATAAAGTTAAGATTTGAATCGACAAGTACAAGTAGAGATTGTGGACGTTCGAATGGACAAGTACAAGAGATTGTGGTACAACAACAACTACTACAAGTAGGATCATGTCGAGGAACTACTACAAGAGATTCTGCTTTCTAATATCGTTTAGTGCATTTTTTCCAATTCGACATGAATTCTAGACGTAAGCAACTGTTCAGCTAACTTTTCAGCTAGTTAAGTAATCATCGTGTTCATCTAATATCCGAAGCTCGTCGCCGTGCGAAACGGGAGGACGCGGAGGCGCAGAGGCGATATGGAGAGGAGTTCTGCTTAACTCCTCGTGTGCGGAAGAGCATGTACGAAGCGGCATGTCATCAATTTAGGAAAGGTCCAGATGGTAGTGGCACAGAATCAAAGACAAGGAGCTTGTTAAAGGCAAACCGCAAGCGGGATCGCATGGAATATGACAGGAAACACTTTGGGGAATATGGTAGTACCTTTTAGATGACCTATGTATAATAATATTTGATGTCTTTTTTAAACATTTAATATGATTACGATCACCTTACTTGGTTATTTCAGTTATTTATCGACGAATACTTTGTGATACAACTAGTTGTTGTGGTTTTCCTTTTCTCATGATCACGAGTCTTCCACTGTGCATCTTCGATTCTCATTCAGCCTCACGTTCATCAAATCAATAAAGTAAGATAATGAATCCTCCCACCTGAACATGAACAGAGCGAACACTTGCGGGTCGTTACAGCGATCAGGGCGAGGCCTGGTGGACGCTTGGTCGTGGGGAGAAGCATAAACCTGGGCTCAATGTTGTACCACATCCGGACCTGAAAATCACTGAAACGGTCCAGCCGGATTTTGTGAGCTACGTTCCTGGCGGGGAAGGGGCTAACTGCGGGACGGGACGTGGCCAGTTCGGCTTCGTCGGGGGCGCAGTCGACTACGAAAGGGAGCCAGTAGGTGGGCGTGGGCCTAGTGCGATGAGCGACGCACTGCAACGGAGCAAGAGTGCCACGGTTCTCGACTCGGCAGCCGCAAGGAAGAACCACCTGCCAAGCGGCGTACCGGATCAAGTGCGCATTAGAGTGGACAGTTCTTTGCCACCTCTGTACCGAAAGCTGTATGAGGGAGTTCCTTCGGCTGCGCAGCGGCGTCTCTTTGACGCAATCACTGACGTAAGCAATGCGGAAAGGCAAAGCAGTCCAAAGCACAGGCAATGGACAGGAGAAGACCAGTTGCTCGATGCGACGAGTATTATGGAAACGCACGACTTCATCGTGTCTTGTTCGTGTCAGAAATAATACTAAAGAGGACATCAGCATATTTAGTTAGTGTACACGAGTGGTGAGAGAATCATGCTCGTTCCTCCCTCGACACGTTCTTGCTCAATTACCAGAAAATCAGGGACTTCGACGGACAACTTGTTTACGTTCATATTAGAGTTAGACCTTGATGGCATTTACAGAAGAAGTTAAAGTTTCAATTTCTTGATTGCAAGTTGTACTTCAGGAGAGAAGTCTCATTACCACTTCACCCAAAACATCTCTAACTTCCGCATCCAATCCGTCCGAGATCGATCTGCTAGGGATAAGCACGTTCGCAGGCAAAACCTAAGGTCACAGGCTAGAGGTGGTGGCGGTGGAAAGGTCGTCTCCGAATTCAGCGAGGATCACCCGAGAAATCTGTCTCTCACAGGTGCCCACAACAGGTCTCTCACTGCTACGACTGCTAGCAGTGGTGCAGAAACTCAGAAGCTGTCGATTTACCACAGACGAAAGGACAGCGGAGCCACAGGCAGTAGTGCCTCGCAGCAAAACGCTAACTCCTCGTCGGCTAGTCGACCGAGGAGTATGCGCGGAAGCAATAGGGGGACTGGATCGACTCAGTCTCTGAATAATACCATGGTGAACAGTACTGCAGTCCAATCTCGCAAGGAGTCTTTGCAGCAAAGCGCATTGGTCGGAGTAAGTGGCGTCACCAGTAAAGACAGTGTGGGAGGTTTATGCTCCAGGATTTGTTTGTTTCTACAGATGAATCGATTCTGATTGTTGTTTTTATACTAGCATTGCAACTTCTTCCCTGGTTTTACTCAAAATTATCATACCCCCCGACTGGGTACATTCACCCATTATATTATGAAACCAAAATACTCTATTTAAATACTATTAAAAATCCCCGAACGCTCTTCGCCTTTAATGTGAACACTAAAGGACCCCTAAAGCGCCTTTAATGTGAATGCTAAAGGGCTCCCCCCCCCTTTAGTGTCAACACTAAAGGACCCTTAAGGCGCCTTTAATGTAAACACTAAAGGACCCCTAGGGCGCCTTTAAAGTAAACACTGAAGGCCTTTCATGTGGGCAGCAGATGGCCTTGGGGAAGAGCAAGAACATCAACAACAGCAAGAACACCAACAACAGCAAGAACACCAACAACAGCAAGAACATCAACAACAGCAAGAACATCAACAACAGCAAGAACATCAACAACAGCAAGAACATCAACAACAGCAAGAACATCAACAACAGCAAGAACATCAACAACAGCAAGAACATCAACAACAGCAAGAACATCAACAACAGCAAGAACATCAACAACAGCAAGAACATCAACAACAGCAAGAACATCAACAACAGCAAGAACATCAACAACAGCAAGAACATCAACAACAGCAAGAACATCAACAACAGCAAGAACCAACATCAACAACAGCAAGGACACCAACAACAGCAAGAACATCAACAACAGCAAGAACATCAACAACAGCAAGAACATCAACAACAGCAAGAACATCAACAACAGCAAGAACATCAACAACAGCAAGAACATCAACAACAGCAAGAACATCAACAACAGCAAGAACATCAACAACAGCAAGAACATCAACAACAGCAAGAACATCAACAACAGCAAGAACATCAACAACAGCAAGAACATCAACAACAGCAAGAACATCAACAACAGCAAGAACATCAACAACAGCAAGAACATCAACAACAGCAAGAACATCAACAACAGCAAGAACAACAGCAAGAACAACAGCAAGAACAACAGCAAGAACAACAGCAAGAACAACAGCAAGAACAACAGCAAGAACAACAGCAAGAACAACAACAACAGCGAGAACAACAACAACAGCGAGAACAACAGCAAGAACAACAACAACAGCAGCAGCAAAAACAACAAAGACAGCAAGGACAACAACAACAGCAGCAACAACAACAACAAGAGCAACGACAGCAACAAAACAACAGCAGCAACAACAAAGCAGCAGCAGCAAAGCAACAGCGACAAAACAGCAGCAACAAAACAGCAGCAGCAAAACATCAGCAACAAACAGCAGCAAACAGCAACAAACAACAACAACAACAGCAACGACAGCGACTATTTACATACTACGAAAAACCCTCGAGCACTAATGTGAACACTAGAGGACCCCTAAGGCGCCACGAATGTGAATGCTAAAGGACTCCCTTCCCCTTTAATGTCAACACCAGAGGACTCCTAAGGCGCCTGTAATGTAAACACTAGAGGACCCCTCGCCTTTAATGTAAACACTAAAGGACCCCCAAGACGCCTCTCAAGTAAACACTGAAGGCCTTTCATGCTGCCACATTTTCAAAGGGAATCGGTGGCAGTACTGCCACCTTCCTCTTGTATTTAAAGCCTGCGCGCTCCCGCTCCCCTTTGCCGCAGCGCGGAGGGGAGTGCGCGCCCTTCGGGCGCCCGTTTCACCTTCTGAAACCATTCACCCCTGCCCACGTCCCTAGCGTATCCCTTTCCCTTCCTTAACGTCTCCCGGGGCACCCGGGCCCGGGGAGTATGTTATCATTATCATACTTTTCTACTTAAGAAACTTGATAATGATAACAGATTTTCTGTTCATATATATTTGAGTAGTAGAAAATGGATAGATATCTGGAGACCCTCTCACTCTGTTCCAGAGTGAAATATCCTTATCCTCACGATTTCCCTCTTTCATCACCTCCGCCACTCCGGGATAACCACGTATACTCGGCAAATAACCAGCTGACGAACTCTTTGCGTATGCTGAGTCCGTCCAGGCAGAGCAATCAAGTGTCATTGCTTTCGTCCACTATCTCATCGAAACAAGGAAATTCAGCAAGCTCAGAGATGCACCAGAGACTAGCACCGAATGTACCTACAACTACTGCTTCATCATAGTACTTTTTTTGAACGACCACTCATAGAAAAAACCATAGTACTTTTTTTGAATCTTGAACTCTCTACTAGCTCCCTTCTTGTTACGCATGAAGATCAAGATCCAACCAAGGCGTTCGGTGATTGCAAAACAATAAGTTGCCTCCTTTATCGTTTTTCTTGTTCGTTCTCTGCTTCCACTTCTAGCCTTAACGACCTCATAACTAATTGACCACGTGGTAAAAGAGGACACATGATGACATGACATAGTCTTGTTAGGGGCGATTCCAATTCGATAGTTCGATTTCCTCCTTCATTCGTAAACATCACCACAACTGCAAGCAAAGCATAGTCCTTCAGGACTACCATAGTCCTCCAGGACTCCAGTTTTCCAATCTATCATCCAGATCGCTGCCGGCGGCCACCGTGTAGTCAAAGTGAAACCGAACAAGGACCTCGAAGTAGTCAGGAAGCCAGCTGCTCCTCCAGCCATGATGGGATATCCTGGTTTGCACAGTCCGGGCAAGGTCGGAGCCGCGGTTCGCGCTGGAGGCTTCGTTTTTCCAGATTCACTAGTGACCGGCCATGATAGGAGAACACATCCTTGGTGATAAGAGCACCAGAGGATCGATAGCCAGGAGTATATAGATACGATTAAGTAGAACGAACAAGTAATTATAGGTCGCATCTAATTCTAAATCTGAAAAATGTATAGCATAAAACTTCACAGATGAGGAGTCAACCACAAGCATTATATTAGAATGCAAACCATTGCACAGCTACTATTTGATACATATACCTTCACTAGATTGTAACTTCAAAAAAGAATCATCAAAATTCAGAGTCTTCTTCAACGAAAAACAAGAAGCAAGAGGTATGTAGCAGCACTTCTACTTCTAGAAAGTGCTGCTCCTTGAGTGAGCAACATGGCAAATTTGTAAAAAATTAGTCTGGAGGACCACAGCGAATTCGACATAGCATGAAAACAAACTACTTAGCATTCAACATAGATGAAACCAAACAATAGCTTCTTGTTATTCAAAAATTTGTCTTCTTCTTATTCCATATTACACTCCATACGAATAAGCATTCATACTCATTACTACATTCATCCTATTGAGCTTTCTCAATCTACACATTTCTTACAGCATAAATCAAACATAAGAACTATCAAACGCCTGCTCTCCCAAAAATTAGTATCTAGTGCAACAAAAGAACCTCATCAGCAAACAACTTTATCCATATTAAGCAAGAAGTATCAACACTAGATTATCTGTCCTGTAACTGTAAGTTTTCCTTTCGTACTCCTATCTATCAAAAACAACTGGTAGAGGCGCAGGAGCTGTACTCGATACCATAGTAGTTGGCTACTTGTCATTTCCATTTTGGTACAATCATCAAAGCAAACATCAACAAGAAAACAGCAACATGATCCATCTCTAAGCTTGACTTGTCAGGAACTCATGAGGAGTCATCAAGCTGTACTAAAAGTAACTTCGTACTAGTAGTTGTAGTACTCTCTCAATCAAGTCGTGCTCAACATCTCGTATTGCCTCTTCCTTGTAAAGCAAACAAAAAAGGGGTGCAAGTGATTAGATCTGATAAAAGGATTGGTGTCGGCCGATGAGTGAAGAGAAGATCTGTCAACGAGATGTCTTTTGAGTGAAAAAAAATCAAAGAAAGAGCGTGTTTCTGATGTTACGAGTTCGGATTCGGGACGGTACTCAGGGAGATTCAGTCCTTAGATTTCGGAGAGTGTGGCCTTAGTTGTCGTCTCATCTAAGTTGTATCTTTCTTAGTCTGTGGGCATGATGTGCATGAAAGACCAGTCTGTTCAAGCCAGTTACGACTGGTGCATGAGAGAGTGCTTCTGGAGCCGCTGATTTTCTGAGAGTGCTATTAATTCGTTCTAGTTGACTGGTGTACATGCTTTCTTACCCCTCTCCATGTCCCTTCAGTCACGCAGACTTTCCACCTATAAGTAGACGCTCTTTTGTTTTGACACCCTCTCCTTCGTGAATCATATTTAATCTACACTACCTCGTTCGCGCTTTGATGAGGCTGCTATTTTGATAATTCTGATCATTTTGTAGCATAGGGATGAAACTATTTGGTAGGGTCAAATGCTCTGGTATATTAATTTTTATTCCAATTTTTAGTGCGACGTCTGTGTTGTTTATCTGAAAATGTCGAAGTCTAGCACTATATCTTCACTTGCTCGTCGCTCCAGCAACCGTTCCGGTCTGTTATACCAGGCGCAGATTGGTCCTAGTGCGTGTGATGATTGCACCCCAGAAGATGACGCGCTACAAGAGGATAGCAGGGATCATGCATTCCCCGTCGTGGAAGGACAGCACAGTGCTCCACAAGCCTCAAAAACTTCCCCCGATAGCCCCGACATCAGCTCACCCGGTGCGATTAAAAAATCCGCCAGCAAAAGCAATAGTATAATGATGAAAGCACAGTTGAGCAGTCTAAGCGACAATTTGTCCCAACTTATAGGGGGACCTAGTGGTAAAAACGCCGGTCACAAGTTACACGTGCTGAAAAAGCAAGATAGCTTTCTGGGATCGCCGAACAAAAAGGGCGTTGACGGTCTTCACGAGGACGGCTGCTCTCAAGGTTAAGGCTAGAAGAAATCCATTTTCAGAAGCATCCTGAGGCCGTTTTCAAGGGGAGAAAGGTCCTCGGATGCGTCTCAAGATGGATTTCTCTTAGTTCTAACAAGGATTTGACGAAGATGATGACGACAACTACATCATCGGGGAAGATGGTGTGCGGGTTCGGAAACCACCTGCTGCCCATACAGGTGGCGTACGAACAGCGGAAGTGAAAACAGCACCAAGGTTAAAAGCGACAGACGCAGTAAGGACCAACACGTGGGAGCATAGGATCGTCACGCATGCCCGCTTCGAGCCTATCATTGGGTGGATGATCGTGATCAATACGCTGTATATGGGAACCGAGTACCAGTTAGACCCACAAATGGTGAAGGATAACTTCGGCTACTTCGAAGTGGTGGATTTGCTATTCCTCTGTACCTTCACGTTTGAGCTGTATTTGCGGATATCAGTGTTTGGCACTAGGAACGTGTTGGGGAATCCGATCTACGCTTTGGATTTCTTTATCGTCATCTTGGGATTGGTGACAGAGGTAGCCTTGCCATTGTATGCGGGAACGTTCTTGAAGGGTGAAATGGGCGACGGGTCGGAACTGGTATAGCATTCTTCAATGTCAGAACTGGTATCTAATATAGCATTCTTTTATGTAGTCACGGTGCAGGTAGAAATGGGCGATGGGTCGGAACTGGTATCTAATATAGCATTCTTCAATTAAGGCTCAACTTTCAATGGTCATTGGGGTTGGTCACTGGGATCGCAGAGAGGCTCTCCTTAGAAAACAGGGGAAAACACAGGGAGAACAAGTAGAGGGGTAAAGGGCCCTTTTCTTTCAGCATCAGTGACCAATGAATGCTGAGCTTTAATTCAATGTCACGGTGCAGGTAGAGGCGTAGGTAGAGTCCATCTAGAAAGAGGACTTAATATAGCATTCTTTTATGTCACGGTGCAGGTAGAGGCGTAGGTAGAGTCCATCTAGAAAGAGGACTCCTGATCAATCAATTTTGGAAAAAATCCACCATCAAAATCCACCGCAGGACCGCATGATCCGCTCAGCTCGTGCTCTTCGTGCCCTCCGTGTCCTCCGCGTGATCACGCTAATCGAGCAGCTATGGGGTGTCGTGGAGCTCTTCTTCTACGCTCTCGGCCCACTTTTTTGGACAGTGCTGTTCATCTTGATCATCATCTTTCAGTTTACCATCTTTACGGTCGTCTTGGTCGGTCGTTCGGATATGGGTAGCGAAACCGAAATACGGCGTGCTCAAGGCAACTTTGACAGGACAGTGAACACTTTTCTGAGCCTGTTTCAGATCATGACATTGGATGGCTGGCTGGAGGTGATTCAGCCGTTCTTCGAACGACATCCGTGGACCTATGGCTGGTTCCTGATCTTCATCTCCCTCACCGCATTTGCGTTGATGAACTTGGTTACGGTCTCAGTCTTGGAAACGGCGCGTGAGGCGCAAGCAAGGAACCAGCAAGCGGAAGACATTAGGCAGAAGATGACCGCGATACAGGACTTGTACGACTTCCCAGGGGAAGGAAACGACTTAACCACGAAAGACTTCTTCGTGAACCATTGGAGGGATAGCAAGACTTTTAGCGCAGTGTTCTCCAAATTGGATTTGAACGAACAGGACGCTGAAGGCTTTTTCGAAGCCTTGGACTTGGATGGGAGCGGTAGCTTGGACCATTTCGAACTGAGTACGACGTACATTTAAGGCTTCCAAGTTGGCATCATCTCTAACTATGAGCATCTCTATAATGCATGGTTTCATTCTCCAAGTTAGTAGGAAAGAGATAGAAGATATGCGACCTACTAGAGGGGTCGTGCCAACTTTCTTCAACGGCTAATACATGGAACTGGTCCGAAACGTTTTGAACGATCCCTCACTCGTAGCTTTGATCCGCTCCGCAGCTGACCCGCAAGAACGCAGCGAACTGCTAAAATCGACGATGGAACGAGCGTCGCAGCAGAGAATAGCCGAGGAGCAAAAGCAGCAAATGCAACTTTTACAAAAAACAGTGGACATGAGCCAAAGAGAAATAGCGGAAGTCAAAGCTTTGATGATGCAGATGCGGAAAGACATGCTAAAGGCGTTGTCTAATGTGGGAGGTTCTGGCGCATCTTCGCAAAGAGGCAGAGGGGGTAGCCAAGACCGTGGAAAAGATGGAGACAGAAACGATCGAAAAGATGGAGGAGGACGTAGTCCCAAAGATCATGAGAGAAATTCCCCAAGGACCACAAGGGATCACTACCATAAACAAGACGGTAGGATGGATGGCCGGGACCACAGAGATAGAGATGGCAAGGATAGACATGGTCGTGGAGATAAGGAAACAAGGGATCATGCTGGAGGCGGCAAAAGTAAATCTTCCCCTATGAGAGGGGAATCTTCCTTTAGAGATAGAAGGGAGCTGCCGCGAGGCCAATCGAGCATTGCTTCCAATCAGAATTCCCCATCCTCGCTGCACGACCCAGCTGCACCAGGAGCCGGTGGAGCACTCGGTGCTACCGCAGGGTCTCTAGCTAGTGTCGAGACAAGGGCTAGTTCAAACTCGCCTAATAAACGTGGCGTAAGTACTAGTACAACGAATGAAGAAATGTTCGACAGCCTACAACGTTTGGTAGACAAGGACAAGGAAAAGGAGCAAGCTTCTGCTCTAGCAATGCAACAACAAGTGGCTTACGTGGGTGGAGGTGGATTTCAACCTGCTGTCAGTGCTTCGATGGGACTCGGCAACATCAACTCGCCAACATCTTTTTCATCGATGTCACCACAAAATGCCCAGCAAGTCCAACAAATGCAGAATTCTTCCACCACTTCACTCAACATGCACTCACAAAACATCAACAACAGTCTGAACAACGCTAGTCCTGCTCACCATCTGCAGCAAATGCAGCAGCAGTATTCGCAAGTGAAGAGGCCGGGAGGAGCTCAGCCTGGTGGGATGTCGAACATAGGTGCTATGTGGGCAAGGGGATCAGAAGGAAGTAGTCGAGGGTCTGTTCTGTGGTAATAATGCGTCATGGCCTTATCAGGTGGTTGTTCTCCGATCTTCCTTCCGCGAGTCCGTTCTTTCCAATCTCCAAGGCGTTTAGACGTTTCAATTGACGCGTCCGATGTTGAGACAACATGATAAAAATTTCAATCTTCTCAAGCTGCTTTTACATTTCACAGAGATCCCCAATCATTCCGGATCAGAAGGAAGTAGTCGAGGGTCTGTTCTGTGGTAATAGTTCCGGTTCCGCCCAGCTTAAGTTGTAGACTATTGACTATCTTGATGATAGTGGCCCTTTTCTCTCTTATATCTTCCGCTGGTCTGTCTTTTTTCTAGTTAGGTCGGCTCCACCACAACTATTGACTATCTTTCTCTGGTCTTTCTTTTTTCTAGTTAGGTCGGCTCCGCCACAATTATTGAATTTGAAAAATTTGTATTGTTTTACCCATGAAGATTCATCATGATGATTGCCCTCGAAGATGATCTTAGCGTTGATGACGTCTGGCAAGAAGAACAGTTGGCGCAACCTTAGAGATCTGGTCGGAAGCAATAAAAAATGCTCAGAGCTTTGATAACGACTTGCTTTGCTATACTATTCCAGACTTTGACGTCATTTTGGAAAGAGATTGAAAGTTTGCCTTTTGCGTTTGCTGAGGACACTGATGCCACTTGCAGAGCAGAACTCTGCGTCGTCGAGACAATCATAGTGAAGACCGTCTTCTAGAAGTCTGCAATATCTGTCACAAAAGCGCATCGTTTCATGTCACAACCAAACAGATCGAGTGAAGGTGGCAGGAGATGTTCTCGTGCGAAAATAGCAGGAGATGTTCTGCCAGCGTCTGTAGTTGCCATGCCGAAAATAGATTAGAACCTAGGAAGCAGTTGCCCGTGCCCCACGCGCCCTTTTTTTTTGCCCTTGTGGTCGCGACAAGAATAACAAGGGCATTCGTGCTATAATTGCCAGTGGTTATGCCCAATGAGACGTCACAGGTGTGTGCAGACGCAGAATGAGACCCTGATCCGTGTCTAGAAACTAGCCTTTGGTCTATGTTCGGCTCCGTTTTTGCTAGCAAGTAGCCTTATACTAGAAGAGCATCTTCTTGGAAAAAGTACTTAGTATCTACTATATCTTTTGGAGGTACCTGTTCATTGAATGGCCTCATAGGTAGACGCGAAATGCTACAAAAGAGGCACCATGACTACATGACGCACTTTAGTCTTTTTAGTCTTTCTCTTTTCACCTCCACGACATATCTTTCTTGTTTTGATTTTTTGCTGCTGATTGTTTGGTTTCAAGATTTCAAATAAAATCAAGTAACCCAAAAACAAAAGATGAGCGCTTCTTCTCATGATTTCGATTACGTCGAGGAGATCGAGTATTGGTCTGGTAATCCGACCATCAGCCTCATCGAGGGTACCTTTCGCTGTTTGCATTGGGTCGATACTGACTTGGACGAAGCTCAAAGTGGCTCTGCTAGGGGCGCCAGGGGTCCTCCTGGGTCTAGTGGGACGAGACGTGGAAAGATAGATGAACCGCCAGAGGAGAGTGGTGATGACGGAAATAATGGAGACTATACATCAACCTCACGCATCTCAGTGGAGCGACTGGGTGCTGTGCAACCACCGCCGGGTCTGCGCTTAAGGCAATCAAAAGAGCATCCTCAGCGTCATCCTTCTTGGTCCGTTTTTTTACCTGAAAATGGGACCAAGAATGCACTCAGGGAGGCTAACGCGGTAGCTCTAATGCGGGGGACTGCTGACGAACAGAGCATCGTTTTACTGTGCGGTAATGTTCCATTCTCTTTAAGGCCTTTCGAGGTCTGCGAGTGGATGAATATGCGAACCAATGTGTTTCGCCACACCAGAGTTCTCCACGGCAAGGAACCGGGATATTATTTGTTTCTCATTTAAGGCTTGTGATTTGAAAAGGAAACAATCCTAGGGGAAAGAAGCGAAGCCAAAAGTGACTCAACCAAAGTAGACTTATAATCGTCAGGCCGTTGATAATGGTAATAAAAAGGGACAGCAGCTGCTGTAACAGTAGACTCAGTGAGTATCAGTAAATCTAGCGCTAACTCGTGGCCTTACGACCGGAAATTACACCGAGACAGGCAAATGTTTTGCTGCGAGAGTATAGGAAAAAACCGTTTGGCAACGTTTTGGAAAAAAAGCCTGGATCTGAGAGGAACATGCCAGCTCTGCACTACGTCAAGGAGGCAACGATATTGGTGTCGCACAACACCCAGCAACCACCTGCAAGTGCGAACTGCTTTGGAACACCGAGATTGATAAGTATGGCGAGGACGGGCATTTTTACTGTTGTTTGGACTTTGTCGAGTCGCTCGTCCATTTTTAGAGGTCTTTAACAACTACAACTACAGAAGTTTCCACCCTTTGTTTACTTGGAACAACCATTTCTTCTAGTATGTCCATCCATCATGCCTTATTCCTTGCACCCCTCCCTTCTCTCCACCCATCCTTTCTCTCCTCCAGCATCTTGCTTCTAATTATAAAGCCCCTTTCGTCGAGCTTTTCCCGAGCTGTATCGTCGACCAAAGACAAGTGGAACAGCTGCTATTGCCCGATCCCGAACCGCAACAAGAATGCATGGTCTGTCTAGAAAGCAGTGACGCAATCACAGATCTGGGTGGAGGAGTACGGATTATTATGGACGAATGATAGGAGTTTTATTGCCTAAGACGTTTTCTTTTTCATGTTGTTGCTACCTCTGTTGTTTTGCTAAACCTGTTTTTCTCTACAAAAGATGGCTCCTCCCGGCTGCAGCAGCGTTGGTGGATTAGTAGAGTAGTGATCTCAAAAATCCTTACATTGATTTATCACACTCATTTTCATGGTAGTGATTTTTTGATGTTGTACTTACTAAGTAGACGAGTACAAGATAAACAAGAAGACAGAGTACAAGATAAACAAGGCGAATACAAGATAAACTTAAACTTGTTGGGCTCTATCTAAGGTTCTTTAGCCGAAGAAATAATATATAAATGTAAGTATCTATGTATGAGTCTCTTCATAAATAACCGCTTCTAATCCTTCCCTGCTCTGCGGCCATTCGTTTCACAGTCTCTGCCTCTTACGGTGGTTGGACCAGTCATGTCCGATCTGCAGGTTCCACCAGTACCCTGGTAGTGGAATGCTGGGACGTGGGGAAGATCAGGCCTCATTACAATGTGAAGCCTGTGCTGCTGGTGACGACTTATCGAGCCTGTTTGCGAGTGGAGCGATCAGTACCGTGGCAGCGGCGCAGGGGCAGGCAAGGTTATGGACAACTTGAGGGATATCCGCCAAACAAGTACATAATCATGGTAGACTAGTTGAAGGACCCTCCTAAAATGGAAGGTTCAAGGTTGGAGGATATCAAGACGTCATGACTCTTGAGTGATTGACTTAGCACTCAGAAGGTGCCATGTTAGTACTCAGAAGAGGCGGTCTCCGTTGCTCTGTGTAAGATTTGCTTCAAACTTGGCCAGGGAGGGTTAGACCTGAAGTGCATGACCATGACCATGGCGACGCCCATAGCACTTCTCTCTAACTTCTCTAACTTCTCTCTCTAACTTCCTTCTCTAACTTCTCTCTAATTTCTCTCTAACTTCTCTCTAACTTCTCTCTAACTTCTCTCTAACTTCTCTCTAACTTCTCTCTAACTTCTCTCTAACTTCTCTCTAACTTCTCTAGCTTCTTTAACTTCTCTAACTTCTCTAACTTCTTTAACTTCTTTAACTTCTTTAACTTCTCTAACTTCTCTAACTTCTTTAGATTCCACAGCAGCCCTGTTCCAAGCTTCCAGCTCCAGAGTGTACTCGGATATGGACGCAAGCGCCGCTTCATCTTGGTCTTGCAGTGGCATTAGCACACCCAGGGAAAGCATAGAGTTGGAGATGACTGGCATGCCAGAAACTGACTTCCAACCTGTCACCTCGAGGAGAAGCAGAGGAGGAGTCGGAGGAGGTAGAAGGGGAGGAGACTTGACAATAGAAACCAGTGTTAGTCCTCCTCATCATAGTGCTCAGACACAACAGGCAGCGACCTCTTGTACTTCAGCAGGATCTAGTACCTCAGCTGGAGGTGTTCGAGTTGTACCCAAGCTCTCTCCAGGGACAACTGGAGACTTAGCTCTACTAGGTACAACAACTGGAGGCTTAGCGAGCAGTCCTCCAGAACAGTTGAGTATACGAAGCCGGCGCGGTGCTGGTGGAGATCATACATGTAGAGAAGCGAATGACAATGCTGGAGGTGGAGGCAGTGGTCTCCTCGGAGTGAACTTTTAAGGGTAGGTTAAAGGTGTTCCCCCTGTTAGAGCGTTCGTTTTGCCTCTTCTAAGGGAGGGGAAAGGCATAACGAACGGGGTAAGTTAACAAACACCAAAAACCTACCTCTAAAACTTAGCGTCAACAGCATCGGGGGGGACGTGTAGTTATGAGCTAGAAGCGTTCAAGGTGAAGATATCAGTTGCTTTTTTATTTTTTTGTCCACGACCCCTTTTCTCATTTTGCAAAATAAAATCGCTCAGAAGCTGAACAACATAAGACTGTTAACAAAACGACCCAGCATCCTCATCCCCCTGTTAGAATTCTAATCTCCCATCGGCGCAGCTGCACCTTTCTTTCCACCAGTGCTTGCTCCTTACTCACCCCGCCTCTTCGCACAGATGGCCACGATCGATGTCCAAGACGTCGATAATGAGCGCTCTTCTCCTCTCTTGGTTAACACTCGCAACGTAATGATCTGTCTAGTGTGCGGCTTCTGCGCTTGTGAGGTACACGCCCAATGGCACTACGAAGCGAACCGAGGGCATGCCTACGCTTTAGATACCCAGTCGCAGAGAGTGTACGATTACTCGAGTCGCGGATATGTGCACCCGTTCTTGGAGCATTACTTGTTTGACGACGAAGAGGATAATCAACATGGTTCTGCGCAAGATGACATACCGCAACGTCAAACTACAGCAGCCACAGCTGGTGATGGAGTTGACCAGACTAAAGAAACGACAACAGCTGCAACTACCACTGCAGGAGCACCACTACCTTCGCAACTGCCAGAGCTACTAGAACAGCAACATAGCCGCGTTTCGAAAGCTGTAAGCCCACTAGCGTCGAAAGCGTCGCCGTTGGTGGCTAACCGGTTGGTGAGACAGAAGTTGGGCGATAGTGCACATGGTGACGTACTGCTGGAATCCAACCGTGGAGGATTTCAGGATCCGAGCGTGGTGGTTAGCATTATGATGAAGAGTTGAGCAACTTGAATTATATGATAAGATAAAAATCCTGTAAATCATAGAAAGTGGAAAAGTAGTACCATAGTTAAGGCAACGCAGGGTGCATCCTCAACATCATCCTTGGCTTCCATTTCAACTAGGAAAAGGAGCAAAGGATGCTATCAGGAGGATTTCAGGATCCGAGCGTGGTGGTTAAGCTCTATCTTCTAGTTCACTCGTATTATTGAAGATCATGTTCATGGTCTGCCATAACACGTTCTATCTCACTTACAACTCTAATTTGAGAGGCAAAGAGGGCAAAGGACCTTCCGATCCGCAGGAGAAGGACAGCTCTGCTCAGCGCCAACAGGTTATCGTCAACCCTATCGCAGAATTCAACCAGCTTCTCGCGACGCAATTGGAGCAGCAGCGACTTTACTTTGGTGACCTCTTGGCTAGGAAAGAGCAGGAAATGAGCGAATTTCGAGCTGACTGCAGGCGCAGATTGGAATCCCAGAAGAAAGAACTGGAAGTCGCAGAGGAGAATGCGAAGAAGAAGGCAGAAACTTAAGGCTTGATGCAATTCACTTCCAAGGGTCACTTTCTTCTTCACTTTCTTCTGTTACTGTTTCCTTCTTGGGATTCCGAAGAAATGAATGGAAAGAATGCCTTGCGTTTAGCTCTAAGATGAGCTGGCAGAGGTTCGCGGTGCTTTGGAAGCAAAGAGGACAGCTTTGGAAGAGACAAAGAGAAAAAAAGCAACCGCTGAAGCAGCCCTGAAACAAGGTGGAGGTGGCTCCTCATCCTCAGCAGCGAGTTCACCAGCTTCGCCAGGAGATGAGAATAGTTTAGTAGCCTCCATACTAAATCAACAAGCTTCCTCTTCTTCCTCTGCCAGTCCGAATCACCCTGCTAAGAAGAAAACAGCTAAAGAGAAGAAGAATGAAGAGAAGGCGTTGGTAAAACAACTGAGGCAAGAGATCGAAGAATTGAAAATGAATCTGCGGATGAAGAACAAGTTCAAAAAACAAAAAGATCTCGATAAGTCCAATCTTCTTTTTACAACCTCTGCACCCTAAGCTCCTGCTTGTTGATGAACTACTGTCTCGCTAGCGGCTGTAAAAATAGCTTTAGCAGCTACTTTACATTGCCAGTATTGACGCCCCGTTGGCAGTAGCGATAGGTGTTCAACTTTTTTAGGTCCGATTGATCATAACCGTCTTTTTTCAAGAAAGACAACTATTTCCGAAAAGCGAAAAGTTGTCAAGAGGACCATCAAGGAGGAAGCAGAAAAAGTGGATTTTTTCGAAACTTCCAACCCCAACGAATGGACAGGAGGTGGAGGAACGTACGGGGTGTATTTTATTTGAGAGGGGAGTGGTATGCGTTTGCGTACTCATCCGTCGTCCAAATTGCGTATGAGTCGTCCAAATACTTATAGTTAAATTAAGTCATCTCTCAAAGTCGACTCTGTTACAGAAGAACATGACCTCCTCTCCAAGCGGCCCCGCACAAGTGAAAGTAGAGCCGCAAGGCTCACCAGGACGAAACGTCAACGCCCCAGCAGCCCTGCGCGTTCCACCACGACTAACCGGAGCTTTTCTCGAAGCTGCGACTACTGCTGGCTTCGTTCCGAGGAAATGGCACTTGGAGAGCCAATACTTTGAGACTGTGCAGAAGAGTGCGAGCAGGTATGTGAAAGCAGGCGAAGATGGGAAGGTGAAGATAGATTTTCTTGGAGATGATCACGAATCATTGTGTCCTAAAGATCGTGACCGCTTAATATTCTTGACGCTGGAAGGGGGAGAAAGGATAAGTTATGGTCAGCTTTTTTCCATCATTGTCGGCATCTTGGTCCCGTTTTCACTTGTATTCTCGTGAAATACAAGGTAAAAGGGGTCAAGATGAGGGGGTCGAGATGCAATCTAGCAGACTCTAAATAAGGAAGCAACTAGATCATGGCTCCGGAAGGGGTTTCGAGTTGTCTGCAGATGAAGCAGCCGGTGGAGGCTGTGTCATTGGAGAAGCAAACCCTGTCGTCGATGAAGAGCGAAGTGAACTTTCTCTACTCTTAGAAGAACATCGCGAAGCTGTTCGTGTGTACTTTGACGTAGACTGGTCGCGAGCGCTGAAGCGGAACGGGAATGATAGAAAGAATTTGATGCGGGAGGACACAAAAGCTAGCTTTACGGATATTGCATCATCGAAGATATCTTCGAACGACAACAGAGCATCTCAAAAATTTACGTATGCTGAATTGTTCGCCGGCATTGGGGGTTTTCGGTTTGCTCTGGACGCACTGGGAGGTCAATGTTTGTTGGCATGCGAGATAGATGCCGCGTGTCGTGAAGTCTATGAGAGGAATTTTCAGGGAGCAGACCAAGCTTGTTGTAGTTCTGACGGCGGTCGCATGAGACGGTCCACCAACAGTTATGATTTCCCAGACGACATCCGAAAAGTGGCAGCACTACCGCAGAATTGTGACCTACTTGTGGGTGGTTTTCCCTGTCAGCCATTTTCCGGTCTAGGCCCACAAGCTGGGATCGCCGACGATTCGAAAAGAGGGGAGCTCTTCATGGAGATTGTGCGGTTACTGACTAAGCCTAAAAAGGCGGAAAATATAGAGGAAGGAGGAGATGGGACTTGTTCACCTCCGGCAAAGAAAGCTAAGTCTTGTCTTCAGGTGGACGAGGAAGAAGATTCCAGACCTGAGATTGAGAAGGAGCAACTAGTATCGGAAGAACCACCTAGCAGACGGTTCCCAACCGTGAAAGCTTTCTTACTCGAAAATGTTCCTGGCTTACTAGAAACGAACAACGGCGCAGATTTCAAGCGGATAGTCGAGGAACTTCAATGTGGAGGCTTGTACGAGGTCCATACCAAAGTCTTAGATGCCAAGTGGGTGACGGCACAGAGGAGAAGAAGGTTGTATTTTGTGGGCATTCAGAAAGATTTATTGGCGAAGCAAAGTAAAAATAGTAAACAAGCAGGCAATGTTGATCTTGATTTCGTCTTTCCCGATTTGGAAAGGCATTTTAGGGGAGACGATTTGCAACAGAATTTGCGGTTAGGCAACGTTGTCGACTTTGAGGACGATGATGAAGACCGGAGCACTCGAGCATCGTTGGCAACCAGGACCTACTCTACGACCACACTATCCTCCAAGCAGTTCTCGGACCTGCAACAAACAAGCTCCTTTCGCAGAGACTTCCGGCAACTTTTGCTCTTCCCCAAAACAGAGAAATGCGGACCTCTCGTCAGCCATTATGGTCACCATGCGAGTAGCGGCAATTCACAATTGGTTGCGCAGCGATGTCCTTTGCCACCTAGGCTGATGACGACCGATGAGTGCTTACGGGTGATGGGGTTCCCTGGATCATCTTCGAGGCTTTTTAGGTGGGCTACAAGCTCCGAGCAAGACCCAAAGACACTGCGTGAACGCTACAGGATGATCGGGAATGCGGTTGCGCCACCTTTGATTGCTGCTTTGGTGGGAGCTGTGCTGGATGAAACTTTCGATGAGGAGGACAGCTCAGAGTCGTGGAGAGAAAAAGGACTCTCTGTCGCTAGGATGTTGGCTTTGGAAGCGGTTACTCGTTGAAATGCTCTTCAAATAATCATGTCTGAATCTACTTAAATCCCCCTATTGTTCGAATTCAACGGCGAAGTAAAGCCCCCAACCCTAGGCCAAAGCCCTATTTCATACACTTGACGTTTGGAATTGAATGTTGACAAGACTGTGTTCGTAGTGTCATGGGTAAGAAAGCTGTCATAGTCAAGTCGTAATATGTCCGACAAGTACTAGGGCATGTTGCTCGTGTTTCTTCGTTCGTCTGTGAAGTACCCTGAGGTCTTGCGAGAGTGTGAGTGCGATGAAAATTTTTGTCAACGCGGATGTATAATCGCAGAACTGTTAGAAACTTTTGATATTGTGAAGTGATGCTTGCATGCGGTAGATGCATGTAGGAAAAATTCTAGTATAAAGTGAAAGTTTTTCTGTTTGCGTTTTTTTCTGCATAAGTATTTAATTAAGTACGGTATAATTCAACACGAAAGATAGCGTATCAAGAACATAATAATTATCTCAACATCTACTGCAAAATAATGAGGACCAAAAGGATGCTGTCTGTTGCTGCATATGGTCTACTTGTGTACCATTCTCTTGTTGACCTCTTCCGGCTCGTCTGTGCCCGAACCACAACCGCACAAGAAGGACGACCCCGTTTCTTGCCCAATAATAAGGGTGGACCACTTTCCCGCTTAGCGAGAACTACATCAGCGAGAACTGCAACTCTATTAAGGGTACACCTTTAAGGTGCTTTTCTTACCGCTTTTTATGCCTCTCTCCCTTAGGAGGAGAAAGGCATAACAAGCGGGGCAAGCGAGCAGGAACAACCTACCTCTAACTCTACTTTCTCCTATCACGACGTTGCAAGCAGATGGCTTTGCTTGTCTCCAGGAGCAAAAGGAAAGCAGCAAGCTACCATTTCTAGAGCTGCTTCAAGAATGGAATTACCTTGCTGATTTCGACGCTGAAGCAGTAGCACATACGCTGGAAAAATTGAGGCCCTTTCATTACGAAAGAAATTGGTCGTCCATCACTGCCGATTTGCAGGATTTAGCAGAGGCTATAAGCTTGGATCATAGGTATTTTGAAGGACAAGAAAACCTTGCAGCAACTGAACAACAGCCGAGGAGAGTGGCAAGTGCTTCTACAGCCGCATCTGCGAGCAGAGGACCTACAAGAGGAGAAAGCCAGTACCATCGACGAGGACAACAGCAACTGCAGCTATCTTCTCGAAGTAGTGGTCCACCGGCAGCCCATAATACTCTTAAGGATCTTCTAGGTTGTTTTAGGTGTTCCTGTTACCATTAGGTTTTGTTTTGCTTTTCTTAAGGAAGTGAGGCATGACGAACGCTAACCGGGTCGTAAGCTAACACGCAGGACCCTGCCTCTAATACTCCTATGCCACATTCACCGCCTGGCACTAACCCTCATGCACACACCACAGTTGTTGTAGAGCATGTCGAGAGCGAGAGCAATAACGGGCTTCATAGGTGGACGCGGCACCGGATGAGAGCTACTCCTGTTGCTGACGATTCGCGAAGAAGGTCGACTGGTCCACAGCTTGGTGTCTTTGCCAGATTCAACTTAGCATCGAGAAACTTCATATGTGCTCCAGCAGGGCAGAACGATGGAGGCAGGAGACGACCACGCTCTAGCAGTCGTAGAGGAAATTGCTGGGATGCAATTTTTACCAGGGCCGCAGCCGCTTCAACTGTAGGTAGTTCTTACCTTGCCGCGAGAGCGCAGGACGAGAGTTTGAGCGAGAGCAGTCCTAGGCAAGACGAGGACAACGAGGATGCAGAGGATGATGGATTCTTTTTATGACTGGAATGTTGGACGAATCAATGAAAGGAGAGATTGTACTTAGTACACATTCATCGAGATATTGACCGACCGTACTTACAACGGACAGCCTACAGGAAGTCACTAGATGTACGTGGCTTTCTTGAATGAAGTATTCACGAGCGTCACCTCCTGCTAATTCTCAGCTCCTACAGCGGCGCAACCGGGGATCTATTGCGGAATGAGTTTTTCCGAGTTGTGGACTCGCAAGATCCTGTTTCTGGACAGATGCGCGTCGATGTAAGTACTCTCTTCCAGCCCACCTCAAAATTAAGGCTGTACCCAATACATCTTTGGACGCATGATCCTTGGAACGTATGTATGGAGGAGTATCCTAGCTACGGGAATGCTCCCACATACTTTTCAAGGATGCACTTGAAAGATGAATTCCGGACAGCTCATCTAACAAAAGACTGGATAGAGGTTAGACGTTGGCTCCAGACCCAGCGTCTTGCCTCACCTAAGGTGCGTCCTGGACAGTTTTCGTTTCCTACAACAGGATGGAGGGAAATCTTTAGTCATAATACTGCAGGAGGAGCAGGAGAAGACGCTACAACAAGATCAAGATCTGCTAGAAGTGGAGGTGCTTCTGCGGTCACTATGGGAGCTGATGTAGTTTCTGCACCACATCGAGAAGGACTAGCAGGCTACCTATCGAGTCAGGTGGAAGACGAGGAAACTCTTAGCTTCGGTACAACTAGAGAAGAACAAGAAACCGGTGGCACAGATCGTGGCGAAGATACTGATATTCAGCCTGCTCATACAAGGAGAAGCTTATTGAGTAGAACGCCTTTTTACTCTGGTCAAAGAGATCGGTCTGGTAGTACTTCTTCGAGCAGTACTAGTCCTTTTACGTCGTCACCAGAAGCGGGTATCGATAATCCGGGAAACACCCGTGCTGCAGTTCTAGAGCAATATGAACAAGCTGTCCGACAAGGCAGCAATAGTTAAGGCAAGAACCAATAGAAATTCTCATGCCCTCCATCCTCAACGTCACCCTTGGCCGCTTTCCATGATAGGGGAAAAGACACCTCCAAGGATGCAGTCAGGGATGCGCATGTTGCAGTACCATATCTAAAGTGATAAGGACTTCGCCTCCCTACTGCGAACCATGATAGCGGAAACTACCTATGAAACTGAAGGTTTGTGGGACTGGGATGACGCTAGAATTCGAGTCTTCGTCATCATGCACGACAATATGTTCGTAGTGCACTTAAGACACCACACCAAAATGCTCCATCCGAGTAGCAGTAGTGGGAGTCTGGCCAGTAGAAGTAGCGTCACAGGAGGCGTGGAGTTGAGTAATCCCCTTGTAGAGGTAGGTCATATTAAGGCTCAACTTTCATTGGTCACCATTTAGATTGGTCACTGAGATCGAAGAGGGGCTCCCTTCTTGAGAGAACCAACAGGGGAGATAAATGAAGGAAAAACAGAACAGGGAGAGAACGTGGGGCCCTTTTCACTCAGAATCAGTCTGACTACTGACTGCTGAGCTTTAATCATAGAACAAGTAATGTCCCTGCTGGATTATCTGTCGGGGACGAGCGGGCATCTGTAGAAGGGGAACAGTCATCTTCAGTGGACCAGCCGGCGTCTCTAGACCAGATTGACGCAAGGAATAGTAGTGCTAGTGCTATGGATGTCGATGCAGGACTACCGCCCGACACGAATACAAGCATTAGCAGGCCACCAGTTGACGTGAATATGAACAACACCACTACAATTAAGGCTGTAGCTAGTGCATCTTTGACTGCATCCTTGAAACGTATGGGGGAGTATCTCAGTGCGAAACTCTGGCATACTTTTCATGGATGCAGCTGGGCGATGAATTACGGAGAGCGTTAACACAAGCACAAGTGTACCGAGACGAGCAACAGACGGAGGTAGCCCTGGACCCTCCTTTGACGAGTATTTCACCGCAACGGCCTGTTGGCGGACTGATATTAGAAATCGTGTCTCTATGTCAGAAAGAGAGATGATGGAATACGTGATGCAGCCACCGAGGATGGGAATGCCGCCGTTAAGGCTTGTTTTTCACTATCATTCTTTTTCTTGTAATAGTCAATACTCGTACATCAAGGGGAACAACTTACTTATAACTACTATCGTTCCCTTTTGGACTTGGTCCATCTTGATTTAAATAGGGGAAGATAAGGGAGGAAAGGGGCATCTACTGAACCTTGATCTTCAACATCAATGGGGAGTCAATGGGGAGATACCCCTTTCCTCTCCCATTAGGGAGAAATTGATGTTGAAGATGAGGTTGACCTCAACGATCATTAGCTCCCATGGGGGGCTAACCAGGCAGAGTGAAAAACTAGGGCTCTCTAACATTACCGCAAGGCGCCATGTCAAGACACCCTAGAACTTTTGTCTATGAAGTTTTACAAGTACCTTTGATCAAGGCGGGAAATGGAGAAGATGTTGGGGGATGTCATCATGTTATGGTGTGAAGTATTAGAAGTATGTCAAAGTTTGATTCCTCATGCAATAGTAATACAGTAGATGTAAAGATGGTAAGCAGTAGGGAGTGTACCACCACATCTTCACTCTTTGAATGATAACAACAAAAAACCTGAGTACTATTATCTCGTATAGTACAGTCGCTGCGTAGCTTTGTCCGTATGTACTGTTACCTATCGGTCCTTAGATAAGAGAGCGTGCCGGCGTTACTCATGCCATAGCGCTATCGGTTTTCTGCTGCGTCTCTACTCGGGTCGCAACGGAATCAGGCAGCGAGAGTTGTCACGTGATTCGCAAATGAATGAATGAATGAGTGACCTCAGTTTTTGACAAACGCCCCTTTCATATCGAATTGCTTGGGTCTTCCGGATGCGGACTCGTTAGCGGAATTAAGAGAAGACTGCGGAGGGCACAGATACGAGGCAAGCGCTGCGGCAGTGCATGGCTGATTTGAACCGATTTTGGACTTTGGACTATGGTAATTGCTGTTGGTTTGCAGACAGATACACTGAGATACACCAATTTTTGCATTGGAGGTAAGTACTGTACTTAATCTCATCTACTGAATTACAGCACGACTACAGTTTTCGCTCGGTCAGCAACAACATATTTGAATTAATACTACCGTCTTTTTGTGGCAGATCTTCTTTTTGTATCGCCGATTCTTTCTGCAGTTTTGTCCCTTCTGATGTCTGTGTCTTCTGATAATTACGATGACGCATTTTGTGCAAGATAGAATTTGTTCTCCAGCACCCACCTTCGCACCACGCATGGATCTTGGCTCAATGATTCTTGAGAATACATCTAGACGAGACTAAGCTTTTTGAGTTACGACACAGAGTTCTTCCGAGACCGTTGAGAGAAGTTCACAGTCTGATGAAATTTGAAGAGAAATGCAACGTACTGTTGCATTTTTTGGAAGAGAACATACTTGACAAGAAAGACTGCAGCATGCGCTGGCGCTGGCGCTGCTGTAGCTTCTATAATTCCATGCTGTTGATAATGTTCTGGAGTGGAGGCAGTATGCATAAGCTGCAGCAGGCAAATGTGCTCGTGCTTCTCATATGATGAAGTGTTCAACATCTGACTTTCTCCCAAAGTACACAAGAAGATCTGTCTGCGTGGATTCTGTGTAGGAGAGAACGCTTCTGTGAGAACGCCTCTTCTTTTTGTTCTTGACAGTAGAGATTAGATTAATGCAAAGATACAGTACTAGAGATTAGGGTCTCAGTCTCTCGGTTTTCTTTTGTTTCCTCTTCTATGTGCTACAATTGATGGCAGACTGCTTATCGTGCGAATTCAAATTCTATTTCAATTTCATCTATTTGATCATAGAAGGCAAGAAAGACAGCTTTCTTCAATAAAATGTCAGGGTGGAGGGAAACAAGACTTGTCTTGTTGGGAATCTGTTTTCCCCGCACTCATTTATTTTCCCAACTCTTACCGTCACTTAGACAGACTATTTCTTTCTGATCGGCGGGCTATTTTTACGCTATCAGTTAGATTCTCAATATTCCAATAATCTAAGTAGTAGTCATTATACTCGTCCTTTCTCATACCGCGCTTGCGATGTACGAAGAAGTACGTCAACACATGAAATTGAAGTTCTAGTTTGATTAGTATTCATTGGTCTGCGGTCGTTATAGAAGTTCGTAGTTTTCGTAGAGACAGAAAATCCTTGACTTTGTCCAGCTACGAATTGATTTACATAATTTGTCAAGAAATCAAGCCATGCATATTATTTACATCAAATAACAATAGCTTATCTTCATCTCTTTGATGTAGAATTTATCTTCAGTGGCAAATAAAATCAATGACGGAAAATAACGGTGGCTCCGTTCCGGATATTTTCGTCACGCTGTTAAACGCGTGCACAATCATTTTTCCTACGTTCCTCGCTTTTGCACCTGCAGTCTCGTTACTGATCCCAGCTGCTTATAGGAAGTGGCGTGTACGGAGGAACAAGCGACTTCTGAAGAAACATTTGGTGCATCTTCAGAATGAGTCAGGAGAGGTTCAGCATCGTCCTTTTGCAGGAGCTGAAGAAGAGGCAAGTAGAGGGCTTCCTCAGAAAGGCGAGAATGGAGGAAAAGAGCAGAAGATCGATGTCGCGCCGTTCGTGGCACCGTTCCACAACGGCAACAACATAGAACAAGATCATGTAGCATCATCCACTACAGAGCAGAACAAGAGGTCGTGGGGGACTTCTACCTCGCTCCAGTGGACAATAAGCACTACTGCATCTACTTCTTCCCTCGGAGGCATAGGTATTGGAGGTGCTCCACCTTCTTCAGGGAAAGTGAATCTGACGAATTTGTTGTTCTCGGAAAACGAGCTCCAAGGGAAAGCCCTGTCCTCCTGTCAGCATCCGCAACCTCAGCAGACCTGCATGGAAGACGGACAGTCGATAACCACAACGACCTCATCCTCGCACGCTACTAGCCGCTACCAGTTAGTGCTGTTGTCATCCCCTTACTCACCATCGAATCGTAAAAGAGGTGATCTTCACGATGGGAACCTCCCTGGAGGTGACCTCTCGTCCTTCAAGAACAACCATGAAGTGGCAACCAATCATGGCAAAAATTTCTTCAAAGAGGACCTCCACAGCACCTTGACCTTACTAGATCACAGGGACCACGAGAGCCTGCGTCGAATGAGTAGTACTTCAACTTCCGCGAGCAATCTACTATTGGAAGACGTGGAGCTTGGCGTGTTGCGTACCCCACGACAAGAATTAAGGGTTTCCGAATTACATCCCTCACTACCGTCCTTGGCTCCTTTTCAAGGGGGAAATGGGTCAAGGATGTTCTGAAGAATGCAATTCGGAAACCTCTAAAAGAAGGAGTTCTTGCTACCAAATCTTCGACTTCCAAGCTGACCTCTTTTACGACGCAGAAGACTCGTGAAGACCACAACCAGAAAAACGAACACGACCAGGACGAAGAAGTCTTTACACCAATCGATCTCCCTCCTCTCCCAGTGACCTCGCAAATTCCCTGTGTCGTCGTGTGGACTTTGTGGGCATTGCTTACCGACAATGTGCTCTACATTGCGATATGTGCCATTGTCCTCAGCGCTGGCATCCTCAACGCGTCGCTATACCCTTTGGTCTACGATCGAGAACGGTAATATTGGACTTGCTTTTTTGGACTTGCTTTTTTGGAGCAACAGAAATTCTTGACAAATTATAATTTAGTATAAATCAAGGCAACAAGTTAAAGTCTCCTCACTCACAAACTTGAAAACAACTACATAGATACCGCACCCAATTGTACGTCTTATCCGCCTCATCCCTGGTTACCATGGTGCTCTGCATAATATTCCTGCGCGATGATACGGCTGGCAGTGCTCTCTTTGCTGGGCTTTTGGGGATACCCTATTACACCAGTGCCGTCTTTGGCATGTACACAGGCTGGAATGAAGGGAAACCGGATGCGTTAGTTATGGAAACGAGTCAAAGCATAGTCATTTAATATAGTCGTAAATTTTCGTCATCCAGTGAGGGTCGCATTGACCTATCTTCGTGAATGTCTGTTTAACTGTGATGTACTCGACTCTCCTGAAGGTTTCAGGGAGATGAAACCACAGGGAGACACTATCTCTCGTGCTGCTACTCCGGGAAATTTTAGGCAGATTGCCGAGTAGATTCGCATCGTCGTCATCTCTCACATTGCTCAGTGACCTAGAAAGATAACCTAGATAGAAACGATTTCCTAGAGATCTAACCTGGTCTAAGCTGAAGCGGCAGTTATCTGACCTTTCTATAGTCCCAGATCGTAGTCTAGCTCTATAACCTGAGAATTTTCTATTCTAATAGAGTAGTCCTCTCCCTAAACATACAACATGTTTGTTCTATAGCCTCACACCTTAATATACTTCATCCTCTAATTTGAGAAGCCTGACGATGAATTTCGCAGCCTTATCTGCGAGTTCGAGCTGGATGCTACAGGGCTATTTCGTCGCGAATCAGCCTGAAATCTTCGTCGGTGGTCTCTGCTACGCGATTGTTAACAGCTTAGCCATACTGTTGAACATCTACCTGCGCTTGCGAGCTGGCGTCGCTCTATGTTAAGGCTACCGCTGCCTGGAGCATGTCTCCTTAGTATCACATCACGATCCTTGGTGGATCATCTTTTTCTGCGTGAAAAAGAAGCTGCGCCCAAGTAGAAGGATCCTGCTCCCAAGAAAGGCGCGACTGCGGTAGCTCTAAATACGTTGGTCAGTAGATGACTCACGTATTGCAATCGAAGTGGTGCGAAGTCCGGTCCTTGTGAAGTTTGTAGAACTTGTTTGTGTGTGTAGGAAGAGAACGTCTTCTACGAGGTCCATTTTTTGACGAGGGTCGGTACTTAGGGTGGTAACAAGGTCTGATTTTTTGACGATGCTGATGAATTTCTAAAGCTAAAGAACTTCTGTACGTGTTCATGTACTACTTCTTAAGAAATGAAGATAACGATGTGAAGAAAGAGAGACGCATAATAATTACCGCGCATTGTGAGTAGGAAACTGTACAAGACCGATTCGCAAACTAAATAACACTAGAATGGGAGAAAAACATGAAAACCTAAAGAAGGTTTTTGCAGCTAGTATTGCCGATATTAAGACATATAGAGCAGCGACGACTTCTCAACAACGAGTAGCGCCACTGTAGAAAAAGCGGATCACCCTCACAACTTCAACATCAGCGAAATCCGTAGAACGCGAAAGAAATTCTGGGACGTCGTAGGTCCAATCCGAACCGACTAACATCATCATAGGCATGAACTTCGTAGAGTGAACAGACCATCACATCATCAAAGCGCGCAAATGAAATGAATACGCAAAGGGTAGCCGCAGCTTTTTAGGGTAAGTAAACTGACTCCTCTACAATTTTCAACGCAAACATAGCCAGCCCACCTGTACAGACGAACAACGTTACTTCAATATTATGGTTGTGAATAGAAAAAATGAAGAAGAATCATAATGTAGCAATACACTGTCGATTTAGATGACGAATAGAAAATTCACACAAGAGTTTTGAATTTTTGACGGGAGATGAAGTCCACTGCTAGGCACCTACTGTTGTATCTACATCGTGTAGTAGTAGAAGCATCTTCCTGGTGTCTTGTAAATGTGATTATGTGGATTTTTGATGATGAAAAATCTTGTCTACATCTTGGTGCGCGTCCGGGATCCAAGATGGGTAGATGTTGTGGTGATTATTAGGTTGATAGATTTTAATAGGATATTGATTCTTGGTTGTTGCTCTTGCTTGTGTTGTCGCTGTTGCTTCTGTTGTGAACAAGCTAATTACATTGGTAGCGACATAGTCAAGCATCCATGGTAGATCAATCAGTCACGAACTGAAGCTACACACTCTCCGGCGGAGGAAATCCCTCGCGTCCCCACTCCCGAGATGGAGCCCTTTTTGGCTCTGCCTCTAAAAACTTTTCTTGTCATTTTCCCATCAAATCCGAACACCCAAAAACTTGTAGGAAGTCGAGATGCAATGAGGAAGCAGTAACCTAGGCGCTAAGAACACCGAGAAAGCACCTCATATATAGCGCGGAGGCTGTGTTCTAGAAAAGTGAAAAATAGAAGAGAGAGCTTGAAAAACAACATAAGCATCAACAAGCTTGATGCGATCAAAATTTGGTCTAAAAACTCCCGGAACAGTTTGAGCAGGATGCACACGCAGGAGACTGACAGCTCTCGTCTTCCCGACGATTCTAATCGCATTCTCAATTTTCATGCCAATTTTGAAAGAGTCCCAGCATCTACGAGGATTGCGATGAAGAAACTGAAGAACCTAATATCAACTAGGATCACGGATCCTGGGAGATGAAGATCAAGGTAGTGGAGTTCAGGGAAGATCAAAGAAACAAATGATCATCAACTCTCTCTCTCTCTCTGAAATGCGTTGGAGGGTAATCTCCGTCTTCCCGTCACTTTGGAGGGTACTACGTAATCTTCCTGTAACTTTCAGAGTACTAGAGAGGGAGATGAGTCCCTTGTGTCCTCTGTGGAGTAGAAGCTTATTTTTCTGTCAAGCTAGTAAGTGGTCTGTAAGTATTGTGAGGTAGTCGCGATAAACCAACGCTCCAGGATCTTCGAGTTGCTTCTTCTACTGCTCGCTCCTGGTACTAGTGCTATTGCTACTGGATCATGTTGGAGAGGAGAGGATGTATCATCTGTTAATGGAGAAAGGGAAAGATCTGTGGACGTGGAGGGAAGGTTAATGATGCATCATCTTGAGAGGCAAGTTGAAAAATCCTGAGAGAGAGAGTCATCTGTCACTCTGATCGGCAGAGAAGGTCAATCCTATATAATTTATGATCATGTCTCACTTATGTTGACTCGCCAACAATGGATTCATGTCATGGGTGGTCTCTTTCAATTTCGTTCTGAAAAAACCATCTACACCAGGCTCAAATTCCAAAAAAATTAATTCATTTCAATGAATACCTCCTGGCCTAATCCTCTTTTGCATTGGTTCCTTTCGACATTCATATTAAACAGAGTAGAAGTATCATTTGTAAGAAGATATCATTCTGAATAGTGTTACATTTTCAGTGTCGTGCATGTGGTCAAAAGCAATACCTCTACTTAGGCACATACATACATACATGGATGAAAATTAGTTTTTATGTATACAGTTACAGATGACTGAGTCGTCGTGATCATCCCTATGTACTCAAGGGAGTACTTAGTTGTTTATATAGTTGATACTTAGGTGATGACAGACAACTGATGATTGAGTATATGCTGGATTGGCAGCACTATCTTTCTCCAGCACACTAATGAAGAACTGTACCAGCTGTACCTTCATATTTTTTTAGAATATGAATACATTTATGAACTAATGTTGACAGCAGAGGAACCGCTTGACGCGGTGTGGGTCACGATTTTGGATGTTGGCACTGTATTTTCTTCTGTTTTTCTTCACTTTTCACCGGCAGTCTCCTTACTAATCCCAGCTGTTTACCGGAAATGGCGTCTGCGAAACAGCATAAACAGCGGCTCTCCCACAAAACAAGCGAGAACAAGAACATCATCCACGGTATGTGTAGAGGACTTGCAACTACCTGATCAACTATCCCAACAAGAACCGGGAACAAGTAGTACTATATTAACGTCGACAAGTAGTAGAACTAAAGAAGATATTATAACAAGTAGTACGTCGAGCAGCACAAGAACAGGAGCTAGTAGTACTTCTGTCGGTTTTTCGTCGGAGGATAGGAAAGAGCAGGAGGAGGTGATAATAAAGAACTCGTTGTACGGTTCGGAAGCTGATGAAGAGCACCACGGGGACGCTCTTAAAACTCGTCGCTTTTATCAGGAACAAGAAGCCGAGCGAATATCGATAGTCACAACATCTTCATGGTCGCACAGAAGTCGCAATCACAGAAGTCGCAACTACTACGTGGAAGATACATCAAGCCCGCCTGAGCGTACTAGCTACAAGAACAGCACGGCTCCTCTACATGAACATGACTACCAGTCAGTTCTCTTGTCATCGCCCGACAACTCCCCAACGAAAACGAATGTTCCTGGATCTCCTTCATTAGGAGTGTCTGCTCCTGCTGTAATAATAGAAAATATTATCGCCACCACCAGCCGGAAGATGAAGAGGAACCGCAGCGACCAGGAGGACGAACATGGTGAGAACAAGGAGGAGGACGATGAACACGGTGAGAAGGAGAACAAGGAGGAGGAGGACTTTGAAGAAAACGATCAAGATCGGGAACTTCAAGAAGAGAACACTAGTACCTTGCTTCCCACCGATCTTCCGCCACTTCCGATCGTGTCTCAAATCCCGTGTGTCGCAGTTTGGATGCTCTGGGCAAATTCAAAAAAAAATGAAGTCTACTTTTTCAGCTGCGCGATCGTTGTCGCAGCGGCTGCACTCAACGCGGCTCTTTATTTAAGGCTCAGCTTTCAATGGTCATTGGGCTTGGTCACTGAGATCGAAGAAGCAACCCCGCCTTTAGAGAACAGGGGAAAAGGAAGGGAAAGGGGAGAGCTTTGGAGGGGGTCTCTTCCGTTCAGCATCAGTGACCATTGAGTGCTGAGCTTTAATTTATCCTATGGTATACGATGGAGAGAGGTATCGTGGCCAGCTGCTCCTGTTGTCCGGCTCGGCTCTTGCGTGTCTCATTCTTTGCGTCTATTTTCTGCATGATGATGTTGCTGGCAGTGCTCTGTTCGCTGGCCTCTTGGGTTTTCCGTATTACACAAGTGCCCTCTCCGGGATGTACACTGGATTTAGTGAGAATAAACCAGACGCCCTAGGCAGCCTGACGATGAATGTTGCGGCCGTCTGCTGTTGTTCAAGTTGGATGCTTCAGGGATACTTCGTTTTAAGGCTCAACTTTTATTGGTCATCGAGGTTGTGGTTGGTCACTGAGGTTGGTCACGCGGAAGAGGAGACCCGCCCCCTTGAGACAACAGGGGAAAACTACTAAGGGAAAAAGGGGGAAGCCATCTGTAAGGGGCCGCGTCCCTTCAGCATCAGTGACCACTGACTGCCGACCTTTAATCGTTGCGCATCAGATGGAAATCGTTGTGGCGCAAATGTCATACGCCATCATCAACTCTCTGGCCTTGTTCTTGAATATCTACCTGCGGTTGCGAGTTGGCGTTCCATTGTGTCATTCGAAAATTTGCTGTGGCCGTCGTCACAAACAGCTTCAAGAAGAGTCTTGCTCCCGTTGTCGAATTTGCTTTTAGTACGATTATGGCTCCTTCCGGAGGTCTCCCATTTCATTGAGAAGCATCTTGGACCTCCGTTTTGTAGGGTGGAACCGGGTCCAAGATGACTTTTGGAAAGGTCTAATACGAGCAGCAGCCATCGTCGTGGCAACGAGAACGTCAAGTTGTGCAAGAACAAGACACGAAAAAATACTATAAATATGTTGCTTCGATGAAGAAGGGAAAAACTTCAAGAAATGTTGAATCACTTATTACTTGTTGACGAGTGATCTTGGTAGTATCCGGGCGACTACGGGCCACAGTTCCTGCGGGGAGGAGTACATACTACGTTTTTTTAAGTGTACTTACAGTAGTCTGTCTGTCTCCTGCGCTTGATTTCGATTTGGGTGGCGACGTGGTGGTGACACTCCAAAAATAAAAATTTGGCGCTTATTATTGAACAAAAGTACGCACAGTGCGTTGGTTGCACTAGAAGTTGTACAGGGTAAAGATATTATAATCAAGTTCCCGATCCCGTCCCTCTGAGGCTACGCACGTCCGCTCGAGTATGCATCCATTTTTACCTAAGAGTTGCAGAGAATCTGATGTGTCTGTGGAGTAGCACCTAAGTCTGTCAAGCTAAGTCGTTGTCTGTGAGGTAGAAGAAAATCAGGCTCCTATATTTTGGTAGAGGATGTATCATCTGTTCATGAGTAAAGATCTGTGGTGGATTCGTGAGTGATTTGAAAGTATGATCTGATATGTTGACTTCATCTTCCCCCAACAATTATGGGTTGTAATGGGTCTTTTTCAATTTCATTCTGAAAAATGACCAGGCTTCGCTATTTCCCTCAAATTCCAATGAATACTTCATTCCAATGAATACTTCATTCCAATGAATACTTCATTCCAATGAATACTTCACCAACACCTTCACATCTCGTTTTTTGCATTGAATTCCTCTAACCACATTGATGAGCACCAGACTACTAACTCCTGCAATGATATTGGTGCATTCTCAGAAGACTACTCGTGTTACAGTGCTGTAACCAGTTTTGGTGTTGAACGCGAGTATTTTTATGAAATTCAAATTTATTTTTTCAACTCAGATTTAGATGACTGAGTCGTGCTTTTAGAACTAGAAGTTGTCATAGATATATTCTATTTCGCTCATCATCTGCTTGATCGAACAATTTTCTCATCATCATCATCTTCCTCAAACAAGTACTGAGAAAATGTTGCGCAAGTTCCCTGCTCGCCGTCGCTCAGACGGCGCTCGTCCCAACAACAAGCCCAGTCGCGATGCTCGCAGACCACGAGGCCTACGAGGTGCCATTGGCTCTCTGCAGAGCCTGTTCGAACGAGAAGAGGAGACTAGCAGGGATCCACCATTCCGCAAAGAAGAGACTTACCTCGCACCTTCGCCTGAAGTGATGCTAAATTCCAGTTATGATGGATTGACGAGTTCGAGTTGCACTACGACAACTACTGGGACTACGATGAATCTGGCAGCTGCAGGAGGTACTATAGGTGCTGTGGGAGGACCTGCTGGATTTGGAGACGGGACCACAGGTAGTATCGTGGGACCTCCTCCTCTACCTCCTAGAGTAGGTGCAGGAGGAAACGTCATAAATTTTCGTCGTGGCGCAGATCTACCCCATGCTAGACCCCAATTGCCACCAGTATTTGAAGAAACCCCTGTCGGAGAAGGACTAAATCATGTTGATGATCGAGCTTCTGGTAATAATCCTATTAATGGACGACATGGCTCGCCTCCTCGTACGTCAAGAAGCAACAGAAGTGCGAGTCATTCTCCTGAGCGGGGAACTGGCGATCGCAGTTCTGGTAAAAATTCTTCTAGTAGACCTTCAAGCAGCAAACGAGAAGGAGGTGGCCGTTCATCGAGGACTAAACGAGATTCATCTAGACAAGACTATTCCGAATCTCCGGATCATCTTCATGGAGAAAGGCGTAGAAAAAGACGTCATAGTGAAGAATCCTCCCGTGAATCTGGGAACAACAAAAGGGAACACAGTAGACGTACTTCAGGAGAAAGACGACCGTCCTCTAGTTCATCCTCTAGCAGAGGTATGCAAAATATGGTTGGAAACGGGGCAAATTTAATACTTGCTAGTGTGGATATGGTAGGTGATGAGCAAGTTGGCGCTCCTGGAGCGAGTATAACGCAGCCAATTATATCAGAGGAAGGTGAAGAGGCTTTTGTTCCAGAAGGTCAATATGTTTATGACGAATCACCCGCTACTCAAGAGCCTAGTAAAGGTGACGAAGAATCAACATCGTCAAGGACAAGCGAAAACAAGAAAGACGACGATGCCACCTCCTCCCTTCCCGAAGACGTTGCCTCCGCTTTAGAAGCGTCCACACGAGAAGCGGTGCCTCTACCTGCTCTGGTAGGTGGACTAGAGTCGGAGGACCTTAGCAGACCAGGGTCAGCGATCTCACGTACTTCTAGTAACGCTCCTCGTCAGCAGAGTCGTTTGATGGCTCCTAGTGCGGCAGCTCGTATCAAGATCGCGGAAATGTTCCAGAAAACATATGGATATGGGGCGAATCAAATTGCACCCACTGTTGTACCCCCAACTCCGAGAACAGGTCCAGGTGTTCCCGAAGAGGAGATGGGAAAAGACCCAACTACAAGGGCTACAACTGTGTGTGTCCTGGATGCCAGCACATGGAGTGTGAACACTGCAGGAGACCATCGCTCCGCACCCGCAGCTGGAGGACCTGCTAGTCCACGAGGCGCAGCCCAGAAACCCCACGATCATACTAGCGACTTACCACCCCATACACCTAGATCCGAAGGCACAGAAACCTCGGAAGCGCGTCGACGAGCTCGGCAAGGAGGTGGAAATAAACATATGGACGCAAGTTCACACAAAGTCGCAGGCGCAGCAGCTGAAGGCGGTGATCAACTACACCAAGGAGGCGGGCACCATGTCCGCGTAGCTCAGGCCACGCACCGTGCTCCTGGTGGTCAACGACTGAGCGCTAAGGATGCGAAAAACAAAAGTTCCCTCTCTTACCGCTTGATCACGTCTCGGAGATTCGAGATTTTCATCGGTTTTTTCATCGGGTTAAACGCGTTGTGGATGGGGATCGAGTACCAGATGCCCATAGAGTTCGTGAATGAGCACTTCATCTACTTCCAGATCGCTGACTTGGCTTTTTTGATCATCTTTTTCTTGGAATTGTCTGCCAGAGTCCACGTCTTTGGCATCAAGATGGTCCTGAGTCAACCGATTTACGCTTTGGACGCGTTTATCGTCATCACGGGCGTAGCCATCGAAGTCGCGCTGCCTCTGTCGGTGGGCGGGTTTTTGTCTGGGAAAACGTTGGACGAAGGCGATGAGGGGGTACTGAATTTTTCTCTATTTCGGTTTTTACTGTACTTCTTAACTTAAAGATAATTTCATTCGCTTGGCTCATTTTTATCTTCAGATTTCTTCTCGTGCCTGTGCTGCCTGAGGACCTTGTTTTGGGTAAGTAGTCTGAGTCGTAGGTAAAGAACCTAGGTTATCCTCATTTTGTCAACTTATCTCTACTAGTTGTAGTTTCCTGTTTCATTCCAACGGCACTAACAAGCACCACAATGATCACAACAGCTCCGTCTCCTCCGCAGTGCTCGTAGTCTCCGTGCTCTCCGTATCTTGCGCGTGATCACTTTGATCGAAAACCTTTGGGGTGTGGTCGAGCTCTTCTTCTTCTCTCTCCCACCGTTGTTTTGGACTGTGCTGTTTATTCTGATCATCATCTACCTCTTCACGATCTTCTCGATCGTGCTCTTGGGTCGATCGAATATGGGTTCCGATCCTACGATTTTGGAAGCGCAGGCGAATTTCGACCGAACGGCGAACACGTTTCTGAGCATATTCCAGATCATGACCTTGGACGGATGGAGTGACTTGACGAAGCCCTTTTTCGAAGCTCATCCGTGGACCTACGTGTGGTTCTTGCTCATTATCGCTGTCACGGCGTTTGCGATGATGAACTTGATCACGGTGTCGGTCTTGGAAACTGCAAGAGAAGCACAGGTAAAACGGAGTTGAAATGGGTAGCTGAGTTCAGGTTTTTTTTGTGGCATTGGCATAATGTGAGTTTTAACGTAAATATGTATAGTTTTCTCATCATCTGCGCTGCATTTTTTCATTCGTCATCTACTCATCCACCTCACAGGCCAAGAACAAGGAGCACGAGGATATCCGGCAAAAGATGGAGGCTATTCAAGACTTGTACGATTTCCCCGGTGAAGGCAACGAACTCACGACTAAGGAGTACTTCATGTCACATTGGAAACACAGCAAGACTTTCAAGTCCGTCTTCGAACAGCTAGACCTGTCTCAAGACGACGCAGGTGGTTTCTTTGATGCGTTGGACTTGGATGGATCAGAGTCGTTGGACCATTTCGAGTTGAGCACAACATACATGGAACTGGTCCGGAACGTGTTGAACACGCCAAGTTTGGTAGCGCTGATTCGTTCCGCACCGGACCCGAAAGAAAGATCAGACTTATTGAAGGTATTTTTTTTTTGATACTTACAACGAGTCTTTCATTCTCTTTTTACTTGTTTTAGTTTTAGCATTTATAAGATGATGGAAATAGTGGATGCGAATTGTTGAAGATAGTACTTCGACTTCGTTAGCTGTAGAGTAGAACTCCATCTAGTAGCTAGATGAAGTAGATATTTGACAAATCCAACTCCTTGAGACAAGTTCTTGCTGTGACATTCAAATTTCAGGACCACGTTCTCAATCTCAGGACGTTCTCAATCAATCATGCTCTCATCAACATCATAAAAATACCCCACCTCCACCTCACAGAGTACAATGGAGCGGTCGCAGCAGCAGCGTGTGGCCGAAGAGCAAAAACAAGCCATTGCCGCGTTGCAAGAGACTTTGGACAGATTTCAGCGGGAAATGTTCGAGCTATTGCCCTCTATGGTACGCCGTGAAATGGAGATGCACTTGCCCAGGAGTGTAAATGTCGACGACGAACCAAGTGGAAGCGGAGAAAGTCAGAATGTTCCTTCTACAAAGGGTGTGATGAAAAAAGGTACTGCATCTTCGATGCCAGCGGTCATGGGAGGAGTTGGTCAGCAACAAGGCCAAGGAGGCAGTGCTCAGAATCAGAAAAGTAGCGGTAACAAGTCTCAGAGTAAAGGCACTATTGTAGAGGTCGATCCAAGTCGGATAATCCCGGAAGGAGGCACCGTAGTGCGATCTGGGGATATCACAAGCTACGTGATGCAAGGGTACAACCCGGCAGAAGCGATCCGGAAGACGAGCGCTAGAGACTTTGTCATTTAGGGGTGGATTTTCTATGATTAATACGTTTTCTTCAGTAACGTCAACAACAAAATTGGATTTTGACTCACTGAAAATGTAAGGCCATCAAAGGTGTGTGCTAATCGCATTTAACAACCTAATCTTCAATAAAAACTTGTACAATGTTTTCATCAAGAAAATGCAAGATTTCTCATAAGTAATCACCGTGTAAAAAGAGATGAACAGACTTGACGAGTATGCAGACCAACAAGCGTATTGTTCAGTGAAAAATATTAGACAGTATGATTATCCTTGAACACGATTATGATAATATTTCCATTTCGTTTCTCATATTATGATGTAGCTAGTCGATGTATTCGATGGAATGAATCCTTTCTTGTATTACAACATGGTCCTTGTAGCGTAGCTAGTAGGAGGTTAAGCTTCAGAAATCTAAGGTCACCTACATCGGTATGTAGGATGATTGTTGAGAAAAATATGCAGTCTTTTGCGTGTTATTGCAGCTAGGTAGTGTTATTGATCCAATCCAAAAAAAAAGATGAAATAGAGATGAAAATGACTTCTTGTTAGGATTCAGAAAATAAGATGAATTCTTTGAACAGATACTGAACAGCAAAAAAAGGTAAAGGGTAGTTGTAGAGCCGAAACAGATGACCGATGAATAACGCTGACTTCTAGATCCTCGTCATCGAAGGTGCAACATCGATCCATTCAGAATGATTCGATACACATCGGATCTCGTCATTATGTGGCTGAATCTGCAGGCCGTGGCTAGTAGTGTGAATTGTTGAATCATAGGATCTAGTAGTTTATCGGTGAGTGCTCGGTCGTCGGTGCTTGCAACCGTCGTCGTCTCTCGAGGTCTGTCAAAGGGTCGGGGAATCGGTCGCACTTGAGTAGAATCGAGCAGGAAAATGCATCTCGGTTTGTTTAGTTTCGGTCGATAAAGCTGCTAAGAATGTAGACACGCATGGCGCTGCTGCACGTACTCGTCGGTTGGTTATCGCTTTCTCGTTCACCTTTCTCCTGGGTAAGTATGCTGTGAATCCAAAAAAAAAAAATGGTTGTAGCTTTTGATCTCCGGCTATGTGTACTGACCCAGGCCAAGGGCACAGGAAAATGACGGGCACGAGTTACTTCGCCAACATGTTGGAAGACTATTTATTCCATAGGTCCTCCTTTCCACCTGGCGATCATGGTGGTTCTGTAACGTGGAGGGGATTGGACCGGAGTGAGCAGGACCACGCGGATTTTTTTTGGACGAGCAGAAGATACAAGTTGAAAATGGGAACAACGTCAAAAGCAACAACGGCGAGTACAAGGACAAGCTTCATAACTCGAACTGCAGCAACATCTTTCTTGGAACAAGCGGGACTCACATCATCAAACAGCAGTAGCTCCACGAATCACGGATTGGACCGGAGTGAGCAGGACCACGCGGATTTTGTTACAAGCTTCATAACTCGCAGACCAGGTTCAACAACTAGTACAAAGCCAACAAGCAGGACGTCTTCTTTCATCGTGGAATCTTCTATCGATACCCAGTTGCAGAATGACGATGCAATGCGAGCCAAGCTCGAGAATGCGGATGAAGAAGAAAAGGGGAGGCTGGAGAGGGAGTTTCCGAAGCACGATTTTGGATCTGAGCGTGAGATCGAATTCGAAGAAGGAATCGCACGAGAAAAAGAGAAGCAAGAATTAAGGGTAGGTTAAAGGTGCTTTTCTTACCGCTTTTTATGCTTCTCCTAAGGGAGAAAGGCATAACAAGCGGGGTAAGCGAGCACCAAAAGCCTACCTCTAAAAGAAGCGAAGCTAGAGGCAGCGCGTCACAACGAGGACGGAGAATCGTTGGCCGATGAAGGAATCGTCGTGGGGGGAAATGATGGGGGTGACGGTTATCAAGTTGGTAGAGAGGGTGATGATGGAGGCGGAGGAATAGGTGGAGGAGGAGGACGTAAGCGGAATAAAGGTAGAAAGAATTATAGTGGAGGAGAAGGTGGAATGTCTAATCGTGGAATGTCTACTAATCGTGGAACTGGACAGGGAAACGATGATGATGACAAAACTAGCAAAAATAGTCGTGACGAAAACCACACACAACCTGGAAATCGTCGACACCGAAGAAGACGTCCACCTGGGTCAGGGAACAACAACAATGATTTTTAAGGCTTGAGTAAATCCATCTTCCCCAACGAACATCCATCGATCTTGGCCTCGTTTAAAGGGAAAAATATAAATAGGGGGACCAAGATGCTGACTGGGATGGATTTACTCAAGGTCTAAAATGACGACGACGACGACGAAGAGGAAGAAACGATTACCATCGTCGATCCAGATAAAGTTACCATAGTCGTCCCTCCCTATCCTCCAGAACGCGGCACGTGGCCTCGAACCGCCATTCCAAAGTTGAATGGCGCCATCATGCCCGATACGTTGCCGTATCAGGGTGACGAATTAGATTTAGAAGGGGAGGAAGCAAAAGCCGTTGGTGCACATCAGCAGCGTAGAAGTCATTCCATCAAGAAAGATGAAGGACCAGAAATTGGTGGAGACGGATTTGGCGTCTTAAACAGGCCTAAAGAAGTGACTGAGGAAGATTTGGTGGAGGAGGAGATTGTGAGGCGAGAGAAGGAGAAGCGGGAGAATACGTGGACTTTTGGAAGAGCACGTGCTGAAATCAAGAAGGTCATCGAAAAAGCTTTGGCAGATAGGGAGAATCCAGGAAGCCAAGATTCGCCAAGCTTTCCAAGATTTGGGTTCACTATCGAAGGGTAGAGGGAGAAGATGCAGGTGGTGTACTAATGACACACAAGAAGAAGAACCTGTAGTTTTTTGTTTATGCTTCATCTCCATGATGCGTCGTGATGCAGCTTCGTTGCCGTGAATGTCAATGTGCAGATATGTTTGTCCTAAGACAGCTCTGTTTTTAGGGGCTTGTTCCAGGCTCGCGCGCTTATCGCCACAACATAGGTACCATTTCGAGTAGAAACTCGATTTTCATTGTTGATTCGCAGCGCTCGCACGACGGGAGTCGCATGATTATAGGAACCATATTTAGCTCCAGCTCGCTAGTACTTTGGCTTTGGATCGTGATTCTTGAGGCCGCGATAGGTTTCGTGTTATGTATTTGCTTGTTTCTCGATGGAACGTTGCTTTGAAGGTCAATCTGTGTCGACTTTCGTCTCCAGTGATACTTGAGATGAGGCCTTCAAATCCATAATAATTAACTCCCCGGGCCCGGGTGCCCCGGGAGACGTTAAGGAAGGGAAAGGGATACTTTAGGGACGTGGGCGGGGGTGAATGGTTTCACAAGGTGAAACGGGCGCCCGGGGGGCGCGCACTCCCCTCCGCGTCGCGGGAAAGGGGAGCGGGGGCGCGGTGATTTTATATACAAGAGGAAGGTGGCAGCACTGGCACCGGTGTCCGCGGTTTTTTTCTTCTCTTCCGTCTCTTTGTCCCGTTCGTGGCCTTGTGTCCGGACTCTAGCGAACAACAAGAACAAAGCAAAACGGAGGCCCGCGAGGGTCGTCCGCAAATTATAGCGAAAAAAAGGGGGCCCCGTTCCCATAGTAAGAACGAGCAAACAAGAGGCGCCGGCGGGCAGTGAAACACGCACCGCCACGGGCACCATCTTCAACGCGTTGGCCACAGCTGGCGCGGGTGTTCGTGGCTTTTTTCTCCTTTTCTCCCTCTTTGTCCCGTTCGTGGCCTTGGGTCCGGACCATAGCGAACAACAAGAACAAAGGAAACAGAGCGGAGGCCCGCGAGGGTCGTCTGCAAATTATAGCGAAAAAGGGGGGG